ACCCCTAACCCTAACCCCTAACCCCTAACCCCTAACCCCTAACCCCTAACCCCTAACCCCTAACCCCTAACCCCTAACCCCTAAATGGCAAGTTCAGGCCTCTGGTATTCAGCGTTGGTGGTGCACAGGAAGAAGAGACTGTGAAGGTGTTTGAGGAGTGGCAGAAGGTGATGAGCGCTGGGACTTACAGTTTCATGTGCAGGTCCATCTCTCTGCAGCTGGTCAAGGCTAGGACCAGGTACTTTGTCAACTAGATTAGTACTATCTGAACCTCTGGTGATGATTGTGCTTGTCTGATGACTTGAAGTATTGAGTTGCCAATTGTATGCCTTTCTGAAAGAAACGTCTCCAATGTAACTAGGACCTTTCCATGCACTCAGATACATCAATAACACCCCTAACCCCTAATGCAATCGACACTAACCCCTAAGTCAACCCCGCGTCGAGTAGGCAAACGTTTCCATGAAATCCGACGACTTCCTCTGTTACCACAGGCTCGTGACTCACTCTGAACACTGTCATAACCCCTGACATCATCACACCACACTGAAATCGTGATCCTACCCTAGGCTCGTCGAGGAAACACGTCAAACTCGCTTCGAACCGTCACAAAACACGTTAAACCTTTCGAAATTCGCTCAGAGTGCCCGGTCAACCCCTAAGACGTGAAACAACTTGGGATGGGTGGTCTGACATCTGAACAAGCCGGCAAAATTGCCTCGACTGTCCTCCCTCGCATAGACAAGTATTCCAGAGTACGATCTGATGTCGTTGCTGCAACAAGTCGACGAGGTTGGTGGGGTATGTAAAGGTTTCTGCATATGAGTATCGAGCTGGACCTGGAGATAGGGGTCGATAGGGGCATGTGACGCGACGCGACGCGTCTCACCTCTGGGATGACTCTCAAGGATTACTTAGATAACTTCTGGACGCTTAGTCATCACCTCCCAAGGTGATAGAGATCTCGGACCACAAGAACTGTTACATCACAAGCAATACCTGGAGTTCTAACAGGTCAGTACCTTTGCCATTGATAAGGCGGTATCTCGAATTCCAACATATTCGTGGTCATGGGTATATCGATCGCGTTAACGGTACAAGGAAGAACTCGCTACATTATCTGTCCACCGCTCATCCGTTCATATCCTCATCCTCACTGTCCTCCTCATCACTGTCCTCCTCCTCACTCTCCTCCTCATCACTGTCCTCCTCCTCATCACTCTCATCGGCGTCTGCACGGTTGTTTTGGGCCTCTTTGGACTCTTGCCCGTCGTCAATCTCCCTGATCGTGACCTTGCGGCTGAACTGCCCCATGAGAGACTGGACTTCGTGATCCTGATCGTACTCCTTGAACCGAGCAGTATCGTAGATGAACCGCTCTATCTTGCGAAAATTGACCGGTTTTTGAGTGCAGGCATCGATTGCCTGCATGTCTGCCAGTCAAGTCAACCGCTGACAACCGGTCTTGAAGTCAGGGAGACTGTTGGAAACCGTATTGGCGATACGTCGCATGGCATAGTCGACCTTATCGGGGGACAAGTCGTCGTCAAGATCGGCAGTGACAGGGGGCGCAAAAGCGGGAACGGGCTGAGGGACGTCGGCGGGAATCGGCTGAGGGGCGTCGGCGGGAACCGGTTGAGAGATGTTGGCAGGTACTGGTTGAGGGATGTTGGCAGGTACTGGTTGAGGGGGATTGGCAAGCTCCGTCTTCAACCTGGAGGACTCGGCTCGACAGGCTCGGAGTTTGTCCTTTTGGTCTTGTAGCTCTTTTTCAAGCTGCTCGACCTGCTTGTGCAGAGCGGTTGCAGAGGTTTGTGCCTGTTGCCGCTCGCTGAGGAAGCGAAGTATCTTCTGTTCCAGCGCAGGAGGGTCATCGGATGGCCAGCGAAACTTCTTGAGAATTGCGTCGAGGCCTGTCTGTGCCGACTGCATGCTGCCAATTGTGTCAGCCGCCGCCTTCTTCTCATCCTGTAGCAGCCGGTTTTGCTCCTCGAGTTCCTTGACTCGTTTAGAAGCGTGGTCTAGGTCCATCTGAACCTTTTCTTGACTGGTCTCGAGCTCCTTGACCCGTTCATCGAGGTTGTTTGACCGAACGTCTTCAAGCTCCCTGACTCGGCTGGTAGCCTGGTCTAGGCTCGCCTGGATCGTCGCTCGACCAGCCTTGAGCTCGTTGACCTGTTGGGTAGCCCGGTCCAGGTCCGCCTTGATTGTCACTTGACCCTCTTCAAGTTCCCTGACTCGGCTGGTGGCCCGGTCTAGGTCCGCCTTGACTGTCACTTGACCGTCTTCAAGTTCCCTGACTCGGCTGATGGCCCGGTCCAGTTCGGCCTTGATTGTCACTCGACCGGTCTCAAGCTCATTGACCTGTTTGGTAGCCAGATCAAGGGCGGTCTGGGTGTTCTTGACCTGCTCGTTAGCTTGATCGAGATTGCCATTTGCCTGTGGGTCACTTGCTTCAGCTATGTCTCGAGTTGATAGACCAGATCAAGCTGTTTACTCACCTGATTGAGCTGTTGTTGAAGCAGGACCTGCGCATCCGGTTGATCTGACAGATTGCTGTGAGACCGGTACCGGGTAAGCTGAGGTGTCTTGGGATACGTCTCGGTCAACTCGACTCACGTCAAGCTCACTGCTGCTCGATGCTTGAACAGTGGCTTCAGGAATGTGGCTAGATCAGTCCCGGATCTTGCACCGATCTTATCCTGAAGTTCTGTCATGGTGAACCAGGGGTTGGTGTCATGAAAGGGCTGATCCGGGCGATACAGGCGAGGTGTGTAATGCTTCCAGACGCCATCGAGGGTATCTGGGTCGGGTGGCAAGCGAGCATAAAGCAGCTTGAACCTTGGCTTTGCGTTCTGCTTAGCGGTTGCACCGAATTCACACAGATCGTCAAACAGGTCAAAGATCGACTGGTTGAAAGCGGTGTCAGATTGGTTTCAAGACTTGTTGGTAACAAAGACTCACCCTGTTGAACCATGCCTGTCGAGCTTCTCTCTCCTGTGCTGAGGAAGGCCATTCGACATGTCTGTACTGGTCCTCGGTCGATGGATGCCATTCCCAGCACACATGGCATAGCGGTGGTGGATTGTCGAGGAGCACTACCTGCAGCAGTTCCATCACTGGTGGCCATGAACCGGTCCGGTATCTTGCGTTGGGATCTGTAAGGTATTCTCGTCTGCCCCTAGGGGTGTCGGCAAATGGAAGGAGCATGGTGTGTTTATTCTAGTTCAAATTACCCAGTTCGTATGACTCTGGTTGAATCAACCCCAATTAGACTATGTTGCTTCCTAAAGCTGATTTGATGAGCAGGTTCTTGATTGGCAACAACCTCAACAATCCCTTTGAACTCAACAGGTGATACGCGAAGAAAGCAATTCACGTGATCCCGGTATGGCTTCCCGGTCTTGCTTCCCGGTGCAACTTTGCTCGGCCGGCCCTTGCTGTCAGGACTGGACATTCCCGTCAACTCCAAAGTCTAGCATTGCGGCTCATGGAAAGCTTTGACCAAGAACGAGCGAGCACAAGCTGAAAAGATACCAATCGACATGTTCATACGAATTATCCGATATTGGCAGGACGCGGTACTGATCTACTGCGCCGACGCTTAGGGGTTACAACAATCCCTTTGAGCTCGACAGGTGAGACGCAAACGGTCCAAAGGAAGCAATTCACAAGATCACATGATGCCGGTATGGCAGTGGCAGGCCGGTCTGATCTCCCCATTGTTATCTCCCCGGTCTGCTCTCGCCGATCTGCTCTTCCCAGTCCAGCCTCCCGGTCTTATCTTCCTGGTCTGACCTGGCCGTTAAAGCCGCAATCCATAATCGCCTCCAACCCAGGGAAGGCTGGCAAAGAGGAAGGCGCACAGTCAATCCCCATTGGTACCCCACACTTGAGCTCTTCCCTATTTGATCGAGCTGCGGGGCAGCTCCCACTCAGCTTGGTCAGCTCCCATGGGACAATCCACGTGATGTGTTTTCTGAAGCAACACTGGCAATTGTCACCTTAGCTCAGTTGGGAGAGCGCACGACTGAAGCGTTTGCTTTGCCTTCGTGCGGTCGCTTGTTCGATCCAGGCAGGTGACACTCGGTTTTTTTTGCTTTTTGCGCTGTTAATCAATCCCTTTTTGCCTTATTTTTTGTGGTTCGGGGTTAGGGGCGTTTGCGTTTCAGGTCACGCTCTGTCCCTTGCTACGCACGCAGCGGGGTCTTGGCTACCTGGCACAGATGCCTCGCCGTGGACTTTGTTGGATCCTATACTGTCGGGATCCTCCATGGCGTCTTTTCTGTCGTCCTCTCCTTGGCGCGTCGAGCATTTGGCCAGGAGAAAGGGCCTTGTCGAGCGAGCTAAGGACTCTCCTACATACGGCTGAGCGATCACCAATCGAACCCTTTCCGTCCCTTTCATCAGCGTCACAAGCAGGTCACCGCGAAGCCTACGTCCTTTGTCCCCTGCATAGCACGATGGTCGCCTCAGGCTGCCCGCTCACGAGCCGGCCAGGCTATCAAGATCCTCTCGTGGTTCGTGTCCACCCTCATTCCTTTTCACTACTTTCCTTCGCCCGACACATTCTTCATCCCTAGCGACACATACGCACGCAAGACAGCACCCCACGATGTCCTTTTCTATTCGCAGCCCAGCCCAGACGTTGACCGCCAAGGACCAACCTACCCCTATTCCCGAGCGAGTCTTGCAAGAGTTTGCCGATCTCGACCGATTGATGCAAGGGCGGGACACTAGCTCGGAGCCGTACGAATTCAAGGCGAGTATTTCTGCGCCACAAAGATGCTTGATAGCAACGCACTGACTGACACGAGACCGTACTTCCAGGCGATGCAAGGGTTCTTCAGGCAGTCTGACCCCTCGCTGGTCGCCTTTAGTCCTCAACAGGTACTAGAATCAGAGTTTGGCCTGTTGGAGACTGACGACGAGCGTTGGCAAATGTTCAAGACCGAGATCAAAGGCGAGTGGGGCTTCCCGTCTCGGCAGAGGTCGACCGCTCACGTATCGCAGCCTATCGTATCATCATCCCCGCAGAGTTGAACGAGAAGGCTCCCGAGGGAACTCGCCACGTCGTCTTGTTCTGCAGTCAGTACTAGTCCTCGAACGGATCGTCTTTGGCGCCACCCTATTTCATTCGCGCCTGAATTGATTCTTGGCCACTCGCAGTGCGTCACGGACAAGGCGAACACAACCTGGTCATGACCAACAACGATCCCGACTCTTGGAAGCTTGCCTACGCGGAGAAGAACGGTGCTGTCGACCCCGAACTGACCGAGCTGGGCAAAGCTCAAGCCACGGTCGGTGACTGGCAAACGCGAACATCTGCATGAGCTCATTGCTGATACGATCTTCGATTGAATCAGGCCGTCGGATTCGCTTGGAAGGACATGCTGAAGAGAGGAATCCCCAAGCCGGAAAAGTACCTCGTCTCTCCGCTCGTCAGGTCGATCGACACGATGAACCTGACCTACGGGGAGTTGATGGAGAAGGAACAGAAGCTGATGGTCATCGAGGCGAGTCGTGACCTGTTACTGGCGTGGCAAACCAAAGACAGGAGCCTGACGTACCCAGCCTTCTTAGAATCTACGAGAGACTTTCTTCGGAAACACCTGGGATCAACGCCGCACCAAGGTGAGTGCTGGAGCCGCGCGCTCGTCAAATTGTTTGTTGGCTCACTCCGACATGCCAGTCCGAGCTGGCGAGTCGGTATGCCAACCTCACATTCGAACAAGGTTTCTCCGAGCAAGACCCACATGAAAAGCTAGGCAAGTAAATGCTCATCAAACGATCGACAGAGCATGCGCTGAACATAATAGTTGCAGCTCGCAAACTGGCGGACGAAGGCAATGCAGCGAGGCTCGACCAAGTCCGATCGGTGATGCACAAGATCGCCCGTGACTGTCCCGAGACCTGTGAGTAAACGAATGCTCGAATGCCCAGGGATAAAAGACGTTTGTGGGATCGCACGATTCCAGCGCTGACCTGACGTCTTTGCTGTACCGTGCCTTCGCAGACATCGCCATCACGGGACACAGGCGCAACTTGACCGCGTTGTTCGCCTTGCTCCATCATCGAAACGTTCGTCTGGCTCAAGGGGAGATCATCCCGGTCGTCATCAAGATCACCGAGAGAGATGTTGCCAGGAACGATGCAAACGGTTTGTAGATCGGATGTTGCCTTGAACAAGTTGTTGTAGTAAGCATGTAACTGTAACGATGACGGTCTACCCCCCTTTCAAGGAGAATTTGCTCGGGATCCGGACAAATCCACCGATATGCATGTCATTACAGGCGATCGTAAAGGGTCGTTAACTACTAACAGCGTGTCTTGAACTTCTACCAAGGCGTCACGTCTTGACCTCCTACGCATTCAGCCATTGCCCCGCCAGTGGTAACAGACTCGTCTTCATCCGAGCTTGAGGCTCCGGGCGTTCCCGTTGTGGTTGTGCGTCTTCCGATCCTTTCGTATTCGACGATCATCTCCGCATACACGCTCGATACGCCTTCAGACTTGGTATCCGCGATGGCTTGACGAACGAGATCGACCACGATAGAGCGGGCCTGACCGCCGGGGCTGCCGCGATGAAGGGCGAGCAAACGGCGTGCGGGGTTCTCGTCCTCGAGTCGGGAAAGTGCGTGCACGAGCCGCTTCGTAACGCTCGGTCTGAACGGCGGCAATCCGTTCGATAGCCAGTGCACGTATAGCTCGACAGCTAATGTCACCGCGACCGGTTTGCGTTTATCGAGTGCACTACCGATCAGCTGTGTGAACTGCTCGTGCGATTCGGGCGACCATTTCCAAGATCGAGGCAGGCTGTGTCGGGGGACCATCTGACGATAAACGTGCCCGAACAGATCGACATCGGAACGTCTCGAGGAGAACCGAAGAAGCGCTCTGAGAGCATCTCCTTGGATGGGTTCGGGCAGTCGTGTCAGATTGTCGGTAGTCGACAGCCTCCGAAAGGCATGAAGCACAGCCTTTTTGATGTCGACGTACCCGCGGTCGAGTCCCACATCGAAAGGGCCGTCCATGATGAGCCGAAAGAGAGACCTGGCGAACGAGTGCTCCAGTAGAGCTCTGCTAGCGACAATCCTGTCGATCACCAATGACGAAACGGCAAGCACCTCTCTCACCGGGCCGAGATGGTCGTGGTTGTAGGCGCTCCTGCGGGCTAAGCATCGCTGCAGCGTCTTTTGAGCCTGCGCGAGGTCCTGCTTGATGTCCGTAGAGATCAACCGAGAAGGTATCTCGAACAGCGATGCCACTTCCGGTACGCCGCCGGTGACCGCCGCGAGAGAGCGCCTGCAGATACTGTCGGCAACCTCGCCCATGCCAGCTTCGTGCACGCTGCGGACAAATCCTTCTATGCCTCTATTTCCCGCTTTGACCCTCATGTTCGCAGACCCGGCTCGTCCCATGAGATGGACTTCGATCATGGTACCGCTGGCTTCTACCACATGAGCCAGATCGTGCTGTAGCAGGTAGGCACAGAAATCGAGGGCCGGCTCTAGGACCTGGCCGATGAGAGGTAGTCGTCCTCGTGGCAGCATGTACTCTGCTCGCAAGGTCAATCCTCTCAGATAGCCCTTGTCCGCCTGAGTTCGTATCCACTCCAGTATACTACGCTGCTGCTTTGCCCTACGAGGCTCGTCTTTTGCGACCTGCAATTGCTGCCAGCGGTAGGCCTTCTCGAACCAGGCCTGGCGGACGGCCGGGTCGACCTTTTCTGGTCGTCCCCCCGTGCTATCACAAAGCAACCTGATGGTCGTCTCGAAGATTTCCTCGTTATCCATCTTATCTTGTGCCGCTTCGATCAGCACCCCGACAGCCTGCTCGAGTTGGCTGGTGCGTAAGCGAATCTTGTGTTCACGAATGATACCGAGTAGCTGGCGTAGACGGATGAACCGCCTTGGTCGTCGACTTTCCTGGCTCTGACATCGAAGTAAATTTGATACTGTCCCGAGTGGAAGAGCCGAATACAGGTCGGGATGGAGACCGCAGAAGATTTCCCATGAATGGTCTGGTGATCGAGAGAGTATGGATTGGTCCAGAATCTGAACATGCCGGAGGAACGGGTTCGAGGTCGGCGAGTAAGGAAGTGGAGGAGGTAGAGGCAAGTGAGGTGGTGGTGGGTTCTCTTCTTTTCTCGGCTTTATCGTCGTTGCCACCGGGCTACGAGGAGAAAAGACAGCTCGAGGAGCCTGGTCCTGAGCAGAGATCTCGGCTGATGTGTCCATCAAAGGCTGACTGGCGAATCGAGCCACTTGTCTCGGAGCGAGTCCTGCTGCTCGTAATCCCGAACTTCCAGGGCAAGACCGTAATCGACATCTCAGGCCTGTCAACCACATCGACACCGCCGGACTTTCGAGAGGAAGGAAGCGAGCCTATGTTAAGCTGGCTGATCTATGCGGAATATGGCCACGATGGTCTTTCGTATATTGGTAGTTGCCTATATTACAGTACGTACAGTACATGATCTCGACATTCTCGGTCTCGACATTCTCTGGCTCTTGCATCTTTTTTGGCGCGGGCCGCGCGAAACCACCGGACCGAAGGATCGAAGTCTACAGGCATGATCAGATTACTTTACAACCGGATTGAGATCTCGATACTACGTATCTGTTACTACCCCTGGCCTCATTCATCATCGTCGCTGTCATCCTCCATGTCGTCCATGGCGATCGCATCCGGATTGACCACCGCACCGCCAACCTCGGCATCATCGTCCTTGAACGTGACGTTCGACTGGACCGACTTGACAAAGCTCGGTGCGGCTCCGCCGGCTGGTGCAGCTCGTGCAGCGTTGTTCTCCCTCTCGATCGCAGCCATGGGATCCGAGGCATCCGCTGAGGCCGCTTCGGGTTCCTTGTTCTGTACGCCCTTTCGAGCGGCCTGCGCTTGCGCTGCGATATAGCTCGCCCTGCGAGATTCGTGAAGCGATATGAGTCCTGATCGACGACCCGAATATGCATCGGACGGCCAAACTTACTCGGTGTTAAAGGCCGCCTGTACGGATCGCTTGATACGCAGCATCTCTCGGAAAGTGTCCTCGGAACCATGGTCGACTGTGAGTAGACGAATCGAGTCAGTCATCGGAATCGGACCAAAAGGCAGGCCTTGGCGACTCACTCTCGAAAGCGTTCCATTCGGACCAAAAGTCGGTGTACGTTCGGGGATCGCAGAACTGCGAGGCATGAGCGTAAATGGCACGCGCTCGGTCGATCTCTCCCAATTTCCGCTCGAGCGCAGCGAAACGCAAGCACATGTCGGAGGTCTGCCTGTCCGGCAAGACTTCGATGGCACGCTGGTAGATGGATCGGGTGGCTGGTAGACCAAAGTTGGCGGCAGCTTTGGCGATGTAGATAGTAAACATCTGGCAAGAACGAGCGCGATCCGGTGTCAGCTGGGGGATCGGTATGACTTGTTCTGGCTGACAGACTCACCTCCATCTTGTCAGTGTCCTGAACAGCGGTAGCGGCACGGTCATAGATCCCCATCGCTCGCTTGGCCAGACCATGTTCCTCCTCGAGCTGAGCGTACATCAGGAACAATGGCTTGCAGAACTTTTCGGGACACTTTTCCAGTGCCTGCTCGAATAGATCTCGAGCTCGCTCCAGCTTTGATCCTCCCTGATTGAACAAAAACGATAGCATTAGTGGCTGCTCTGATGGACAGCGAAAGCTGCAAGGGACTCACATATCGCGAGACGAATTTCGATAGGTAAATGTTCCAGATTTCAAAGGCCACCGGGTAGTTGTAGAGATCTATACCACGCTCGTACACCTGCAAGACGCCACGTCAGCGTTATCGAGATTGTCACGAACGTCACAGGCCAGTAACCCGGCCCACCTTGAAGCTCTCCTCAAAGTACTTGTTCTCTTCGAGGAACTGCGCATAGTTGACAATGGTCTGCGCGTTGGCGATTTTGAGCTCCATGATCTTGTCGTATACCGCCTTGGTCGCTTCGACGGAACCGATCGATTCTTCCAAGTCGACGTAAAAGGACCACAGCTTGAGCGACTTGAAAAGACGGGTTTGTACAGGAATGTTCTGGAGTACAGAAAGCGGAGAACTTTCAGTGGGTGAGATGAAACAGTGCCAGACGCTTTAGAACTTACGTCATCGTAAAAGTTGACTTTGGTGTTTCGAGGCGGGGTGGTTGCGCGCTGCATGAGTCGGATAGCTTGATCGTAGTTTCTTAGTCGAGTAACATAATGTATCAATATACGTACTGTCCTGTTATGCCAGCACTGAAGACTCACTCTGCCCGGAGTTCCAGCTCTGCAAATTCGCACCACACCTCGGCAAGCTCGTCCACCGACTTGAAAGGCACCCGCGTCGCCTTTTCAAAGATCTGTCGGGCCTGTTCGACGTCGGGCTCGTTCCTAGGTTCGCCAGTTTCGGGGTCCTTGGATCCTCCTTCCTCGTAGAATTTCGCAAAGTTGACGTACAACGGGTACAACGGGCCGACCGCTTTGCGGGGGTTGATCGTCTCGAGCGCCTTGGTGTACGTTTCAACAACCTGAGACAGGGAATAATGTTGTCATCATGTTAGCGATGCTCTGGAGTCAACAGCCTCGTCAATCACGCACCTTTTCGTCATCATCGCCATACAAAGCGACCCGTTTTTCCCACTCGACGACCTCGTTCGGGTTCCGTCTCAGCAAGACCTCGTTCATCAAGAACGGTCGCCTGTCCATCAGCTCTTCAAAGTTCTTCATCCTCGTGTCCAGCTCCTCTTCCATCTCGGCCAGACCCTCGTCATCTTCTTCCGAGTCAGGGTCAGAGACCGCCGTCATCAGCGTCGAGATGACAGTCTCGGAGAACTCGGCATAGGCATCGAAGATTTGGGTAAAGTCTCGTACGGTGACGACATTGGAGAGACCCTTCTCGAACGTCTCGGAGGCCTGGTCAAAGTCGCCCCGCTTGATCCAGAACGTAGCCAACCCAGACCACAGTCGACCGGCTTGGTCCTTGTAGACCGACAGTCCGTCTGACATGACGATCTTTTCAATGTCCAGCCGGTCAGCATTGGCAGGATCCGTATCCGGGTCATATACCTCGACCGGCCTCGATCTGCCTTTCTCCTGAGCCTTCTTGGCGTTGTACTCTTCGATGGGAATGGGAGCCCCCTCGAACCTCATCAACGCGCCGTCCTGGCCAGCGACAGCCTTGTTCTCCTCATCACGCTCCTTCTGCTCCTGCTCAGCTCGCTCAACCTCGGCGTTCTTGGCCTTCATCTCGTCAGCCTCAAGACCGACGTCCTCGGCATAGTTTTCAGCAAGCTCCAGAAAATCGACAAAGAGCTGATAGGCGGATTTGCCTTCCTGGGAAACGTAGTCTCCCTTTTGTGCCTTTCTGGCGAGTGTGAGGAGGTATTTGGCAGCGGGAAGAGGACGTTCGGGTTCCGAGTTGACGAGGTGGGTAATGTGTCGTTCGGTGAGAGAAGGGTCGACCTGGAGTACAGCGCAAGGCGAGATGTCCTTTAGCGAAGAGTGAACGACCGCGGATCGAGATGCTGAATGCTCACCTTCAGTAACCGCCTCCATACCCTGTCACCTACGATCCCACCGACCTGTTCAGCCCATCGCAAGTACAGACCCCAGACCCGAGCGTGCATGCTGGGAGGAAGCGTTCGAAGTGCGCGGTCGAAAGTCCGTCGTGCATATGTACGTTGGAATACGGGCGGACATTTTGGGTGTAGCAGAGAGGAAAGATGCATCATCCAGACTACAGGCAGCTGTGAGGTGGGGTAATGGAGGGCATTAGCTTGGAGACGGTCGGAACGTATGAGAGGAACGTACGTTGGGTAAACACCTAATCATCCGCTCTCCAGTTCCGATCAAGCTCTTCCACTCCTCGTATCCTATCACACCGTCGAGTCCGCCCTCCCACTGATACTCAGACTCGGCAAACGCCAGACACTCAGTCACGTCCGTCTTGGTCTTTGCACCTCGAGCGGCGTTCTGTTTCTTCGCTTTCGTAGCCGATTCGGTGACGGGTCCGAGAACGTGTAGCTGCCTCATGTGGATATAAAGCTTCCAGAGCTTGAAAGAGGTGGGGAAGATCGATAACGCTCGTTCGTAGATCATGGTCAGCTCTTGCAGCGCCCGTCGGTTGTCTTGTCCGGCCAGAGGACCCAGCAAGGTTCCCTCGACCGAGACGTCTTCGGCGTCCAGCGCTCGGGTCTTGTTGATCCGGTCTCGGACGGCGTTGATATATCGCAGCCATGCTCCGAGGTTTTCAGAGTTGACAGAGAGATCTTCTTCGGTGATGATGGATGTTGGGTGGATGAGGTCGGGGTGGGTGAGGGGGGTAGGTACGGGATAGGTCAGAGGGAAGATGGACCTCAACTTTTCGACGAGCGAAGCACCGCCGTCTGCGGCGGACGTCGAGGCAGAGACCATGATTGGAATGGGTGACTAAAGGACGAGGTTAAAGGGCTAGAGACGACTTGGGCGATGCATATAGAATCAAAATGTCAAGCGACGTAGTGATCGTAAAGAGCAAATGCAGTTCAAGGCTGTCTGTCGTCGATTGCTCTTGTCCCCAGCCACACCACGGTCATCGAAAAGTCCAAGGTCACGCGTCGCCATCGCAAACTATATATTACCGTTCAACCTGATGCGCCTGCCTGGTTCCCTCCCTACAACTGCTGTTTCTTCTCCTTCCACTCCTGCACCCAAGACTGGACAAACTCCACCTCCTGCTGATGTACCTTCCGGATCCTCTTGGGTTCCTCGCTCGGGTCTTTTAGACCGTTCTCGTCGAAATGATGCACGGCATCTTTGATCATGATCACGGGCTTGTTCAGGGAAGACTTTCGCTTGAGCGCATAGTCCGATTGTGGGGTGGCCGGTCTCCAAGGGTCCGAGTCTCCGTCGCTGTCGATACCGAGATCATCAGCTTAATCATATCTGCTGATCAAGAACGTTAGAGTAATTACGTACATAAATGCCAATCGAGACGACTCGATTGCGAAATCGCCCCTCGCGTTGACCCTCTCTACATCTGGCTTCCCAGGGTTCGGTAGCTTGAAGTGCTCGCCAGGAGGGAAGGCAACTCGACAAGTCTTCGAGGTGAATTCCAAGTCCAAGCTGTCAAACATGGCGTGAATTCGATTTGATTAGTGCTGCTCAGGAGACACGACTGTTTCACAAATCGGCTCACAATTTGGAGATGATACGTTTTCCCTCCAGGGGCGCGGGCATGAAATAACCCCAATTCTCGCAGACTTGCCAAAGCCAAAGACGCCATTTTTGTTCGAGCCCCGTCTGCTTATAAGGCTCAGGGTCGAAGCTGCCGAAACACTGTTAATGAATCCCGGATCGGTCAGTCGCGATCATTACGTAGGATGGACGATAACGGCGACTCACTTGTTCGACATCCGGTTTCCCGTCTTTGACCAAGGGACACGATTCTTCGACCATATCGCGGACGTATTGCGCGTACTGGTAGATAGCCACGGGGATCTTGAGTGGTCCCACGCGGAGGGGCAGGTGAAGACCACCCAGGCTCAAGATCTCCTTCGAAGGCTGACTAGTAAGGACGTCGCAGAATCGGTAAAACTCGTCCGAACCGACTGCGATCAAGGCAAAGTTGAGCGCTTCAGCAATCTTGAACAAACCAGACTTGTAAGGACTACTTACTTTTAGGGTCCCAATTCCTCCCTTGCCACCCTCCCAACACGCTAGCCAAGACGTCTCCGAAATCCTCTACGTGCTCGAGGTCTTCCAACCCGAACCAACCCTGTACGGTACGCCTCCACTTGCCGCCCTGTATGTCTAGCAGCTGGTCGATCGTCTCGATCGTATCCTCCATCGTACGCATACATTCGTCCGGTGCCCATTCTTGGATGGCTTGGAAGTATTCGGGGTAAGATGTCTGAGCGTGGGTGACGGCGGAGGAAGCGATTCCTCCCCATACCAGTCCTCTGGGTATGAATGGGGGCGGGGTTTCGCTGGAGATGTTGATAGAGATCCGGGAATGGTCGCCGAGAGTGACGTTCTCGTACCGTCTAGGTAGTCGGTGAGGGTACAATGCGATGATGGCCGGGTGAGGGGGAGGCATCTGATCGAGCATGGTACCGTTATCGTATCCCCAGCCTTTTACCAGGAACGCCGTCATCGCCCCAGCATAACTCCCTCCATACCAGATCCAAGGTCTGGCTTCGTTGCTGAGGCTATCGCGGTTCAGGTGTTTGTCCAAGTGTGATAGGTCCAACCCCTGAATCAGCCGGGCCGAGTCCATCAAGGCTTGTTCGGAGGTGAGGAAACGCAGATCATCGGTTGACAGTGTGAACGGCTCGCCGGATGGGTAAGAAACGTTCGGTAACGATTTGCCATAGTATCGATGTTCCAAGACGATCCCGATCCCACCCGTAGCGTTGGTAAGGATATCGAGAATACCTGGTCGCACAACAGAACGCTCAGCATCGGGTAACAAAGTTCAAGCGAGGCAACAAGAACGAACCGGTGTCCAGGAATGGCAGTCTGTTGGCCCCAGAAGTTTCCCCTCCATCAAGCACGTAGACCGGAGAGTCTTTCTGCTCCTTGTTCCAGTGTCGCAGACTGACCCAGTATCGCTGGCAGAACGTCACGCTGTTCTTGGGATCATAGTGATCGAGCGGTTGATAGAAACAGTGCGGCTCGTAGTGTAAGTGTCCATGTTTCTGCCACTCAGGTTGGCCCTTCCCGACAGTGAAGACCTTCTGATCGAAGCTCTTCTCAGGGAGATTGGACGAGTATTCCTGCCCTTGCTGACGATGCTTCTGAATCGTCTGCCAGAGCTTGATCTGAGGTCGTCCTGAATGCAAGAGTCGGACGTCTTCCTCGTGCGTCGTGTAGGCCGCGGTCAGAGCCGTCAACAAGGAGAGTATCCCAGCCGCCGGGAGTAGCGTACATGTACGCATTGTTGAGCTCGAACTTGTTTGCACTTCTATGGAACACGGATGGGCAGCTCGGACTGAACAAACAGAAGGGCAGAGTTTCACCTGTAAATTCTGGATCTATGCTGGTCTTATCGGCAGAAGTACAGAGGGAGATCGATCGGAGATGACCGTCGTCGAGCGACCTCGCGTGTTGTCTGTCTCCCTTCCTACGGTTTCAGATCGATCTCAGCCACCACTTGGCCGCTTGCCAGTTGAAGGGAGTGCAACTAGTTCAGGGGTTGCGCATCCCCAACGGGGTGGTGGAAACCAGGCTGAAAGCTGAAAGCAAGCCCGCAAATCCCTTGACCATCTCGGCCGTATGCAGGGCTATGTACACGGGCATGGGGTTAAACGAGTTCACTGACGGTTGTCGACTCAATATTATCAGGCGTTTCGTCTGTTTGCGTGTACCTCACCGTATAGGCTTAAGTAGTAAAGGAGAACTGACTGTTACCTGGGTGTACATGCCCCTAAGCATCGTGCCTAGCTTCATGAGCACCAACAACACGGAGGACGGGGTCCCTGCAGATGTTGGTGCAGCAAGACCTGGGGAGCTTGACCCAGACATTGACTTCTGGGCTTTTGGGATTATACTCTTGGAACACCAGCGTGAGGCATACTGTCAGAAAAGTTTCGAAGTCAGAGATCTGGGTGAGTTGTACTCTTCTGTCATCTGTCATGCGAATCTAGTTCCAGATCTATCGCATGAATACCTCAATTTACTGGCCACATCCCGCAAAGCACAAAGCGGAAAGAGCTAGAATAGGTCAGAGAGCGATGCAATATTATCGCAAACCAGACAATACAAGACAGCGCCCGTTTGCGTTCCTTGCTCCCGACAGGACAGAATGAGGAATCGATGGCTTCTTCCCGGTCTCTCCCTCGACAGCGCGCTTGTCAGATTTGCAAGCCTTCCGAGTGGCAAAACAAGTGGCAGCAGGGCTGTTGGCTGTGAAGATATAATAGGATGTCACACCACCAAAACGGTGCCGGACACCCGTGAAACGTCTCTCGTATCTGTATATAAACATACATAGCATAGATATCACTGTCTGTCGTTATCAGCTGCCGAGCTCAGAAGCAAGAAGGAACATGCTGTGCTGTCATGCTCTTGTGTAAGCCTCTGTGGTGGCAATCCCGATGGAACAGGTTGCCTTCGCCTGAAGACAGGGAGACAGACGACAAGGAGACATGGTATGAGTAGAGACGCTACCATGACGAGATCGGAAGGCAACATATTTTTCAGGGTGGTAACCCATTCCGTACTCCTGTCCATCGACCCCTTGGTAATGCAAGGATAGTGCTGTCGTGATTCAGAAGCTTGATGACCTGGACTTTATCGAGTGATCGTATCATACTCATTCTTGACCTCTGCCAGATACACACCCGGGCCCAGGTCGACGGGTTCCCTTTGGTTGTCACTACTCTCCTGTTTGACCTCCACCTTGTACCTATATCGTCGGTCATTGTGGTTCTCCTGTTACACAAAGATCGTCAGCATGGATCGATGGGTTGATGACCCCGTCCTACACGCCTATCAAGCCCTCAGCCCCCCTTCCTCCGCCACCCTCACGCTCGATCGAAGAAGGTCGATCTTGGGCGGTAGCTTCCCCAAGACTGTCTTGGCAACGTGCTCAACCTGGAGAGTAGTCAAGAGCCCTACGAATGGCAGCCTTGGCCTGTCGATCTGCTTCCCCAGACGGCTCAGGTCGACTGGAATTCGCTCGAGAGTCCATGTCGACTAATCGGCGGCCCATATGGCTACATTAAATGGCGAGAATACCGTGGGATAATCACCCCGGTCGGATCTACGCATACTCGCAAGCCCTTGCTCGCTTGTTTGGACTCTTCTTTAGGTATCCTTGGTTTTCGGGCATATTGGCGAGTTCGATGTCAGTCAGGCTAGATGATGTGAAAGTGATCGATGCGGTTGTCTGCATTGTAGATGGGCCGAAGATACGACATTGACCAAGCTGAAGCAGAACATGACATGTCATTTCATAAATTTGGCCAATTATTCCGATCATCTTTCAAACTGCCACAAACGTAGTCCCCCTCGTATCAATAATCATGGCCCTCGCAGGTTTACGTGATCTGTTTCGCAACGGATGGCCCGGTCAATCGCTGCGTACATATAACATCGCCCGGCATCGAGTCACACTCACGACGGTAGGCTCCTTTCGTCCGGTCAACGCTTCCAGTCGGCTGATCTTCAAGGCCACCTCGATCAGGGGTTGGAGTCCCTTGGCGGTCTCCATAGGGTACTCTTCCGGGTTCTTGCTGTACTTTTCCACGTAGAGCCTGACGGTCGCGCCCTGGCTTCCCGTCCCGCTCAATCGGAAGATGATCCTGCTACCATCCTCGAACTTGATGTACAAGCCCTGGTTCTTCGACACCGAGTGGTCGATGGGGTCGGTGTAGCTAAAGTCGCCGGCCTCCTTGACCTTGAAGGTGGTCGAGCTCGAGGTCGCGCTCAAATCGGAGCCGACGAAAGACTTGTCGGCAAAGAGGTCTCGGAGGGTGTCCATGACCTTGTCGGCACCGGTCTCGATCTCCTCGTAGTCGTACCTGCAGCGACGCATCAATTCTGTCAGTACGTTGTCCCATACATGACACACCAACACGGACCAGACTCACCTGGAGAAGAAGCTCCTTCCGTACTTCTGGTAGTGCTTCTGCAAGACCTCCTTGATGGTCTGGCCCTGTTCCTCCTCGTTGGCAGCAGCCAAGATGGACAACCAGGCTGTCGAGTCACAACGATTAAAATCGACTCAGTACCAGTCCCGATGCACGCTGCGAATAGCAAAAGACCCATTAGACTCACCGACAACGGCCCAGAGACCGTCCTTCTCTCGGATGTGGTCGGAACCAGTTCCGAACGACTCTTCTCCGCAGATGGAAAGACGTCCGGCGTCCATCAAGTTGCCAAAGAACTTCCAACCTGCATCACGTAGACGGGAATTATCGAATCAGCACGTATTTCCACCGACTTGTTGGCCCCTGCTGGACGCTCACCGGTAGGCACCTCGAACACCTCGAAGCCCTTCTCCTTGGCGACCAAGTCGATAGCTCCGCTAGTAGGCATACTCCTGGCGAGACCCTTGATCCCACCGTTGGCCTTGCTAAAGTAAGGAATGGCCTTTTCGGCCCAATCAGCGATGATGGCGACCGAGTCCGAGGGGGTGACGAAAGCGCCGGCTCCGTAGATCATGTTCCTGTCCCCATCACCGTCGGAAGCGGCCCCAAAGACGATGTTCTTCTTTTCGACGACCTCGACGAGCTCGTGAGCGTACGTCAAGTTCGGATCGGGGTGGTGTCCGCCGAAATCGGGCTTGGGGTCACAGTTCTGTACGGAATCTTCGCCCAAACCGAGGAGGTCGATGAAGATGGCCTTGCCGTAAGGTCCAGTGACTCCGCTGAGCGCGTCAAAGAGGACGGTAGGCTTGGCGGGGCCGTGCAGGTAGGCCTTGATCTTGTCAAAGTCGAAGATGCCCTTGAGCAGGTTGATGTAGTCCTCGACCTGGTCGACGACCTCGATGTTCAGGGGTCCGTGGGTGAACTTGCCGATCTTGCCCAAGTCGAACTGCAGCGACCAGAATAACGCGTGGACGGATCAGTACGGATATGTCGGTTTCGAAGCAGCTTGAAAAAAAGCCCTCCTCTACTCACGTCGGGCAAGTCCATCTGGTGGTAAACGTCAATCTTCTTGGTCAACTCGTAAATCCTGTTGGTGACCTCCTCCGGTGCAGGTCCACCGTTATCACAGTTGAACTTGATCCCGAAATCGTTCTCCGGCCCACCGGGGTTGTGGGAGGCGGTGAGGAGGATCCCACCGTCGGTCTTTCTCGACCTGATCAAGGCGGAGACGGCAGGGGTGGAGAGGATCGTGTTCTGGCCGATGATCAGCGAGGCGACGCCGTTACCGGCAGCTAGACGGATGATCTTCTGGACGGCCTCGGGGGACTGTCGGGAGGAGCGCAAGTGAGGTTATGTGTCAGATATTGGAATCTCTGTTAAGCTGGACAAAGGACCTAGTCGGAAGAACTCACAAAGTACCTCCCGTCACCTCCGACGACGAGGGTCTTTCCCTTGGGACCACCAGGCATGGCAGTCAAGGTAGACTGGATAAAGTTCTCAGTGTAGTGCTGTTTAGAACCATACGTCAAAAGATCAGTCCACCTGGTACTACCCGCTATACTCGAGCACTCATGAGCGCGCACCTCTTGCTGGAACACCTTGACCCTCTTTCGGAGACCCGAGGTACCGGGCTTCTGGCCTGTCGTAACAGAGTAGCATTTTCGTCAGAACAATGTCCTTGACCAGATTCCCCGATAGATCTAGGGCGTACCATCGTAGACCTTGGTCTTGACTTCTTTGGTTTCGTAGTTTGACCTGCCGAACAGATAGGATCATCAGCATTCCGCACGCACGGAATGACCTGTTCGCTCGACCCCGCCATCGCAGCGGCTGCGGCTCTCAACTCTCGATGACTCACATCTTGTGCTTTTGTGTTTACTCGTGCTTAGAAATGTCGAGTGGATGGATTGCGGGGATCGAGTCGAAATGGACAAAGGTTGTACCTTGTCTATTCAGGAGCAAAGGTGATGATGACGATGATGCGCTGTGCGTGTGGGGGGGGTGGGTGAGGGGAGGTGGAGCTAGCGGATGCAAAACGAGGATGGGTTAAGGCATTCCTGGCAAAAACAGATTACATCACTAGAGTACTATAGCTACTATCCTCGTATCGTCGATTATTCTGACGAACGACCCGGGCCGCAACGAGACCTCTCCGCCTCTCCATGGATTCGTGGACGATCACAAAGTCACAGATAATCACACATGTATAAACGAGCAATAAACCGCTGATCAATCCTTTTGGTGGGGAACAACACGAACGGGCGGGTTCCGACTCCACTCCACTCCACTCCGCTCTACGAATCATCATCTCTCCCAAACCTTAACGGAACCTTAACGAGCCCACGGGCTAGTCCCCGGTACCCTAGCCACACCCCCAGTCCTCGGCGCACCTCCGGGTCCACCGGGTCCTTTACCCTGTCCTCCCGTTCGCTGACCGCCAGCACCTCCGGCTCGCTGTTGTTGTTGTTGCTGCTGTGATTGTTGACCACTACCGCCCGGCTGAGCGCTCCGGGGGATAGGCAGAGGCGCGTTCTTGATCGTCTCGAACACTCGGTTGGCGTTTTCGGCGTTTCGGATGAAGAAGCCGGCGAATCGACGGTTGGTCGTCGTCTCGGCGACCTGGACCATCGACTACGGGGGGTCACGGGTCACCAGATTTTAAAATAAGGTCAGCAACAGTCGGCGCGAAAAAGACCTCGACGCAGCCTTGGGGGGACTCACGCCGTCGATGAAAAAGTCCAGGTTGTTGGTGACGAACCGCTCTCCGTCCAACAAGCTCCCCTCTCCCTGCTTGTGCCCATAACTCCTCGAGGCGCTCTTCAAGCTCATCATCCTCTCCAAGACGGTATCCTCGTCCTCGTCCAAAAAGTTGGCCAGCTTGGTCGCGTCGATGGACGTGTAGAGCTTCAAGAACGACCTCATCGTCGATACGCCCAGTTGGACCTGGACGTTCTGGATGAACAGGTCGGTCTGCCTGACGAGCGCGTCCTGAGGAGGTTCCGAGACCCAGGCGGCGAGCGAGTCGTGGTCCTCGTAAGGAGGCGAGACGGGGGAGAGGAACTTGGGGCTGGCACCCAAGAACAGTTCCCGGAAGGCGGGGATGGCGGTCTCTTCCTTGCCGCTCTGCATGGCCGTGAGCTGCTCTCCGTATCGCTCCTTGACGGTGTTCATGATCCCGTCGTCCGAGGGACCAGGGGACAAGGTGGTACAGACGGCCAGGAGGGCGTACATCCTCTCGCACTGCTTGGCGATCGAACCGTACTGGTAACTCCTGGTGTGGTACTGCTTCATCCTGTTGAAAAAGATCAAGACCGAGACAAAGATCTTGATGGCGTCCGGGTATCGTCCGAGGGCCATGTAGGCGAATCCGACGTGGTAGTAAGTGGTGACGTGACAGGCGGTGATCTTGGTCAGGAGCGAGTTGTTGCTCAGGTCCATGTTTTGCATGGTTTGCAAGGCGACTGTCGAAGGGGATCGCCAGGTCAGCATGTCAGCGATAATCACAGAGTTGCAGACCGAGTTCACTCACGCGTGGGGTCTCCGAGGAGAGTGTGCACCCTCAAAAGACAGATAAGGGAAAAGTAACCCAAGTTTCGGTACAAAGGCTTGGAACCGTAGTCACCAGCGATCTCGCTGCCAGGCCCGACAACAACAGATATCAGCTTAGGCAAATCACTCCTCGCCGCCTTCCATGCGACACTCACGCGACCTCTTCGGGGGACGATCCGTTCTTCTCGGCGACGAGCTGTTCGTTGATCTGAGACTTTTGTACCAACGAGTACAAGACGTTCAGGACCGAGTAACAACTCCAGATCTGAGGGTTCTCGGCGAGCATGGCGAGCTCGTCCTCGCTCTTGTTCTTGACGACGCTCCTCCACTGGGCGAACGATTGGAACTGGTAGACGAACTCGTCGAGCATGTCCCACAACCATTGGATGGGGAGGTCGAGAGGGACGGGTTGTTCCGAGTCTGACGGGGGTGAGATGGAGTCAGCTGAGGTCCGATCGGCTAAGCGGTCTGGATACCGGGACGACTCACTGAGCAACAAGTTGAAGAGCTCGCAGATGTTCTCGTACGACTGGAATCGGTCATCGACGTTGGGTTCGAGCTTGGCATACACGTGTCGGAAGTACAACTCTCGGTAAAGAGTCAAGAAGAGCTGGTCTATATCGGCATGCCGATCACATCAATTTGTATCGTATGAGCATCTCTTCTCTCTTAATCGGTTTGGGAGTTTGAAATGCGAGCAGGGACTGACCTCCACCGACGAGACCAGCGACGACTTCGCCCTCGGGCCACTCTTCGTTAGAGTAGTATTGCTGAGTGATCCTGTTCCAGCCAGACTCGTACATGGAGAGGATGGACGGGGTATCGTTGTTGAGGATGGCTTGGTGGAACGATTGGATGAACTGTGTGAGACAGGAAGCGGTCGAAGGATTTCATGTCAGTCGCATGGTTTGGTAATGTGGAAAGGATCGAAGCGGGGTAAAGAGCAGGAGTTTGTCGCTCGCTTTGTGATGTTCCCTCGGGGCGATCTTTACATCCTTTTTCAGGGATCAATATGAGGACGATCTGAAATTCATCACACGATGATATCTCCCAGCTCTCTCTATTGATCTTGACCTTCCGCTGGTCATCGGCTTGACCGACTTTTCCTGGATATTCCGTTACACGCCGCCTTGCAGATTGAGATCCCCACCAACTAACCTTCTTGACCTCGTCAGGAACCTGCTCGAGAGCCGACTTTAACCCTTCCAGACGCTCCCTCTCCTCCTCGCCATCATCCTCCTGAGGCACACCGGCACCGGTCAGACCGTGCTCATCGATGTATTCCTGGTATTGACCCTGACGCTGGTCGAGGTCGGCGCTGGTGGCCGGCTGGTAGGCTGAGGGCTCAGGGAGGAGCGATTCGGGGTCGTCGTAGAAAGCTTGAGACATGGTGGATAGAGAGAGTAGACTAGGAAGAGAATACGACTAGATGAGGAATGTTGAAGCACAACGTCGACCGATCGACTTGGTAGACTTTTGCTTTTGTCTCGAGGTTGTCCCAACGACATGGAGAAGGGCCAAAGGTGAGAAGTGGGGACGGACATGGGTGATTATCAGCCGATGTCCGTTGAGCCACACGGACTTCGCCGCGTTTCTGATATAGATCGACGGATGTCCGCCTCAATCTAGAGTGTCATGATCGTCTGAACAAAGTTGGTGGATCGATTTCTCAAACCTCTTGATCTTTTGGCGATCTTAGTTATTATCACACTGCCCCTTCCCTCACTCATCTAGACGCATATACAATGTCCCTCTCAAAGACTACAATCACTCGGACGGCACTGCCCCTGTTGCAACGAACGCCAAGCCGTCGAGCCTACGCCGTCGCTTCGGGTCACTCGAAAGCCAACCCTAAAGAGCGGGACTCGACGAGCGCAGACTCTCGGATGGATACGATCAGGAAAGCCCTCTACCCTCCCTTGACGACGACGTTCACTGCGGGATCCTCTTCCTCCGCTTCCGCTTCATCCAAGAAGAAGGCCGCTCCCGAAACCGACGCTGAGGCTCAGGAGCAACGAGTCTTCGTCACCGCCCTGCACGAGACGTCAAAGACGCACGCTTCTTCGCCGACGGGGACTTATCATCCTCAGATGCTAGACCGCCTTGCCCACGTCCTCCTCCCTACCTCCAACGCCGACCCGACCAGGGCAAAAGAGACGCACGAGACCATCACCCGCGCTCACCTCGTATCCAAACGCATGGAGAGGGAATCCCGAGAAAGAGCCTTGCGAGCAAAAGAAGCCAGCTTGAAACGAGCATGCGACGCCCTCAGAGCCATCTCGGAATCCTCTTCCGACCGCTCGGTCAAGAGGTTGTACGAGGCCGCCATGTACCAACCGGACGTGAGGAACAAGAACTCGGCTTCCCCCGCTCCCGAGGTGGAAGAGGGGAAGAAGCTGTCCCTGGCGGAGAGAAAGTATTATGATGCCAGGATCGAGGGGGTGTTTCCTAGGGAGATGAAGGTGCCGAGGGATACGTGGCCGAACGGGGAGAGGTGGGATTACGGGTGGAAGCGGGTCGGGGTATGATCGGGGGGTAGAAGGAAGCGGGCGGAAAGGAACGGGTTGGGCGAGGTAGTTGGGGCGAGGGAGTGGGTCCACGAGACGGGTCGGGTCAGGCGAGGAGGAGGGATAGGGTCAGACGATGCGATACGGTCTCGCCGCGGGGATGTAATAACCGCACTTTACGAACGGAATGAAGCTATAGCAAGCATAGCGTTGTGCTTCAAATACCTGCGTCCGAGGATTGCGACTTTGGATTAGGGGAGCCCTCGTTCCGCGTCAAGATCCAAGAAGTGAGGCCTGTTGACATGGATTGGGGATCCATCGAGACTGTTTTAGGTGTGCGCAGCATGCACGCGGTTCAGTCGTCGGTCTCGATCAGAACCGGGCTTGGGTGAATGCAAGGCGTTCCCTTTCAAGTCGACCAGCATGATTGCTATTCTTTCAACATACTTGAGCACTTGCACGGCGAGAAGGTATCGATTCGATGCCAACACATGCCATGTTCGTGACCGTCCTCGATACATTGCATCCTCAACTTCTACAACCGAATGTCCCTTCTCACGAGCTTTGCGCGACCGTGTCCGTCCCTTCGCTAGCCTGCAAAGCCTCCCACTCCGATCTGAGCATTGCGCTGTGAATGCAGGACACCCGCTCAGCGATTGCTGCGCACATTTGTCCCTTTCTCGAAGTGGAGGGCACAATGACTTACATGTTAACCGTATCAGTCCACCTGCCGTCCGACCACGTGTTCTCTCGAGCCACACTTTCCACTTGAAACCCGCTAACAACGATGAAGTATGGGTCGTCAAAACCACTTTGCGTGCGGATGAAAGCTCTTACGCCACTTACAGCCTTTTGTAACACTTGGCAGCAGCATTATTCTCTGCAGCATACCAACCCTCAATCCTGTGCAGGTTTGCACGCTTGAATCCAACCTCAAGCAACCACTTCAAAGCCTCTGTACCGTATCCTTGACCATGAGCAGAAGGTAAGAGTGAGATGATGAACATTGCCCTTTGATGATGCTCCAAGCCTTTTCCAGGGGGAACAAGCCTCATGAAACCGATTGGGGTGGCAGGTAGAATGGGATCTGTCTTGTTTGGCACCTTGATGACGACTCTATGATGAACAACGAATGATTGAGCATGGTCTATCATACAGGCAAGTCTTGAGTTGTATATTGGTACTTACTGAACAAGTGCACCTTCTGTGATCAAGGACTTTTCAGCTTGAGCCTTGCTCCATGGTGCAATGACAAATGGAAGCAACCATTGAGCAACACTTGGGTCACTCCTCAGCTCTTGGTACCATTTCAAATCTTGTTCTGGGTCAATTGCCTCATAGACAAGACGTTCACTCCTGTGAATGTGATCAGTAAACATGATGAGGAGTTATTGACAAGGGCAGCTCATAACAGGTAGATGTATGGTCAAATCATGTTATCATAGCAAGGATGCTAGTATATATAGCAAACGGCTGGGAACCAAATGCTAGAGACCCAGTTTCAGGTGGGACAAAGGAGGATGCCAATGACACCATTTAGAGGAGGTGTAGTGATGTCGCATCATATTGGCATCATGCTCTGCCTTCAGGACCATCTTCCATCGATACAGATTGTCAACTGCAATCAGCAGCAGTCACTGACGTCACATCAACCCATAGACACACCCTCACTCTGCTGTGCTTCCCACTTGGACCAGAGTATTGCGCTATGTATTGCGACGATATAGAATGCATTCAGACAACATCGACAAAGCAATCACATGCAGAAGGTACTCACATCTGCACTCAGTCCAGCCACTGACCATCCATCCACTTGGACTGCCGACCAACACCTTCTATCTGAAACCCTCTGTATGTCAGTAGTCACAGATCAGTCACACAGATCTTCTGAATCCATTGCATTTTCCTCCACTGGCTTACAACTTCCGGTAGCAATTGGCTGCAGTGGTGTTGTTTGCAGAGTATGATCCCTCAATGCGGTGCAGATTTGCCCGTTTGAACCCAATTTCAAGCAGCCATCGTAAAGCTTCTGTGCCATTATAAGGCCCGGGAGCGACCCCCAATGGGGGTCCCCCTGGACAGGCTGACGGGACGCAGGAATGAGGCAAGGTACGGGTAGACATCTAAATGTAATAACGGATGTAGAGCTATTACAGAGGTACTAGTTCTACATCAAAACCACAACACCGAAAAGTACCCCCGGCGGGAGTTGCATACGGGAGTCGCGGACGGCGCGTCCGACGCGTCACGTGATATCTATAACAGTTTCAGTTGTAACAAAGGAAGAATGAAACCCTGCGTTGCTTCTCAGGGGCTACCAAGATAGGTCACAGGACAAGGGAAGGCAATTGTAGGCATGTTGATGCCATAACAGAGTGCAGTAGAGCACCGTCGATCCAACACATGGGAAGTAGAACGAGACTTCAGTAGTAGATTTCTATAAGTTCGTTCTTACCCAGACAACATCCAATAAGCGCTCTTCAACCCCCTGCTCAGGAAAGTACATATGATACAGCCATGCTACCAAAAGCAGATCAATTAGATGAAATGTCTTCACTTGGTTTGAGACAGATTGATCCCCTCAAATTGTTTGCAGACAAGTCAATGTGTCCCCCTTGTATTGCTGCTGCTCCCACTCAGAACGAAGCATTGCACTGTGTAGTCATGTGACATGATTCTAAATCAGGTCAGGAGGACATAACCAAATCAGTCTATCGTTGCAGTGAACTCACATGTTGACAATGTCAACCCATTCTCCATCAGCCCATGTGTGTTTACGCCAGACCCCTTCAATCTTGAAACCACTACAGTCCAGATGATCTTGAGCACCTATTGGTACAAAATATGCCACAGCATTGACTTACAGTTTCTTATAGCACTTTTCGGCAGGGATATTACCCATGTTGTATGACCCCTCAATCCGGTGTAAGTTTGCCCTTTGGAAGCCAACAGTGACCAACCAGTTTACAGCTTTGGTACCGAATCCCTTGCCATGAAATGCAGGACGGAGAGAGATGATGAATTCAGCTCGTTGATGATGCTCCAATCCTTTTCCAGGTGAGACAAGTCTCAAGAAACCAATTGGAGTTGCAGGTACTGTAGGATCCTTGTCGTTGGGCAGTTTGATAACAACCCTAGGTCATTGCATGTCAGACCTTGTCGTGGACAAGCATGACAGTGAAACTTACTGGACCAGAGCATCCTCAAAGACCAGGTTTTGTTTGGCTTGAGCTCTGCTCCAAGGAACAATCAGGACCGGTTTTTGCCATTGGGCAACACTGGGATCACTGCGCAGCTCCTGAAACCAAGTCAGGTCTTGTTCCGGGTCGATTGCCTCATAAACAAGTCGTTCACTCTTGTGAATGTGGTCAGTGAACATGGTGCAGATGGGTTCAAAGTCAGAGTGGCTGTCGATTCCGTAGGACGGCTGTGCTACACCCGTGACCTTATCACTTGGGTCGGCCAATCGTTTATGTAGTATCCACACATATGGAGCCTGTGGCCGAATGGTCGAGTGTATGATGAACAAAGGAGCCCATTTCGACATACGAGTCTAGGTTGCGCCATATTCGAGTGATCGATGTCTCACGCCATCAATAGCGTTTCGCTGCGGACGCCAAGAATGTCGTTTTGTCTAGGAATAGCAGATTATAGGCGGTCATTCACGAGGGTATATTAATTCGATGATATGCAAGCTAGGCGGAAGGTTCGCGCTGGCTGTGGTGTTGCCTACGCACATCGGCATAAGGCGGTCGACCTCTTTGGCAGGGGCATTCGTAATGTAGCATTTCGTGATTCAGCACATCATTGTTCCAGATGACGATAAGATGGCGCCATGACAGAAAGGATGAGGAACCATTTGATGTTTACAAGGACTCTTCTTTGCTATTCCTCGTGTCACCCATCTACTTCGATTCTGGATCTTGATGGTTAAGCGCGCGCCACTCGCGCTCCAGTATGCCGCTGGTCTCGTAAAACGGTCATCAATGCGATTGCTCTTTGCTTATATAGGGTCGAAGCGGGTCAACCTACATGTTGATCCGGTTTGTCCATCCACCATTATACCACAGCGCTTCCCGTTCCAACCCTTCTACCTTGAAGCCTCTGATAATTGTCAAGTTTGCGATCAGAGTTACACCGAAATAAGTTTCGACTACCGCCGGATCAAGCTACATACACTTTCTCGTAACATCTACCTGCAGCTTTATTTAGCTGGCCATACGCACCATAGATACGATGGATCCCTGCGTACAGGAAGCCTACTTTACACAGATAGTTCAAAGCCTCTGTACCGTAGCCGTTGCCTTGATAAGTTGGGTCCAGAGACAAAGAGAACGACGCGTTGCGATGAGGTATCCCCGCCGCGGAGCCGGAGAGCTTTACGAAACCTATGGCTTCCCCGGCTACGTTGCCTTGCGGATCGCTGGGAAGACAGATCGTGAGGCTGCTTGGCAAGAAATATTGAGCTGTTGCGAAGACCCCAGTCCAGAAGCTCCACTCACGCGACAAGGTTTTGGGAACGTGCCAGGTAGGCGGTGGTCTCCTCTAGGGAGCCAGGAATGAGAGCCTTACCGCTCAGAAAGCCTTCAACTCGCGGTATATTGGCGAAACGGTTTCGAAGTGGAGCATCCATGTCACTGTCGATGGCTCGGTAAACCAGGCGCTCGCTACGAAATGCCGATTCGTCGATGAGAGTGGGGCATTCAGGCATCGCTAAGATTTGATTCGGCTTTGCGAGTACGATATGACTGGGAATACGTGGCAGATGCCAATATGTGAGGGCGACGTTTCCAGGATCGTGCTTACATACTCTACCATGGCGTGAGCGTATCGTGCGCATTTGTGCCACTCAAGCGCTTATATTCGAAACTCGATGAAAGGGACCGGTCTGGATCCCGCAAATCATTCCCCTTTCACTTCCGCAACTAGCAGCTTTCGAAGGCACTTGTCAACAGCGCCGCATGCTCTGCGCAAGCGGAGTCACAATCAAGAAAACGAGCAACAGTAATGTCACGAGATCATGGATACTAGTATTAGGGTAACAAGAAGAAACAAGTCCTAGAAGCCTACGATGTATTAAATTGAACGAATTACGAAGGGTGAAGTCAAAAGATATCAGAGGGGAACGATCGCCGGAACACACGTCTATGCCTTCTTGTCCTTGTGGAAAGCGCCCTTGATCTATGAAGCGCAATGATTCAGTCAAAATCGATTCAAGCGCATATCATACGGACGCTGCTACACTCACCTTGGCAAAGAAGCTGCTCTTTCGCTTTCGCATGGTATCCGAGCTCTCCTCCTTGCGGTGACCGCTACCGGGTGTCGAGCTGGTCGTGCTACTCGGGGTAGCGGGCAGGGTCCTGCTTTCCCGATCGGCGACTCGCGAAGCCGGGGTAGCAGGCGTGGCTACGGCGACGACAGGGTCACCGGCCTTGGCTGGTAGAGGGGTGACTGGGGTAGCGGGTGCATCCGCGACGGCAATCGGCCCATTCGTCTTGACCGGGGTTGCCGGAGCGACATCACTAGCCAGAGGCTTCTGAGTGACACCCAGAGGAAGTCCGGCCACCGGTTGGTTGGCATCGACAGGCTTGGCATAACTCCTGCTAGGTACGCCCTCGACGGCACCGTTCCGCTTGTTGCGCTCCTCGTTCAAAGCGGCCTGCTTGGGGTCGGCATCGGGTCGAGAAGACATCTTGGTCCCGGCCTCTTCGGTCGGACTGGGTTTCGTTCGATCCTTGGTAGGCTGCCCGATGTTGGTGATCATGGGCTGGGGCACCTTCTTGTGGTTCTTCTCACGGGTCTCCTCCTGGCCCAAGATGTCGTTACCCTTGGGGTCCTTGTCCTTGGAGCCGGGCGTGTTGGACGAAAAGACGTCGACCTCGTTCGACTCGGCAGGGCGCGAGGACGTGGCCTGACGGGTGTTGGAAGCGACCTTGTCGATAGACGAGGGCTCCGAGTGTTGATGATGCGTAGACGACGGGGGCTGAACGGCGACGGGTACGACAACGGCGGCGGGTGCAGCGTAAGGGGTGGTAGGAGCGACACCTCCGACCTGAGCCGGGGTGGGTCCGCTAGCCGTTCCGAGAGGAGCAGCCTGCCCAGGTCCACCGGCGAGACCGGTCGAAACCGGAGCGGCAAAGGCCGCAGGGCTAGGACCCGTCACCGACCCAGAGAGGGGCGCACCGAGTCCCTGAGGACCCTTGGACCACTGAGCGTAGGTCGAGTTGGCGGAAGCGGCGGCAGCAGAAGCAGCAGGCGCAGCAATGACGCTGGCTGACGGGACCGACTGACCAGCGGCAGCGGGCGAAGCTGACGAAGCAGCGGTAGTCGTCGACGGAGATGTCGTCTCGATGGGCTGTCCGGTAGCGGTATCGATACCCTTCTCCTTGGCTTCCTGTACAGTCATCTGACCCCATACATAGGGCGGTATCGTTAGCGCGAAAAGTCTAGCATTGAAAACCGACTCTGAGAGCAAGACTTACGGGGTTGCCGTGCAAGAGATCCAAACCAGTCGCGTTGTGTACGGCCTCGTTGGCGCCTGAGACGAGCCCGGTAGCGGCAGCCCCAAGAGCAGCGAGGGCGGACGTTCCAAAGTGGCTGACGGTCTCGGCCAGACCTTCGTGATGTTCGGCAGTTTGAGCCGAAGTGGGGACATTCGGGCCCGAGGTCGAGCTCTCCCTGACCTTGTCAGCAGCGGCGGTCGAGTTGACGCTCGAAGTCCCGAAAGGAGCGGTAGCGTCTGCCAACTCTTTCAACGGCTGAGCCGGGGTCTGGTCGATCGCCTTGATCTCCTGATGAGCGTGAGCGGTGGTCGAACCCGCAGACGAACCGAACACGGGAGCGGTCGCCTCGGCCAACTCTTTGAGCGCGTCGGCGGGGTCGTGGTGAGCCGAGAGCTTTTCGCTCGTCTCCTTGGCGGCCAGGTGAGCGGCGTTGTTGGTAACTCCAGCATTGGATCCGAGGATGGGCGAAGTGGCCACGGCGAGGTCCTTGAGAGGCTCGGAAGGTTCGTGGTGGGCGCTGCTGGTGCTGGTGCTAGTGGCATCCCTGTTGTTGGAGACGGTCGTAGGTCCAGTGTGGACGGTAGACGAAGAAGAGTCGACCTTGGAGCTCGCCTCGGGGTTGTTGGAGACGGTAGTAGGCCCAGTGTGGACGGTCGAGCTGGAGGTCGCGTTGGTGTCGACGTCACGTACGGGAGCGACGGCGGTCTCGCTCAGAGTGCTAGGCGCGGCGGTGTAAGAAGTCGTCGTGGTGTGGTATCCTCCGTACGAAGCTGCAAACGAACGCTAGATCAGTCTCTACACACCTTCAAACTGCCTACGACACGATCTGCCAATCCACGCCCTGGACCAGAACCCGGCACGCGACTCACGAGAACCACCACCGATCGGCGCACCCAAAGCCAGACCTCCCAAGATATCGTTCCCAGCCTTGGTGCTCTCCCCGACGACGAGCTTGCCCGCTTCGAGCTCTCCGCCCATAGCCACACCCCTCGACCCGGAAAGAGCGGAGGAAGACTCCTGCCCGGTGTGTTCCTGCCTTTCAGTAGCGTTCGTAGTGGAAGCCGCAGCGACGCCCGAAGCAGAACCGGACCCGTGAGAGCTGATCAAGTCCTTGGCCTTGTCCAGTACGCTCTCGCCTTTCCCGTCCCCTCGCTTCTCTCCATCGTGCTCGTGCTCGTGGTTGTGGGAGTGGTCCTGCTCGTCCTGAGCCTTTTCTCGCTGATAAGTCGAAGTAGAAGGAGCGGGCGCAGCGACGGGTTCGGTCTTTCCAGTCTCAGGGATAGGGGTCTCGGTCTTGCTAGGCGATCGAGGGGTGGAAGTGGCAGTGGCCGTGGCTGCGGTGGCAGCGCCAGCACCAACGACACCAGCTCCGACAACACCAGCGGCGGCAGAGGAGGAGGAAGTAGGGGCGGTGGTCGAGGTGGTGGTCTCCTTGTCGGTGGTGTTGTTGAGTTCGACGTCCTTTTGAGCAGGGGCGGTAAAGATGTTGTTCATGTTCCCCGCGGCGTCTATACGGATTGCGATTCAGATCGAGATCGAGATCGAGGTCGAGGTCGAGGGCAAGATCAAAGAGTCAGCGCCGTTTCCCGAACATCAAACTCGGTGGTGAACGGGAGATATCGACATCGACATCGACTTCGACGTCCAATATATTCTCGAACACAACCACAACCCACGTCATGACTCACCCCACTCCTTAGCCTCATCCTCCCTGATCAACCAGTGCCCATCGACCACATACTTGTAAGCGATCCTCTCCCCAAAAGGGATCTCCACGCTCCCCTTCCAAAACCCTCCCGAGGATTCTTCGTCTTTCTGGAGGTGGTGTCGAGTGCCGGACCAGTTGTCAAAGGTACCGGTGACGATCACCGATTGGGAAGGCGTTGGGGGCCAAGTGAAGGTGTGCGTGTAGAGGTTGGAGTGTGACATCGGGAATGGGATCGGATAGGGTGGTGGTGTGAGGATGGATTGGTGCGATGTCGGTAGCTGGGTAGTCCGAGTTTGCTGGTTGAAGGTCAGGTCGATCTGTTTCGAATGGGTAAAGCTGGTCCTCTTGTTTCTACTCCGATTGGATCGATTGCGATCACGATGGCCGTCACGTTATATTGTCAACCGAGAGTGGAAAGTCGAAAGACAAGAGGTCGAGAGGTCGAGGTCAGCTTGTCAACTCTTGGACTCGTGATATCGAAAAGGGGAGGGGAAGGGGAAACGTAAAAGGCGAAAAGGACAAGGACGCGTCCAGCCACCCCACACACACACGGCGGGGGAGGAGACTCACCTCGTTCGACAGGCCGATCACTCACTGATAGTTGGTCACAGAATATGTCGGGTTGGTCGAGGGTATAGCTGTTTACCGTATAATACTATAGCTGGCAAGAGGGGTGAAGACTAGGGTAGATTGGGCTCGAGGTCGAGGTCAGAGAATCTGAACTGGACTGGGGACTTGGGCGCGCGTGACGTTTTTGGCGAGAGAGCGAGCGGGTGTTTCCCTTTTAGGACATCGGACATCGAAACAGATCACGCCCTATCCTACAACTCCAGGATATACGTATACGCAGAGCTCGGATCACATAGGATTACATAGTACACGGATTCCCTGGGTGAGGTGATACTACAAGGACAACTCCTGAGGCTTGGGGAGAAAAAGTGTGAAAGGTAGGAGTGTAACTACGATCACCTGACCCGCAGAGCCCTTCTCTTCCTGTCAAGTGCGGCTCCGAAAAGACCCCCCCCCCCAAGGACAACAAGATGAATAATGACGTCAGACCCGACAAAGACCCCCCCCCCCACATCGCCCTTCTGCGTGGGCCCCGATCGAGTATGATGGTCGCCTCGAGCCGTTCCTCGTATTCTCATACCCTCATGGTAAATATACCTAGGGAATACGAGAGCAAGAGGTTTGAACCAGAGGTCGTGGTAAGGGATAGGGATTGTTTTTCGCTTTGCTCGAGCCATTACCCGGGATCGAAAAACGTTCCCGGCGCTTTCCAGAGCTCGAAGAGCGTCGATGAACGGAAGTATTTCGGGTTGTGAGATGATGGAGATGTGGGATAGTGAAACGCTCGCACGCTCGTGCTAGTAGTAGTCTTTGCGATGACGTCGACAATCGTGAAGCTTGAAATCCGTTCCACCGGCCGCCCGGTCGGCTTACTTGAGGTAGGCTAAATCTGATCCGAGACAAACGAAGAGAGAAGCTGTCAGGTGGCAGGTGGCGCGTCTTCGGGGGAGGATGAAACGCACATCAAATCATCATCATCCGGAATGTCAGTTCGATCGCGACCGCAGGTGAAACGTACGAAGCACAAAAGACAAAACACACATCGTGGATCGTGGATCCGTTACACAACTCCATTATTCATGCCATTCAGAGTCAGGCGATCAGGCTCGAAAGGAACTGACCCCTGACCCCTGATCCCTGGCCGTTGTACTCTCCGCAGCGCACACATCAGAGACATCGCATCACAAATCACAGACGCGACAATCGATCCAAAGGAACCCCTAGCCCACACCATTCATCCCTTTCTCATCTTTTTTCGTTTCTTTTGGGGTTTCTGTGTGGTGTTTCCGCTGCGCCAAGCTGTAAAGGCCGTGCAAGACCCCTCCTTTGATCAAACTTGCCTGGCTCGACTCGCCTTCCTTCCCTGCCCTCTCCCTGTCGAGCCTGTCGAGCTGTCGAGTTGATTGACGCTCATTCTTCGGGTATTTACGCTATTGGCTCTACCTACTCCGGGATCGGATCGGGGGTTCGATCCACCAGCTGCGGGGATGGATCTCTTCGCAGTCCAAATCCGATCCTTGGATTGTAGTCAGTCGTAGTCCAAACGAGGGGTGAACAAGGTCGTCCATGTGGAATAAATGCGGTGTTGCTGCGAAAAAACACAGTAAGATCAACGGACTTGGGGGACAAGGGAGTCGGAGGAAGGGGATGGCTGCGAAGATATATATAATAACCCAGGGAAAGAGAGAAAGAGAAAGAACCTTGCCACCTCGCCACCTCGTGGGTAAGGAATTTCGTGTCATTCCACTCGTTGAAGACAATCGGAAGCGTCAATTCATACTTTCGGACATACACCAACGAGCCAACGATCGACATCATCCCGCATCACTACCAGCTACATATCACCTCGACCACCCTACCTCCATCGAGATCCCCCTTCTTCACGAACGAACCCTTTTGAAGATACACCGAATTTGACGCAAACATGGGGTTCCTCGATAAACTGATCAGCAAGCTGGACGACGACAACGCCGCCAAACCCGTCGATCCTCATGCTGGGGGGTACCAGCAGCAACAAGGGTACCAGCCTCAAGCTCAAGTTCAAGGTGCGCCCCAGGGGATGTATGGAGGAGGAGATCAGTACGGTGGGCAAGGACAAGGACAGGGATACGGACAGATTCAAGGACAAGGGCATGGGTATGGTGGAGGATATGATCAAGGTCAAGGTCAAGGACAGCCGGGGTACGGACATGCGGCGGGGTATCATCAGGGGAGAGGTGGAGCTGGTTATATGGATATGGGAGCTCAAGGACAAGGGTATTCGGATCGTAAGTCGAGAGAGATTTACCCAAGTGCTGGGTAGTTCGGAGCTAACTTCGAGATCGAACCTTCCCATCGTCGGTATACCTCTTCGACCTCGTATCTTTCCTGCTTCGCCACCACCTCCACCTCCCACTCGTACCACACCGCACCCTCAACCTTCAACATTCACATCCAACCATCTACCCATCGCCTCCGTCAACGCTACGGCAACTCCTACCGCCACAACACAGCCAACCTGGAATCCCAGATCCGTTCTCGGACCGCAACCTCCCTCTCGCAGACATTCTCCACCCAGCTCTATCAGGCCGAACAGAACCTCGCGCACGTACCGACTTTTGACTTGGAACAGAGGGTCAGGTTGGAGACCGAGGTCAAGATCTTGAAGGCGAGTTTCAGGGTTCTTATGGTTTCGAGTTTAGGAAGAAGAACTCGCGCTTGGCCAAAAAAGAGAAAAAGCAAAAAGCTGATCTAGCGCTCTATATCAACTTGCAGGCCGTCGTAGGTCTCTGTCAAGGATTCGGAGCGATCACTACCGGTGGGCCCACTTCGGACGCCGGGTTAGGGGACGGCTTCAGGGGCATGCAGATCGGACAAGGGGGTGGGGTGATGATGACCCAAGACGCTCATGGGGGTTACGCTCAAGGGTGAGTCTTGGTCGTCGATCGGGGATTGTTTTGTCGAGACTGTGGACGTGATGGTGGTGAGATCGTTCGCTGACCTGCTTTTTGTCGCACCTTCGTCCCCGGTCTTTCTTTCCCCCTTGCTATGGTGCAATCAATGCGATGTGGTCTGTATCGTAGACCCATGGCGCACCCTACCGACAACAAGGACAAGGAGAAAGAGGACAAGAAGAATCTCATGTTCGTCGCCGCCGGAGCCGGAGCCGTCGGTCTCGGTGCGGGGTTGTTGCTTAGCGGGGAGGACGAAAGCGATAGGGAAGAGTATTACCAGGAGAGGAGGGCCGAGGAGGAGAGGGAGAGGGAGAGCGGGAGTGGAAGTGGGAGTAGCAGCGAGGATGAGGATTATGGTGGGGATGACGAGTGAGGCGGGGTCGGGTCGGCGTAGCGAGGGTTCTTCGCTTTCCCGCCTATGGGCCTTCTCCGTGCTTGCGCTTCTTCAACTAGAGTAGACGATGGCTTTAAACTAGTCTGACGAACGATGAACGAGTATACGATCAGATGTCATTTCCCCCTCTTTCAAGCTGCACGAAAGACCGGTGTGGTGACGTCTCTCTGCATAACGATAGATAGCGAAGAGAGTCCTGCCCTAAACCATGTACATACGTCCACTGTAGCCTGTAGCCTGTAAATGCTGGGTCCTCTAGTGCGCCAAAACCCCCTTGGTGCTCGGAACGTCGTTCCCGCCCGTCCGCTCGATAGCCTGTCGGATAGCCAGAGCCAGGGCCTTGAAAGCGGACTCGGCGCTGTATAAGTTCACGTTTACATCGTAAGTCATTGAAGAGAAAAGAGGGGGAGGGTGGAATAGGTTCAAACGGGATGAAGCCGATCATCAGCTCGTATTCGGAAAAAATCACGTCTGACACCGGATGGAAAGGGAAATCGGGAGCCGTGCCCGGTGTTATGCTGTGTTCACTCAACTTACATGTGATGGTTGTTCTTCCCCCTGATCGAGTCTACGTGCAGCGTGACCCCGGCGGCGAAAGCGAAGGATTCGAGCAGGTGGTGGATCATCTCGGTGGAGACTTTGTGGTTCGGGTCCCGGATTATATACGAAAGACAGCGTGTTTATACAGAACGAGGTTAAACAGAGTCAACGCAGGTATATGTGTGAGAAGTGAGGGCGGTCAGTGCCAAGATGCATCAAGCAGACGAGTGAAGGGGGGAGAGAGCAGAGGTTTAGGCTCACGATCACCGATCTTTTCCCGGGTAAAAGGTAGGTCCGAGACGAAGTACGGTCGGGAAGAGATATCGATGACGGCCCTGGACAATGCCTACATGTCGATCGAAGGCACAAATCAACAAACGAAGGTACAGTCTCGAGTCAGCCTTGTATACCCGGATCAAGAATGCCGTAGATTCAAATCCGATTGCGATTCCGATCGAGCCTCGCGACTCACCTCGTCCAACGGGGCATAAGCGCTCCCGTACCTCCTGATCCCCCTTCGCTCACCCAGAGCCTTCTTGAACGCCTCTCCGAGGGCCAGAGCGCAGTCTTCGGCCGTATGGTGGTCGTCAATGTGAAGATCCCCCTTGCACTGCAGGTCGAGCGACATCTGACCGTGCTTGGCGAGCGCGGTGAACATCTAGATTTCGGCGGACAAGGTACGTTTTCACATCAGTTCATTTCCACTTGAAGAAAGATTCAATCTCGAGGTGTAGAGGGACTTGCGTGATCGAGGAAACCGATACCGGTAGAGACGTTGATCTCTTGCTTGTGGACGCCCGGTACGACGTCGAGCGTGAGGGTACACTTGATGCTCGTCTCCGAGGTCTCTCGCGAGACGGTGGCGGTTCGGATGGCAAGATCGGAGGACATTTTGGTGGTAGGTCGAGGTTTGAGGTGTAAGTTTATAGGTCTTCAGACGCGTCTGACGGGGGAGAAGGCTGTAGCTGTAATGTAATTGAAGTCGAGGATGTTGAGCCGAGAGATCTCTGAACTTTCGTTGAGGCGTTCATAACGCATAACACGCAACATCTCTCTCGTCATCCAAGCTCGTTTATGCGTTATTGCCATTCCAGACACAGACCCGGACGATGATCAAGCAAAGAGATCAAGCTAGAGAGAGATAATCAGACACCCCGAGAAACACGAGATACATCTACCTTTCTATCTTATACATAACATACAGACTTATCAGCCTACCTCGCCTCGCCATGTCATCTTCGAACCTCTTGACGATCGACTCGCCGGAACAGTTCAAGGACGTCCTCTCCCGCGACCTGAACAAGGTCTCGGTGCTCGATTTCTGGGCGACATGGGCGCAGCCTTGTGAGAAGATGAACGAGGTCGTCAAGGAGGCGAGCGAAAAGTACAAGGACGTTTTGTTCCTCATGGTGAGCGTCGTAGAGTCTGATCGGGGAGTGATGGGGTAGCGTCGTGAAGAGGCGACGCTGATGATCTCGTTCTCCGTCGTTCTAGATCGAGGCGGATGTGCAGGACGAGATTGCCGATTCGTTTGATATCGAGGAAGTGCCCACTTTCCTCATCCTCAGGGTGAGTTGTCTGGTTCTCAACTAACTACCATCACAAGTGTCTATATCTGATCATAACCCATCCACACCTCGACACAGGGACACACTCTCCTCGCCCGACATGCCGGTTCGAACGCTCCCCTCCTCCTTCAACTCATCGAACAACACTCTTCATCTTCCAACTCGATCCCCACACCATTGAGCTCTACCACGAAATCTCCTATCGCACCTCCTACCTCTGTCCCGGACGCCTCATCCACTTCGAACTCGAACTCGATCCCGCCTTATGGGACCGAGACGGACGAACAGCTCGAAGCCCGTTGTACCACGCTGATGAACCGACACAAGGTCGTCTTGTTCATGAAAGGGAACCCCAGCGCGCCCAAGTGCGGGTTCAGTAGACAGATCGTCGGGTTGTTAAGGGAACGGGGGGTCGAGTTCGCTTGGTATGATATCCTCAGCGATCAGGCTGTCAGGGAGGGATTGAAGAAGATGAACGATTGGCCGAGTGAGTCCTTGGTCTTCGTCTTGGTCTTTCTCGATGGAGATCCGTGGAGGGTGAACGGACCGCTGATACGTCGATCGACCTGGTCTCGCCTTTTTTTGACAGCGTTCCCTCAAGTGATCCTCAACGGCGAGCTGATCGGCGGATTGGACATCTTCAAGGATTCGCTGGAGAGTGGAGAATGGGACGAGATGTACAACTCTACCGATTGAGCCCCCGAGGATGGATGGATGGGGCTAGCGTGGCGGCTTATGTGTATGTCGTTCGATGACGGGAGGGGGGGTGTGCGGTCGATGCAAGCGATAGAATCTAGAGCGTATGGTCCGTAAACGCGCTCTTCGTGATGTTTTCCGGTGTGACGGTGTGGGAGCTCCCCGTCGGTACTTGTTGTACTTGTGTCTGCGGGGATGCTTACGATTTGAAGCGTACTGAAGGCTGGAAAGGAAGCCCTCCCTCGGTAGACTGTACGTGAGATTGCCCCCGTAGAGGTCGAGTCGATTTCGCATATGCGTTGTTCTGAGATATGCGACCACCTCGTCTGTATATCGGGGGTTGACTGAATCATCTCCATCAATCTTCATCATCATATCATCATCATGATTTTCATCTTCGTCACGATCATATCACACGCCTTTGCCACTACTACTATACATCAACTACTACTTACTACCGTTCCCTCACCTATCTGAGCATTCGATCGTCCTCGTCCCTACCTCTCCGACCATCACATCGCCATCGTCTAGGCTGATTCGGCGGCAGATCACTCGGATTGTCAACTCGTTCAGTCCATCGTCATCCATTCTCATCACCTGAACCCCCTTTCGATTCAAACGACCTCGAAAAGGAATGACAGGTACCAGTACCAACATGGAATTCACCATGGAATCCTGGGTCAAGGAGATCGTCGCTTTGGAGAAAGGAGGAGACGACGAGGACTTTCCGGCTTGGAAAGAGAAGATGTTCCAGTTGTCCAACCCGACAGCTATGGGAGATCCTCCCGACAAAATCTTGAAGCGGCTCAACACAGCGCGGCTCTACATGAGCAGAGACGACTGCGTAAGCTCAGGCAACAAGTCTGATCTTTCTCACTGCTGACCTGAACTTATCCACCCATCAGATCGTACGCGACCACATAGTCAAGTGGCTTACGAACAAGCGAGATGTCACACCGGAAGCAGCGTTACCGACATGGCTGCACGCCCTCCTTAGGCTCATGAACGACGACGACGTCTGTGAGCTTTTACCTCCCACCGAGACCGCCGCGATCAAGATCGAGATCGATATCGACATCGTGCGAACGGTCCTGAACACACCTTTCGAAGACAAGAGATCGATCGAGCAGATCCTGGAAGCTGCCTGGACTGCCGCCATCACCACCTCTTCCGCCGCTTTAGGGGAGCCTAAACAGCGGCTTCTTCCCTTGGAGGAGGATTTTTCCAGGCCATACGTCGGTTCGGCCGATCAGATACTTCACGGGGTGCTCAGCGCTTTCAGTGCAAACAAGGAAAGCTATGCAGCCGTATTTCCTATACTACAGAGCTCTGGCGTGGGGAAGACTCGCACGGTCGTCAAGCTGACCGACCACGCTCCCGGTATCCTGCTATGCATCAGGGAGCCTGAGGCTCCGAACTGGTTTTCTTCCTTGCCCGAGCAAGACAAGCCTATCTACGAATTTCTCAAACTCCCGTATCCAACCACGCCGAAAGCGCTGGCTAAGAAACGCGAATCTCGGTGGATCGAGTGGAGCAAGCACCTTCGATTCGCATCGTTACTGGCAGCGACGGTTCGGCTGTTCCGAGAGCGTTTCAACGAAACTGTGAAAACATTGAAGATATCTGCGGCCAAACCGAACAATTACGAGTGGTCTCGGATCGTCGAGCGACTGCGCTCCGAGTTCACTGACGGCATCGTTGCTGGCTATCGCAGCCCCACTTCCACCTCCCATACTAATCCAAAGCTAGATGAGTCTTCGAACATGTCTGAAACCTCGAAGGTCGCCTCACCGAGTCGGTCATCGTTGATCAGAAGCATCGCCATGCTCGCACAGGAGTTCGAAGCGGGCAGCGGAAAGTTTGGATACATCGAGCCTCCTGCCGAAGTCTACTTCAACGCAGGAGAAGCCCATTTTCGCATTTCGGTCATGAGAGCGCTCGCGCCTTTAGTCGCGAGTATCGAGGAGAATCTTGAAGCGACTTCCGCTTCCGAGCCTTTCCGCTATTTCCACGTAGCTTTGGACGAGTTCGATGGCTTCTCGGATCTGCTCACCCCTGCCTCACGGGTGATGAGCCTTTTGACCGATTCTCCGTTGCGACTATTGCTTATAGGCATGAACACTAAACTAGCCCACGTGACGAGACCAACGGTCGTACCTTCCTCTTTCCGGATGACGACGGGCGAGAAACGTCCTTGCCAGCCGCACTTGGTGATCTCGCATGACATCCAACTTATACAGGAGGACACGTACCAACATTATCGCGCATTCCTTCAAGGAGAGAAGCAGCTTACGCACAGCGAGATGCTCGACCTGATACGCTACATGGGTCGACCCCTCTGGAATGGTAAGGTCTATCAAGCTGGACAGGGTGACGACTCGAGCGTTGCTGGTATAGGCTTGAGCCATGTTGTGAGGAAGATGGGCTGCAAGCCGGAAGCCGACGAGAATGAGATTCTGGCACTCGCAATGTCGCGTTTGCCTTTGCATGTTGTTGGGCTCCAAGGTCAGTATTTCCGTGCCCGAAAGATCAGATGGCGACTTGTTATCGATGGCCGTCTCATCGAGATGCTTTTTGCCTTCTTCCTATCAGGTTTGGAAAATACTGAAAGCTTTATTCAAACTCAAATTACGCAGCACCTCCGCTGTATCACCGGATTCGCCTCCCATGGAGATATCGTATACACCAATGTCCCTTCGGAACCCATCATGAGGTGCGCTCCACAATGCTTCCGAGCAGAAGATCATCAATTGAACACTTCACTTTAGTCTTGCAGCGGCCTGGCGACAACGGACACAACTGTACGGTTCACCGGGAGAATCTCTGAAGGCACCATTCTCTTACTGGAAAGCAGCCATTCACTCCATACGGAACAACCAGCAAACTGGCGTTCTTAATATAGGAGAGAACGGTGAGACGTACATCTGGTTGATCATGATGATCGCAATCGATGCAGTAGCAAGCCAGTTGCCGGTCGACCCTACGCGTCCTTCTCACCCTCAACAAGTGAACCTGATCAATCTGGGTTGTTTTCTCGATTCGCTCTATGGCAAGCATCCGCTTCCTCAGATATACGAAGAAAGGAAAGCGCAGTCATGGATCAACGTGACTCACTTCGTGCGGTTGGGTCGAAAATTCACCCGCGAAAAACCGTTGAGGAAGCGGCATCTCCTCGAATTATTTTCACGTGAAGCTGCAGCGGTCGGCATCAACAACCAAGGTGGCTGGGATATCCTCTTTGCAGCGTATCTCGGTGGGATCAAGAGGCCCGGTCCAAATGACAAGGTCGACCCTTCCAAGCTGTGGTTCGTGCTCGTCCAAATCAAGGTGGATGACAGAGTAGGATTGGCGGCTATGCAAAACATCGACTTTGCAAAGACCATCGATCCGGACCCCTCGGCTTTGAGCTTGTGTCTCTTCTTCAATCTGGCTTTACCCGACTGGACCGAATATCATGAGAAGGGCAATATGCTTAGCGTTTTCCTCGGCGGCAGGGCGGAAGACCGATTTCCCATGATCCGATTGTTTGATGAACCTACTCGCCAAGCCTTGAAAGGCTTCATAGGCTATGCTGCTACGGTCTCGAAGCCAAAAAACGTTGGGAAACCTCAAGCAGAGCTTGAATACCGTTTCAGGCTCGGTAGCTACGGCATGTTTGCCGATCAGTATGTGAATGCACATGCCGCACGACAAGCGGAAAATTAACGACTGCACAACTCTTCGCTTGCTACACCTTGCAGTACCTCTCAACCTAGCAGCTCGACCAAGGCTACACAGGATCAGGCCGCCAACACCGGCCAGACAGAGGCTGGTGAGGAGTCAGCCGAAGACGTAAAGATGACTGACAATTCGCGTAGCATCTCGGACGACGATTCTGCGATGTCTATGGAGGAGGACACTTCCGATGCTGAGTCGGTCATGGGATAGCACAGAGTGTAAGAATCGTCTTTATTGCAATCTGTGTCCATTGTGCTGATTGTTTGATCATGCACTAGTAGCATGCACAACGATGAATATACGAACGAGCAAGCCCAATCGACAATCACACTGGAGATATTCGTTGAAAGATCTCACTGGCCAGGCGACTCCGCTCGACACCATGAACTTTGCCCCATCGTCCAATATATCCTGCTTTCCCCTTACGCAACAAGACCTAGAAAAGAGATTCGTCAGAACAAAGACGGATAGCCACGCGGTTGGCGTTGAACATACTTTGATCACATGAGCCATCTCGTCGGCCTTGACAGCATGTAAAAGTTTACTGCTCATATCATCTCTATGTCCTATCGATACGATTTATCTTAGCAAGAAAAATGCAACGTTCAGTCAAGCCTTCTGGAACGTACCGAATTCTTGGCCTACACTGACCAGAGCTGCGATCCGGTTCCTGTCGGGCCATTGCATTTGCGCAAGGTCGTCCCGAATTTGGTCGACGCTGTCTTGATCGTGCGTGATGAACAAAGGCTTGATCGCGGTATGGACCGCTGACTTGGCTTGTTGTCGCTCTTGCGTCGTTTGCAAGACTCGATGCACGATCGTGCGATACTCGTCAGGACCGTCGATCCTATGGTCTGTCATCCCGTCTGCAATCTCGCCTTTGAGACGCGGGAAGAGGTAGGATCAAGGCTTGTCCAGAGCTTACCTTCTTGATCCAATTTCAGACCGAGGGAATATCCAGCCTCCTCCGCCCGCTCCATCTGGCCAATGATCTTCCTGCCATCCACGGCCGAGCTCGCTTTCATGGCGACATGTACCACCGGCAGGCCAGCTTCGGATTTATTGAATTCGCTCATCAACTTGTCGACCAGGACATCGACCGAGGACTGTTTCTCTTTATATCCCGCGTCGCCCGTGTGATCGCGGTCTTCACGGTCGATGTAGACGTCCAAACCGATGGTTTTCGACTTCTGAATTAACTCTCGGACGGCCTCGTAAGCGTCATCGAGGACGAAGACGTCCCGGATGTTCTGCCAGCCGTTGGATTGATCGATGGACCAGAGCCTCTCCCAGTCGCCTTCCCGAACCTTCAGACTTAGAGCTGATTGTCGGTTTTCTCGTAGAGGTGATGACAACAACGGCGAAGATGACGATGATACCGAAGACGACGACAACGCCTTGTCTCGTTCTTCGGTCAACCTTTCCGACCGACGCGTCAAGACCTCGGGATCAGGCAACAACCCAGAGAATCTGAACATGATCCCCAATCGACCCTCCTTCCTTGAGGTTTCGGACCCGGGGCCGGATCGACGTTCACTTTCACTTGCATGTTCATGTTTGTAATCTCGAGCGAGATCTACGACTCGGAAGATCTCGTCCTTGTAAGCGGTAGCTCGTGCCCGTCTGCTCTCTTCTTGCGCTTCGGATTCTTGTTCGGCATTTCGATCTCGATCTTGATCTTGATCGGGAGGTGAACTTGAACCTGAACTTGAACTTGCAACAAGCGGAGCAGGGCAGGGGAACGAGATGAGGGCTCCGATACCATGTTTCTCGTTGAGAGAGGTGGCTAGTTCGAAGACTTCTCGCAAGGTCTCGCCAGTGCCGAACTGGGGTTGTTGTTTTATGGGTTTGACGTCGGTTGGTAGTGCGGGACGGGGTTGCGATAGCGAATCAGATCAGATTAGGTCAGATCGAGGAAAAGAAAAACAGGATCCCGTTCGAGAGGGTTTGATTGGAGTGTAGTGATCATAACGATGGTGGTATTGAGGCTGCTGACCTGATGAGATGTTGCCAGAGCTGTCAAGCGCCGGGTGATCGGGGCCAGGAGAGACGATTCGTCGGGTTCGAAGATGGGAGTGATCGAGAGGTAGCTGAACGCCCTATCATACCGTCATCGACATATCACGCACAACATTAACAGAGGAGATGTTCAGCGACCGGGATGAATCTCTCCGACAGGGATTACGTCGACGGCGTTTCGTCAGACTCACAGGTAGCTCTTCACCAAGTCCCCAAACTTCATCGACTGCAAGAGGACGTCCGGATGCTCAGAGCGAGAATACTGAGGATATGCGGAGGCATCCCAGGCGAGCCACCCGAGGGAAGCCAGTATAGTCGAGGCTACGTAGATACCCGCCTTGTGACCGCGAGATCGTGAGCTACGAGGTCGGGCGCTGTTGAGAGGTAGAGGTGCATCGGTGTCTTTGTTGTGGTTGTGGTTGTTGCTGAGGTGACGAGCTTGTTGAGACAGGGTCTTGGGGACGTATCGTCCGGTGCGAGGTATTCGATGGCCGAACAACGGCCGCACGAGCGACATGTTCTCTATTGGATCTATTGTATGTGTGCTGCGATTCTATCGACTTGCAAAGGCAAAGAGGTGGTCAAGACTGCTCGCTGCTCGAAAGCATATCGACCTTGTTGGTCGTTGCCCAAAAAACCTATGAATTCCCCGGAGCGATCCACCCGGAAGAACCCGGTTCCGAGCCGATGGCACGCGTCGTTCATCCTTTCGGAGGAAGGGGCACGTGAGAGTGGCGCTGAGACTTTTCTTTCGGAATCAATCAGTCGGTCGATCCCTCGCCTTCCATGTCACAACAACGCAAGTGTTTCAGCATCGACGTCGATGGCGTTCGGCGGAATTGATGGCAGCCCCGGTACCCGAGACAGAAGCAGAAGAAAGGCGATGCCAAGCAAAGTTTCAGAGTGGTCACGATCGAAGGGTACGTTTTCTCGCCTGCGTGCAAGGAGGCCGAGACCCGGGACAAGAACCGAACGTCCAGAGGCGTTCACGACGATCTGAAACAGGGTGAACGATTCCTGTCAACACCCGAGTTAGAGTTGTTGTTGTGATGGGACTCTACGTCATACTAGCTACCAGGTAGGAACATGTCACACTAGAGGATATGCGACTTGAGCTGATGTGGTCTCCGACTGTGTCGAGCGCTCCGACGAAAAGCCCGTGAGATGGTACGAGCATGCCACTTACGTTGCAAGCCTGCGGCGGCTGTTTCGAGGAGCAGGCTGGCGGGCTCGATCGATCTGTCGTGCGCCAAAATGCCAGTGATATTTGATCGATGATGCCCTCCTGTCTGACCTTTTGGTTGCAACGTTCAATCGGATGATCCCTTCTGGGAAGTCATGGGCAATACAGCAGGGACGACGTGGTCCCAACCCGGTCTTCTTGTTTACGATCATGGATAGTATTGAAGGTATAAAGATGCGAGTCCACAAAGAAAAGAAAAAAACGCGTTCGACAAGAGAGTCCAATCCGCCCCGGCTACCCTGTCACACAAAAACTCTCCTTAACTATCTTCCTTCAACCCATTCATAACCCCTTCATCGACCGCCTCGACGGAAAAACAAACATCGCCCTTGACGAACCATCCGTGAAGATGTTAATGTTCCGCAACCCCTTCGCCACCTCCACCCTCGCTCTCGTTCTCGCTTTCGGATGGGCTACTCCTCTCCTCCACGTCAGGGCGCAAGAAGGCGTCTCGTACGTGATGAGTAACGATGGGACGCTACAATATCCTTGTGAGGGGGCTGCGCTGGCGGAGGTTTATTATCAGGACAAGTGTGAGTTTTGGTCTCGCGATGAGTGGTTCGTGGTCTTCGACGAACGGGCTGACTTACTCTGTCTCATGTTGGTTTTCTGTTGGGTTGTTTCGATGCGGATCATTGCCACCAAATCGGTTACGTATTATGGACGCGTATGGACCCCACAGGCGCGCCTCAGACGACGGATGGAAAGAAGTTACACAAGGTCGAAGTCTTGACGGATTATCTGTCGAGCAGGGACGATTTTAAGCTTCATCTCAAGTGCTAGTACGTCGTGCTCCGCATAATATTCCCCCCTACCCGCATGGACTTCTGCTGCGCTGTAGATACACAGGCTCCGATTCTGACGAAACCTTTCAATTTACTGCGAATGAGGATAGTTATGATAACGACGATAACAGCTTTTGCGACTATATCGCCGACAAGCTCACCCCTGTACGTTGTTCCCCACTTGTATTCTCCCCTTTCTGTCAACCCTCCTTTTTCCTGCTTTTCGTAGCTGACTTCGCCATACGTTTGTATTCGTACAGGACTGTACTCTGTTCGACTCGAGCATCTTGGGTGACAAGTGTCAGAAGCTCGTCAATATCGCTTTTCATGGAGCTGGGTGGACTCCTCCACCGCAACCTTCAGGGACGGTCATACAGAAGGACGGATTCGGTGGGTCTCAGTCTATGTCGATAGGTTAGAGTCGCTCAGTGAGGCTGATCTTGTTTTTGGGTCTGTTTTAGTGGTACCGCGTTACGTCTGCCCGACCCATATCGATGCCATCTCGTCGGTGCTTACCAAGCTGGTCGGAGGTCTGGATTTGATCCGTGAGTACCCAGATGGATTGTGTGACCGGTTACACGAGAGGCTGATTTGATTTCTGCGAGACGTTCTCAGGGCCTTATGTATGCAAATTTAAAGGATTCGAATGCATCACCTTCGAGGTGAGCTTTTCTAGAGCATTCTTGTCTCGGCCACAAGGTACGCTCGCGCTAACCAAACGTTCGGCTCTAATTTCAGGACGGCAAACCCTCTTTGAGCAACAACCCCCTTTGCCCTGCGCAACTCTGCCCTAACCATTTCACGAACGACCTTACCCGTCGTCGTCTGCAACCCCCTGCTATTGCCGCGCGTCAGGTCGATACGGCGGCGCTGAGGCGGAGGGCGATGGCTGCTCGACCATCTCGAGGGGGGTCTCCAAGGAGATTGGCTCGGGATGAACAGTGAGGGGGAACTACACTCGCGGACGAGGGAGGGAACGAATTCTTTTCTTATAGATGAAGATAATTAGATGAGGCGATAGACATGGACCCATAATATAGATTCCGACCACGATAGACTAATAGACTTTCTTTATGTATTTCTACCATCACGTGTATCATATACGTCATTCGTGCCTGCATATCCTTCTTTAGATTTCCACCTTGTATTGTGGAACATCAAACGGCATGGTGCGGGCGGATATATGTGACATCTGCCGGATTGATCAAGGAAGTGGCAGACGAAAGTTCAGGTTGAATCTGCGCAGGGGACGCCTGACTCCTGGATATCATTTCATTTCTTGAAGCAGCCCAGTGAACCATCTTCTGGAGGCCGAGTCATTTGAAGGTGTCCTTGGGCAAGCATTGAGTCACAGCTTTGATTGTGATGTCAGTAAGTGTTACTGGTGAAGCTTCGTATTGAAGGAACAAGTGATTGTTGGGTTGGAGAAGGTTTTTGACTTCCTCATTCCCGCTTTGAAATTCCAGTGTAGTGTAGATTCTCTTATTCAAATCGGCTGCAAGCGCAAAACTTGGAGTTCAGAGGGTTGGGAGGACTGATGACTTGCGACGGAACAGGCACTATGACAAGAGAATGAAAAAGTCCCCGGAGAAGCTCTACACCGGCTATTACGCATGGGCCGGCCCCTACTTTGGGATTCTGCATGCTTTCGCCCACACTCATCACGGCCCGTAGATGATCACTGGGACTATCAGTTCCCCACATCCATCTCGACAACTCGTTACTCACACGTCCTTACAAACCCACTTAGATCACGTCTTCTGACGGGTTGTGACCAAGAGGAATTGGCCGTCTGTTTCTCAACTACGATTGAACCTCGTCCTGCGATCAGAGCTTCAAGGGCGGATTGCCAACACCACAATGAGGAAGACGCTGCTGAACCGACACACTCATCCGCGATTATTTGCAGCCTCTCTCGATCCTTTGCAGTACAGTTAGCTTGTTCACTCGCCTAACATTAACCGATCTTAGGGACATCAAGAAGAGCTGCAGAAGCAACCTTCACTGAGCACGCTCGATAAAGCGCGACGCGGAAGTATGCGAGGTTGACGTCCGACGATCTTTGAAAAGTATCAGTATGAACGGATCAATCTGGATATCGAATCCAGGTCTTGACTGTGGTGAATGGTCAGCTACTTCCGTGGTAAAAGGTCTGGTAGTGATGGCGCACGAGCGGACAGAAAAGACAAGCCTGTTCGAAGACATGAACGGATTCCATCCATGTCGAGGGCAAGACCGATCAACGGCCTGAGTCGTGGTCAGACCGCTGGATCCATCTCTAGTTGACACCTGCCGAGCCTTTGAAGGCTATCAAAGCATTTGGCGGTCCGAATCGATCTCTACCCCCGGCTCAGCTATGGTTCTCGGCGGACCTTGAGCCCCAAATTGGGCGTGTCTGATGCGCCTGTGCTATGAAGAAGCGCGTAAGTTAGTTGCATTTCGACTGCAGGCTCGTCCGAAGCCGGGTAAGGAAAGTTCGTTTACTACATAACAACTTTGCTTTGCGTAGCTCATCTAATTAATCGTTGCATTCTTGCGTGTATTTCGGTACAATCTAACCCGTTTCTATAATTCTACGAAAACAAGGAACAAACCCTCTTCAAGCCTTCAACCATTCGCCCAACTCCGCTATCTTCGCAAGCTCTATACCAGACCATACCCGAGCTCAGACGACCTCGGCAGTGGGCAACCTTTTACCCAACCCGCTCTTTTCATAAATCGAGTCGATCGTCTCCATCTGTTGGATGCTATCCTCGGGCGTGACCCAGTGATGAGGCTTGTTCCCCCTGATCTTGTTGCAAAAGGCTTCGAGTTGGTATCTACGAGGATGCACGGATAACGGTATCAGAGAGCGAGTGAGTGCACAAGCGATATGGGATGAGTAAACGATAATACACGGATTCTGATCTTGTCTTCCGGAAGCTCACCGGTAAGTACTCCAAGGCTGAGCAGTCTTGGGTTCAGAAGGGAAATTATAGTGCTTCTCATAAGTCGTCTTCTTGGTCCGTTTGTCGTAGATCTGGATGTAATGGTACAGGTGGGGCATCATGAAGCTGGTACACGAACAGAGAGGTAGGATTAGCGTTGACGCACTACAGTTTCCTGGTTTGCTTCAGCGATACAACGAAAACTGGCGAAGCGATAGATGGGCTTGAAGGGGGGGGGGGGGACTCAGGACTCACTTGTAAAAGTATACCACGGCGTTCTCCAACTCGATCTCGATGGCCGGTAATTCCCAAACCCTGGGGACGACCCAGGCTAAATTAGGCTGGTCCAAGTCGGCATAGATCGTACTATCGATCACGTGCCCCCGAGTGCTCTGGATGGAGAGGGAAGCTTCCATAGCCGCGTCCACTCGAGGGTCTTTGGACCAGGGACGGGCTGTGGCGGAGGTTATGGTTATACCGTCTGGGGTGGGTTGGGTGAAGAAGCGGGTGGAGGAGATCGTGTATGTCTGCGATCGAGGCGGGTGGAGTTCAAAGAAGTGGAGATGGTCAAACTAAGCGATAGACCGGAATGACAGTCCGAGGGAAAGACCCACCTCGTCCATCAAAGCGCCTCCGCCAAGCAAGTACTTCCAACGGATATCACTCCCCGGGATCGAATTCTTCGGAGTGACCATCCTCGCCCTAGTTCTCGTCACCCTCCCATACTTCCCACCCTCTACCAGATCCTTGACAGCGTGAGCGGCGGGGTGGAACCTCCAGTGGAAAGCTTCCAGCGCGACAAGGGAGGTCTCCGAAGCCACTTGGAAGATCTGACGAGCTTCTTGGGAGTTGGAACAGAGGGGCTTTTCGATGAGGACGTGTTTGCCTGCTCGCATGGATTTGATGGCCCATTCTGCGGTTGTACGTGAGGGTTAAATTAGATCAGTTCAGCTTGGGAAGAAGGGAAGATACTCGACGGAGTAATGGGAGTGAAGAGAGCTTCCTCGAGGATTCTTACTCACCGCCGTGCAGCCCGTTGGGGAGCGAAATGTAAACAGCCTCGACCTCGGGATCCGCCAACAAGGCCTCGTAACTCCCATAACTCTTAGGGATCCCATACTTTTTCGCCGTACTCTTAGCCGTCTCTGCATCACGAGAGGCGATCGCGACGACCTCTGCACCGGCGTAAGAAGCGGCTGGGTTGAAGAGCGCGGCAGAGTTGATCATCGCCGTAGAGAGCACGCCGATTTTTACTGCGACGGGGGTCTTGGAGACTTTTTTGGCGGAGAGACCTTCGTACCAGTATTGGTGGAGGAAAGTGAGGGCTTGACATACCTACGGCATGGCGTATTGTTAGCTAGCGATATGTAACGAGCGATAGTCTCGGACGCTTACCATCGCCATGATTGCGGATTTGTGTTGTGGGTAGGGCGGTGCGACGGGTCGAATTGTGAGTTGCAGAAACGGCTCAACCAGAACGTTGAGAACCCAAGGGGTTTGATAGTCTTCCCTTCAAGTATATCTATATGTATCGGATGAGCGGATGACGATCCCATCATCATGCATCATGTCATCCATGTCATCCATCCATCCATGTCAGCAGCAACTTCACCCTCTCGACGTCACATACTGGAATCATCGAGGGAGGATGACGCAATCACCGAGGGCGACGCACGCGGAAGCAAAAACCAAAAGATGAAACACGGCTCAGATGGCCTTCCAGAAACCGGTTTGCGTGATATTGTGGCATCTATTATTTGATTATATATATCCTCTGACCTAAGCACATCTAATTACCTCGACCTCGCATGACCCTAGAACAACCTGTCAAACACCCGTCCGACCACCGATGTACTCGGTTTCTCTTCAAACTCTTCTTCCGGCCTCAGTCTGCCTGAGAAGAGGTCGGCATCGGCGCTCCTGACGTATTTGGTCTTCTTGATGATCTTGTAACCGATATACGGCGCGATGTAGAGGAAGAGACCTATGGAGTCGAGAGATGACATCAGCGCCGGTTCCTCCGAGGGAAACACTGCTAGACTCACTGATATAGTTGGCGAAGAAATCCGAGGTACTCCAGTTCCCGTTGAGGAACACGGAAAACCCGCTAAAGAGGATGATGACCGAACAGAAGAACGAGGAAAAGTATTGGACCCAGGGTGAGAGTGGGGCTCGGAAGGGAATCGTATCTCTCGAGATCCCTTGTTTCTTGAACGCTTGGCTCATTCTGGCGGCCGCGTAGGCGATGGTGGCTGTAATTCAATGCAAGGTTTGGAGTCAGTTTTGCCTCGACTGGGTCAGTCTTGAGGTAGTGCTATCTTACCCCATGCGTTCAGTGCGGCCAGTGCAGTCAAGTTCTGCAACCATCCGAATGCCGCAGCAGCTCCACCACTTCCAGCACCTATCAGACCGACCCGCACAACAATCAACACGCCACCCAATGTCATCCTTCAAACACGACCATACCCGAACTCACTGAGGAAGGACAACAACGAGACCAGCCAGACGGCAAGAACACAGGTCCAAGGGACACCCTGTTTACTAATCCAAGTGAAGAATTTGGGCGCGTGGCCCTGGAGAGCGAGACCGTACAGCGTTCTGGAGGAGGTGAAGACGTAGGTGTTTCCCGCTGACCAGGCGGAGGTTAGAATGACGGCGTTGATGATGTGGGGCAAGACCTTGATACTGCGGAATAAATGCTTGTCAGCTCGCAGTTGCGAATGTATGGCGTGGCGGTGAGTCTGGAGACTCACCCGGCTTTTTCGATGGCGATCACCCAGGGGGAGGAGGCGGCGTTGTCGCTCCCTCCCAAAAGACGAGGTTCGTTGAAAGGTACACTAGGAAAAGGAAGGCGGAGCGATCAGATCAGCACTTCGTCACCTGTAACGCATAGAATCTAAGCTGGACTCACATCATACCGATGATGAGCACTCCCAAGACGTCTGCATGCGGAGACCTTTCACTTGTTAGCAGCCGTAACATGTTATCGACGACGTAAAACGAAGACGAGGGAACCCACAAAAGATGATGATCCTGTACATGACACGCTTGGCAGCCCGAGGGATCTGCTTGGAAGGGTTGGAAGCTTCACCGGCGGCGAGGATGACCGTCTCGGTACCGGTGTACGAGTAGGCGGCGCTGATGAATGCGCTGCGTGAGGTGATAACAAGAATCGAATCAGCGATTGTGAAAGAGAAGAGGCGGGTTAAGCAAGGACCCTAGGACGTACCTGAAGAAAGCGAGGAACCTGGCTTTGGCTCCGCCTCCGACACCGGGGAGTTCTCTCATCGCACCTGGGTTCTGCCAGTATCGGAACCCGATCCTATCCCCGCTCGGAGCGCCACCGAGGTCGATGACGAGTCCTAGGATGATCAACCTGTTCACCACATTTGCCAAAAACGACTTTCAGCACAATATCTCTCGACTCGAGTTCATTGGTAGTTGGAGGATCAGGATCGGGCTGACTTACCCGACGAGCGTGATGACCTTGAGACTGGCGGTGATGACCTCGGATTCACCGTAAAACTTGACTCCGAGCATGTTGAGCACCAAGAATGGGATACAGAGGATGGCGATCCAGATGGCGGCGTTCAGGTCGGACCAGTAGGAGATGATGATCGCACATGCGCTCAGTTCGCTAGCTACGGATAGGGCGTACCCGACGGCGTCTTTGTATTGTTATAACCGATGAGACGAGGAATGAAGCGCAAGGTCAGCACCAGCTACAGAGCGACGATGATGGTGATCCTCGCACGTACAGTTCCATCCGAGTGCGAAACCGAGCGCCGGGTCGATGAACCTCGCGGCGAAATGAGGGAAACCTCCTGCAGTGGGTATCACCGCTGCCATCTCTGCCGCACCCTGAAGCACTCCCCACATGATAGCTCCCATGATGGTAAACGCGAGGAACAGACCCAAGGGGCCGGCCACGGAGAGACCTTTTCCCACGCCGACGAACAGGCCCACGCCGATCCCACCTCCCAGACCGATAAAGGCGATATGGCGGGACTTGAGGTGACGGCGCATGACGGGCGCATGGTCCGAGTCGGTCGTTGCTGATGGGTAGACGATGTCGCCATCGTAAGGGACCTTTTTCTCGACGTCCTGGTCGATGTCGGCGTCCGACTGGTAACTACGAGGCGTCTCCATCGTCGAGAGACGTGATATGTGCTCCGAATTTGGGTCGAGAACTGGATTGAACTATCGATGCAACCACCTATACGATGTTGACGGGTATGGCTGTAAATGCTAACGACAAGTTACGATGGAGTGGCCCCGGATGATGATCATGACTTGTAAGAAGGTTGGGGATGCCCCCCCTTTTTGCGCAAGCGATCATTTTTTGATCGGAATATTGGAGTTTTGGCACAAAACGCACAGGGATCATCCAGAAATTTATGGAATGCTCCCGTCTCTCGATCACGCCTTTCCTTGCTGGAGCCGCTGGCCGCTGGCCGCTGATCACGCATCCATCTTTGGCTATTGCCGCGGGGTATTCCATAAAGAGGGGGAAGGGAAAGGGGTAGACGATCACGTGACCGGTCGCTGTTCTTGGTCTCCGGTTGTAAGAATAGGCAGTTACAAGCGGATGTCCCCTCACGTGACCTCGAACGGCTACTTGAGCTCGGGCTCTTCATGTGATGTCAGCTTTTACGCATTCGATCGACAGCGGGTCAACAGATGTCCCGAGCAAGGGACTCCGCCCGTTCTCACTCGAACAAACTCATACACGGGAAGCGTAGCGATGTCGTCCGGTAATGAAAGTGGCGACCTCGAAACGGCCGCCAAACGGAATGAGCGAATGAGAGAATGACAGAACCCAAAAATCACTCCCCGCTTTGAAAGAATACAAATCAGGGATCAGCCACCTCGTAATCCCCCTGCGGAACCCCTCCCCTCCCCAAAAAAAGTCTGTTCTCGTCAAACCCGAACACCCCGAGGGGCGGCGCTCCTATCCATTCAACACCTCAACAGATCGGCGTTCTCCCGTCGGAATACCGTGCTGTAGTTTTGGAGATGACCAATACACATGTTTTAGAACAAGTCCCGTCTCGCGCTTGCGGACGATTGTTGTAACGAGACAACGATGTCACATGGCTAGTGTGCTCGATATTCTCGATCGACCGCTGGCCCCGCCGGGCAACAATCGGCCGCCCCGGGGCAACATTCCCACATGCACAAGATGCTTCATGTTGCATGTACGAGGTGGTATTCGCTCCCATTTTTGTTCGTCATTCAAGCTTACGACGACGCCAGAGAACGACCTCGACCACACACACCTCTCACTGGTCCGTGCGCTAGAAGGTAGAAGTTCGAGAGTGCGCCGCACTTCCCTTTGCGATGCGTGCGCCGCCAGAGAGGAATGACATCGTTGATTGCCGGGGCGGGACGGACGGACCGAACAAGGTGGACGACTATATAAGCCAGGGTTGATCAACAAACATTCTCCAAAGTTTCCGCTGGCAATTCTTTTCCGTTAACGCAAGACACCTCTCTACGAAATATCATTCGCAAAGATGCGCAAGACCACAGCTATCCTCGCCGCCGCCTGTATGGGTTCGGCCCTAGCCGCTCCTAGCAACAACAAGCGCTACCTTCGTGATCCTGCGCAGACGGTGACGGGCAATGAACTCGCTTATGAAATCCCTGCTCCCGTTTCGTCCGGGGGCAAGGCTTGGTCGGACGCTCATGCTCGAGCCAAGGGACTCGTCGACCAGATGTCGGTCGAGGAGAAGGTGAGCCGTCGTGTTCTGGTCCGGTATTTCGTCGGAAGTCCTCGTTATTGATGAAACGCTGGGTGTAGGTTGGGATCGTTACCGGACAACCCGGTGTTTGTGCTGGACAGACCAAGGCTGTCGAGCGACTCGGTATCCCTTCTCTCTGCTTGCAAGGTGGGTTTCAGCAGCGTCGCAGAGTTCAGTCATAAAACCATCGGGACTAACTTGTGTATCCGGCTTCGCTTGCAGATGGACCCGCTGGTGTCAGGCCGGCTGATGGGCACACTCAATTCCCCGCTGGAGTAACCATCGCCGCCACTTGGGACCGAGAACTTATTTACAACCGTTCGCGTACCATGGGACAAGAGTTCTATGACCTGGGTTAGTCGCTCAAGATGAAATGTTTTTCGCCTCGTCCCACCTCGCTAACCTGAACCATGCTGCGCGTTTCAGGTGTCAATGTCGCCCTCACTCCCGTTACTGGTGGACCTATCGGTGCCAACCCCGTGATGGGCCGAAACTTTGAAGGATGGTGGGCCGATCCTTACGGTACGGGTATCGCCAGTTACCTCAGCGTCAAGGGTATTCAGGATGCAGGGGTTGTCGCTACCGCCAAGTAAGCACATTGGTCGTGTGGCGTTATTCGTTGCCACAACAGCACAGTGTCGTCCTGACGTTTCAAACTCTTTGACTTTTGGCGCCTTAATCCAGGCACTTCCTCGGTTACGAACAGGAGACGTCGCGAAACATCTACTTGGTCCCCAACCCGGATAGCCCCGCTTCTCTTTCGAACCAATTGCCCGTCTCATCGAACATTGACGATCGAACCACTCATGAAGTCTACATGTGGGGCTTTGCCGAGGCCGTCCGAGCGGGTGTCGGTTCCGTCATGTGTGCTTACAACCGGTGGGTTTGAGCTCTTTCCTTCGTTTAAAATGGATTTATGCTGACGCACGACCTGCTCTGCTAGAGTCAACGGCACCCACGCATGCCACAACTCGGTCATCCAGAACGGTCACCTCAAGGGCGAGCTTAACTTCCAGGGCAACATCATGAGCGACTGGGGTGGCACTTGGGACTCGCAAGCCGCTGCTCTCGGAGGTCTCGACCTGGAGATGCCCGGATTGAACTTTGGAGGAGCTTTGGGAACATTCTACGACACCTCCCTTGAAGCCTTGGTCAACAACGGAACCGTCAGCCAGGAACGTCTCGAGGACATGGCCGTCCGAGTCTTGACCCCGTACTTTGCCCTCGGACAAGCCGAGACGGCCCTGCCTTCGGTCAACGTCATCCCTTGGAACTTCCCTACCGCCAATCTAACCGCTGCCAACCCTTACCGACTGGTTCAGAAGCCCTCGACCCGCAAGCTCATCAAGCAGATCGCTGAAGACGGTACCGTCTTGCTCAAGAACAACGGCGCCCTGCCTCTCAAGGCTCCTGCTCGTATCTCGATCATCGGTTCCAAGGCCGGACCTGGTATGCGCGGCGACCGAAACTGTGGCGCTACCGGAAGGCTATGCGAAGGACCTTCGCTCGGAGGCGGATCAGGCTGGGCCCAAGCCCTGAACTACATCGATCCCTTGATGTCCATCAGGCAGAGGGCTTTGGACGACTCGTCCGCAGTCGATTGGGTACTCAACGACACCGATTTGACTGCCGCTCAGTACTCTGCCGTCCAGGCCGATGTCGCTTTGGTCTTTGTGTCTGCTTGGGCCACCGAGGAGGCCGACCGAGATCCGTCTCTGACCTACACTTACCGAAGCGCTGTCGGCCGAAACGGAGTCTACGACGGCGAGGCTCTGATCCAGGCCGTTGCCGCCAGCAACCCAAACACGATCGTGAGTAGCATATGCGACGCTATCATCGTTTGATATGCGCTTACGTGAAACGCGCGCTGCAGGTCGTTGCCTATATGCCTGGTGCCACCATCCTCGACGCTTGGATTGACCACCCCAACATCACCGCCGTCGTCTCTCCCCTGCAACCTGGAGAGCAAGCCGGTCCCGCCTTGGTCTCGGTCTTGTACGGAGACGTTTCGCCCAGCGGAAAGCTCCCCTTCACCATCGCCAAGAACATTGGCGATTACCCTCCCGACACCTTGACCAACACCACCGACATCAACCCGCAGAACGACTTTACCGAGGGTGTCAACTTTGACTACCGATGGTTCGATGTCAACAACATTACTCCTCGATACGGTGCGTCTGGGTCGTCCTTCACGAGGTCGAAGTCTCCCTTTCTGACGTTTGTTTCTTCCTATAGAATTCGGTTACGGTCTCAGCTACTCCAACTTTACCTACAACAACCTCGCCAAGGACGCCACTTTCCACGCCGATGTCGAGGCCATTCAGACCACCAACGAGAAGTTCAAGGGTCAGAACCAGGGCGAATCGTTGTACGACACCCTCCTTACCGTCTCGGTCGACGTCAAGAACGTCGGTGACGTCGTCGCTTGTGAAGTCGCACAGCTTGTGAGCATGGTCGGCTTTTTCGAAATCGAGCTTCAGTCCTGACGCGATGCGCTTTTACAGTACGTTCAATACCCCGACGGTGTCGACCAGCCTCCCAAGCAGTTGCGAGGATTTGACAAGGCCAAGAGGCTCGGACACGGGGAGACCAAGACCTTGTCTTTCCCGTGAGTATTCGAGCAGGGGCGGTGGTCTATAACGTGTTGGCTGTGCTGACATTCCGCTCTACCTCGCTTCGTTAGCATTCGACGAAAGGACGTTGCTATGTGGAACGTCGTCGAGCAGATCTGGGAGGTCCCTCAGGGTCAATTCACCTTCCACGTCGGAAGCAGCTCGAGGCAATTGCCCCTTGTGAGTAAAAGCGCCAGGTCGACATTGAGTGAATGCGCTAACCAACGCCTTGATTCCAGACCACCACTCACTCGTTTTAAGCGGAACAAGATGAGGCGGGTTGATTAACAAAACAAAGCTAGGCGCGACCATCGCTGCAAACGCAATACCTGTCATAATATCTAATTGATCATGTCAAAAGAATAATGCATGCTATACATTTGCGATTCTGTTTCGAGTCTACATGAATGACTTGACGACATGCAGCGGCGGTCCTCCTTATATCCATTTACAAATGCGCGACAAGAAGTCGGCGACGTTCACCTAACTGAGGGGCAAGCAATCAACCAGCGACGGTTTCAATTCCGAAACGTTGTTGACACCCAGCAATCGCATGCCGGTGGCCATTTCCTCTTTAAGAACTGAGCGGGACGAAACAGTGCTTAGATGGGGATGTAACTGGTTGCTCGTGCTCTATCGAACTCACTCTCGACCACCTTGACGACTCCATCCGGACCATAAGCGGACTGAGCGTACAGGAACGGCCGACCGATCCCGACAGCCTTGGCCCCAAGACATAGCGCTTTCAGTACATCGGTGCCCCGCCTGATCCCGCCATCAACATAGATCTCCATCTTGTCGCACAGGTCTGGTCGTTCGCGGCGAATCTCTTGCAGTACCTCGATGGGTGCTCGTGCGCTGCGATGCAGTCTCAGTTTAGCAAACTTTTGAGGCAGCACGGGTGATTCGTGCATATGCTCACCCATCCAATTGTCGCCCCTGTTGACGAAAGATATGCAATCGCCCAAGATCAATGATAGAACGGCGCGACCTGATCGATGTCCTGACTTACGCCGTGATTGGAAAGCACTATTCCCTTGCAACCATGCTCCAACGCAAGCACAGCGTCCTGCCAACGCGATATCAAGTTTGGGTACTTCGACAATCAAAAAGCGCACGTCTGCCTACCTCTACGCAGCTGATTCCTTTGATCACGATAGGTTTCCCTACGGCGATCTTTTGTATCCAAGCGACGTCTTCCCAGCTGAGATCGGGGTCGACGTATGCGAACTGGGCAGCGCTAGTGGATGCCGATCCGGATTCTCGTTTGGCGTCCTTGGGAGGCTGCAATCCAGGTAACATTACCATCCCCCATTAGCCCCATCATCGAGAGAAGCAGCGAGTGGCTTTGTACTTACCGGATCTCGAGCAATCTTTTCCTTCATGTCTCGTTCACGTTTACCTCCCTATCCATCACCCTCTTCTCAGCGCGCATCTCGTCGAGAAAGAGCGAAGAGCTCAACTCACCACAGGCGCATCGACCGTGAGCCAGATGGACTGCATACCCAGATCCAACGCTTTTCTGAGCGTCTTTTCCGCTCGTGCCCTGACAGCATTGGACAAATTGATCCCAACAAAATAGCATTACACCGTCAACGCTTTGATTCGGGTTACCAGTTCATTTGAAAACTGACCTGTCGGCGGCGACGTAATACTGCCACATGAGCGTCTGATCAGGAGCTCTCGCCTCGGCGAGTTCTTCCAGCGAACATGAAGCGTTGGAGGAGATGACCTGGACGATACCCGTCTCGGCCCTGATAGATACGACCCCAATCGATCTCGAAATCGCATAAGCCCCCCTCGCCGTGAGAAAACGCACCCTCTGCAGGCCTGAGAGACTCACGCTCCTTTGGTCAAATTGACCTCCCCATCCGGATGCCCCAATTTCGCCAAAGCCGCCGGGGCGATAAAGAACGGTACAGTGCTCTTGACACCCAAGATCTCGGTGGAGGTGTCGACTTCTTTGACCTTGCGCAGGACTCGAGGTCTGAATCGGATCCTGCGGTAGGCGTTGTTGTTCTCGTGCAGCGCTGCGATGTGCGAAAAGGGATGTGGGGGTGAGCGTGGGATCGATTGACTGGCCTCTGGTGAGGATGAGGACGAGGAAAAGGAAAACTGAAGGGGGCCCTTACTCCATTCGTCATCGCTACCACTCTCATAATAAGCTAAAGCTGCGGGCGACAAGATCGTCCTAGCCAATTTCTGTTCCCCACGTTGCAATACCATCCCATTCTATCAGCTTCCCCTTCCATTCAACAGGATCCCACCTCCAGCTTCTCCGAGAAAAAGAAGGCGAAATGAAAAGGTACCGACCTCGAAATCGTCCAAGTTGACCATCCCATCCACGCCCATCATATTGTCCCTCGCTTCTTGTAGTTTCTTCTCGGCCTCGGATTGTTCGGGAGCTAGGGAATTGGCCTCTATCTCGTTTCAAGTCGAGTCGTTTGGTGTCGTTTGTTGTCGTCAGATGTCAACAAGATACGGATGTTATGTAGGGATGTTTCATGGTGAGATGATCGACTCGAGAACAGAAAAGGAACAGGTAAGGACGTGGAGCTCACCGCTAGGATCGATAATGCCGACTTTGAACTTGGGATCCAGATTGTCCTCGATCGTGCCTGTCCCCGAAAACAAACGACCGATACATATTCATATGAGCTCTTGACTGCTCATCGGACGACCTCGATAGCTGGAGGTCTTACCGGGCGGATGTAACGGCTTGTATACACTCGTCGCGTTCCTCCCAGTATTCTGAGCCAAGACCTTGCTCCCACCCGGATGAGCCCCCGATTGGATGAACTCTGTGACGTCCCATACGACCCCGTCGATAGCCACCCAGTACCCGGCAGCTTCGGTATCGTGGTTAGAAAGCTCTGCCGAGGAGATCACACGAAGGCCCTCGGTTGCAGTGGCGTGAGGGAATGATTTGGGTTCGTCGGGGTGGTGGGTCTTGTCGTACGGGTCGTCATATTTGCTTTCAGAACCTTTTGAGCGTTTGGTGACCTCGGCGTCCGAGTGAACAAGTGATCGGGATAAGAATAGCGTGGAGAGGGTTAGGAAGGTGATCGCTCCGTATTGCCATCTTTTGTCGTTGGATCCTGATCCTGATCGCAGCGTCGAAGATGGGGGAGAAGACGAGGCGAATCGTCGACACGCCTGCCCGTTGGCTCTCAGCACGCCCGACTGCCGTCTCAACGCAGCTCGCAATGGTGTTCGAATGTTCATGTTGACGAGTCGAGTATGAACTTTGTCCAGTCAGTTGGCCCCGAGTAGCTGAGTAGCTGGGTGGGTTGCATCGATGTGATCCTTGACCAAGATGTAAAATAGGGGTCATCGCAATTGGTTGTCGATTGGTTCGTCACATCATTCCACCGAGAGACCCGGCTCCTCGCTCCCGGCCGGACCAGCGGAAGCAATTACGGTATCATTAGCTTCCGAAACCACTGTTTGAAGATCGAATATGCGGTCTGGCGATCTGGCGCTGACGGTGTCGTAGGAGAGTAGATCCTTTGCTGCAGCTATACCTGTATATGCTAATTCACATGCATCCTCGAGAGATCCTGCGGTCTCGCATGGCATGATGACATTTCGATCAGAACCGGGGAACTGGGAGCCGGCTTCGCGATCGTAAACACAAATGAAACGAAGCTGACGTTTTCCGTACGATACGATCCAGGGAAAAGAGCCCGCTCCGGTCCGATCCTACCCTCAAGATCTCCAGATTGAGTTCGCGATCGACGAGCCACGAACGGCAGTCTCGATCCGAAATTCAGCTCGAAGAGGGAATGAACCGCAGTTAGATCTTGCTCCGTACATACAAAGAAGCTAGCATTCGGGTTTGCATGGCAGGAGCTTCGAGATGAATGGATGGGTCCGGGTCGTATTGATAGCGAGCCGCACATTCGATATCAATCTCGGTCTGTCAAGAAGAGGGTCGTCTTCAGACCTCGCTTCGTCTGCTACGAAAGCGGGAGCGGACTATGCCAATCCCGAACCATCACCTTTGCGGTAGCACGTTCGTAGAATAGATGATCCAGATAACATGTGCACTAGTATCTCGTGCTCGTGATAATCACAGTCGTTCGATTTCATTTCTCCATAATTCCTCATGACCGATTTCTGTCTTTTACATTTTCATTGTATCACGTCATGATCGTATCCTTCTCAAAAACACCGCCTCGTCGACTGTCATTCTAGATGCAGAATCTAGTGTTGACCGGCATCGTTCTTGGCTCCCTCGGCGGCCTTGTTGGCGCCCTGTTGTGTTCGTATTCAGTCGAATCGAGTCGAGTCGAGTCAAGTTGGGGTGAGATGGGATGGAGTGGCGGATTGAAACCAAGTCGGGAAATGACGGGCGGGAGTTGTATCGAAGTCGAAGGAAGTGCGAGTAAGTGCGATTCGGAGGATTGCGAGGGGTAGAGGTGAAGGATCGGGAGAGGTAGAGACAGATGTCAGAGGGAAGGGTAGAGGAAGGAGAAAATACAGTGTGAATGCGTTAGCGATCGTCGTCGTTATTCATCGATTCGGGATCGGTCTTCAGTGACGACGCCGGCGGATGACGAAGATAGAGGCTAGGACGACCAAGTTTGTCCTCTCGAGAGGAAGGCATTCTTGCATATACTTGGAGTACCGAGAGTGGAAGTCTTTCTACTTTTCGCTACCCCCTCCTCTCGTACCGGTATCATCCCCCTCCCCCTCTTCCTCTCGGTCGTCCGTTCAAAACCCACAACTCCCTGTGGTTCGAAAGCGGAAAACTCACCTCGATAGCGGCGTCCGAGATCCCGGAGTTCTCCTTCTTCTGCTCGGTAGACTGTCCTTCCTGCTTCTTCTCCTCGCCTGCAGATTACGTACATGCAAAACACAGTCGGGGCGGTGAGCATCACATCAAAAACATGCACATCACGCCAGACCAGGCCACATCACGTGTGAAGAGAATAAGGGTGGTCCCTGGGGGCAGGGGAAGGGTAAACACAACACGACGCGACGACGAGACGTACTCATAGGGTCCTTCTTCTCGTGGTCCGGGGTGGTCTGAGTTCCAGACTTGAGCTGTTCGGGGTTTCCAGACATGGTTGATTGAGGTTCAGAGGTGATCTGTTTGTGTGTGGTGGCAAGTGTGATTGTTTTGTATGGATGTGAAAGAGAGGTATCGAGGTCGAGGAATGTGAGTTGTTGCAAGATGAATGGTTCTTTAATTCGACAAGGTATGTCGACGTGGGGAGGTGAATTGGCTGAAGAGAAGCGAAATGGCGTGACGTCACCGGATTCCCTTTCCTTCGGCTCGGTGAGACGGTCGGCGGAAACGCGGCACAAAGGAGAGAGCCCCCGAGCCGATGTCGCACCGCGGATCGAGCGAGATCCTACAGGGTACAGGTTTCAACGTCAGCAAGGACTCGACCTGAAACGAGATTCGGTCGTGGAAAAGTCTGACCGTCAAGGTCGAAACAGCTGCGCATGAATATCAACGGCGACCTACATTTGACAGCCTCACTCCCGCCAGTCGATTCTCGATCCAGCTGGCTCTTTCTTCGTCGCCGAATCGAAGCGACTGCTCAATTGCCAAACGTCTGCTCCTTGTTTGAGCGGCGCGCAGGCAGTCAGTCTCGTCGCAGTCGTACAAACATATTTTTCGTAAGAAGCGTCTCGGGGTTGGTGACTGTCGTTCAGTTGACCTTTGGAGCAAGTCATACCCATACTATCTCATCGCTCGCAATTGTAGAGTTGAGCATTAGAGTAACCGAACGGGGGCCTGTCGTTCGGTCGGCGTCCTCGATACATCGCTTCATAATAATGCAGCGTCGGTGACCGACAAGAGAATCCTGCTTCTCAAGAATAGATTTAGCGAGAAACTCTTAAATACTGGGACGATCCAACAGGCAAGCAACGACTTTGCGCTTTCATTGCTTCGGTCAACGACTTGTTCAACAGGTATCAAAAACGACAATCCCTGCAACGCTGGATTTTACTGAGGACGTCTCTCTATGCTCAGATCAGATGGCAAGCGTTGACCAATTATCGCAACTCGTGCTCGATCGCCTCCCTCCCTATCCAGGTTCCGTCCTCTTCAATCACTTTCTAGATCCCCGCAGTCGCAGTATACTGAACGGTTAAAATCATGGTCAATAATCGATTTAGATAGAAATACTAGAAGAGTACGAGACAAGACAAGCCCCTGATTTCACTACATGATCAAGCAGATCGGCTCGACCTCTTCCGGCTTGGGTTGGCCGGGTGGTGGAGGAGGTTCTTGCATGGACACGGGGGTTACAAGGCCGCCAGGAATCTTGGTCCCTATATTGTCAAGTTGGTGTGATAATTGATGATGGTCAATCAGTTGAAGCAAGTCGAGTCAAGAGAGGGGAATGGACCTTGCACTTACCGGGTGGAAGCCAGGTTGGGAAGTCTAACACGGAAGACATGGTGAAGACCGCGCCGCCAGGGAGGATTGTTCCTGTAGGTAGGCTACATATATGAGGGCGCAACAAGGCATCCGTCTGGTCAATTCGGGTTGGTTGGCTTCGGTCGATGTCTTGCTTACAATACTCCTTCCGTTCTAGGGTAGTAAAGTCTCAAGGGCATTAGTCAGGCTACCGTACCATAACGGACTGAGATGGGGATTGGCTTACATGGTGTGGTACGCATTGTACTTGATCCCATATCTATTCATTCCAGGACAAATTCAGTTTTTTCGTTAGAATCATGTCCATGGCCTGATGAATGACGATAGAGCCACTTTACCCTTCAGGTATCAATGATTCGTCCTGTGATGCCTCGACTGCCACGGCAAACGGATGAGGCGCTTCCCCAGCTCCTTGACCGGGAGTCTTTAGTTTCTGGTCATACGTCTTTGCAGCAGAGGAAGACATTGTCACGATGGTCTGGTGTAGGATTGTTACGTGCACTACTGTATGTTTGGAGCAGGAGGAGCTGATGATGCGTTAAATACGACTGTGGTGTGGTTTATACTGAATTACTGATTGTATCTGGGGTGAAACGTGAACCGTACGTAAAGGAGCCTGGTGTAAAAGGAAGAAAGAGATGTTTCAGGCTCTCCAGCGTCTCCCAAAGGACGCGGATTCTATATACGTCTTGTGGCAGTGACGGTATACACAATAGACTGCTGTCCATCTTCGACAGGCGGTGTCAGTACGAAGCGGCACCAGGGCTTGAGCTCATGACATCGATTAATAGCTTGCTGTTCGATATGGAGACTTGCTTCATAAGAAAATCTGTCCTGTCCGATCTCGATTCTACAGCAAACAAACCTGTCCTACGAGCTCGTTGGGGTCTCGAGCGATGTCCACGCATAGGGTGCAGGTAGAGGCGCACGATATCGCTCGGCGGCGAAAGCGAGAAGTCGATACAAGACATCGACCCGAAATGAAAGCAGTGGAATAAGCAACGTTTGTCCTGCGCCCGACCGATACACACGAGCTGGAGCACAGAGCTTCCACTCGCCGGCCGAGGCAAGCTGGGCTCGATCGCGATCGAATCGCCCGTCGACAACATCCCGCCTTTTAGCGCAAGCAAGAATCTCGTCGATTTCTCCCGATTCCTTTTCGACACATACGGTCTTCCTTGGACTCGACAGTGTCAAACACAAAGCAGCCCAAGACCCGATGAGACATGGCTCTCGTCGCGCCAAACCGAATCTTATCAGATAACCCGAAATGAACATCGACACTTGGCACCGCTTCGTGGCTTTTCTCCCGAAACGCGCTTGGCGGACCAGTTTCAATGCGAATCCCCAGCGATGTCAGCGTCTACTGAATACGGGCCAAGAAAGAACTCAATTTCCATATCAGCGCTAGCAAGGGAACATGTTCGAGTCCCACTCGGTTTCAGCCGAAACCTCCACCGGATTCCATGCAAGGTCCCGCCTCAAACGTCGGAAAAGTCGGGTCGAGGACGGGTCGTTCGGGAAATGGGGGCGATATGCAGCTAACTCAGAAAGTATATAACGGTCGACGAAAAGGCTACATCTTACCACATCTCTGGCCTTTTTCCCATTCTTCATCCTCAAACAGCTCTCGATCTTCACCTTCGTCCCCTACAAAAGCACCTCGACCCGATCGCCATGTTCGTCTCTGCCGCTCTCCTCATCGCCGCCTTGCCTTTGGCTTTCGCTCAAGTAGAGCAAGAGCCTATTCGTGAGTACCGTCTCGTTTGACCCTGTCCACCATACTTTATTGACGTTGCCCTTCTTGAACAGTCTCCTTCAGCTACCCTATCGCTCGAGGTAACGCTGGAGAGGTCTCGAACATTGCCCCTTGCGCCGGATTCGCGCAGGGCGGTCGACTTGAGTATCCGTTGAGTGAGTGGACATCCTGCAATACCATCAAGATCGAGGACTCGGCTCATCCTCGTCTTGATATGTAGCCGGTGGCGATGTTTCGATCACCGCCATCAAGGACGCCAAGTTGCTCAACTTTGCCTATTCGACCAACGCCGATCCTCAATCGGTCGACGACTTTACCCGGATCGGTGGCGATTTCGAGGTCCAGCATCGGGGTACTACCTGTCTCTCTTTCCCCGACATGGCCGCTGCCGGTTTGACCGCCGGTCAGAACGTCACCCTTCAAATGAGGTGGGAAGCTGGGCCTCGAAACTATGTCGGATACGCTTGTGCCGACGTTACGCTGGTCGAGACCCCCGCCGACGTCTCACCCATCAACTACACCTGTACCACGACCTACCTCTCTACCCAGACCCGAGGCAACGCCAACCCCGAGCTCACCAAACTTCGGGAGGCTGCTGCTTCCGAGTCTGCCGTCGAGAGCGCCAAAGCCATGGCCGATGCCATCTGGAGGTACGGCCCCGGTGGAGTCTCTGCGCCTGCCGCTGGTGGAATCGGCGCTGGAGTTACCCTCGCCGTCGTCGCTCTGGTTCTCATCGCTGGATGGGCTACCGGAGCCGTCGCTTTCGGCAAAAGGCACGCTCAGGCTTTGAAGCAGTCGCACCAGCACCCTATTCAGGAGACCAAGTCGATCTCTTCGTCCGTTTGAGCGGCAAAGTATCGGGGTAAAACTCCTTCATTCCTCCGTGGGCATGATCATTATAAACCGCGATTGGCACGCCTGATCGTTTCCTCTCCCTCATAAATCTCGAGTAGTCTCACAGTAGTATAGTTGAATCCCTGTTTCACCTTTCCGCGCTCCTCTCTCTTTTTGGCTTTATGAACATCAATGTCATTTCTTTCCGCCCGCTCAGAGCGAGTTCGTTCGAGCTTGTCGTCTGTACCGGTTCTAGTATGGGTGCCGACTAGGAAAAGCAGTCCGTCCAACTTGCGAATCGAGTCATAGCCACGCCCAACTCGTCCGATCTGCAAGTCACCGCATCGAAAGAGCCGCTCGACCATGATCCCGTCCACACCTCCTTCAAGCCATATGGGATGAGCAGTGGCAAAGGCAACTTTACATCATACATGTCAATCGTAAAAATCTCATCGAATATCAGGCAACCAGGCCGTATAAGTACGAAAGACCGTCTCGCTCGCGGATTCACCCGAGTTGACGGTACTATTACATAGTCGGTAAATGCCGAGGGGGAACGGGGACAGTGTATATCAAGTGAGGAGGGGAAAAGGGACATGCCGAAGAGGGATGCAGAAAAGTGAAACTAGACAGGCTCGAGTCATGGAGAAAACGTTCGTGCTGGCACGGAAAACGAGACCCAAAGCATTCATCGACCCGCTCAGGCGCTGTGGGCGTACTATATGGGGCGTAGAGAATCGAACATCAGTACTGTTTAGAGCCAAACGCAGGTCTTGTAGAGCGCCAACTCACCCAAGCTCCGAGAGGAGTGATGGCACCACCAGCGTCCATGAGACGGTTGGCCTCCTGAACACCTTGCATCTGGAAAAGTCGACCACGTGGGCTCATGTCAGTCATCACACCCGTCAAACACTTCGCGTCACCTCCACTCACGTTCTTCATCGCACCAAACGGACTGTACCTCTCGACCCAACTCTGCTCGTTGAACCAGGAAGCCATCTCGTAGTGGAAGTTCATCGTCTCGTCCCAAGAACACTGGGCGCCACCGTTAAAGTTTTGACAGGCGTACTCGGTGATCCAGATGGGCTTCTGGACGGCATCGTGGTAGTTGGTGACGTATTGCTTGAAGTGGTCGGTCTACCAGGTTGCACAAGAAAATCATCGTCGTCGTCGTCAGCTTTTCCAATACGTATCGAATCTTGTACGTAAAAGAGGCCGTCGATACTCACGCTAACGTCGTAGTAGTGCAAGGGCACAAAGTCGGTCTCGGCCCAACACTCGGGACAGACCTCTTTGAACTTCAAGACCCATTCCAACCCGCTCGGCGCGCTGGTCGTAGCGGCCATCCCGATCAAGTACCCCTGGGCCTTCAACGGGCTCATGTACTGTTTCCAGAACTGGACGGCTCCCTCGGGGGAGATGTTGGACTGACCCGGGTCGTTGGGCTCGTTGAAGAAGAGGACGTGTTTGGTCGTCTCGGGCCAGTTGGCTTGGGCTTCGTAAAAGGCGGGGACGGCGTCCTTGGCACCCCACATCATGGGCACGTATTCGATACCGAGGTCGGAGCTGCGAGACAACGATCCCGCCCAGTCAGTCACCCCCTTACTGAGAAAGAAACCCGACACCGCCTTCTTCTACTCACGCCTTCTTGCATCCCTGGTAATGCCAATCATACATGAAACTGACGGTACTTCCGATAAAGTTTCCGACATAGTCGACCGCACCGGGTTCAGACTACAACGAGCAACAAATCCACACTACCATCAGCTTTCCAAGTTCCTACCTCCTTTCCCCTGTCGGTGTCAAACGATCCTCCAACCCCCCAAACGCTCAGACTCACCCAATCGCCGTTAGGCCAACACAACCCGACCTTGCTTCCCGCGTTCAACCACCCTCCAGATCCAGCAGCTCCAGTAGTAGGAGCAGCGGCCGTGGCGGAAGGTTGAACCCAGACCGAGGAGGAGGCTGCGGTGGGCTCGACCCAGGTGGACGAAGCCCAGGTCTCTTGAGCTTGAGTGGACTCGGCAGCAGCAGAGGTCCAGGCGTCGGTAGTCGCAGCAGCGGTCTCTTGAACCGGGGTCGAAGCGGCGGCGGTAGCAGCGTCGGTAACACTGGCAGTAGCACTGGCACTGGCGACTTCGGTGACAGAAGCGGTCGCACTGGCACTGGCACTAGCCAAACTGCTAACTCCACCCCCTTGTTGCCTGATCCGACAAGTCTTCCCTCCGCTCCCAGGAGCCCTCTTCTTGACCCGCCTCTTGGCGTCGGCCTTGACGGCCCTGACTTCCGAGTCGGACCTGTTCTGAAGACCGGTCTTTTGGAGTCGACGGGCGAGGTGGTTGTGGGAGTTGTGGGATCGGGCGGGGTGAGAGAGCGAGGCGGCTTCGGCGCTCGGGATAGACTATGGATTGTCGTCGTTCATCGTTCGTCGTGCGTCGTTCGTTATAGTGTGGTAACAGGTCGGAGGGGTCACAAGGAAGAAAGACGGGGTCGTCCTTTGATCAGCCTCATGCCCACTCGTAACACAACTACGAACGGTCTCTGCGCAGACTCACAGCCATCAACATCGACCCCAAGATAAGGGGAGAAGCGGCGAGGTATTGCAAGAGTCCGATCATCGTAGAGAGCTTGCGTATTCGTTGGTTCGAATGTATTGGTGTATAACTTTGTCGATGTGGGAGAGTGACTCCGAACTAGTTCAAGTAGGAATATCTAAAAAAGCGGTGATGTGTGGTCGTGTGGTAATAACGAGTGTGTTGATCCGTCGAGAAAGAGATGGTCGAGCGGTTGAAAGAGTGTGGGTTGTCTGTTTTTTTCAAAGGTTGGTGCCGGGGGTCGATATGGAATGGGAAGACGAGACGAGGCGAGGTGGGAAGGTGAAGTTGTGATCAGTTTACTGGCGAGATGAACGTATCGGGGTGCGATGGAGGGAATGGTAGAGTATCGAGTATCGAGTGCAAGGGCCGTCGAGTTTCAAGAGACGGATTGAGGATCTGTTGATCTGTTGTTCGAGGTTGAAGTCGAGGCAAAGACGATGATACGTTGTACGTTTGCTGTGCTGTGTATGTGCGTAGATGATTGGACCGATCCGTCGTATCTTCTCGATTTTGATCCTGATCTTGATCGATCAAATTTGAAGTGGAGAGGAAAAGCTCGTCTTGATCACGAAAAGAACGAGCGAATCGAGGTTGAACTATCGTCGAGGTCTTCCTTGCCTTCTCGTCCTGCTTCTTTTTCGAGTTCAATGACCACAACTCGTACACCCATCATCCACCATCCACCTTGTCACTCGTACGATAGACCTCCTTCATCTTCTTACATCTGGACGATCTCCTTGAGATTCCTTTGTCCTTCCCCATCCTCCTTTTCCGCGTTTCGAACCAGACCCAACCAAACCCACACGCTACACACAGCTTTGAGAAAATGAGACTCACCGAGAAAAGAGTCGTCGAGGTCGTAGTGTAGTCCGTATCGCCAGGAGTAGGTTGTAAGTAGATGTGTGTCGTTCGTCGATGGAGAATCAAAAAGGTATAAGTGAAGGTTGATGTGAATTTGATGGATCGATGTTGATTGATTGATGGGGAAAGGAGAATGAGTGCACGGCGCACGGCATGCGTCTCCCTCTTTGTTGTGTTGTTTGTTTGTTTATTGTCCCACCTCGATCCCTCGCGTCGATCGCGTGGGCCGCGTGCATGAACATCGATCAAAACAAATCAAGGGGTCGGGATCCTCTTGGCACACACGGCACAGCAAAGCACACAAACCGCGTTTCATCACAAACGTCCGATACAATACACGATAATACACAAAGACATCACATCGCCACTTCGCTACAAAGCTACAAACCCCAAACCCCCACTCCCTAGCCTCAGGCCCTTACGCCCTCCCATCGTCCCCAACCCCCTCCCCGGCGTTCGCCGCACTGACCTCGACCCAATCTTCCAACCGGTTCAACCCGCCCTTCCCCAAGCCCTTCCACTGGTGTACGGCAATGTCCCCACCGGCGTGTCTTTCCCAGGCGGTGGATATCAGGGAGGGTTCGTTGCCGTTCCAGCTGAGCGAGCGGAGCGAGCAGGAGCGGGCGATAGAGGCGAGTGTTTGGCGAGCGTTTGATGATGGGCGAGCGTTGATGATGACGTCGATAACAAATGATGATGCGAAACACGAGAGAGAGAGAGAGAGAGAGAGAGAGAGAGAGAGAGAGTGGGGGAGGAGGCGTAAATGAAAAAAGAGGCAAGGAGGTGAAAGCACGTAGAGCACAAGTGCCGCAAGCGAGAAACGATAAGAACGAAACGCGTCAGCCCATCCAATCATTCGAACGCGCACCGCGGATTCGATCCCCTCCTGGCACCCCCTTGACCATCGAACCTTCGGCTCTTCGATCTTTTGTTGCATTGCATCTCGCAAACGCAATTGCCCGACCGACGTTGTGAAGGGATGGGACGAGGATGGGATGAAATGAAACGCCAGACCATCGACTCACCTGACGTCCCGTACCGTACAGTTACTCGCTCCTTTCGGATCCGGGTCGTACTCGCTGACCACCTCTTGAGGAGCAGAAGGGTCGTTGTATTCGCCCGTCAGCGGGTTGACGAGCGGTTGAGCTTTGGTCCTGTCCAGTACTGATTGGCGCGGAAAGGGTTGCAATCATTTCATAATCAGCACGAGCGATCTTTTCCTTTCTCTCTCTCTCTTCGTTTTGTTGCGTTTTACGAGGGACACGGCGACTCGCCTTGTACGACCCGCCCGTCCAGATGATAGATCCAGATGACCCCGTTACTCCCACCCGTATAAACGTACTGTCCTCCGGTACTCTCGACAGGGCTAAAGTGACACCTTATCAGGGTCGAGAGGACGTGGTGTCCGCGGTAAGTCATGACGGAGCAGTCGAGCGGGTGGGCTTGGTGTCGCGGTTTACGGTAGTAGCCGCTCCTGCGAGAGGTCGAGGCGTGAATGTCAGCCCAAAGAGCTCAATAGAGCCACGAGAGTAAGGGGAAGGCACTCGCCGGTAATCCCAATCGCTGCCCAACCCGTACGCCGTCTTGGCGTTCGGAGCCGACTCATTGACCTCGTTCCAACTCCTCATCCGGCGGAGGTCCCACAAACGCATCGCCTGGTCTTTCCCGTTCGAGACGACGTACCGGCCGTCGCCCTTGGCATCGACATAGGTCAGACCCTCGGTATGGCCCGCCAACACGCCCGAGGGAACAGAAGATCCAATCGATCGGCGGTCCCTAAAAGGGGTCGCATGGGGGGCGGTCAATCAAAGAGGTCGACGACGAGAAGAGACGAGAAACGGCTTCTTACCAGACTTTGAGGTAACCGTCGTCCGAGGCAGAGACGATAACATTGGTGGAATTCTCGTCGGCAAAACAAACTCCGTTGACTGCGATCGAGGATTAGCACTCGGACCGGTCCATATCGTTCTCACGCGGACGACTTGCCATCAGCGTTATGTGCCCGAATGTTCAGGATCCTGCGTTTGGCTGCAATGTCGTAGACCATGATCTGACCCGATCCGGCCCCGGCGATGATTTCCTTTTGGTCTGCCGAGAACCTGATACTCCAGATCTAAAATCCGGCCGGCTGTCAGCTCGCAATCTCTTCCTACCTCTGACGACGAGAGCGAACACCCACCCCAAATTCTCGCATGTAACGAGCCATCCCGCCACGCTGTCCAGACTCGGAAAAGTCGAGCATCGTGTGTTCGTGCTCGTGTTCGGCCGTGCGCAAGAGATGGACGTAGGGGGTGATAGACGAATAGATCATCCTGGCCACACAAACGTGCCTATCAGTCAAAGCTCGCTTTCTCGACGGATCGCACGTCCGACGACCTACCACTCGTTATCCCTGGACAGGTCGGCATCCGTGACGGTCCACTGTCCGTGTACACCCTGTACCGTCTTGATCTTGCGCAGACTGTGATCGTCCGGCCCGTCGTCGTCGTAGTGCCGGGCATAGATCGACCTACGTTGAGGTCTGGCTGGCAAGGCGTTTCTACCGGCGTTGTTGGCGAGCCTGGAGAGCGGCGCGTCTTGGGTCGAGTAGAGGTGCAGTTTAAAGTCTTGGGTGGCGGTGTAGAAGAACGAGTGATCTACGAATGTCGAGGTTGACATTGTCAGCGGTTTTTATTACTAGCGATACCATACGCGCACGAGAGGGACTTGCCATGCGAATGTTGTCCGATATAGGGCGACGCCGAGTACGAAGCCACGATCGTCCCATTGGTATTCGGCAGACATTTCTGCTCGAGTCGCCATCATATACGCCCCCAGTCAGCCTTCTAGACACACCCCCAACAGGCAAAACCAATCTCCACAGAGGGGAGGCTCACCTTGCTCCACTCTTCCCTCCCGCTCGATCCCCAGACGCCCCTACCGGTCTCTTTCCCGAACCCCATCATCCCCTTGACCCAACCTCCACGTCCGACCACCTTGCTCTTGATCCCCTTGACCCGTCCGTCGTCTTCGACCCCCATGGCCGCGCTGGCCAGGGACGAAGCTGACAACCGCCTGGTCCTGGTGTTGGGCGAGGTGGCGAGCGTGATCGAGGAGGAGGACGACGAGGTGCGACGACGGGTCTGACTTGGGGTTTGAGATGGGCGTTTCGTCCGCGTGGTCGGGCTGCGGGAGAGGTGCGTGGCGATCGTGCTCGTCGGACTCGTACTCAGTGCATGTTCGTTCGGGTCATCCACGTTGTCGTCGTTGTCGTCTTCGGCTTGTTCTTCCATCAAGACGTCCCCGGCGCTCTTAAACCCAGAGCCGGACCTGGTCTTGCTTTCACTCTGCGCGAGGTCTAATGCTAGTCCCGTTCGGACGTCTTCTCCCAGAGGAAAACCTACCCGCCCGAATTCCCCTCCTCGAGCCAACCTCTTTCCAGCGGGTTTGCCCTCGCGTTCGATGTCGAACCAGTCCCACCCTCTTAGACGTCCATTCCTGGCTAGCCCACCTCGTCGGAACCTTCCTCCGCCAAAGACGTTGTACCCTTCATCATCATCATCATCATCTTCATCCTCATCTTCGTCATCTTGGTCTTCGTCCCATTCTTCCCCATCCAGGTCTTCATCATCGTCGTCTTCATCGTCCCCGCCCAACTGCCCAGCTAACCGGGTGATAGCTTCTTCAGGTAACAACCCGCTGGCGAATAGCGCTCGGAAGAAGGCGTGCGGGACGAGGAGGGAGCCGTCTTCCTGAACTTGGGCGGATTGGCGGATGGCGTCTGCCAGAGGGTTGCCGGTGGATTGAGCTTGAGATCGGGGTTGGGATTGGGATTGTGCTGGAGGAATCAGGAAAAGGCAAAGATGATTTGTGATATGAAGTGAATGAGTATGTGGGAAGATTTGATGGTACATATATGTGAGCATCGGGGATCAGACTCACCTGCACTTCCACTTCCGCCCCCTAAGAACCGATAATCAAACGGACCGCGAGACCCACTGGCGCCGGTCAACCTCGTCCCTGTTGCCGTCCCCTCCCCTTCTTCCTCATCCGCCTCTTCTTCATCCTCGTCATCCTCTGCATCGGGGTCGACGTCCATCCCCTCATCCCGCCTGATCCGCCTCATGATCCTCTCAAAGTCGTTCAACTCCTCCCCATTCAACCCGTCTTGATCATCCTCGTCTTCTTCGTTGCTGTTGTCGAGATCAAAGGCGTCCTGCCCATCTTCATCGTCATCGTCCGATCCTCCTGGGATGAAATCGGGATCGAGGTCTTGGTCTTCGTCTGGGGCGTCGTACCATTCGTCGGCGTCCTACGAACCCGTATAAACCAAAAGTCAGGAATCAGATGTGGGTTTGAATATGATAGCAGGCAAGGAGTAAGAAGAGGGGTTGCTTTCACTTGCCATGTCAGACATGATTACCCGAAATCGAAATGGGGCGTGTGTTTCCGAGCCAATCTAGGTTCAGAGGTTAGGTGAGTTTTGGTGGTCCGATCGACGGATCGAGTTCGGTTTTTTTCTGTAGACGGATACCGGCTGGTATGTAGTAGTATATCTGATGAAGATCTCGATGTATACAGTGGTGGTCACTGGTTACTGTATCTATGTGTATCGATCGGGGGGGAGGTGGCGATGTCATCTTGGAGTTGGCCGGCGATGCATGGTTTGATGACGAGTCCTTCTCAACTCTTTCGCTCAAAGCCGAAGGAAGCTGAAGTTGCTCGTAGTTGACCACGACGATATGGATATGATGGCATACATACCCATCTTGCAACCTTACAACCAAGACAAGCCACTACGACAGGGAGCGATGTCAGGCTACACAGTATCCCCAACCACTGCGGCCCTGGCAAACCACTTCTTCGAAACGCTCGGATGTACGGAACCTCAACGACGCCGGTTCTTACAGCTCGAAGGGGCTTATGAGCGGTGAGTTCCCGCTGTGGCACCTATTCGGATCATCGTCGGGTCTACTCATTGTAGCTAAGCAGCTATGCTGTGTTGATTTGAGCTGGTAGCTGATGATAATGGACTGTTCAATTGCAACCTTCATAGCGTACGGAACCTCCACGGAGAAGCGTGGGCGAAGGCGCATTTCGTGGAACATTGGAGAACGCAGGAGATGGCCAGGTCGGACGGGGTGACGATCGCTATCCATGATGCCGTTCAAGGTGAGTTACTGCTACTGCTTCATCTGTGTTTCTGTTGCTGTCGTATATTATTGATATCTTATGCAGATTCCGCTGCGTCTCGCATCGTATGTAGCTCACCTAGCTAGAGCTGCAAGCGGGGAAACTGTCACCGATATATATCCCAACTTGAACATGAGCTCCACGGCGTTGTCAACATCAATACCGATGTCGTCGTCCGACCCGATGTCGAACTCGAACTCGGGTCTTCAACCTGATACAACCTGGAAATCGTCGGATTCGACCTATACTACTGTTCTGGGGAGGAATTCTACTTCGACTTCAATTCCAATTACAACTTCAAACAATCCGATATTACCCGCAACCGCAACCGCAAACCCGACTTTGACCCGTGATCCTCAATCGAGACCTGGGCTTCAACCTGGACCTGGACCTGGACTCGGACCTAGACCTAGACCTGGACCTGGACCTAGACCTGAACTTGGCTCTGCGTCTCGTCCGGCCCACCAAGCGCCTGTCGTCAGCCTGCCTAAACCTGCAGGGGTTGTAGGGTTGAATTCGGGTACGAATCCGGAACTGAGTAATGGCCGGACTGACGGTCGGACTAGAGGAGGGATGGGTGTGAGGCTGGGTGAGAGGCCGGATGTGGTTGACGACGTCGACGTAGGGATGGGCGTGCAGGTGGAGGTGAAGGGGCAAAGGGAGGTGGACCGAGGGCAACGGCGAGATCCTGAGGAGGTCCAATGGCAACGCCAGGACAAAATTCCCCGAGAGGAGGATCAAATTCAAAGGGGTCGACCCCAAAGGGAAGATGAACTTGAACGTCAAAAGGAAGATCGAATTCAAAGCGAAGTGACGAACACAAGGACAAGCGCCGAAGTAGCTGAACGGAAGGTAGAAGAAAAGGAACGGGAATTGCGATTACAATTGGAATTACAAAAGGATCGTGAACACATCCGAGTGAACGGGATCCAAGGGCGAGAAGGAGAGATGGAGGCCGAGCAGCATCGTCTTGCTTCGTCTCCGTCTGCGATTGCGATTGATAGCACTCCGCTCGGCTCTGGTCCTACCTCTACCGTTACCGTCATTGGACGAACACGAACGCAGATGGGGATGAACAGTTCGGGTATCGGTCAAGAGGTTCCTGAAGCTACCCGACTCGACCCAATACATCGGGAAGCGACCCAGCTCGATCTCGCAAGCGTATCACCTCGGCGTCTCTTGCTTTCGAATCAACGTTTACCGACCCGTCTTTCGCCTACTTATCTCGATCCCTTACCGAATCGATGGCCGATCTCTGTAACTGCTGGGACGATGTCAGCCTCAGCGCCGGTATCAGCGCCGGTGCAGGTGGCAGCAGAAGCGGACGGGCCGGTTGTAAATCGTTCTTGCGTGCGAGAAACGAAACTGAAGGAACAAGATAAGGCGGTCGGACCTTCTCGTCCGCTGGATCTTGAGATGGCCACGTCTCCTCCTGGTAACGCCCTTGCGACCGTCAGCTCGGACGCGGAGACGAGCGTGGAAGCCGTCTCTTGTCATACGAAACGCAAGAGGACCTCGCCTGCCCGTGGCTCGTCTCTCCACCCCTCGACACCCAATCACCGCGAGCCCCAAAACAGCAGAGGCGGCGGGAAGGACATTGTTGAGAAACCGGAGAAGGTGACGAGGACGACGTTGTTCCTGGACGAAGGAGAGAGCTTGATCTACCGGGTCGGACAGCGGGGGATTTCGAACGAGTGAGTATAGCTTTTACCTCTTGGTCCGATCCGGCTGCTTCGTTTTGCCCGAATTCACTTGCTGACGCAATATACGCTTCTCTGTCTATCGCCAATGATCTACCTGGCGTACGTTTCGTTTCGTAGATACCTAAGCGGCATCCTTCGGCCCGACCCGGACTGGAAATCATGGACGTCGACCTCGGGCAAGGTCAAGAGGCATTTCTACGCCGAGATGGTCTTTCAATTCAAGCTCTCGAGGGATCTGGCTCGGGCTCAGGCGGGGACGAGAGACGGAGATGGGATCGGGGCGGAGGAGCTGGCAGGAGGAAATGTGTCGGCCGATCGGTCAATCGACGACGATGGAATGTGGGACGAGGACGAGTTGATGCCCGCCGAGGAGTGTGAAAAGGACTTGAGCGATCTGGTCTTTTAATCCGGACAGGCTGGGCGATCCGTTGAGTTGCGCGCCGAGAGGCTCGAAGATGATGTGCGCTCAACCCATGTCCACTTGATCTATCCTCCTACACAGGCTAGGAAACTCGCGAAGGATTTCGGGACAGCTCTTCTGGAGTGGGTACGATTACGGGACGGAAATGATTTTACGATACGATGAACGCAATGCAACGGACTGTACGACGGAACCGGACGACATAATGATTAGCTGTACCGCACAACGTGGATCTTCTTGTAAAGCTATAGACTATGTAAATCGCTATGGTGTAACGACTCTCCCGGTCTTTCGCACGAGCAAGAGCGTCCGCGTGCCCAGATTCTGTCATGTCTCGGCGTGCTCAGCTGTAAATTTCGGTGACGTCGATTGAATTAATCGTCGGAATCCTATGTGGCGCTTTGCGTTACACGGTCTCTGCTTCAGCTCACATAGGTATAATGGGCTCAATAGGCACATGTTTGGAATATAGGACAACGTGTAGAACTTGCACTACGGCCTGTCGGCTGTCATTCGTTTGAATGGATGACTAATGTCTTTGACCTTCATTCCTGTTGACGAGCTGCAACAGTCCGCTATTAGAACAGCGCGCCGGTACCACCGTCGACGACATCGTCTTCGCACCAACCGGCAACTTTCCTTCTGAAACGCGAGTCCCGGAAGTCCCATCTATGCAGTAACAAGATTCCGTCGAGATAGTCAAACAGTAGCACCGGTTCACATCGAAATCGATCGAGACATTAGGAACAACAGCCCGCAACACGATCCGATCTCGATCCTTTATTGGTAGGGTGATTGATTCGATTTGATTTCGATGTTACAGGAGAGAAACCATCGCATGCAGCGGGTCATGCCCAAGACGTCCTCGCGTTCACAAAGGCGCATCGTAAGCGCTCTCGGGCAACATCGGCTGTACGCTCAAATACCCCATCAACCTCTCCATCGCCCTCTCCGCCGCTCCATCCTCGATCTGACTCTGTTTGCCCTCCTTCAGAGTGACGGGCGCGGTCCCGTCCATCAGTCCGAGCTGAGCGTCGGTCCAGACGGGGGTAGGCTTGGACTCGGCGGTAGCGAGAGGAGCACCGACACCGGCTCGTCCGCCGACGGCTTCCCAGTCCTTGATCCGCTTCAAGCCGAGCTTGTCGAATACGGCTTCGATCGAGCTGACGAGGTGGTCCATCTGTTCGACCGTGTGCCCCGGGGTCGGGGTGATTCGGAGTCGCTCCTCGCCGACCTTGACGGTAGGGTAGTTGATGCTCTGCACGTAGATGCCGTGTTCGCTCAAGAGCGTATCCGAGGCTTCTTTGGCCAAGGCGGCATCCCCTACGAGGACGGGGATAATGTGCGAAGGGTTGGGGACGACAGGGATACCCTTGGCCTCGAACGCCTGCTTGACGGCTCGGGTGTTGACGTGCTGCAATCGACGATCGCCCATGTACTCGCGCTGGTAAGCGATCGAAGCCTGGGCGCCGGCGACGATGGCGGGGGGCAAGCTGGTGGTAAAGATGAACCCGGGAGCGTACGAACGGATCACGTCGACCAAATCGGCCGAGGCGGCAATGTACCCGCCGACGACACCGTAAGCCTTGCCTAGGGTACCGGTGATAATGTCGATCCGGTCCTGCACGCTACCCTTGACGGGCAACTCGGACTGGTTGGTCGCGTGATGCGCCTCGAAATCCAAGTGTTCGGCGACCCCAGCTCCTCCGGGGCCGTACATCCCGACGGCATGGACCTCGTCCAAAAAGGTCAACGCGCCGTACTCGTCGGCGAGGTCGCAAATCTTTTCGATCGGAGCCACGCTCCCGCACATCGAGTAGACCGACTCGAAGGCGATGATCTTGGGAGTCTCCTTGGGGACCGTCTTCAACTTGGCCTCGAGGTCGGCGACGTCGTTGTGCTTGAAGATGACTTTCTTGGCCCCCGAATGCCTGATCCCCTGAATCATACTGGCGTGGTTGCTCTCGTCAGAAAAGATGACGCACCCGGGCAACTTGGCTCCGAGGGTGGCGAGCGTGGCGTCGTTGGCGACGTAGCACGAGGAAAAGACCAAAGCGGCCGACTTGCGATGCAACGAGGCGAGCTCGTCTTCGAGCGACAGGTGCATGGCACCGTTCCCGGCGATGTTTCGGGTACCCCCCGCGCCGGCTCCGTAGCGGTTCAAAGTTTTCCTAGAAGATCACACGAAACACACGATCAGCATCCTGTCTTCCCCGCCCAACCTCCTCTCTAACCAACCCCCGGACTCACTTCATGGTATCCAAAACCACCCCATTCCTACTCATCCCCAAATAATCATTACTACACCAAACATCCACCTCATCGGCCGTCTCCCTCGTATGCGCTACGGGGAACTTGGCAGCCAACCGGTTGATATTGTTGAAATATCGGTAAGACTTGTCTTTGTGCTTCTTTTCCAGCTCGGATTCGTAAAAGGACGAATAGCCAAAGGTCTTTCTGGTCTTCTGAGTCGAGGTGTTGATGGTCAAGTTCTCTTTGTTCAAGGCGGTCGACGTGGACTTGGTCGACCCGGCCTTCTTGGCAGCCTGAGCTTCGCTAGCGGCGATCGCAGCGGCCTGAGCGGCGGCTTTCGCGTGAGGACATTTACCAGGGTCTCCCGAGGTCGGGTGGGTAAAGGGGATGTCCTTGTTCTGCATTGTCGAGACGACATGTCGTGTGGAAACAAGAAAAAAGGTGCGGCGGTCGTATGGACCGGTGCAATGTAGAGTGTGCGGTGATGATGGTTGATGTTGATGTTGATGTTGATGTTGATGATGATCGAGGCGTAATGCGATGAGAAGGATGATCAGGTATTTGGTGTGAGAGTAGGGTGAGAAGAAGTGGAGGAGGCGCGAAGAGCAACGAAGAAAGAAAAGGGTAGAACCGAAAGGACGATCGGAAACGTCAGCAAAAACTCGATCCCGCCAGCTGATCATCATCATCCTCTTCGCGTTGAACACTGACCTTGTGCATCTCCCTGACCTCTTTGGGTCCAGCGACGCTCGCCATGCCCCTGACAGAGATCCCTCCCATCTTCTTGGCCACCTCGGGACCCATCACCGGACAAGAACCGACGGCTTTCGAGGCCAGGTTGCTGAACTGCGGGGCGAGCGGGTTCGGGGTCGAGGCGAGCGACCTGAGGGTGGCCGTCGAGGTCCGGTGGAGGAAGGGACAGTTGGTCGAGTATCGTGCCATGGATGTCATGTAGGACGACATGATGAAGGATATGTAGTGAGGTGCTTTGTGTTTTGTGAGGTTGAATGGCGAAGAGGTAGAGGCGTAGAGGTTGATGTCGATGTATTGATGTAGTCGATGTTTGAATCGAATCGAATGCTTTTCATAGGACGGGACCCCTCAGACTCTCGCTCGCCTCGTCCCCCGGCTGACACCTTTTTACCGGCAAAGTCTCGCTTTCTCACGCGTCTCGCACCCTTTCTTCTGGTCGATCGCGCTAAGAATACCCATTCGCCGGGGGCATTCTGATCGGAATCGAACCAATCGCGTGGCTTCGATTGGGTCTCGAGGGCGAAACGTAAGCGCAAAAGCATGTTGCATCTCCGTCGTCATGAAGGTTCATGCCATGCTCGGCCCCGGCTTCTGATTCCCGGCAGACACTCTGTTGTTTGCTATTTGTGCCCCAGGATCGTGTTTCGTACGGGTATACGGAACGCACTGGATCAATGATTCCGATCGAACGATCTATTCCAGAGATCCCTTCGTCGCCACCGATCCACCGAGGTCAAACGACACGACGTTTCGCGTTTCATCTCGCGTCTTGCATCTCGCATTCAGGCGCGCGCACCTACGAACATCACAATATTTATAATGCACTACAGGTACACTAGCCTACATCGGATCTCGTCGTTGTATTGTTGTCATGTAATCGGATTCATAGATCAGATGATTTGTTCGATCAGGTAATCGACTCGAATTCGGTATAGATTATAGCTGTTCTTGGGTTCAAGATGATGAAACGGTGGGGGGATGGTAGGACCGAAAAGACCTTTCGGCCTGCTTCATCTCTAGCAATTCAATCGGCAGCTTCCGATACACCGCCGTCCCTCGACCGAACCACCATAAATCATCTTCTCCTTTCGCCGCCAGCTCCTCAACGATCTCTCGATCATCCAGTCTCTTCTCACCTTTTCAACTCGAGGTCTGCGTTCCGCGTGTGGTTTATCGTATGACCGAGAGACGGATTCTGTATAGATATATAATTTATAAAGATGTACGAAATCACGGCTGAGTAGATATAATGTACGGCCGGGAACAAATCTTCATCTTCATCTTCATCACGGCCGTATTCGACGACGAAGTCGATCCCTTAAAGCTTATGGTTGGACAACATCGACTGATACACAAAATCTCTCTGTTTGCGACAATCCTTTCCGAGCGCGTTTGCGGTTTGTTGACAATGATCTGAGTACAGTAGTCTACTAGAATATATGCCAAATAGAAAAACCTCGCTCTGTAACCTTGGTCGAAACCTGGAAGGTCATGACGATCATCGCTGTATGTGGACATCGTCTGCGTAACAACAACGACGTTATACAAGCATTGGGGCTTCGCCAAATAGGAAACATAGCAATGCCGTCTGATAATACTCCATTACATTGCATTACAAAAGCCCGCCTTGGGGGTGCTCAGATTATTGCGTATCGGATAAAAGAAAGAGGAGCGCGTTGGGACGATCAAGCCTACCCTTGTAACAACCGCAGCGCCAGAGCCTCTTCGTCTTCGACGTCCCCGCTCTTGCCCTCCTTGCTACCACCATCGAACCTGGCCCTCTTTGTCGGGCGCGTCGAATTCGACTGGTTCCTATCATTGTCGTCATCGCCAGAGTCCGTATCGGAGCCTGAATCTGAACCTGATCCGTCGGACGGTCGGCCTAGGGTGACTCTGAATCCTCCACCCCCGCCCTCTTCATCGTCGTCCTCGTCGCTCCCTTGTAGTTCAGCCAGTCGCTAGAGTGAAATTCAAGAGAGCGCATCAGCAAAAACGCACCAAGCATCGAACTACGATCCCTGCATTCGACTCACCTCCTCCCTCTCCCTATCCTTCCTCTTCCTCTTCTTCTCCTGCCTCTTCTCCCTGGCGACCTGCCTATCCACGACGTCGGCCTCCTTCATCGCTTCCCTGTTCACAGCCAGGTATTCCTGACGCTGCGCCTCGGCATCGCCTTGTTTGGCAAAGTCGTCCAAGTTTTGCATCTCGTACATCTCGTGAGCACCGCCGGCGTCGTCAAAGATGACCTTGTGGCCGGAGGATTTGAGTTTGAGCATGGCTTTACGGGATTCTCCTTGTTTGAGCTTGCGTTTCGAGAGCATCTCTTCCGAGGTGAGCTTTGGCGTTGCGTCGCCGGTTTCTCCTTCGACCTCGCCCTCGCCGCCCAGACCGACGGCCTCGAGCGTGTGGTCCCTCTCTTTCAACGTCAAGAACCCGTCGTCCTCGTCCCCGTCCTGTATCACACCGTCGTGCGTGACCAGAGCGGAAAAGTGAGGGGCGAGGACGCCTTGATTTTTACGCTCGAACATTCGGTCGTATTTCGTCCGGACCGCTTGTTTGTCCTGTCGGCGCAAGATTCGAAGGAATTCGATTAGCTTCTGCCGCTGCGGTACGAGATGAAATAGAGGTGCAAAACGAACCTTCTTGCTCGTCAGAACGTCATCCTTGGCATCCGCATCATCGTCATCGGCATCGCTCTCGCTATCGCCATCGACCTTTCCACCTTCAAGCTCGTCCTCGCTATCGACCTCCTCGTCCTCATCACCGCTCCCGACCTCGCTCTCATCGCTCTCACTGTCCGCCAACTCGACCTGCGCGCCCACTTTTGCGCTCGCCGTCTCCGTCTCCTTTTCCCCGGCCACATTCACCTTGACGCCCTGAGCCTTCTCCTTCTGCTCCTCCTGCTGCAACTTGCCCCTCGCGGCGTTCTTCTTCTGATGCGCTTGACCGATGAATTTGATCTGCGGTGCCCCCGGCAGACCCAACGACGCCGCAAACGCCTCGACGGGGAGTTGCGTGAGGTCGAATATCGACTTGTCCTTTTGCAGGTGGACGGATTTCATGTACGATACAAAAGCCTGCGATGCGTTGGTCGCAAAGACGATCAGCGACTCGTAAGCGTTTGATAGATTGCCTTTTCCCGGAAAGGCCTGCTCACCCTCTGACCCATATACTTGATCTCGGGATCCCTAAACGCGAAATTCTGCATCTGCTGCTGCAACTGCCCCATCTTGCTCTCCTTGATCCGGATCCGCTTGACCTCGAGCCCCTTTTCCTCCCACCGCCTCTTCATCCCTTCTTCCTCGCTCGGACAGAGGATCGTCAGCCCCTTCCCTCCGGACTGGTACCGCGCCGTCCGACCGACCCGGTGGATGTACATGTCCACGTCTTCGGGGCAGTCTAGCTGGATGACCCAGTCGACAAGGGGGAAATCGAGACCTCGGGAGGCGATGTCGGTGCAGACGAGCAGGGCGACGGTGGATTGCGAAAAGCGTTGGAAGATGTCGAGTCGGGTGGGTTGTTTCTGTTTGCCGTGCAGGTGCATCAGGGGGAGACCCGGGTGGAGTCGTCGGAAGGTCTCGAAGATGAACCGGACCTGCGGGGCGAGCGCGATCGTGGGAAATGAGAGGGGACGTTGGTCAGCGATCGTTTCCGCCTTCAAACGTACCGACCTAGAACGATCGCGAAACCTCGGACTCACCTGCTTGCAACTACTGACGAAAACCACCCCCTTCATCTTGAGATGACTCTTGACGAACCCCCACAACGCGTCCAACTTGCGATCCAGGTCGACGACCGCATAAAATTGCTCCAAACCCGCCGGCATCAACGTCGAGGTCGAGCTTTGTCCCGGGGTGGCGTTCGAGTCGACATTAGAGCTACCGTCCTGCAGGTGTTGGTCGACGTCGATCGTGACGGGCGAATTCAGGGAGAGTTTGGCGAGTTGGACAAGGTTCGGAGATTGGGTGGCGGAGAATAAGAGCGTCTGTCGGCCGCTTGGTGTCGTTGTCGTTGTTGTTGTTGATGTGGCCTGGTCGACCTGTGTTGCTGATTTCGTGCTGGGACCGCCTCCTCCCGGTGTGATATGCTGGATGATAGCACGCAACGTCGGCAAGAAACCCAGATCCAACAGCCTGTCCGCTTCGTCCAACACCAGCACTTTCACCCCGGAAGTATCCAGCCCGACGGTGCTATCGAAATGTTGCAACAATCTCCCAGGGGTAGCTATGAGGATGTTCATACGTTGAAGCCGATCTTGTTCGTCCTTCAAGCTCTTGCCGCCGATGACCAACCCGGCGGAGAACGTATGATGTCCGCCGATCGAACGCAAGGCGTTGAACGTCTGGATAGCCAGTTCTCGAGTTGGACTCAAGACCACCGCTCCTAGACCGTCCATCGGTCCCCATCTTTCCAGGTAGAGACGTTCTAGCAATGGGATGAGAAAGGCGAGCGTCTTGCCCGAACCGGTACGGGCGGAGCCGAGGACATCTTGGCCTTGCAGCGAGATGGGGATGGAAGTGGCTTGGATGGGGGTTGGGGTGGTAAAATGAGATGACCGCAGGCCACGGAGCGTACGAGAGGAGAGGGGGAGTTCGGTGAATGTCGTTATCGGGGTCGATGGGTTCTGCAGAGCGTTGGCGACGAGTCGTATCGAGGAACGGGAAAAGACGAGCGAGAACAGGCAGGTTTTCACAATCAGCTCGACGTAAAAGAGGGCAATAGTGACGAATGCTCTGATAACGACTTCGACATCGACTCACAAACTCTGCAATGTCCCTCCGCAACTTGTCCAACTCTTCGTCCTGACCCTTTCTCTTGAGTGCGTTCGACTTGATCCGCTGTTGAGTGTGCGGGTCTCGTTGTTTCTTGCCGCGGGGCGCAGAGGGACCCGCTTTGGATGACATGGCGAGCGCTATCTCGGTGTGTGTTACTCTTGAATCGAGAGCTGATACGGGTCCAAGACCTGAAGATGGGATGATAATCGACCTTGACGACAATTTTGACCAAGTCCCAAGTTCCAACTTTGTAAACCTCGGCGGCGAGATGCGCGGAAGCAGAAAAGCGAGAATTACGCAACTAATCACGGCATGCGATTCTGACAGTGGTCACGTGATGTTAGAATCGGCATCTGTCTGATTGCGTAATCAAGGTTACTGTAGGCGGAAGCTGATCTCCTCGAGGGCGAGTTGCGCTTTACGACGAGTCTCGGGTCTGACTGACACACACATACTTTGCCGATTCGCCTCGTCGTCGACCTTGTTGAAAGTAGTACAAGTCTCGATGCATCGATCTGAACCTCGAGATCATCTCGATTCTATCGATAGTAACCTCTAAGTCTCAAACTAGTTCAAAACAAACTAGTACGACCATGTTCGCTTCTAGATTCGCATCCCGTGCGAGGTCCATCGCCTCTCACCTCCCTCACCCATCCCCCTCGTCCTCTTCTTCGTCCTCGATCGCCCCAGCATTCACCCGAACGCTCGCCTCGGTCTCTCCCAACCTCCCACCTCAATCCGCCTCGCCGCAACAAGTCGAGGTGGAAAAGAACAATGGCATCTCCTCCTCGGAACGTCTGGAAAACTCTCGAGGTGACGCGGCGGGAGAGTCGTTGAAGCGGGAAGGAGGCGGGACGACCGAATTGTTTGGGTTCGAGGTTACCAAGAAGGAGAGTTCAGTCGGGGGTAAGGAGAAGACGGATGGGAGGCCGATCTATTTGGATGCTCAAGTGAGTGTCTTTGCACAGTCATATGTTTTGTTCTTCGACTGTTATGCCGAACAAGGACTGATAATAACATCGTCGTGTTCTTCTCTCGACTTTGCAGGCCACCACCCCGATGGACCCCCGAGTCCTCGACGCCATCCTCCCCTACCTGACCGACCTGTACGGAAACCCTCACTCCCGTACCCACGCTTACGGCTGGGAAGCAGAGACCGCCGTAGAGAAAGCCAGAGCGCAGGTGGCCAGCCTAATCGGCGCCAGCAGCAAGGACATCATCTTCACCTCCGGGGCGACCGAGAGCAACAACATGCTCATCAAGGGGATCGCTAGGTTCTACAAGCAAAAGAGGAATCACATCATCACGACCCAGACGGAACACAAGTGTGTGCTGGATTCGTGTAGGTATTTGGCGGAACAGGGCTTCGAGGTGACTTACCTCCCCGTCAAGTCGGATGGGCTCGTCGATCTCGAGGTCTTGAAGGCGGCCATCAAGCCGACGACGTGTTTGGTCTCGATCATGGCGGTGAACAACGAGATCGGGGTCATCCAGCCATTACAAGCCATAGGAGACCTTCTCCGCGCCCATCAAAAGGCCAACGGCGGGCCCAAGATCTTTTTCCACAGCGATATTGCTCAGGCGACGGGCAAGATCCCCTTGGACGTCGAGAAGATGGGTTTGGACGCGGCCAGTATCTCCGGGCACAAGCTTTATGGACCGAAGGGTGTCGGAGCGGCGTATGTGAGGAGGAGACCGAGGGTGAGGCTCGAACCGCTCATTCACGGAGGTGGACAGGAACGTGGGTTGAGGAGCGGGACGGTGCCGACGTTCTTGACCGTGGGATTGGGAGAGGCTTGTAGGATCGCACAGGAGGAGATGGAGGTGAGTCGAGGGTTTTAGGTGGTGTTTTGTTTTTCGTGGTCTCGTCCGTCCCGCCTCCTTTTCCGTCCCTTCGACTGTTTCGACCTTCAAACGTATTTCGTGCAAATATTGACATTGAACTCGTGAGGAAAAACTACACAAAATCGAGACGAACACACTGGGCGTTTTCACCATGGCTCAAACGACAACGAAACATTCGTCTTGATCGCGTTGGAGCGCCCCGAGATGATGACGAAAACCGCACAGGCTCGATCACTTTTTTCGAGCTCGTTATCGTCCAGGTCGACCTGAACAACGGTCGAGGCTGGATGGAAGAGCGAACAAGAAACTTTTGTGCAGGGGTACTGAATCTCGACGGCGACAAGCAACCGCGGAGAGAACGTTTTGGGAACGAGATGAGGCGGGGCGATCGAAATCGACGCAGATTCCCTGGCGTTTGGATGACCTGGCAACGTGATCAAACCTTTCACTTCGTTACATCCGGCTGACATTCACATCGCTCGCTTTCGGCAGTCCGACCACGCCCGCGTCAAGGCCCTCTCGGACCGCCTGATCGATGGCATCAATGCCCGCGTCTCGATGGTCGTCCGTAACGGCGACCCGTCCGGCTACCCCGGTTGCGTCAACTTGTCGTTCAGCTACGTCGAGGGCGAGTCCCTGCTGATGGCCCTCAAATCGATCGCCCTATCGTCCGGATCGGCTTGCACGTCGGCCTCGTTGGAACCGTCCTACGTGCTGCGTTCCCTCGGCGCGGACGAGGCCATGGCGCACAGCTCGTTGAGGTTCGGGATCGGCAGGTTTACGACCGAGCAGGAGATTGATTTCGTCGTCGAAAAGATTGTCGCCGTGGTGACCAAGTTGAGGGAGATGAGTCCATTATGGGAGATGGTACAGGAAGGGATCGACATTAATACGATCGAGTGGAGCCAGTGAGTCGGGCTTCGGGTCGGGGCGGGTCGTTTCGAGTTGCTGATTGGTATCTTGCGGATTAGACATTGATTGGAATGACGAGTGGGTTTCAATTAGACGAAAGATATCTGATGTTGTACAATACAATTTTACGATCCATGATCATGACCTCGTGATTTTCTCGGCGTCCCCGTACAACCTAGAATAACCGTCAGGTGGCGACATGGTCTGTCGTCTCTGTTTCTGTAACGGAAGCCTGTCTCTCCCGCAATGGAGGCCTGTCTTTTCTGTGATGCAGATTGTTTACCACAGCCTGTTTATGGTAGAAGGGCGATTGCAGTGTATAGTTATAGAAGTTTCGCTGAGGCCAGCCGCTGGATCACGGTTTGCTTGTCGTCTTGATAGTATTGTAGAGCCAGGGTCAGGGCTTGCTTCCATACCAGCAGTTCAATTCAAGCACGGGCACACAGAAGTCATCTGCGGCAGGGTCTCTTTTGAACGTCATTACATCCAGAAGATGGTTAACGAGCTATTATAAGGCTCAGCGACTTGCTCGCCACGCGATACCTATAATAGCACCCCTTGAATTGCATCACCTTCGCGGGAATCCATACGGCTTGGTCTTCTTCTTGCTGCCTATCCATCGCCATAGCATCGAGGCGATAAATAGCATTCATGCGACGAGCGGACAGATCGAATCGAGCCATCCATGCTCGACCGACTCGGCTGTGTGCGGATCCGGTCCGAATGTCTCGTCCCCCTCGCGCTAAAGCGCTCCCATCGTTTCATCGAAAGCCACCGCGATGCCCTGCTGCTGATCAGAAACGGAAGGTCGGTCCGCGTTCGACCTGCTTGCCACCTCCCCCGGACGGAGGGGTTCTTGGGGCTCCACTTCTGGGGTACATAAGTTTCAGCTTCCTCAGTACGACGTTCATGCGGCTGCGATATTCCCTCATCTTTCGACCTCCCGCGCGCAGGAATGCTCCGACTCGCAATGCTCCCTACACAAGCGCTCTTGCTCGTTCTATTCAGCACGCTGACTGCTACCTGCTTGGCATGGCAGCCCAATTTCGTTCTCCGGGTGAACCAGTCCGTCATCGCGCCCGACTGTACACCCCGGCTGAGTACCGTCGTCAACGGGACCCTGCCTGGTCCGCTGTTGACGATGACAGAGGGTAAACATTATTGGATCCGTGTGTACAACGATATCCCCGACCAGAACTTGACTATGCATTGGTGAGTTCGGTCCGGTGACTTCAGTTCTACTACGAACCTGTTCGCCGACTCCCCCTTCGTGACTCGTCAAATCACGCAGGCACGGTCTCTCTCAATACACGACCCCCTTCTCCGATGGTACCCCCCTTGCATCCCAATGGCCCATTCCTCCCTACGGGTTTTTCGACTACGAATTCTTCCTCCCTTTCCCGGACTCTTCCGTGGAACATCGTAGGGATTCTTCCATCGGCACGTATTTCTACCATAGTCACGTAGGTATGCAAGCGATGAGCGCCTTCGGCCCGATAGTGATCGAGCCCGCCAGCGAGAAAGAAGAGGCGAAAAAGGCGACTCCGGTGGAGTGGGACGAGGATCTGATCATGTTGCTGAGCGATGGGTATCACGTCAGTATCATTTTACCGAGTATCAGTACCAGACCATGATACTATCTGTGCCGGCCGAGTCGCTACATCAACGCTGACACAAGTCATGATATCGATACAGGCCTCAGAGCACAAGATCATTTCCGGACTCGATAACACGTTAGTCGTACCGTTCTTTCTTGCGGGGTTTCCCTGTGTATTGAAATGATATGTCCTTTTCATCTCGACCTCATCACACAGCTCCTCCTGGACCTGGATAGGGGAACCGCAGTCCCTCCTCGTCAACGGTCATGCTCTATCGACGTGCAATTCTTCGACACTCGATACAAACCTTCCAACGGGTACCCAATGCTCAACAAGCTGTGGATGGGAAACATTCCGGGTTCGACCTGGGCAAAGGTATAGGTTGAGGGTTATTGGCGCAACGTGAGTGTGTGACCTGACCTGCCAGGCAGGCAATGCGGCTGACAAGATGAGAACAACTGGAATTATCGGTATCAGGACTCTTTCTCAGATGTCGTTGAAGCTGGAGGGTCACAACATGACTCTTTTCGAGGCGGATGTGAGTGTCGATCAGACTGTTTACACAACTTCGAACGGTACTAAACACATGCCGACCTATTCAGGGCACCTACCTGGACCCTCTCCCCATTGAAAATCTAGAGATCGCAGCCGGCCAGCGGTATTCCATTCTCATCGTTACTCCAGACGTCGTACCCGAGAAGAGCGATTTCTGGTTCAACATCAAGACGATTTGGAGGCCCGTCACAACTTATGGAGCTGCTGTCTGGACTTATGACACTGACGATTCGACGTCGGTTGACAAGACTACGAGACCGGTCGATCTGAACGTCAAGGTCGCTTTACCCAATGAGACTTTCGGATGGGTAGGCTGGTGAGGCGATCGATTCGTTCTCGCCATAAATCAATGATCTAAGCAGATAGACGGCTCCTTTCTCGCAGTGACATGTCCCCGTTCGACAAGACAAAGAATCCACCTTCTCAGGACCAGGTCACACGGAAGATCACGCTCATTGGAGAGCAAGTAGTCAAGCAGGTGAGCAGTGACCGAACGCTAGCAATGCGACTCGCTCGAGCTCAACTCTCCGTTCCACTTATTCGGACTTACTGAATCGTCAGAAAAGCTATCGATGGGACGTTAGCAATACCACGCTGTTTGGCGAGACCTCGCCCTCAAACCCGCAGGTCCCGTTCTTGGTCCAGTACTATATGGCACCAGAAGATCGACGCACGCCTGATTACGCTGCGGCGCTGGCGAACGGAGGGCTTGACCCCGTCAACCGCTTTTATCCCGCAAAGTTGGGCGAGATATTGGATGTCGTTGTTCAGAACTACGCTGGACCGACGGCAAGTATTGGGGATTGAAACAGACGAGAGGCGTTAACTGTGTCTGATACGTTTGCATACTACGATACATGATCAGGGCTTTGTCGAGGCGCATCCATGGCATTTCCATGGCGCAAAAGTATGTTTTGCCAGTGGCAGTATAGTCGCACTCGCAGCTGATACGACCATTCCGCAGTACTGGGATATGGGTGCTGGTACCGGTAATTTCAGCTACGAAGCTTTGGAGGAGATACAGGGATCTGTGGCCGGCTCCCCAATCCCGAGAGACACATCGATTGTATACGGGGGACCTGGGGCGTCGTACACCGGCGCAAACATCACGTCCGGTAGTCCCGGCGGATGGAGGTTGTTCAGACTGTCTATCACTGACGTAAGTGGGAGACGAGAGCATGAGATTTCTAACCTTTACTGAAATGGTGGCTTTCCCAGCCCGGCGCGTGGGTCGTACATTGTCACCTCCTACCGCACATGATCATGGGCATGCAGACCATGCTTTTTGCTGGGGCGGAGAACCTACCAGTTTTGCCTCCCAGCTTTGTCGAAGAATTCTTGACCTTCAATGGCGCTGCAGTGGGCAACTCCACATACGAACCGATGCATCGGAGTTATTTCGAACTGCCGGTTGTAGCGCGCGGACAAGGAAAGTGATTCGACAGACTTTGTAGATCAGGAGACGATGACATGAAAAAGTCAGGAGACAATGACATATAAGAGGTTGTAAAGGATAGTCAGGAAAAAATGGCCGCGAGAACACTGGAAAAGATCGTGTCAAACTATGCAACGGCGCATATCTACCTTTGTGATCGACTCGAGGCAGTCTATATAAGCGTCTCATCTGACAGTATCTGCCAATGGCCTTTGCTTGCTTGATGAGTTCAGTAAAATCATCAAGGATAAAAGATACTATCGAGATGGTAATTGACCCGGTCATCCTTTTAAACGAGGCTTGGCGACCGCTTCATCCTGTCAGCGTCACACTCATACACATGGAAGAAGATACATCCTTGACTCAAGATCACTATATGACAATCAACCTTCTTGCGAATTATGTTACATATGATACACTCCCAAACATCGGATCCCTCTTAGCTCAGTTGGTAGAGCGCTACACTAGTATTGAACTAGAAGCACAACTGCGATATGTAGCGGTCAGCCGTTCGACTCGGCTAGCGGGAATTATCTCTTTTTGTTTTCCGACCGGATGATCCCCTTTTTTCGCGTGTTTGCACCTCTCAAACGCAAGGCGCAGGGATGCGCCACCGTCCGAGCGATTTGCGCGTCATATCTAGGATGCATCCTGTATCACAGGATTCATTGGTCTCCTGAATGAAGTGAAACTCCATGCGGCGCGATCTTGTTCACACAGCAGTCAGTCTCGCGAGCGTGGGCAGGGCGACCCCCATCTGCACGCGTGGTACCGGCGTGAAACGACTCTGGGCTTGGCGAAATGCGGTTCATCCGTGCTGCTATACTTTGCCTGGCCCACAATGACAACGGTAAGTGATGCCGGCTGCACGAGACGGGCGACAGCACCTAGAACCACCATATGATTTCCGCCTGTCCCGTGCATCAAGCGACCCGATAGCATTGTCGTGCCGCTTGAACCACGATGCTAAGCGCACGAGCTGACGGGTCGATATCTGAACGACTGTCTACTGAATGTCTGTCGAGTGAAAGACCCTCCACAACTTCCTGACCATGATTCGACAAGTCTCCGACACTCAAAAGTCTTTAGAAGCAGGTGCTCGATCAGAGCAGGGCTTCGACAGAGAAGATAAGGAAAAGATCAGTAAGCCAATCCTGGATACTACTTCATCCCCCAGACAACGCGATGGTGGTAAAGGTAGGTTTGGTACTCTCCCTTCCATCCTTGTTCGAAGAGACACGGAAAGAACTATAGTCAACAGGCATGCTGTATCTTCTCGTTGTTCCGCAACAACACCTGTATGGATCGACGTCGAATTTGACTACAAGCGTCAGCTTCATCTCGAACGGTCAATGAGCGATATCTGTTGGCTGCACCAATGGACAGGCTTCACTAATTGAAGCTCTAGCTCAGTGCTAATGAGACCAATCTTATAGAACTTGATCTGCGACTGTAACTTTTGATGAAGGCGAACGGGTTCCTCCCATCCGAGCAGTAGATCGATTTGAACGTTGTCTTCCGAAATGCTACGAGTAATTCCCGATCAAATAGCCATGCTTGGATGCTCTCGCTGATGCGATCATTTGAACGGTATAGGCAGGAAGGAGCGGTAGAGCATGGCTGCAAGGAATGATAGTGAGCTCGAAGCATTGATACCCACTCAACTGTCATCCGATACAGTAATCACGTCAGGCGCATATTGCGCACTTGCTGATCGCCAGTCTAGGTGATCGAGCAACAAAGCCGTCGAGTATCGATCTCCATCGGTCCTAATCCCAGGTTTGAAGCATTGAAAGTGTAAAGGGACGCAGGATGTCGATGCGTCAATGATCGAACGAGAAGTCATCTCGGCTGAATCTCATGACTGCAAAGAGACGTCGTACAAAGACGATGGACTTCCGACTCTGTCTGTTCTTGCATCTCGGTTCTGACTGGAAACTCTGGGCTGATACATACGAAGCGGTCTCAGTATCACATCCCATTAGTATAACAGTTAAGACTCACCGGAGGTGTTACCAAGTAATGTCGTCGCGATCAGGTATGGGATGAAACACCCGGCACCGAAGTTGCCCGCGAATGCGGTTCCGCTACTCTGCGCCTGTTATAGCAGCCCCTTTGAGGTGAGGTCATTGTATCGGCTTTTCTATCGGTTATTGATGCTCATATACTGTTGGCATGAGATCGACCTTTCTCGACCTCTGCGTTTCGTTTAAAGGACCTACCTCTAAGATGCTGGCTAGGACATATGATTTGCCTGTCGGAAAAAGAGGGACGCGGGGGTCAGTCATTTGATCAAGGCGCTTTCCATTCAGACCGAGCCTGATCGATGTGCAGGTTTGTCCCTTCGCCATCTCGTTGTCGCATTCGCTAGTTCATGAAGGGTGACTGACAGGGTGGTCGCCATCGCTTCGGCTTGCAGATCGTCGACTTGACGTCGCAAGGGAATTTGCCAATAACGCTGGTCAGCACGGTCTGAGTTGTATTTGATGTGCGCCTGACGACCCGTCTTGGAATGATTCCCCATTATCATAGCGACGCCGCCGTGGGCTCCGATCATTAATGAATGTTGGGCAGACGTTTGTATGTACAGCCCACAGCATTCGAAACCTTGCGTCCATTTTTCGAATGACCTCCCAACCCATTCAAGATCTTAACGAGAGGGCGATATAAACCGACAATAACTTGATAGCTGTAATGGGCGAAGCTCAATAATACATCTTGTATTTGTAAGAATTATGACCTTCTTGAAGAAACCGCAGTGCAATGCGGTATTACCGCTTCGAAGTAGGAACACTGAAGACCGCTGCTGTGGGCACGTCATCCAAGGCGACTACTGACACGTACAAGGCAATATCAAGTATTTGGACAGGATATTGTCGAAGCTGAATGCGTACACGACTTTTGATATCACAGACTTGAGTGTAAGATATGCAGTAATGCTGACTGAGACATGACGAAGCGTGTGAGCAGGAGCGTATATAAAGGGCTATGACAGAACAATTTTAGTATGCGCAAGCGCAATGTACTGTAGCGGTGTTACAGTATCCCATATCAGCCCCGTAGCCTCTACCAACTGAGCTAAGAGGGATCCGATGTCTGGGAGTGTATCATATGTAACATAATTCGCAAGAAGGTTGATTGTCATATAGTGATCTTGAGTCAAGGATGTATCTTTTTCCATGTGTATGAGTGTGACGCTGACAGGATGAAGCGGTCGCCCAGCCTCGTCTGAGAGGAAGAACAGTGAGTCAAGGATGTACAGGTAGGGTCGCGCCTTGACGGAACGCGCGCCTAGCAAATCGCTAACAAAGTGTTCCGTCTACGCGCGACCCTCACTGTATCTTCTTCCATGGTACGAGTGTTTGGTCAGTCAAGATCATAGTAGGGTTTGCCAAAGAAGGCATACGCCGCTCAAAGTGGGGAGCTTGGGGAATTCAAAAGCGGTAAGAGAAGGGCTCGTCGAACCCATTGGGGAGGGCCGGACCTTGACCCTTTATGGTGCGCATTGGTATCTGTCCTTGCTCGCAAGCCGTACGCGGTGTTCAATACTATTGCGCTTCACGTTTTGTGATATGGTCATTTCGGGGGCGGTTGTGCTGAAAGTTGGAAAAACAGGAGCGCTGTCACAGAAGGTTCGAGCTATTACACAGCCACTTGTCAATGAGACTTGTGCGTGCGTGAAACGATCTCTTGACGAGCCTTTACAGCTCATCATGACACAGGGGATGAAGTAAGGAGCCTGGGGGCAAGCACGGAGTGGTGGGGGTCAGCATCAAAGGAAGGCAAGACTCCCTGGGTTTGATACCAGGCCTAGCGGCCATTGCGGTAGCTCTATAAAGATCATATCGTAGCAACTCTCTATCTCGTGTCCCCTGTCTAGAATAAAGTCACTGATATACACGCTCTTCCAGACGCGCAGAATTCGGCAGGGCCGTCCTTGTGTCCTGAAGAACCACCTTCAGGATCATCCATACGACAACCGCGAATTACGGGCGGTCGCTCAGAAACTTTCCGCAATAAATCGACCGATCGTACAAGTGGCCGTGGTTATTGCCGTGGACTCAGGGCTTGTGCAGGGTAGTCCTGTAACGACCGCTAGTACCACCGACGCCATAGTTTATACCGTCTATCCGAATCGGACCATCACGTGGGGAGATCGCAAAAAGGTCAGCAGGCGAATCGTCGCTTGACACTAACACTCGAGCCGCTGATCTTGACGGTCGCACTGCTATAGCTGGAGTCTGGAGAGTTTCCTGATTATGAAATCGCCGACTGTGTTCAATGGTGTGAGAGATCGCAAGGTCAGTCATACCCGAGTCTCCGGTTACGGAATCATGCTGAGCTCTCTACGCCTCTCTGCCCATGTCATGTAGGATGTGGAGCTGTAGAGTGGAATAAACAGCATGGATCGCTGCAGCGATGTACTCTGTATGACTCATGGCCCAGATCCTATACGTGGGGGGATCCCACCAAGCTAGAGGGAGAGACCGCGGGTGCATGGAAGGGGGATTATTACCATCCAGAGTGTGAGTGTCCATGTGCACCAAGTCGGACTGATCCACAACGCCTATATTCGTAGCACATTACTGATCCCGCCATACGCAACCTTTCTTCATACTCATATATGTTCGGTGACAAGGCAGACAAAAACTACCTATTGCGACTAGTTCCTCCTTCTGGTACTTGATCAGCCGCGCAGGTTCAGCCTGGTCCAATGACCAGTTGCCACCGCTACATGTCTTGCTTATTGTACAGCCCAACCACTTTCCATCCATCATGTACATCGAGATCTTTGTCATACGTGCGAGGTCAAGAAGTAAATGATGATTGTCGCGGCTTACGTTTCATGCGCCAAGAAAGGGTTCGGGCGCGCCCTCATGTTTCCGAAGATCAGTAACGTTACTCGAGTTTCACGGAAAGTTGGTAATACCACTCGTAGATCAGTCTTCCCTTGCGAAGTCGACGGTAAAGGCCTCCATCACTCTGCCTGTGATCGTCACGTAGGCCAGACTGTCACCGCAACCTTCGCAGGTGGCGAATCCGCAATTGAATAGCAGGCCTGAAACTGGGTATCGCACCGCTAACGACCCTCGATCCTGCCCGTCATCGTCGACGCATTAACACCTGCGCCCCTGGCGACTTTATTATTGTGTCGGTGCCGGCCCCACGTGATAGGTATACTAGGATGCATCGTCAAAACCCGCGTAAAATATGCTACAACGTACACTCTCTTGATCAGGTACCTTCTATCCACTGCACGATCATGCGTTGTCCACCGCACTCTCTTCCGCCTGTGTCTCCGTCGCAGTCTCGGTAGGCTTTTTGGCATCCACATCGGTCGTCGACTCGGCTTCGACGGCGGGCTGCGAGATCGTGATCCCGCTCTTCTTCCTAAGCTCTTCGGCGTAGTTCTTGTAGTCCTGTAGAGTCCAAATGAGACAGTGTGTCGATACAGGACAATCAGGATGTTCAATTCGTTACACGTAGCACTCAAGCCAAGAGTAAGCTGAGGTAACTTACGACGTTATCGGGTTCCACCTTGACGCCCCTCTGCATGGTGTGGAATGCTTCTTCGAACCGGCTCATCCCATCCAAAGCTTTCGCTTTTCTGTGATAACAAAAGCGAGCACAAAGACGCAGACATTGTTCAGTAGTCGCCTGATTGCAAAGGGGAAGTGTGGTCGAGACGGCAGAGGGGAAGAGGGACATACCTGAAGTATCCTTTGGCGTTCTTTGGTGATAACTTGATGCAAGCGTCGGCATCTGCATATGCGGCCGGCCTATATCGCCATCACATCCACAACGACGGAGCAAAATGATCAGCTACACCGCTCATCCTGCTCAACCCTGCGGGTCTCGAGACAAGCCAACGTACCACTCTCCCAGAGCCGCAGCCGAGGCGCTCCGGTTCATCAACGCCGCGGTGATCTCGTCTTGAGACGACTTGGCCTGTTCCCAGGCCGGTTTGCCCATAGAGAGACCGACCGAGCGGGAGTAGAGGGCACCGGCTTCTCGGTGGTTGCCGTCCTTGAACCGTTTCTAGATGATTGTTCCATAAGGTCACGAGTGTGCGGTGACAAAGGGATTCGGGATGGAATATGGTATTGAACCATGCTTAGTCTGAGTCGATGCCAGGCATGCGAAGTGGATCGTGACTCACGTTGCCTTCCTCTCTCGTCTTCAACACGGCCTCTCCTTGCTTGGCAAACGGCACATTCGGTGGAGGAGGCGGATGACTCGGGTTGAGCAAGCTCATGAAAAAGCTCAACTGGTTGATATCCCTGAAATCCACGTTACACTTGTCACAGACCAGCTGTTCGTGTTCCGGACAGAGCAAAGCCGGGAGTGGAGGAGGTGCATTAGGTCGAGGTGGAAGGTCTTTGAGGACGAAGGGGATCGGAGTGAAGGGGAGAGCGTCGAGGATGGCTGCCGTGTGGGGTGGCATTTGAGCTTGGGCCATCATTTGGGGTGGTGGACGAGCTGTCATTCCGGCAGGTGGTTGCGGGTGCGGGTGAGGGTGTGCGTGCGACATGATCCGGAGCTATGACTTTTTTAGTAGTATCTTGGAGCTATGTGATTCAGAGTAGCGATAAGCTATGGATGTGTTTAGACGAACAGAGGTAGATAGGGTCGATGGTGCAAGGTCGATCGCCCAGCTGTGTCTCGGTCGGTCATCTCCTCCTCGCCGGGGTCTCGCGAGCAGGACCGACCTGAGGGTTTCGAGCGACCTCGACCTTTTATAATCATCTCCTATCCTACTCGACAAGCTTAACCACATAAAGCCAGTCAGTCAACAGCTTAACGGCTAGAGCGTCAGTCACCGTCCCAATGTCGGACCTCAGGCAATACATCAGCGACAACGTGCTACGTTTCCTAGGGGCTTCGGACAGTAGCACGGTAGACTATATCCAAACCCTCGCCACTTCCTCCAAGAACGCCAACGACCTCTACTCGAACCTCTCTGCGAACGGTCTCCCCGATACTCCCGATGCACAGGCGTTCGTGTCGAACCTGTACGGGTTGTTGCCCCGGAAGAAGGGTCTGGGGAGTAGTAGCAGGTCGGAAGGCAAGGAGAGGAAGAAGGACAAGGAGACGTCGATGTTGCTGCAACAGCCGCAGTATAGCTTGATGCTAGAAGACGAGCCGGGGCCATCACGGAAGGATAAAAAGAAGAAGCGGGACAAGGAGAAGGACAAGGGCAAGGAGAGGGATCGAACGGACAAGGAGGACAAGCCTTCCAAGTTGATAGAGGGATTCAAGGAGGATGGTTCGGATAGGAAAAAGATTCATCGGTCGACACGAAAACGAGAGGTCGATGGGAACGAATGGGTCAGCGATGAGGAGGAGAAGGAGAGGGAGAGGAAACGGATGAGAGAGTATTCACCCGATATGCGGGATAGGGATAGGGACGAGGACGATCGATATGCTCGTCGAGGCGACCTAGAGGAAGAGGACGTCAAGCCTCAAGAGACCGAGGCGGAACGTATAGCCAGAGAGGAAGAGGAGGATGCGAGGGAACGAGATGCTTTCGCAGAGAGGATGAAGCAGAGGGACAAGGATTCGACGAAAAAGCTCGTCACCGACCGTTCGTCCAAGGGGGACCAGGAATCCGGAGCGAGACGAGACTTGGCCAACGACCCGGAGGCTAGGAGAGACGCCTTGCCTGGATTGCGGGAACATTCTAGGCAGGAGTACTTGAAGAAACGTGAGCTTCAGAGGATCGACCTGCTCAAGCTCGAGATCCAGGATGAAGCCATCATGTTCCGTGGTCAAAAGTTGACGAAACGGGAGATGGCGGAGCACGACAAGAAGAAGGAGTTGCTCAGGATCATGGAGGAAAGAGCCAAGATCGATGATGGCACGGACGGATACGTCATGCCGGAAGACTATATCACCGAACAGGGCAAGATCGACCGCAAGAAGAAGCAAAACGTCTTGTACAAACGTTACGACGACAACAAGAAGGACGAAGGACAATTCGTCACCGATGTCGATCAGTGGGAACAGAGGCAGACGGAGCAGAGCACGTACAAGACGGGAGCTATGGACAAGGCTTTCGTCGAGGAAGAGTACGATTACGTGTTTGATGAGAGTCAGGCGATCAAGTGGGTCCAGGAGGGCAAGGAGGAGGGGTTGATGTCCGAGAAAGATCGGACGTTGCAGGCTCAGATCGAGGAACTGGAGCAGAAATGTGAGTCGTGACAATCCGATAGCTGCGTTTGTGTATGCTGGCTGATAGCGGATATTCTTCGTCTCAGACTCCAAGATCGAGGCCACGCGGAAATCGTTACCGGTCTACGAGTACAGGGACGAACTATTAGAAGCGATCGCCGAGCACCAGGTATTGATCGTCGAAGCCGAGACCGGGTCGGGGAAGACGACACAACTACCGCAATACCTTCACGAAGCGGGATACACGAAAGGCGGGCTCAAAGTCGGCTGTACGCAGCCTCGACGAGTGGCCGCCATGTCCGTCGCTGCACGTGTAGCGGAAGAGATGGGAGTCAGACTGGGTCAAGAGGTCGGTTATTCGATCCGTTTCGAAGACGCTACAAGCGACAAGACGGTGCTCAAGTACATGACGGATGGGATGCTGTTGAGAGAGTTCCTAACGGACCCAGAGCTGTCGACGTATTCGGCGCTTGTCATCGACGAAGCCCACGAGCGTACGCTGAGTACGGATATCTTGTTTGGACTGGTCAAGGTGAGTTTAGGAAGCTACAAACACGTCACACTTGACTTATTGACCCGAAACGACTCTGCCATCAGGATATTGCACGATTCCGCCCAGAACTGCGGTTACTCATCTCGAGTGCCACCCTGAACGCTCAAAAGTTTGCGAAATACTTTGACGATGCACCGATCTTTCGAAGTAAGTTCTCGGTCGGTGGTCGTCTCATTGTCTGCGTTTACCCGGAATATTGATGAGCATTACCCTTTCATAGTTCCCGGTCGAAGATATGCAGTTGATCTGCATTATACCGCTCAGCCAGAGGCAAACTATATCCACGCGGCCGTCACGACCGTCTTCCAGATTCATACCAGTCAGCCCAAGGGAGACATCTTGGTGTTTTTGACCGTGAGTCTTCTATGACTCGACAGCATGAGATCATGAAGCTGATATGATTATTTCGTTGCGCGAATAGGGTCAAGAAGAGATCGAGGCAATGGAGGAGAACTTGCGGGAAACAGCAATGGCACTGGGGGACAAGGTGCCTGAATTGATCATCGCCCCTATCTATGCGAACCTGCCGAGCGACATGCAAGCCAAGATTTTCGAGCCGACACCACCGGGGGCTCGAAAGGTGAGTCGCTGGGCGTCGGACTTGCTCATGTTTCAATTTGGCTCACTTGTTTGGATTGCCTTGGTCACCAGGTCGTTCTTGCTACTAATATCGCCGAGACTTCGATCACAATCGACGGGGTCGTCTACGTGATAGATCCCGGGTTTGTCAAGCAGAATAATTACAACCCCAAGACCGGTATGGAATCCCTCGTAGTCGAGCCGGTGAGTTATATCTCACGACCACGCCGACAGAATGTTGTAGCTGAATTTCTCAACATCTCACTTCTAGATCTCGCGAGCTTCCTCTTCCCAGCGATCCGGTCGAGCCGGTCGAGTCGGTCCTGGAAAAGCGTTCCGGCTGTATACGAAATACGCGTACAACAACGAGCTCTTGGCGGACACGATACCCGAAATCCAGAGGACGAACCTCGGCAACGTCGTCCTCATGCTGAAATCCCTCGGTATCAACGACCTGCTCAACTTTGATTTCCTCGATCCGCCACCGGCAGAGACGTTGATCAAGTCGTTGGAGAACCTGTACGCGCTCGGGGCGTTGAATCACAAGGGAGAGTTGACGAGGTTAGGAAGGAGAATGGCAGAGTTCCCGGTGGATCCACAGTTGTCCAAGGCGATCATCCAGAGCGAGGCATTCGGGTGTACAGATGAGGTGAGTCGAATTAGGGGCCAACAAAACGGCGGGATAGTTTGCTGATCCAAAATCGCGCTGTGCCAGGTCTTGACGATCGTCTCGATGCTGCAAGAAGCCCACGCCATGCTCTACCGACCAAAGGACAAGAAAATGCACGCCGACAAGGCTCATCAGAATTTCCAGAAACCCGGGGGAGATCACTTCACTTTCTTGAACATCTGGGAACAATGGGTGGATACGAATTATTCTCAGCAGTAAGTTGGGCCGAGACGATGAATTAGCTGAAAGCTGTGCGCTAATGAGAAATGCGCTTCTCGCAATGTTCCAGATGGTGTTATGAGAATTTCTTACAGTTCAAGTCCCTCGGTCGAGTCCGGGACGTCCGGGACCAACTCGCCGGTCTCTGCGAACGAGTCGAAGTCGTCATCAAATCCAACCCGAACCCGGGCGACATCGTACCTATCCAAAAGGCCATCTGTTCGGGGTACTTTTTCAACACGGCCCGTATCCAAAAGGACGGAGGGTACCGGACGACGAAGAGCAATCAGACGGTCTATATCCACCCGACTTCGGCGCTGTTCCAGGCTCAGCCCCCACCGAGATTTATACTCTATTACGAGCTGGTCTTGACGAGCAAGGAGTTTATGAGGCAGTGCATGCCTATCGAGGGGATGTGGTTGTTGGAACGTGAGTCCTCTCATCTCTCTCTCTTCGGCGCTCTTTACTTTATATTTCACATCAAGGCTGGTTCGGGAATTGACGAGATCGCTGTTTTTCATTCTTCCTCTCATTCACTTACGAACAGTCGCTCCGCACGCGTTCAACAAGGAACAGGTGGACATGGGTTCACAGACGAAAAAGATGCCAAAGACGAGACAACAACCCGCGATCGGGCCGGTGGAATGAGAGATGCATTCTGCCCCAATCGGAAACTGAAGAGCCAAGCAGGAGACGGAAACGGAAGAAGGGGAAACAACAAGGATTTTCGTACCTTTCTTTTTTCAACCTTGTCGAAGTACTCGTACGAAATAAAAGAAAATATGAAAGAACCCGGGTTTGCGGTGTTTTCCAACCGCTTCAATACTCGACGCTTGAGATGCATGACATCATCTGTCGTAGCGTCTCCAGTTCGTGTGGTGACAGTTTGAAGGTAGCGATCCCAGATCATCTGCATTACGACATAGCTACTGATGCGATTCGATGCTCGTGCAAGTTTGAAACGGTAAGTTGGTTGGTCCTTGATGAATTCCCTGATGACTGAAGATGCTTCCGACCATTGCAATCTTGGATATCTCAAAGTCAAGGATGGATTTAGATTGAGATTTTCTACCTTTGACTCACCCATCCTTCTGTAGTAAACCTTTTTCAGAGTAAAATTTCGTACGGTACGGCAAGGTATCTAAGGGAACGAGTCGGTTGCGAGACCTAAAAGGTGAGATGACATGCTAGTACGAGTATGACTACTCCAGAATGACACGCTCGAGGAGCTCATATCGCAAAGCCGACTCGTGCATGTGGACCATTATTAGTTCTCTTCAACAATAATAATGTATTCAACAGCAGCCTGTACTGACGGTCAGCCCAGTCGTCCATTCAGGCTGTCGCAGTCCTAGTCATGTGCAGGCTCACCAAAATCAATCGCTGAATGTCGCAAACCTTCATGAGCGCGGACAAAGTACAATCGGTATATGATCATGTTGGAAGATCTACACCTCGGTGCTCGATCAGATCGCGCAGCTTGTCAGGTTTTGTCTCGATGAGAGCGCCGTATCATCCTGGCTGATGTTTCAGGTGGTGGGAAGTGAAGTCGTACGACTCTCAAGGCGACGCGCATCGAAACCGAGTGATCGACCGCGCTGTGTTTGTTTTGTGCCCATGGGGGGGGGAGGGGACGATCACAGGAGTTCACGCGTCCCCAGTTTGAACCCAGATTGGCGCGTCGCCAACCGGGGGGCGAAAGCAACTTTTTTTACTAGTGCAAAACGCGCCAATCCAGGGAACAACCGGGCATGGATTGACGCGCGATTTGCCGGATTGGGGGGGGATTGACATTTCCCTAAGCGCTCTTTTGTTCCGTTCAATCAGGCATCAATCTGGCAACAATCCATGGCATATTTGTATCCGCATGTTACAGATTACGCTTCCGCCTGATTACGTGTTTCTATTGTTCTATCGAGAAGCACCGACCAACACGCTCGAGAAGCTCGACTCGACGTCTACTAACTTACTACCTACCTACCTACCTGTAAATGCAGTAAAAACCGTCAAGTCACTCATATTCACTCTCCACACACTTACAACATCTTATCTACCCCGTTTGGACCCCTATAAACACCCTCATAACTCCCTAGACTCCTTTGACGAACTTTACGACTATGTCTGCTGCTGTAAGTGCTTCAAATCGCTTCGAGTGCATTCATACTTCAATACTGACTCAACCGGCCTTGTCTAGAACACTAACATCAAGGGTTTGGTGAGTAGTCTGTTTATGAGTGGTGTTTTTCTCTATCGCACTGTGAGATCTGTTTACTTACTCGTACTGGGTGTTTTCCCCCTCCTTTCTACCTAGTTTCGTCAAGTCAAGCCGTACGAACATGCGGAGGAGCACGAGGAAGCCGACCAGCGCTTCCATAAAGGTCTCGAGCGGGTTGAGCACTACGTCCGAAGTGCTATCGATGCAGCCGACTTGATCCCCGAAAACAAGGAGATTGAGAAGATCGACAAGAACAACGTCAGCTCGATCGTCAAGGTTGTAACGAGGATCGTCGCGGCAAACTCCAACGCGATGGCCCAAGTTCAGGGTGGATTGGCCGGCGTTTCGCACCTGTTTGAGGAGATTGGTGAGGTCGCCCAGGAGAACGTCCAGTTGCGTGCAAGAGTGGAGACTTTGGAAGACGAAGTCCAAGCCCTGCAAGAACAGGTCGCAAACCCCCTCGTTGGGGACATGAACGCTGCAGGTGTTCTCCAACTCATCACCGGCAACCCCGAGTTTGCCGCTTTGGTCTCCGGTATCGCTCGAGACGCCATGGGTGTCCATCCGGGTGCCCTTCCGCCCCCAATCGAGGGAGCTATGCCCGAGGCTGGGCCCTCATCGCCTACGAAAGCGACCAAGGGTCGCAACAACATCCTCCACGTAAGTCTTTTCTTCCCTGATCTTAACTTACGCCAAAGACGGTCGAACATTACCTGATTGTACCCCGCTTGTTTCACAGGCCCATGTTCACCACCACGTTCGACGTTTGATCGGTATGCAGTCGAAGCTGTTCCCGGGGTCAATGGACACCGTGAACACCGGATTGGAGGCCGTTATATACCCGAAGCCTCGAGTGAACGGTCAGAAGACCATTAAACTCACGCTACCGAACGGCGTTCGTCAAACGTTCTTTCGACCGAACTGGAGGAAGGTCAAGAACAATCCGTGAGTCTTCTACCCTCTATCTCGCATGATCGTACCCGTATTGATGTGTGTTTGTGTCTCGCAGTGAATGGGACGATTTCGTTAGGAACGTTCAGGATTCGGTCATTGCAGGCTGGAACGATTACCGAGGCGATCCCCCCAAGGAGGTGCCCGATCGTGCCCAGATTTCGGTCAGTTTGTTCAAGTTCTGCAACACGATCGCCGGTAAAGCGGGAGAGGGGAAAGCCACCTGCATGGACGGTGGGAAAGACAGGGTGGGCTGGTCGAACAAGAAGGCCCGTGCGGTGAGCTAGATTGACTAGATTGACACCCACTTGGACCCAACTTGTGCTCACCATCATACAAATCACCCACCGAATAGACCCTGGCCAGCCGGAAGACAATCTGGACCTCTTCCCTGGTCAATCAGTCCCGAAAGAGGGTCATTTGGAAGCTGCTTTCGCAGCCTTGTTGCGCGCCGGTCTACTTCCCGAACGACCCGTACACGGAGATGCGGTACCCGAAGCTAGACCCCTGCAATGTGGAGACAAACGACCCCGCTGACGCCCTGTATTTGGGTGCTTGGGAGGCCTACGGTCGCCACCACATGGTCTCGGAGGGCGTCGCCAACGAGAAGATCTCGGGGGCGATCGAGAAGTGCTATCCCAGTTGGATGTCCGACGAGGTAGGTTGGCCCCCATATACTCCCCGTTTGACTTGTGTAACTCGAACTGATTCTTTCGTGTTGATACCTTTGCCATCGTCCCTTCTCTTGAACACAATCGCATGCAATCATGCTTCAAACTACCTGTGTTCTCCCCTGCAATAGGCCGTCTTCGCCTCTGCTGCTCTTGACGCGGCGTACGGGTTGACCATCACCCAGGCCCAATGGCAACAGCGATGGTGCGGGCCGAGGTCTTACTGGCCCCTAACGCAGCTCAAGACTGCCCAGTTGGCCCCCCCTTCGGCCCAGGATGCCAACGTCCCCGATCGCTCGGACAAAAAGCTGTGGGTGATCTACCGATCGATGGTCAGGCCAGACGTTCTGGAGGCAATCGATGCCAACGACGCCTCGCTTGCTGCCCGGTTGTACCCCGATCCGCCTCTCTCGGTCAACGACGCCGCGATGGACGACCTGCCGACCGTCATCGCCAAGCCCAGCAACATCACCACGGCTACTGCGATGCGGCCCATGTTGCCCCCGGTTGGTCCCGCTTTGACCAAGGAACAGCTGCGAGAGAAGGCGCTCGAGTATCTCGCTCAGGATCACGGTATCGTCGAGCACATCGAGGAGGAGGAGGACGACGACATGCAAGTCGACGCCGCGTAAACGGGCTCCAGTCACCCTCGAAAGGACCGGGATTGTTGTGGTGTTTTTTGACCGTTGTGGGTGAGCGATCTTATGCTCGATAGGGGCGCCAAACGCAATTTACATACCGTAGGGGCGCCAAACGCACATAATTGGAGGCTGATTGTATCCGGGTTGGAGTTCTTGCGACTTACGTTCCTTTTTTTTATATTTTTCAAACTTATAATGTTTCGATATCGAGTTTGTTTGTAATAGGTGTGTTTTATGCTCTCAGAGGTGGTCGTTTGGAGGCCAATATATGCATGATTGCCGTACCTCCAGCACGCAGAACATTGTGAACCTATTTGTAGAATGAAGTCCATCCGTATTCCGTAAGACATGATCAGACATGATTAGGGGCCATACTCTTGTCTATTGTGTCCCGAACGAGAGTAGTTAGTACCCGGTTTGGTTTTCGCTGGTGTTACGCACATTACATTCAGACTCTTGTGACTGCTGTACAAGCCCAGATCTTTGGGCTATCAACTTCCCCCGGATGTAACGGGATTGGCCTTACAACGACCGGCCTCATTGACTCAACTGTTCCGTTCGTCAACTCCCAGCATCTAGTCTCTCGTTCAAAGGTACCAGGATGCCACAAAGTCACACCTAGATCGGGACTAGATTGCCAATAGATCAGACCTCCCTTCAATAGGGACGTTTAAGCCGATGCTTACTGTCGACCATAAGGGTATTCTGTCTCCCGTTCAAAAGGCATGCCATGCGCCCCCAACATTAATCTAAACTCCCTCGTTTGGCCCCCACTTGCACGCGCCCTGATAGTAATGAACGATTGGATCAAAATCAAAGGTGGTCGTCCAATCCTGCACTCAAATACGTCTTTTTGAGGTAGAATGATGGCCAGTCGGTCCCGGAATGCTTGAAGTGGGGCTGTGGCGGGGGATTTTTTGCCCGTATACGCAGAAAACTGCTTGTAAGCAGGTCTAATCTGAGTGTGATTGATCCCCGAAGTGTCTATGATCCATGTATTCTCTGTTGGTCGATTTCCAACCATGTCAAGAAGGTACGTATCGCCAGGCTGTGTCTGGGGGCTATTCTTGAGTCTTTCGTGGATGATTGGCCATAGATTGAAGTCCAGATGCTGCAGAACGCTGCCGACGACTTGAAACGTACTCTTGTCTGCCTCCATTACAGGTGCGTCAGCCTGTAATTGTCGAATATTCTCCTCATGTTCGGCAAATAATTCGGACGCTGAAGATCCCCTGGATTTATCTTCTCGTGTGAATGACGCGTGCAAACTAGCCAGTTTGGACACAGATTGATGGTCCTCTGGCTCAAGCGCATATCTTCGAAGGTGATGTTGTATCATGCTTGCTGTACTGGCGCGCAACCGGGCATTAAGTGCGGTGATTTCTACCACCTTTCCGTTGGTATTGACGTTCTTATAGCATTTCCCACAACGTTCGCCCGCAAAACACCAGTGATTGTATGGGCCTCCATGACGTCTCACGTCCCCCGGAATGTGTATGCATTGGTGTATGTTTCGGGTTGCCTCCAATCCTGGCCAGATCCCCAGCGCCGACGGTACCAGCCGGCCTAATAGGACCTCAGCTCGACAGAGCTGAATCTCGCTGATTTCTGGCCTGAGTAGCAGTAGATTGACCCCCGAAACAAGTAGGGTCACGTCGAGTTCAGCCTGTGTGATCTGGGTGGAGATCCGCGCACGTATCTGCCTGTTTTGCGTGCTTTCTTCAGTCGGATTGAACCATGATTGGATGGCAATCTCTGGAAAGATCAAAGGAACATAAAACTCGGCAAAACACCTCCACTGAACAGCCGTGATTGTACCCCCTTTGACGTCCATTATAGTCTTTGGGATGGAAGGGAATACTGATCGATCGCTTGGGGTCAAGACCTGCCAATCAGTAGTAGCAAAGTATGGGCGTCAATGTGTAGCCAGACGGGCAATATTCGATGGCGTACTCACCTCGCTCATTGCAGTCTTGATGGCAGTGAGCTGAGATGGTGTCAGACCGCCAACAAGATCAGGACCGGTTCGTTCGGGCGTTTGTCGAGCCTGGCTGGCCCCAGTTTGTGGCCCAAACATCTCATACGCAGGTCGTGCTGCTGTGCGAAAGACGTCTGCATCGGCCTCCGAATCGCTTTCATCGGGGTCTGCGTTTCCAATCCCCCCTCGAACGGTACGATAGTGGCCCTGACCGATGCACCTTCGGAAGATGGTCTTGTTAACACCGAGGAGAAGATTGTGCATCGCGTCAAATACCCCTTGCACAGAGATGTTGAGATAAGGTAGTAGATAGAGGGCACTGAGGTGGCCCGGTGGGACCCGGTTCTGAGGTAGATTGAGGAATCGTTTACGCGCGGCCTCTGTAAAAACCTTTGCGCGATATTCGGGGGTCAATGTGGTTCCAGTCCGGGGAGGTCCTTGCCAGTATGCCGCTCGCAACTCCCGGTTCTCACGAACTAGTTCTTCCTCCCGCCGATCATGGGCAATTGCCTCCCGGTTGAGGGCCTCCTGTTGTAGTCTCTCTCTGTCAAGGAAAGCCCGAGCCTGAGCAATAGAATCACGTGGTTGGCCAACTATGAGGCGAATCAGCAGTTTACACAGGTTGTACGTCAAACTCCCTCCAAACTAACCTCGACCAGCCGCAAAACCTGCCTGATTGAGGTTGCATCGGGTGCAGATATGGTCCTTGGACGTCTGAAAGGTCATGCCGCTCAACGATGTAAATGCCGGCCGATCACAGCTAATTGCTGCCACATAGATACGGCAAAGGACCCCGTTTGGACGCAAGGGCGTGCGAATCAAGATTGGTGTCTCCCACATCCGCCGAAGTTCGATCACCACCGGTAGCATATATTTCCAAAGGGTATCCTTTGTGGGTTCTTTCGGGCCTGTTTGTTACACGATCAGCATCAGGTCGATATTGCTTCCACAGGGTAGAATTTTACCTGGAGTCATGCCGACGCACATGATCATGGCTTGAAGTGCCCTTGATTCCTGTGGAAGGTTGGCCATTTGAACCAGGATTGGTCCGACCGAGTATCCAGGGGCAAATGACGACGAACGTTGATTCAACCAATCGATCGACAGATTGAGGAAGATTTCCTGGATTCCATCATTCTCCGTCTGATCTACCCTCAATCCAGCCGGATTGAGTAGAGAATCGATCATTGTGCCGTCGGTTTGATCTCGATAGATTTTGAGACCGGGATAGAGGCGTTCAGACAACTGGGTGTTTATCCGCCGTCTTTCTCTCCAGTTGAAGGCCACTTGCTCCACGCCTGGGTAGGACAGGACTCGTTCGATTTCAGAAACGAGGGGAAGCCTTGGGAAGGTCGATGGCATTTGACCAGTAATCGGGGACCAATCTAGCTCACAACGGGGGCACTTGGTAAGCTGATTGAGCACCAATTTAGACGTTGACATATTTGTCCGTTCGTACACAACCTCCCTACAGGCCGGATTTGGGCAACAAGGGTGGGCGATTGTAGGTAGTTCGACAGCCAATCGTCGTCTGGCAGTAGCAAGCGTCTCAGCGGGAGAGTCACTGATGATTTCTTGATGATTGTTGCAGGTACAGTCCTTTCGGGCCTTAATCTGGGTCAATTGTGCTACGGTATTCATGGCCTTGAGGGCGTATTCCGTCTTGTCCCTGGCCACCCCGACTGAATCCAATGTAAGGGCGACGGTATAGATGAACCTCTCCAGAAACGATAGATCGGCGGTCGATTGATCGCTTATCAGGCCCGAAAGTTCCCCACTTAGAGGGGCATTTTTCAACACCGGTGGGATCGGTTCAGGCCAAAGTGGCAGGAAATCATGCAGGCCATCTTGATCGTGCAATCTATGCTCATTCAGGGCGTTTTCGGGCAGATCTTGGTATCCAAAACCGGGGTCTTGAAGAGTGACGTCCGGTGTTTCGGTGGGAGCAGGTGAAGGAGAGGGAACCGATCGGAACGGGGATCGACTGGGGCTCAAAGGGGGGCCATGGGAGGTAGGGACAGGTGCTATAGGTGGTGGTATTGAGCGATCAGGGATCGGGCGACTTGGAGTGACGAACAGGTTCGTGCTTGCTCTTGCTTCGGCTCTTGCTTCGGCGGCCTCCTCAATCTCGTTCCAATCATGGGCCATATGGCGTAGAAAGGTACGCCCTTGGATGACTTTACCCCTTCTGCCACATTTGGAACATCGGCAGGTTCCAAATTCGTCTTTGCGCTGTCATGCACCAGACGGATCAGATTGGACCCAGAAAAAGAGGTGTCTGGACTAACCACCCGAGCCTGTATGGTTTGAAGGCCTAGATGTAGTGGATATATCTCGCTAAAGTCTCTAGTAGCAGAGACCCAAGACATTCTGGGAACAATCTAGGTGATTCTGCAATGGAAATCAATTGTATCGAATCTCGGCTGCCAGCACGCTGACGATCAAAAGATATATAGGCGATTGGCTGACGTAACTGACATCGGTGACTGGGGGCCAAATGCCCTTCAAACCGGGTCTCAAAACCCCAGCGAGGGACTTGTTGTTTTTAAAAATTCTTCAAAATACAATCTGGGTCCAATCCGTCGCGCGGGACGCCAAACCCCCCCCCCTGAACTCCTGTGGATGTCGGGAACGGGTTGGATCGGGAAATCGGATCAGGGATCAGGGATCAGGAGTATGGTCGTCGTATATAGTAGTACATCGACACTCTGCATACTTCCATAACAGCAGCATATTACTCCTACCTCGTCTGAAAAATCCCCACCTATTTACCGCGACAAGAATCGCATCACGATCGAAACCACACGCAATGACCTCGTCGAGCTCCACCTCGATCGAGGACCTGTCCAGGTTCGCGACCTCGACCGCATCGAGCTCAAAGACCTCGTTGGAATTGATCGTCGATCAGGAAAAGGACATGTCGGTGAGTACACCCCCATCGTTTTCTTGGATCGATCCGATCTCTACTCTTCTAAGGTCCGGAAAAGAAGCATTCGGGCGTTCGGGGGCTGATCGACCTGTGTATGATCTATTCTGCATGGTCCATGGGCGTCTCACTCATAGTCCGCTATCAACCACACCCCCGATCAACCTGATATCATCATCATCGGCGCAGGCATCGCAGGCTGCGGCCTCGCCTACTCCCTCTCTCACACCGGCCACCGCGTCCTCCTCATCGAACGTGACCTCTCTCCTCCCGATCGCATAGTAGGCGAACTCTTACAACCCGGCGGAGTGGCCGCCTTAAGGAAACTCGGGATGGGGGATTGTCTGGAAGGGATCGACGCTACGCCCGTCGAGGGGTATTGCGTTTACATGCAAGGGAAGGAAGTGCCCATTCCTTACCCCACTTTGGACGCTTGTGTGGGTGAAGGACAGGAGATCACCGAGGATGAAAAGACGTGGAGCAGGAGCGGGAAGAAGGAAGGGAGGAGTTTCCATCATGGACGATTCATCGATGCTCTCAGGCGGAAAGTTATCAAGGACGCTCCTGGAGTCCAAGTACTCGAGGGGACCGTGAGCAACTTGGTGACTTGTGATCATACGACCAAGGTCATCGGGGTCTCGGTCAATCAGAAAGTCAAGGTGCAAAAGAAGGGACAGGAGGCACAGGGGTTAGAGGAGGTGGAGATGGAGACGGTCTCCAGGAACTATTACGCGCCGTTAACGATCATCGCCGATGGATGTTTCTCCAAGTTCCGTAAAGCCGCCACCCAAGCCGTCTCTCCCAAAACGCCATCATCATCATCATCAATAACAAAATCGAACCCTTCAACCAAATCCAAGATCAGCCCGCCCACAGCGGAGACCAAAACCAAATCACACTTCATCGGCCTCGTCATCAAAGACGTCCACCTCCCCAAAGCGCACCACGGGACGGTCTGTCTGACCCCGGCTGGACCGGTGTTGTTGTACCAGATCGCCGACGAGGCGAGGGAGACGAGGTTGTTGGTCGACGTCAAGGGCAAGTTGCCGAGCATCTCTGATGGGAGTATGAAGGTGAGCGAGAGCGGTTGGGGGTTTGAGGTTCGGGGCGTGGGGAAACGGGAGAAAAGGGCGCTGGTTTGGACATGTCGCGTGAGCTGATCGGGGTTGTACATGTGTCTTGCAGACGTACATCGAGGAAAACTACCTCCCTCACCTCCCACCCTCGACCCAAGGTCCAATCCAACAAGCCCTATCGACCGACCAACTCCGCAAAATGCCCAACAGCTTCCTCCCCCCCAAAATGCAGGGGAGACGTAACGGCCGCTCGGGCGTCATCATGGTCGGCGATTCCTGGAACATGCGTCATCCGCTCACAGGCGGTGGTATGACGGTCGCGTTCAGCGACGCGGTCCTCTTGACGAAATACCTTGCGCCGAGTCGGACGGAAGGGGATGGAGGATTGAGGGATTTGCATGATTGGGAGGAGATCAGGGAGAGGTTGCAGAGGTGGTATTGGGAACGAAAAAACGTGGCGAGCGTGGTCAATATCTTGAGTATCGCGTTGTACGACTTGTTTGGGGCCGACGGTGAGTCCACGTTTTGTACCTACATTGCTAGGCGGACCGGTTCGAGGGCGAGGCTGACCTTGGGTCTGATGAATGCGGGGATGACTTAGATGCCAACCTGGCCGTACTACGGGACGGTTGTTTCGCATACTTTGAGCTCGGGGGAGACCGTGTCGCAGGACCTGTCGGGCTGCTCTCAGCGTGAGTCGATATCGACGCGACCAGTTGCTACCCTGACTCATCCGCTTGTCCGCTAAATTGTGCTATGCTACCTATCCCGGTACGGCAGCCTCACGCCCAAACCTCTGCTCCTCTTTTACCACTTCTTCTCGGTCGCATTCTACTCGATCTACATCTTGTTCACCCGGGGCGAGAGTAGCAAGGGTTCCAAACCCGGGTTTGGGGATTACCCGGCGCTCATGGTCAGGAGCGGGCAAGTGGTAAGTCCACGTCATCGAACTGAGATTGGCTGGACAAGGTGTACGTACACGTGCTGACCTTTTTCTGATATGTTCGGCTTGCGACTCGCTAGTTCTGGACGGCATGTGTGGTTCTGTTGCCTGTCATCTGGTCGGAGGTTCGGTTGTAGCCAGGTTGATCCGGATGTTGTTCATGGTTCGTGGTTTGTATAGAAAGAGAAAGCTATAATATGTTGCACATACACCCACACCGGACTTGGAGGAGGGAGGGAGGGATAGCGATGTAATAGTCTCGTCGTTGTCGTCTTTCGTGATTATACATTGTCTTACGATTGTACACGGCCATGTGGGTATAAAATGAAAATTGGTACAACTCGAACGATGGTTCATATACCAGAAAACCAGAAAGTTAACTACCCCGGAACAGTCCAAGCACTGTCCGAAGGAAAATGTCCATTGTCACCCAAACTCCTCGATCACGCCTCGACCGCCCCACAATCTGGCTCGCTCTTTCGTCGTTTACTGCTCCTCGCCTTCATCTTTTCGTCCAGATCCTGAGCTTCGCGCTTGGCAAAAGATGGGTCAGGACCGGATCGTCCGACGCCATTCATAGCTCGTTCTCCTTCTCCACCCAGCCGCCCGTCCTGTTGTCGCAGAACCTTTTCCCATTCCAACAGTTGGCATATCAAGCTACGAACGTTGTGATGGTTCAGGGCGGTGTTGCGTATGTGAGAAATGACGCGACGACTCACGAGACGTTCGGCCCCACCCACTCGCTCTTTCCCTTGACGTAGTCGTTCACGTCCCACATGCTGGATCCCTGTTTCAACCCATCCTCATCGACGAGTCCGTGATGTGAGAGCCAGAGGACGTATGCGATGATCAAAGTCGCCGAGCGAGATATGCCGCATTGACAACTAAGCGCGAAGAAGGCTCTTCAGCTCGAGACGTCGCGCTAAGAGCCTACCGCCTGGACTTACTGGATCAGGATCGGGATTTCTACCGTCCTCGCCTGTTCCATCCTCTCGATGGTCTTTTGGAAACCCCACGATCGCGAACTTTGCTCGTGCGTCGCCTCGCTCGCGAGATCCGTCTCTCCGTGCGTCCAATCGAGTTTCAGGTATGTCAATGCGGGACGGCCCTCGCTGGCCGCGTACGACCTCGCTACCGAGTCGACATCCGTCCGGTCGGTCTCTTCCTGCTGCTGACCCTTGTACGGATCTTCCAACTCCTTGGCGACATTTACGATCATTCCCCGATTTGCTCCGCCTACCCATTCGTCGAATCGCTCGACCGACTCTTCGTTCCCGATCCAGACTCCCTTGACCACCTGTACGGGTCCATCAGCGTACGGCGGCCTGGCATGTCCTTCAGGGTTGACATGGTTCGATCGAGGTAGTGGGAACAACGACCGAGCGTGAGAAGGTTGTCGAGATTGTTTCGCCGCAGAGAGCGGGTCGAGGGAGATGGACAACATCGGTCGTCTTCCCACAGTGGCATACTTGATCCCTTTACCCTGCAAACCCCGTGATGCAGCTTGCACCGATACTTCCTGCCTCTTGACACCGGCTTGCTGTCCGCCTGAGAACGTCCGCCTCACATCGATCCTCAACCCTCGAGCCTTTTTCCTCCTCCCTGAGGATCCCGCCACAGGTCCACCTTCCCCACCCGCATCCGAACCCCCCGAACTACTCGACCCGGACAAGGTCCGCCCCCACGCCCTAGGGAAAGTCTCTCCCCATGCTCTCTTCCCCCCAAGAATCTCTCTATGACCCGATTCCTCCACATTGGTGTTGGGCCCGATGATGGTCAAAGGTAGACCAGCTACAGGCGTCTCGTCACCGGGGGAACAGATCGATTCTTCCTCACTCGTCGTCCCCGTCCCGCTCGTCGACGGACAATCCATCGATCCGACCGAGTGTAACGAGAACGAGCTGGTATGCCCGTACCCAGGCTCTGTTCTGGTCGCACCAGGTACCCTGTTACCCGGGCTCAACAGGTTTCCGACGTCCAGATGCATCCCCATCTTTGTCTCGCTTTCAAGTGATTCGTCCTGATTTCCCGTATCATACGGTCTCATCCCTAAACCCACTCCCGATCCCGAGCCGGAACCAGAACTCGGCCCGCTACCTCCTCTCGACCTTCCATGACCGTCCGAACGCGCAAACGGATGAAACCTCGTCAAAGATCCACCTCCACCTCCAGCAGCACCACCAGCGGCTGTACCGTTCGTCCCTGTTCCTAATCCCAGTCCGACTGAACTCTTAGGCCTTCTCAGTCCTCTTTCTTGGCTTCTTGGGGACAGCCGGGGAGGTAGGGTAGTGGGAGGGTAGGTAGCGCTCCGGTCTGGATGTAACGTCTCATCGCAAGTCTGCACGTCGAGAAGGTTCGAGCTCAGAGCCGAGCTGTTCATTGGGATGGCGGAGGGTGTGGTTTGATAGGCTGGCAAGACCGACCCTGACCCCGACCCCGACCCCAAACCGGACATCGACATTGACATCGATTCCAACTCCTTGGAGCCTGGATGGGGAGAGACGAGGTACAATTTGTCCAACGACGTCGAGGGCGATGTCTCTCTCGGCGATTTCTCCTTGTTGGTAGTTGGGGATCGAGGGGCGAGAAAGGATGGAGGTGGAGCCAACATGCTGGATGGTCCCGGGTTACCTCTTTGTTTTGTTGAGAGGTTTCGAGCTGTGGAGGCTGGGAAAGGGAAGATGAGCTGTGGTTGAGCTCGTATCGTATCGTGTTTCCGGTCTCAAGATCTGGTTCTCGAAGAAGTAAAAGGTGAAACCGTTCTCGAGTCCGGGAGCCTCCCGTATGGTTCGTACTTTCCGGACGCCGGAGTATAATTCCTAACGTTGATCCGAAGTGTGGACTGAATCGAATCGGATCGAACCAGGTCGAAACTACACGTCCAAAACTCGATGGTCGACGAACCTATTCTCCTCTGGCTGTGTTGAGATCGTCTTCGGCGTTTGAAATTTCCGAGGCGCAGGTTCCCCCGACGGTCGGCGTCGAGGTTGGAGGTGGGTTTTGCAAGCAAGATGAAGGATGCAAGGAGAGTATGTGTGTCGTTGACGGGTGCGAGTGACGTGGTGGTGGTAGAGGCAGTGTTGGTGAAAAAGAATGTGTTGTAGATCGATTCCCCCTTGTCCGTTCGTCCGTCAAACCCACCGGGTCGGCGATCGAGGCTGTGACGAATAAACCGACGACTGATTGTCAAAAACCGCTGAAAAAAGTTTAAAGTTTAATACGTCAAATTGCGATCCTGTGCATATGATGTATCACGAGCACGATGAACACCACTACAAGCAGGATGCATGTAGGATACGTAGGATGATATGTAAAGCCGACTTGAGGGCCACACCTTGCACATGCATCTGTGATTTGTAAACCTGTAGCATGATACGGAAAAACTCTCCAACAGACATGAAACGCAAAAACGATCAATTTCCCCCCCTTGACCACTTCTCCCTCCCCTTGATTCCTTCGATCTCCAGGGAGCGGGGAGGTTTGATGACGCGAAACAGAAACATCGACTGAAACGTCATCGCCCCCCATTCGCCGCCTCCATTGGATCCGTTGAATATCCGGTCGTCCACACGCGAAATACCGAGTGAGACACACGATTCCGGGTACTGTATGACAAGTCGTACTGTTTTACCGAAGATCGTTTCAGATCCTAAATCGGCGGGTTCCCTTTGATTCCTGAGCGTTTGCCGTTTCACGCGGCCTTTCCTTTATCGCGAGTTAGCTATAGCTGTCACTCTGCCCTTTGTACCGAGCCAAAGGCAGTCAGACGTCGTGAGCCGCGAGTCGCATTGCTGCTTGTAACAAGCGTGGCCCGGTGGCCGGTGGATACCTTTGAGACCTTGGAGAAATCCCTAGGCGAGATCCGTCGATTTGATCAAATCCTAATCGAATCGATCAAGGGGCTCAAACGTGAACCTCGTTGTTGATGGTGATGACACAGCCTCCGTGCTCGCGTGGTGGATTGCCGTCGCGCGCTATATGACGAAACGCTCATCAAATCGAATGTGCACCGCGGATGTCTGTCGTTGTGGTTCACGTGACGTGTATTCGTGGTCGTTGGTGGCCGTTCGTTTCGGTGATGAGCGATCGTCTTCACATGGGTCACATCGCACATTCCTCCCTCTCGACCTCGAGAACATTCCCCAAGGCCCCCAAGCTATTCTCGGTCATAAAGAGAGAGCGCAACGACCACACCCTTCGCATCCTCCACACCCTCGCTTGCACAAACACGCAAGACGCACATGCTCAGATCGTTCTTGTCGTCCAGATCGACGAGACAATTCAGTACAACCGCAACTTCTACTGCCAACTCGCAATTGCGAATCGCACGAACCACCACCCCGCTCAAGTTCAACTCGATCGTCACTCGACCTTCAGTCCGAGCACTCCAGTCGAACAAGCTAGCTCTAGCTACATCAGCTCGACTCGTCCAACAACAACAACAGCAATACCGTAACCGTTGTACCTGTTCTCACCACAACGCAGCTTCTCTCACCATGGACGGAGTCGACAATCACACCGGCGTCATCACCGGCGGCCCTAACTCGCTGCCTCCCAACACCCAGAGGGACGCCTACCGACTCCCCACCGAGGTCGTTCCTACGCACTACGACCTGCTCTTCAAGACCGACCTCGAGGGGTTGACCTTCGAAGGAGAAGCGTCGATCGACCTGCAAGTGAACGGAAAGACCAACTCGGTGCAGTTCAACTTGAACCCTTCTGTCCAGCTCACTAGCATCTCCCTGGAGATCGAGGGACAGGATGCGATCGAGTATTCCCCGCCTAAAGCTGTCAGGCATGAAGAGACCGAAGAAACCCCTGCGGAGGCTAACAGGGAGTCGGAACCTACCGGGGTCGAGGTCGACCTGGAGTCGGTCAAGGCTGGGGAGATCAAGGTCGACAAGGCCCAAGAGAGGTTCTCTCTCGGGGTCCCCGAGGGCGTGCTCAAGGCCGGTGGGAAAGTCCGAGTCAAGGCCGCTTGGAAGGACGTACTCGGAGGGTCCATGATGGGTTATTACCGATCTTCCTTCCCCCACCCTGACGACAAGGACGGCAAAAAGGTCAAGGATACTTATTACGCCTTGACGCAGTTCGAGCCTACGGCGGCTAGGCGGGCTTACCCGGCTTGGGACGAGCCTGCGTTGAAGGCGACCTACTCGATCGGGTTGGTCGGAAGGAAGGGGCTCGTCAGTCTGGGCAACATGCCCGTGGAAAAGGAAGCCGCTTGGAACGGATCCATCGAGTTCGGCTCGGGTGTCACTCTGGGTCAGGGGCTTTCCAAGTCGGAAGGAGAATGGACGGTGACCAAGTTCGAAGAGACGCCCCTCGTCTCTTCTTACCTCGTCGCGTTCGCACACGGACCCTTCGCTTCGTTGTCCTCCGAATACACCTCCCCGCTTACGGGCAAGACCATCCCCCTCAAGATCTACGCCACGCCAGACCTAATCGGCCAAGCCCAATTCGCGCTGGACGTCAAACGCCTAGCCCTCCCCGTCTACGAAGAGATCTTCGACGTCCCCTACCCCTTGCCTAAATTGGACACGCTGGTCGCTCACGATTTCGACGCGGGAGCGATGGAGAATTGGGGGTTGATCACGGGGAGGACGACGGCTTACCTGTTTGATGAGAAGAAGAGCAGTTTGGCGGCCAAGAAGAGGATCATCGATGTGCAGAGTCACGAGTGTGCGCACATGTGGTTTGGGAACATCGTCTCGTGAGTCCCCCCGCGTCGCTCACCGACGTCATGGTCTTAAGGTGGAAAAGGAGGAGAGGAGACGGGCGCGCTGATAACGATCCTCAATCTCGAACGTGTTGAACAGACCGAAATGGTGGGACGTGCTCTGGTTGAACGAGGCGTTTGCGACTTTGCAGGGAGAGGTCATCATCCCCGATAGAATCTTCCCCGAATTCAAGGTCCGAAGGGTGAGTCAGGTGGTCGTCGTGGTGTCGTTGGCGGCCTTGGTTTTGTTGACATTGACATTGTCGCTCGCTTGCCTCGCTTGCGTTCCGTGCTGCAGGAGTTCTTGACGACCCACTTGATGGCCGCCCTCTCGCTCGACGCGGTCCGATCGTCCCACCCGATCGAGGTCCCTTGCCCCGATGCCAACCAGATCAACCAGATCTTCGATTCGATCTCGTACTCCAAGGGAGCTTCGGTCCTGCGAATGCTCGCCGCCGTCGTCGGGGAAGACAAGTTCCTCAAGGGCGTCTCCATCTACCTGAAGAAGCACTTGTACGGGAACGCCTCGACCAAGGACCTCTGGGCCGGGATCTCGGAGGCTTCCGGGGTGGACGTCACGAGGATTATGAACGAGTGGGTGCTCAACGTCGGGTTCCCCGTGATCAGCGTCGAAGAGGTCGACGGTGGCAAGAGCATCAAGGTCACCCAGGACAGGTTCTTGAACACGGGCGACGTCAAGCCCGAGGAGAACAAGACCCTGTGGTACGTCCCGCTCGAGCTCAAGACGGCCGTCGACGGCAACGTCTCGGTCGACCACCAGGCCATCCTCAGCGAGCGCACAAAGACTTTCGACCTCAAGGGAGCTTCGGCTTTCAAGTTGAACGCCGAGACCGTCGGTGTCTACCGAGTGTCATACTCGCCCGAACGTCTGGCCAAGCTCGGAGAGGAGGCCGCCAAGCCGGACAGCATCTTTTCGGTCGAGGACAGGATCGGACTCGTGTCGGACGCGACCACCCTCGCCCGAGCCGGATCCGGCAAGACCTCTGGCTCGCTCAACCTCGTCTCCAAGCTCGGGGGCGAGACCGAGTACGCCGTCCTGGACGTCATCGCCATGGGTCTCGGCAAGCTCAAGTCGGTCTGGTGGGAACAACCCGAAGAGGTCCGAAAGGCCATCGACAAGTTTAGGGTCAAGCTGTTCAAGCCGATCGTGGACAGGATGGGCTTCGAGTTTGGCGAGAACGACGACCCGGATACCAGGCAGTTGAGGACCTTGGCCGTCTCGGTCGCCGCCGGATCGGAGGATGCCGAGTGAGTCTGTGCCGGCATGGCAAGTGATCCTTCTTCGTTTCGAGGGTGGCTGACATTCTCTGGTATGATCGAATCTCAATAGGACGATCGCCGAGATTCAGAGGCGATTCAAGCCCTTCCTCGAGAACGGCGACGACTCGCTCATCCCTCCTGATCTCCAGCGATGCATCTACACCATCGTGAGTTTCAGCCGTCATCCTCACAAGCATGTACGTACCCTAGCTGACCGGCGCTTATTCTATCCGCACAGGCCGTCCGACACGGTGGTGAAGCCGAATGGAAGAAGATCCGATCGGGTAAGTCGTGTATCCTTTACTGACGATTCCGAACGCGGACTGAGACCCATCCCGCTCGACAGTCTACGACGCCCCTCCTACGGCCTCTGCCAAGATCGACGCCCTCATGTCCCTCGGAGCCACCCAATCGGACGAGCTGATCAAAAAGACCTTTACCATGTTGCACGACGGGAGCATCAAGGACCAGGACGTCATGTACGGGTTCGTCAGCTTGAGCTCGAACCGCAAGGCCACGAGGGATGTGGCCAAGTACTTCAAGGACAACTACAAGGCGGTGAGTTCGGGCTGGCAAGGAGTTTGGAGGTGTCGTTTGGGTGGTCTGACTCATTACGGATGAGGTGCGAGCAGATGATGAAGCGATTCGGTGACAACTTTGCCATGAACCGGTATGTCTTGTTCAAATTGTCTTAGCGATACCCCTGGAACTCGTGCTAAAACCGCCTGTTTCCTCTCTTTGTGTTTTTGGTGTCCTCTATAGTCTGGTCACCTACGCTTTCAACAGCTTGACTACTGAAAAGGACTTGAAGGAAGTCGACGAGTTCTTCAAGGTGAGTCCCGAGCCACAAGCAGCTCTTCTTTATAGAAAAAACGATGTGCTAACGATCACGATCGTCTCATTCGTGCTCGCGTTCTCGTTTGCTGGGGGAATTAGGACAAGGACAACTCGAAGGTAAGCCCCAGCTGCCCAGTCAGATTACATCCTCTTTCTCTCGTTCCAGGAAGCTCATCGCCTCGTTTTTTGTTATGATTACGCGCTGTAGTACAAGTTGTCGTTGGCCCAGGTTAGGGACACGATCATGGCCCAGTCTCACTGGTTGACCCGGGACAAGGCCGACGTCGAGCAGGTAAGTCGCGATACCACCATTCTTGAATCAGCTTAAGACTCGGGTGGAGAGCTAATTGTTGGTATCGTGTTTTATAGTGGTTGAAGGACAACAAGTACCTTTGAGCATCGATTCGCGGGATTTTAGGGAGAGAAAGTACAGATCAATCGAAAGTCATGGAACAACAGAAGTAGACAGATATGAACAATTGAACATCGTTGATGAAATAGCATTTGAGCCGGTATTATCAGAGAGGCGTGATTTGCACGATATGATGGGAGAAGGGTAGATAGATGTTCGAGAGGCTGAGGACTTGTGATTTTGTGCACCGCGGATGTTTCCAGGCATAAATTGCCTCTTTGGGAAGGGATGGCTGGGATGCTCAAGCGCGTGATCTACCCCTCTGTGCGGATCCGCCCGGTTGGGTGACGTTAGCCGGTCCCCGCTTTTATATTTCACCACTTCGATCCCCTCCCCTCAACCTTCAACCTCGATTCGATTCTCAATCTCGACAGAGACAACAGAAAGCGCACCCACCCATCCTCGACGTTAATCGCACGTTTCAAGTCGACAAGCTGAAACTCGGGAATCGAAGCCGGACCGAGACATCCCAGCGCCTCGACACACATTCACAGTCTCCCTGGGGCGCAGGCCTTCCTATCCCAGCGTCATCGTCATCGTCGTCGCGTTCGACTGACTGACAGCGCTGTCGTCGTCGTATCGACAACACGGGGACGCGACGTGATCATCAACCCATCCTCCCGCCTACCCATCCATCGCCACACATCCCCCGGGCTTGTGATTCGGCTCTTGCTCGTTGTAGTCATAGAGCATGTCGGACCTCGGCCCAGAGGCCGTCAATGTCAGTGATCTCGACCAGCAGGCGCACCTGGTCGTCGGTCCTACCTCCACCTCTACCTCTACCTCTACCTCTATCCCGCAAGATATGAATGTGAATGTAGAGGAAGAGGTGGACGAGCTCGAAGAACAAGACGAAGGTGAAGTGGACGAACTCGAGCAAGACGAATTACAAGAGGAGGAGGAGTTACAAGAGGAAGATCAGCATGTTCAAGAGCAAGAGCCGATCCCCAGTCTGGAAGGTCTGATTCGGGCCGCTATGGATGCGCCTGAAGGCGGGGTGGTAGAAGAGGGAGAGGGGTTAGGAGGAGGAGTCGATGATGGTGGTGTTGGTGTGGGTGTTGGGGGAATCGCAGGCGACACTGGGCATGCGCAAGAAGGCGTTCCGAGTGCAGAGGATCCGGCTGGTTCCACGACCTTGGTCGACGAGGCTATACCTACCGAGAACGAGAACGGGAACCAGAACGAGAACGAGATCCCCGTACCGGAGGATTCCGGCGTGCCGGCGATGCCGATGTCGTTGGTAGAATCGTATATGACGACCGAGCCAGAGCTGGATCAGAACCCACAACAAGCGCAAGCTCACGAGCAGCACCATCAACAAGAAACCCATGAACACCCCGATCCGAACCTCACTATCGATGTAGCTCACCTCGAGCCGCACGATCTCAACCTCAACATCAACCCCAACCTGAACTTCGAGCTCGACCTGAACTCTCAGCTCGACCTCGGTGCAGTCCAAACCCACGATCCAGCGCTTTACGAGCAGCCGGCTGGGGAGGTAGATGCACAGGTACAGGTGCCGAGTCAGGACATGTTCTTGGTCCAGGATCAGGCTCGGGAACAAGATCAAAATCAGGATGAGCGACCGGGACGAGGAATGGCCGAAGGGGATATCGCGGCGGGACCGGACCATTCGCAGGGAGTTCAACAGCAAGAAGGTGTTGATCCGATGCTACACGAGCAGCAACCCACTCCTCAAGTTCAGCCTACTCAGGGAGCAGACCACCAACACGTTCTCGATCCTGAACAACAAGGGTTGTTAAACCTTCAGATGCATATCGACGGGACCGAACAGGCGGGTCAAGCTCCGGTGCAAGGAGGAGAGTACCCGCAAGAGGACGGCGGTGCTGGGGATGTTCGGATGGAGGACGTTCATGAGCCAGCGGCGGGAACGACGTTAACAGCAGGAGAGGTCGAGGGAGACGGGTCGATGGCGCTGGGGATGGGGGAACAGGTACCGCCAGAGGGTACGGAGACGGTTCCGACGGATACCAACTATCTAGGTGCGGAGGAAGCTGTTTTGCCTACCGCTATTCCCGAGGCTATGGATACGACGACAGGACTCGACCCCACAGACCCGCCAGCTCAGACTGAAGTCGGACTTGTATCTTCGACGCTCGATCCGATGATAGATCAAACCATGGCAGACCCGACGGCGATCCCGGAAATCCCTCTCGCTTCATCCTCCACGGATGTAGCGAACGCGACGGCGGCGACAAAGACGAACGGCAAAGGTCGGGCGAAACGGACGATTTCTTCCTCTGCTTCTGCAGTTTCCGGGCTCAAGATTGGCAAGGGTCAGATAGGGGTTGAAGGGCAGGGGGATGGACAGGAACTACCGGATGCTTTGGTCGGAAAGAGTAGGGAGGAGATTGATGATATCAAACGCAGGATCGTAGATCGACGTGAGTGCCTTGCTGCATTTCCCTTTCCTCCCTCAGCCCGTTTTGTCACTGACGGAGATGTCGCCCTTGTTGAACTCACACAGTCGAATCCCTACTCTCGGCCACTGCGCTGCCACACGACAAACTCCTCTTCTCCCTGTCGCTTCGAAACACCTCGGGATGGATCCCTCTGAGCACGGTCGCCAAGTACCCCAAGATCAGGTCGTATGCGGATACGTACGGCTTGGCCTTCGTCGCCGAGAGCGTGAGGGACGCCAACGACTCGAGAGAAGATGGGCAGGAAGACGTCCCTGTACCTACAGCTTCGACTTCTCAAGACGGAGCCGCGAATGGGGGTGCGTCGGCCAACGGCGGCCAGGTAGAAGAAACAGCAAAGCGGGAGAAAAAGGTCGGTCCGGCCTTCTTGGGCAGAGGAAGAGATGCCGAATTGGTCGTCGACGGGAAGGGGGAAAGGGTGAGGAGGAAAGAAGTCATGATGAAGGCTGATACGGCCTGGGACCGAACCGTCTACGCTGTAAGTCGCATTCCGTCCCTTGTCACATTGCTCTTTTGAGCTCCAACAGCTGAAAGGCTTTGATTGTCGAATTGAACAGGAAGGGTTCGGGATCCTGGACCCATCGACGACAACGACGCAGGATGCGATCGAAGAGTGGTTCGAGCAGTTTGCACCTATCACCGTCGTTAGGTTCCGACGAGGCCGGGATCCTTTCGGTGGAAAGGGTCGAGGTGATTTCAGAGTGCGTCAATAAGCAGAACGAGTGAGTATAACGGACACGAAGCTGATATCGCATGCACCTTGGGTAGGGGTCTGTGTTTTGCGAGTTTAGGACGGTGGAAGGTGCGGACCTGTTTTTGCGGACGAATCCCAAGCCGCTCTTCAACGGGACCGAGATCGTCGCCATGTTCAAGTAGGTCGCGAGTGTGGCTGCATAATGGTCGACCCAACTGACAAAAGGCATCGGCCATGTTCAGGGAAACGTACTTGGAGTCGCGTATCCAGCTCAAAGCGCTGCGTCATTCCAACGTGGTCCCCATCGAACAGATCGAACCGGATTCCCTCTTTGCGATCGACAAGAGCCTCTTAAAGTTGGGCAACAAGAAGCGGAAGCGGGAAGAGGAAGAAGAGAACGCCGCGGGGAAACGGACCGTGAGTATCCCCATGTCTGCTATGACGCTACACCCTGCTGAGCCGGCGCTGTCTCTCGATAGACCACGCTGTATATCCTGTTCAACAAGCACCGGGTGGCCGTGAGCAGAAAGACTGGGACCGTCATGAACAAGAACGAACTTGTCTATCCCGACCGTGCCCTGCTCAAGTTCACGGGCGCCGGCGAGACGGGCGATTGGAAATTGCTCAAGGTTGGTCATTATCGCTACGTTCGAGACTTGAACTCTGGCTGAGACGTCTGACATCTTTCGGCCTAAACAGGAAGATCTAGTCAACGCTGAGATCGAGCATTCGTTCTTGTATCTGCCGAGAAGGTCGACGGTCGGTTATTTTGCCGCTCCTGAAGCCATTGGGGACGAGGTAGTAGAGCGTTTGCGAAACCTCCATCTGATCGTCGGCGACAGCGAGATCGAGTGGGAGAGAGTGGAAGGTATGTGATTGCACAATATATTCCGGGCAGCCTGAGCAGTCAGCTGATATACTAAACTCCACCTGTGCAGGTCAAGAGGAGCGCGATTTTTATGCCAAGCGAGCATCGTTCCAAGGAAAGCTGGCTGTCAAGATGGCAGACGAGAAAGAGAATCTGGAATTGGACGCGGTCAAAGAGACAGCAAAGGAGCTTCGAAGTGCCAACAAGGAACGGGCAAGAGGCAAGAGCATGACGGGCGGGAGCAACAAGAAGAAGCGATCAGGATCATCATCAGTGCAAGGCAATGCCTCGAAGAAGGGCAAGACAGAGGACGAAGCCGAGGCGATGCTTGCAGAGAGTATGCAAATGGACGTATAATGACTCGATTATCTAGAGACTGTGTTACCTGTAGCGGCCGAGATGGCCCATCACAAACTCGTTGTACCCGACAATTGAAAGTGTTCAGAGTGGTGCATTACGAACGTGCGACTTTGCGTCTGAAACCCAGCTTGCGAGCCGCGCTTCGAGCGTGAAAGGAAGGGACTGACCCGATGTCCGCCGCGGACGTGTTCAGCTCAATTATAAAGCGAGACCACCTCCACGCCTGTAGAAGAGATCTCGCCACCACCGTCAGATTGAACAAATCATATAGTATACATCATGATCATGTCAGTGACTCGCCCCAATCTCGATCACTGCAGGACTTGCTCTGCCAGGCTGGTAAACCCTGTTTTCGGCGTCGACAAGCAGGTTTCCAGCACGAGCCGCCTTTGCTACGAGATCATCGAGAGAGTCGACGATCTACCTGTAGGTTCATCTTGCAGTTGACTCGGCTGCATGCTTACTTACCGATTATCGTTCTGCCAGGCGTTGCCGGAACATCTTGTCTTGCAAGCCAACCACGAGTCGCGCGTGATGAAACTCGTCTCCAAATGCACCCGAAACGGCGGGACTTGGGCTACTACGGATGTGCTGACCCGCAACGAAGATGGCGAAGAATGGATGTGGGATGGGCTCGCGGCGATCGAGGAGGAGGACAAAGGGGATCACATCGAAGAGCTCCAGCGGCCCAAATGGGTTGAGAGGAAAGCCAAACCGGTTCAAGGTCTCCTTTTGCACAGGTTGCCCAAAGAACAAGGGTTCGAGGTGGAACTGCTCTTTGCGGGTGAGAGAGACAAGTAGTTTCAACGCGTTCAACATTCACTGTAGTATTAGTCTGGGTTTGTCGGGCGAATGTCATGTCTTGAATTGGCTACATGATCCCAAAAATGACTCGCCATGAGGCCAATCCGAACATCGTAGGTCAGAGGTCAGAGGTCACTTGAAATTAGGTGTTGGGATGGCCCTATCATACCATATTTCCAGGTCGCGCTTCGCGACCCATATCCCTATCTGCCTGTGTCAGGGTGGAGGTACTCATCAAACAAACATAAACATCCTTTACATGGTCGATCCTTTGCCGCCCCTAGCTCACCCTACTAGTTTCAAGAATATCGATGTCAAAACATGTTTCATCGTCGCGGCAACCTTGAAGTATATGTGCGGGTCCGTCCGATCAAGTCTTCATTCATGACCCTGGCAACGTCTTCATGAATGGTCGGTACTCGTCCATCCCTCTTCTCGTATATCGAACGACCTCAACATGCATACCAAAACTCTTGCTTGGATCTTTATGTCACTGCTTACCCCAGGTAAGTAAGTCTCTTGGTCCTTCTGGACATCAAGACCGATGACATAGCGCTAAAGTCACGCTCTAATCTCTCTAGCCATTCGTGGAGCGAAAATTGGCAAGAGGACAGAAGCCGACCTCGTTACTCATACTGTACCCCTCGGTGCAAGAGATGAAAGTTACGACAACGAAGCCTGGAATTGGTGTCAACAGGAACAGGATGGAGTGGCTCTTTGGCGCCCGAGCGACCCCTTGAATGACAGCACTGCTTCGATGTATCATCGGTATGACGATACTTCACGGCGTCAACCGAGATCGACAGTGGAAATGGATGATGTGAGGGAGTCACTGATCATTGGAGGTCCATCGGGCAAGAAGGAGAGCAGTCCCCTTCTTCAAGCGCGTTTAGCAGTTATGGCTGCTTGGGCCAACGTAAGAAAAACTCACGAGATCTGCCAAGCCTTGATGATATTGAAGAGCTGAGTATATCCCCACTGAGTCAGACTGATGCAGGTAGGATTGAAAGCAATTTCAGGAATGTAACAAACGGTGGTTTCCCCTGGTGTCTCCCTGGGAAAGATATGCTGTCCATCCAACCCGAGAGAAAGAATGACAGCATCAACGGCATGACCCAGAAAGGTGACGACTTGAGGAACCTTGTTCATTCAGCTCGTGCACAAGTAGCCGCAAAGCTTGCCGCAACCTGGCCTTGGTTTCTCAACCGCGCTTATCTGAAGTGTGACATCAAGGATGATGCAGCCAGCAACCCGCAGGATAACCCTTGGGGGAGAGGGGAAGAACATGCGGTGAAATTCTTGTCAGCTCTGACTGGACGTGATTGCCAGATTGACGGAGGTTTCGAGGCGAATAACACCCTCGTGAACAGTTTTCTGTATAAAAGTTGGCGATCTGTGAGATATTCCGCTTATACAAGTTCAAAAGCTATCCGGTTGTGCTCACAAGAATCCGGTCCCTTTTAGCCCATGATTGCGATTCTTCCCGATGAAACGGACGAGAAGACTGGATACCTCAAGGGATTCTATGCTATAAGGGAAGCCGAAGGGAATACTAGCGACGGTACAGGCAGGATGAGGCTCTGGGATCACAACAAAGGGGAGTATCGAATGGTCAATCTACCTACACGCATGAAGATTGTCCACCGCACGGACGAGAAGCCCACAGACTCCTCGTGTATCGCGTGGTGCTAGATAGCGTGGCGTCACACCCTTGTGTCGCCCTGGTAGTCTATTGGCTCAAGTCTCTTGTAATGCAGGGATCCGTTCCATTTAGCCATACTGTAGCGGACTCTCCACATTGGAGACGACTGGAAGTTAGAGCTCGATAAGGGCGAGCAAACACCGAAGACGATTCTCTTGCGCTAGCTCGCTTGGTCCATTTCCAAGAAGCCTGGTAATACTTCACTCTGCTACTGTCCAATTACAAGGCACTCCGGTCCCCACTCTCTGTCTGCAACTTTCTGACACATTCTCGCACCCACCGATCGAGCACCTCGGCCTGTCTCATCCCTTCCTCCCCTCTCGCACGGACGTCCAGACTGCCCGGAACCTCCCTAGCCCAGGGGACGTAGTATCGTCCACCGCTAGCGCTGGTAGACGTCTCAGGGGAGAACCCGAGGTAGAGCGGGGTGAGGGCGCCGTAAGAAGGTGGTTTGGAAACGGGAGATGTGAAGAGGGTCAGGAAGGAGGGGGTCGTACGGTCTGTCGAGGGCGAAGCACCGAATCAGTTCATGGTCACGGTGTCAGTGCTCGCATCGACTTGAAACTCAGAAGCGGAGCTTGGGCGAGATCTAGAAAGATGGAAGATGCGCTTACATAGCTCGGTAGAGATTAACCCGGGATGACAAGCGGTAACGACGACCGAATCGCCTAGTTCCTTTTGGAACCATTTGGCCGATAGAATGTTGCCCTACACAATCCCAACATCCAGATCGATGATACGGTGCGAAGTAAAGAAGAGATGGCCCGAGGGGGGAACAGGCGTCAGCACTTCGGATTCGTCATACACAGGCATAGCAAATGCATAGAAACCCAAGTCGGAGAGGCGGGGACGAGGAAGTAGGCTGAGAAGAGAAGAGTTTAGGATTCAAGGATGTTACGTTATGGCACGACCTTGATTTCGAATGCGACGAGGACCCAAAACCACAACCGTTTTCATCCTCAACTACTCTCCCCGACTTCAACCTCGAACGCAAAGCCTCTCCTCTGCAACTCCAACTCCCTACCCCTGACTCTGCACAACCCGCAACACTCACCATCTTGCTATGCCCATACAACCCCCACAACCCGATCCCCCCTGTTGCCCACCACAATCCGGAACCGTCCCTAGCAGGACCGGGGACCGTCAAACTGGGTACGAACGCCTGGGTGTACCAAGGTGGGAAAAGGGTGTGCCCGATCGAGGAGAGGAAGATGATTCGGTTCTTGTCGTTCGACTCTGAGGTGTTGGTTTTAGTAAGAGCCGGTTTCTGCGCAGCCGGGAGGAGGTTTGTGCGATATCAAGCAAGTGGAAGATTGTCAGTAGTATTTCAACAAAGCGAGTCAGGCAGACGAGTTATTCTTCCCTATTCTTCCCAGGACGAACGCTACTCACCAACAACCCGACCAACACATGATGCCCCAAAACGTTCACCCCGAACTGCATATCGTACCCCTCTTTCGTGACTTCCCGCCTGTCGGGTATCATCACCCCAGCATTACAGAACAATACGTCCAGCCTCTCTTCCTTTTCCAGGAAATGGGCGGCGGAGGCATGGATGGAGCTGAGGGATGAGAGATCTAGCGGAAGGTAGGTGATATTGATATCGGAGGTGAAAGAGAGCGTCTCTCGAAGCCTATGGATAGCTTCCCGAGCTTTCTCTTCCGACCGACAGGCCATGTACACCTTGGCGCCTTTTCTGAGGGAAGTCAGACATAGTTCGTAGCCTATCCCGGTGTTCCCGCCGGTGCTGTTATCGACAGATCGCACAGAGTATCATTGTCGTTAATGGGAGGTGGGAACGGGATGCAGACGGTGATGACCGGGACGTGACGATGACCGAAGTCGACTTACACGAGGACGACCTTGCCTGTCAGGTCCGGGATGTCGTCATCGACGTTGAATCTGGGAGCTGGAGCGAAGGTCTGGTCAAGAGCATGCTTGAGCACCCAAACGGCCCAGCTGATGATGTACCACATTGTCGTCAGCTTTAGCAGTGGTCCAGGTGCAAAAAGAAGAAGAGGTGAATGAGAGATCAGAGATGACAAGAGACAAAAAGATGAATAAGAAATGAATCGCTTGATTAACCCTTGCGGGCTTTGGAGAAATTGCCAGAACACCAGTAAAGGATTCTGAACTAGTAGGATGGTTTTTTGCAATCAGCAATTCATTACGCTCGGCCGTGACCTCACTGCGATAATGTCCAACCCTTGCATAAAGATAACTAGTACACGACTGATGACTGCGTACCTTGGACACAAGTCATGTAGCCACCCAAGTTAACGCGCGAGATAGCGTGTGGTGCGTACGTAATCCATCCCTAGCAAGCTAGCTATCACGCTCACCTCCGTCGACCGACCTCGCCTAGCCTGCATGCTATCAGTCATCAACCAAACCATCTACCTTTGACCACCTTGATCACCTCGATCACCCACACTCCCTTCTGCCAGTAAACAGACATCGACGAGATATCATGCCCGACGCTACCAGACCAGCTCCTCCTAGACCCCGCCCCATCCCGGTCCATCCGACCCGCCCACCCCCTTCCCTTCCCGCAGGTCAAGGACAAGGCTCGTCGAGCCATCATGAACAGCAAGGACAAGGTAGAAGTGCGAATGGAGGTACGAGTGGACCACCACCGAGGAGAGGGTCGGGGGATCATAGGCCGCCGGCAAAGACGATTAGGATCGGGCAGTACGAGTTGGGCGCGACGTTGGGTGTAGGGAGTTTCGGCAAGGTTAAACGTGAGTCATGAGCGTTCATTTGACTATTATCTGACGTGGAAAGTCGCTGAAATCGTCTACTTATCCTGCCATAAACGCCGACTTCATATCGATTGCCGATTTGATGACACAGTGGCCACGCACTCGATGACGGGCCACAAGGTCGCCATGAAGATCATCAACCGCCGCAAGATCCAACACATGGACATGACCTCCCGCGTAAAACGTGAAATCCAATACCTCAAAGTCCTACGACATCCTCACATCATCAAGCTTTACGAGGTCATCACCACGTCCACGGACATTATCATGGTGATAGAATATGCCGGGCAAGAGTTGTTCGAGTATATAGTGAACAAGGGACGGATGGAGGAACATGAGGCAAGGAGGTTTTTCCAGCAGATCATCTGTGCCATTGAGTATTGTCATCGGCACAAGATCGTCCATAGGGATCTGAAGCCGGAAAAGTGAGTTCACGGTTTCCCTTTCCTCTATTTTCTTCCTCGAGATAAGAGATCTCTAAAAGAAAGCTAATCTTTTGCGCTTCGACCTCGACCTCGGCAGCCTCTTACTGGACGACTACCTCAACGTCAAGATCGGTGATTTCGGACTGAGCAATATCATGACCGATGGGGACTTCCTGAAGACGAGCTGTGGGAGTCCGAATTACGCGGCGCCAGAGGTCATCAGCGGGAAGTGAGTCTGAAGCCGGTTGGGGAATGAGATGCAGCTACCATGTCACTGGCTAGATGCTGATACGAACGATACGTCGGCTCCGCACTGCACCAAAGACTCTACGCAGGTCCAGAGATCGACATCTGGTCATGTGGCGTCATCCTTTACGTCATGCTCTGCGGCCGCCTTCCCTTTGACGACGAGTACATCCCCAAGCTCTTTCAGAAGATCAACGGCGGGATCTATCACCTCCCCTCCCACCTCTCGGAAGACGCCAGGGCGTTGTTGAAGAGCATGCTCGTCGTCGATCCGGTCAAGAGGATCACGACGGCGGGGATAAGACAGTCGGCTTGGTTCCAGAGGGATCTGCCGCAGTACCTGCAACCTCTACCGCAGACGCCCGGGTTGGAACGGCCCGGACAGGGTGGGGGGCAGGGGGAAGACGCCTCGGGCTTGTTGGGTCAGGGAGGAAGCGGAGTTGCCAGTACGGTCGATGGGACCACCTCTGCTCCGGACGACCAGGTGTCCAAAGCGGATGCGGATACCCAGAATCAAGGCCTGGTCTACGTCCCCGACCTCGGAGTGGTCGAGCCGAGGATCGTGGACGAGTTGTGTGAAAAGATGGCCGGGTTCGATAGGAATAGCATCTGGGACGCTTTGAAGAGGGAAGGGGATAACCAGATCAAGGTGGCTTATCAGTTGGTCAGGGATCATAAGCGCATGTTGCAGGATAGTGAGTTGGCACGGGCGAATCGATTCACAAAGAGAGTGAAGGGTTTCGAAGCTGATGGCGAGCCACTTGATGGTAGCCACGGATATGCGTCACGATAATGAACATGTGATGGAGAGTTTCTTGGCATCATCACCACCACCCTGGAATGCCGGTCTGGAGAGCGTGAGTCCGTAGTGTCCTGGTCTGAGGCACTTGCGGGCGCTTACAAGCCGGCGTATTCGCAGCTCCAGCAAGGCGTCAACCGATCCACATCGATCAAGAATCGAGCGACGCCCAAGGGCTCAAACGAGGACGAGTCGTGGGACGAAGAGGAGGACATGGAGATGGAGGATATCCCGGATTCGAACTTTCAGATCTTGGATAGCAGTCTGCATGGCAAATTCGATGGTGAGTGCGGGTTGCAGCATCAAATATAATCGTCAGACTGATCATCAATCCGGGGAATTGATAGAAAACGGCGAGCCGTTCCCACCTTACGACGTACCTCACTTGCAATCCCAATCATTGACCTCGCAAGAAGACGCCGTCAGGGCCGCCCACCAGGCAGTCGCTGCACAACGTATATCCGGTCGTGCGACCAAGTCGAGCAAGGGGAAATGGCATTTCGGGATCCGATCTCGATCTCCACCTATCGAGGTCATGCACGAGATCTACAATACGCTACAAGTGCTGGGCATGCAGTGGAAGCGGAAACAGTGCTTTGACGGACCGTGGGACCAGGACGGAAGACCAATCAGGGAGACGCCGCCCGGGATGACGCGCGAGCAGAGGCAAAAGGAAAAGACCAACGAGGAAAAGCAGAATCAGTCATTGTTCTTTGTCGAGACAAGGTGCAAGATCGACAACGTCGTCGTGAGTCGCCCGGGTCGGGTATGCTTGGTATAGCGTAGAACGTCTTCGCTGAAAGCCTGTCCGCATGCCTTTCGTCAGATCCGTATGGACCTTCAACTTTACCGCGTAGATGGAAGCAATTACCTGGTCGACTTTCGGAACGTCGGATATTACCGCAGCAACAACGATCCGGACGACTATTCGTTGTACCGACGCTCCTCGAACGCGACCGACTATACCGTCGCCGAATCGCTCGAGAGCCGGAGATCGAGCGCGGAGGGGATCGGCGCCGCCACGTCTCCCGTCAGGCGGGAAATCAACAGCAACATGAACGCCGGTGTGGGCGGGGTCAGCGAGACGATCGAAGGCAAGATCAAAGAGGTCTGCAGCCCATTCTTGTTCTTGGAAGTCGCATGCCGCTTGATCGTCGAGTTGGCGTCTGCATAGTCTTTTGAAGAGAGGGAGGAATCGGGTTGTATGTATGATGTACGAGATTCATGAAACGTTGTATACAAATGGAATCGAGCTCCAAAGGAAACGTCTTTCGGCCTGAGGACTGGGCGATAGGGCGGAACTAATATCGACTGTATGAATTGTGTCGTCTGGTCGAAGACCCGTCTTTGAACAGCGTTTCCAACACACTCTTTCCGGAATCCAGGTTGGCTTCTTTCCCCTTGTCAATCCATTCCTGCAGCTTGGGACCGACAGCAGTAGTGTAGCTGTCCAGACCTAACCCCTCAACCACCTCCCGCAACCGGTTCCAAATCTCAAGACCAATGGTTTCGATTTCCGAACTCTTCATGCGAAAGAGATCATCACTAGAAACCTCCCACGTAGCCTGGACAATGATTGTGGGATCCTCGATGGCCAATCCAATCTGTAACTCCCGGTGGAGAGGAAGACGCGGCCGGGTGGCATACAACGCGGCACGCACACAGGTTTGCCAGTATTTGAGCACGCCGTAATCTTGAGCGGCGTTGCTTATCCGCTTCAATTCTTCGGTCGAGAGTCCAGCGCTCGGAAGCATGTCCATTCGAGGCGAGAGTGAAGCCTCGAGAGTGTCAAGTACGGGTTCCAGATATTCGCGGCAATGGTTATCGTCCAAATAGACCTTCGAAGGGGATTTCAACATCCTGACAAGGCACCGTGGACTATGAAGTACTAACACAAACAGCATCAGTAACTGTGGCCGAATGCGCAAACAATGCGTCGGGACTTGCCTCAACATCAAAGTTTCACGCGCATAGTGCTTTAGTTCACCATCATCGAATTTGACTAGGATTTTCGAGTCATCGGTCGCCATTGCTATCGAGGTGACACCGGGAACGTTGATCGAGTTTGTGCAGGAGTCTTGAACGTACGACTAGAATCAGTCTACGGGAGTAGAGTGGAGTATAAGACGAAGTTGGAAGAAGCAAGACTGAGACGTTTGATGGGACGCTGCTGTTTATTATATAGTCGCAAATCGGGCCGGGCGTCGTCATCGAAAACTACAGACGGCTGATTGGACCTTCCAGATCGGGCCGTCGCTGAAATCGGATCACACGGCGATATCCTGGATCCGCAAGATGACAGTCCTAAGGAGGCAAATCCAAAGCAGGTCCGTCTGATTCAGCTCAGACGGGGTTCGGGGCAAAGTAACGTGTCGAAGTCTCAGCCTTCTGCTCCCAGTCGAATCGACACCAGTCCTTCCATTATCCGTCGAGTCCAACTGGCCGGCGAGACCGCTCTGACGCTTCGGGCAAGCCAGGTTCACTAGCGGAATTTACCTTCTTGGCCGTTCACTCAAGAGTCGCCTCAAGCGCTATCATGGGAACTCCATTCTGCCTTCAAGCTCTTGTCGTTACGCCCCGTGCGCCTACCGGACTGCTTTGAGCAGGAGGAGGCTTAGCGAGCGCGAGCTTTGAAACCAACGCGTACTTGGGTCATACCGACGCTACCAAACGAATCCTGCAAATGGGACTTGTCACTGACTCAGGCGATGTAGGCCCGGCCTGGAATCACTATGTGTGGAGCCGTTCTGCCTGGTGACATCGATCAGCGCGACGGATGATTCAAAGCCGATAGCTTCAACCTCACTGATTTGTTCGCAGATGTATGCCGCCACAAGATTCGTGACAGGCATCTTGTTCGCATTTCCAGACCAATCGCTGAGCTTTTCCGTCCGCTTCTTTCATTTTCTTTGATTCTCGTCGATATATCAGAACATTTGCATGAGAGCTCTGGCTGCAGCGGGACGGCAGTCAAGCGAGCTAGGGAGGGAGAGCCGGCGGCACTCGAAGTAGCTGCAAAGACCTTGGCGCAAGTGGCGATGGTCAAAGCATCATCGATGAGGCGGAATTGAAACCGGATTTTAACGCACGACGAATGGCGCAACAATGGTCTTGGACCGATGATGGTGAATCTACAACGGCGATTGAAAGGAGAATTACGAGACCACACGGCCAAGTACGAGTACTCAGGGCGTGTACTCGGACTCTTTGCTGACCTGAAACATCTCCTCGATGTGATCAGCTTCCTTGCCTCGCTGTTTGATGGCCTCGCCCGGCCGAATAGGATACAACTGGATGCGTCATGAGGCATACGACCCATTGGCCGGGGACGGCCTCGATGTGGCTATCATTATCTCTTCAGGTCGAAGACCTGTTGGAGTCCCGACGAGACTTGCGCAATCTTTCCGCGTTCTTGACATCTCGATACGGACCAGTGAGCTGACTAGGCTATCCAAGATGGGCGACCTGAATCGTCCCGCCCTCTCAAGAAGCTCGACAACGAGATCCTTGCAAAGATGTTCTGGCGAGCAAGTGCGATGCGGTATACAGAGGTCAGGGTAAGGGCAAAAGAGGGTCATTTTCAGGGCCCAGTCGGCTCGGCAGGGAAATGTAGCTTTTGTGCCGTAGACTTCCGACTCCACAGACGAATGTAAAACCAATATGTTATGCTTTCGAGACCCCCACGACAGCCTGTGCTCCGTGCCCACGAGCTTTCAATGCTGAAGAGTTTTGCTTCTTATTGCCACCCACCGAGAAGAGACCGCTTTCCCGCTTCCTCCTGTCTCCGGCAGAACCATGGTTTTCGAGCAGCGAGTGCATAGTCGAGCAATGCAACCATGTATCAGTAGACTACATCGTGCATAGCCGGACCTAGTTCCCAGTATTTCTTATCCTTCCAGGGAAAGTGCTCTGCCACCGCAGGCCAATCGATGGCTCCGTCTTCTTTCGCCGTCATGACATCGGGGTGATTGTGAACGATGCTGACCAGGGTCCGCCAGTGGCGCCAGCCGAAAGATTCCACTGACATTCCGTCCCAAAGCGCAGGGTGGTCGGTGGAGAGGTCCGTCGCAGCCAGCATTACGATCTTGGCTATGACAGGATCCCACATACAGAGTGCCCGGCTCACAACATGTCCCGACAGCTGACTGGAGCGAAGACATGACACCAGACAGAAAGTTTTGAAGAGCCTGGTCACTTCGTACTTGTCGGCTAGAACTAGCGCCCTCATTAGGTCGCTGTTATCCGAATCTTCGAGTTGATCCAGTTCGGGCCTATTTTCGCCAAAATCGTCCTTCTTATCTGCCTGAGCCAGGTCCTCCAGTCCGGATAGAAGTAGCGACATCGCACGGAAGTCATCCTCATACTCATACAGAGTGACTCTGGTAGGCCCGTCACTTGACGTTGGAAGGTTTTCACGAAGTACCGGACTGGAACATTAGGTTGAGAGAAATCAGCACGTGTCTTTATGGCGAGCACGACAATCCAGTGGGTGATCTCACCTGAGCATGAATGCATCTCGAAACACATGAAAAACGACCTGCTTCTTTTTGCCCTCATCCGACAGAGTCACACGTATGTGTTTGTTGCTGACCTCATAACCCGGGTCCCACAGATGACGATCGTAATCGAATGTCATTCTTAGCAACGGTTTGCACGAACGCTCAGCCGGTAGTTTGAGCGGACTTGCTTCAGAAAATGATGTACTTACGTACTTTGAACAATGGTCCTCTCAATCGGTATGTTCAATCACCAAAGTACTAATAATAATGTAGTGTACTATAGTACTATAGGTTGAGCGGACTACCGCTCGAAAGTTCTCGTTCGTCGCTTCGGGTGAGACCGAAGAAGCATCCTCGTAGTTACTGGACTAAGTACTGCTCCTATGGCCTATGTACTAGTAGATGAGAACGGGATACAGCTCTCCCTCTCTCCTCAGCGTCCATAGCATAACATAAGGCCAGGCCCGCACGTCTATCTCAAGGCGACAACTATGAGGCCGTGCTGGTCTCGTTGGTATAAAGGTACATCCAAAGCTTCTCTCTCGTCCAGACTAAGGGCCGTACAAGACGTCGCGGCGATTCGGACCTTCTGACCAATATTCTGGTTGGTCCCATGGAAAGTGTTCAGCGACCGAGGGCCAATAGATGCAATGGTACCCCGCTGTTGGTTGAGAGATACAGTGGTCGACAACGATCCTGACGAGTGTTTGCCAGTGCCGAAATCCGATAAAGTTGATGTAGTCCGATGGCCAGGTTCCTGGGTGACTGGTGTCGTTGCCTTTACAGGACCCCATGACGTTTCTGGCGATGACAGGGTCCCACAGGCATAGAGCGACTAGTACACGATCCAGCTCAGACCGTTCCAATCTACAGCACCATAGGTGACAGTATTGTTTGAAGAGTGTCGTAACTGCATATTTGTCGGCCATGACCAGTGCGGACTCGATGATTCCTGGTTCCGTTACCAGGAGCAATTCTTCGAGCACGGCGCCTGCATCAAAGTGGCCGGCGAGATCATCGAGTATCTCCAACAGTAGCCGTATACCAGGATGTTCCCGCGTACTTTCCGGCAAGGCTATCTCGGTAGGTTGCGTGATGTTCGGACTAGGTGGGGGGAGATTCTCTCGAAGTACCGGGCTGCAAGATCCAGGACAAGGCTTTTCAGCGAGTCCCACTTTACAGCATGTATCGGCCTCGTGAACGCACCTCAGCATGAAGGCTTCGCGATGAACGACTTGAATGACGGGTTCTTCATCAGTGCTGTCGGAAAAGGTCACACGAATGTGCTCGTTGGTGATGTTTTCATGCCTTCCGAAAGGAAAAAAAGAGTCCTTGTACTGGTAAGCTTTGTACGAGCTAATCGACCGGTAACAGATCCCGAACAGACTGACCTCGGGACGACTCGTGACATGATCGGTGATGTTGCTAGATCGCTAGCAGAATAAAATCGATAATCCTGCTTGGATAAAATGATCTGGTCGATCGTAAAGGTTGAGCTGGTGTCTATCACCAGTATCACGGTGCGAGTGGAGGGAACTGCATCAGGCTGATAAGGTATATATACTCTCTAAGGTACGGCCTTCTGCTTCCGGACCGCAGTATTGACTATGTACAAGTCAAAGGTATAAGTTAAAGGTATAATTTAAAGAATAAAGAATCAAGTTAAAGGTTCAAACGCGCATGTTAAAGAATCAAACGCGTAACTTAAAGAATCAAACGCGTTCTGACGAATCGGTTGATGCATATTCTACGCTCTCGGCATTTACCACGAACGACGACCATCCATTTCCAGGTGGATTAGGGGGACCAAAGTTGTGAGGCTCATCCATCTACATAACGCATGACGGCGAGACATGCATGGCTGGTCGTTGCGTCTCGAGCAAGCAGGAGTTTGCAGGCCGAAGTCTCGACAATCGTAAATTCGGACATCATGTATGTGTATAGTCCCAAATTATACGGTATTGACAATTCGACCTCGCCATAGCGGCGTTATCATCGTGTTTTGGCTCTTGTTGATCGAAGCAACGAGCCAGGGGGTTTTTCTCGAATGGGTAGGAGAGAAGAGAAATCGAAAAGGCAGAAAAACGACGAACACGACCTATCAAACAGCCTGGGCCTGTCCAAACCCGCCTGCCCCTGCACTCCCATGTCTATAGCCTCCATTTTGTTGCTGCTGCTGCGGTGGGGGTGGCCCTGGAGGCATCATCCCGCCCATCGGTCCAGAAGGTCCGGGAGGTGGCGGTGGCAAGCTGATTCCTAACTGCGCCATCGATGCTGGCATACCCGGGCAATCTCGATGAGACGAGAGCACGGCCGAGATTCTCCCGACCTCGTCGGTCAAGTTCTGGATGATCGACCGAAGCCGTTCGTTCTCCCCGGACAAGCCGTCGACCTTGGTCTGCAACTGCGTCAACCAGGCCTTTTTGCGCTGACGACATTTAAGAGCGGCTGCATCAGGACAACCCAAACGTTAGCTCGACTTCTTGAGCAAGTCCTGATAACATCGCCACACTCACCCTGCCTATTTCTCTCCAAAAAGTTCTTGCGCTTCTCCTCCTCGGTCTCGGGCTTCCTATCTCCTCTCGGGCTCGTCCCATCATCGTCGTCATACCCGTTCATACCACCATTCATATCATCATCGCTATCGCCAAACGAGTTCATGAAGTCCGGCGATGGCGGTTCAGGAGCGGGCGCATTCTTCTTGCTCTTCTTCGCCGCCGGTTTCGCTTTCGTTGGCGCAGCAGCGTCGCTCGTCTTGCGCTTGTTGTTCGCCTTGGCTCCCTTTTTCCCACCGGCGGCGGGGACGACGGGCTTGGGAGGATCAACGTGTTGTTCTTGCTCTTCTCGCTTGCTCAACTCTTGATGAGCTTGCGACAACAAGAACAGGCCATTGACCGCGCCGGAAGCGTCAGGACCTGGAGGACCAGGCGGAGGCGGACCGATCGGGTGACCGTTCGGGTCCGTCCTGACATAGTCCATTCCTGGACCCGGATGCATACCCGCACCTCCTTGATGCAAGTGCGAAGGTGGTAGCGATCCATGCGGACCTGGATGTCCTTGTGGCATACCAGGTGGGCCGTGGTGATGACCGTGCATGGGACCCGGATGGAACTGGTGCGGGTTGCCCGTGCCGTTGTGATGACCAGGACCACCTTGCTGCTGCATGCCCTGGGGTTGTTGCGGGAAATACGAATCGGCGTGATGCATCAACGTAGCTCCTGGGTGAACCGGAGGCATGTCAGGTCCAGGTGGTCGTTGAGCTGCCTGGGGTGGTGCTTGGGGTTGTGATGGGCCATGAGGACCGATCGCACCGTGATACGATGGCGGCTGTTGACCGCTATACCTTCTCCTGCCTTCTTCGCGCTGACGTTCCTCCTGATCCATCTGGTTGATCACCCCGGTCAACGCGTTGAGCGTGTTGGGCGTAATGTCGACCATGGCACTCGGGTTGGGTCCGCCTGGTGGTGGGCCTTGTTGAACTCCATGCGTCGTCGCTCGTGACAGGGACGCTTGAGAACCGTCACCATTGTTGCTCGACGACTGGCCCTGCGAATTACCATTCGTATTGGTCGCCGAAGACCCGTTGACGGTAGATCCAGCACCACTCGTCTCGCCAGTGCCACCGGCCCCAGGAGTATTGTTCGTGACCATGCTCAAGAAAGCGGCCGTATTCGGGCTAGGCAAGGGGAACGAAGGCATTCCGTTGACCATAGATCCGAGCCCCATCATCCCTCCGAATCCTGGCGTAAACCCGGTACCTCCTCCTGGTGTGAAGCCGGTCCTAAACGTCGAAGGGTCGAACCCTCCATTTCCAGCTTGTGGCGTCATTCCCGTCGAAGCCGAGTTGGCACCCAACGCCGACGGACCATGAGTCATCGAATGGCTCCCCGCCGGACCCGTCAACATGGCAGGCGACAGCGGACCCGCACGCAAAGAGGACGATAATCCGGACCAGGAGAAGTGAGGACCCGCTTCGAGCGGTGCGGGCGAAGTGAGCGCAGAGACCGGTGGCAGAGCCGTCTTGTTGGGCGGAGGGGACGTCTTCCTCGTCCCGGTTGTCGTTGCTCCGCCAGTCTCCTTTTCACGTCTAAAGTCTTCGGAGCTCGATCCCGTATGATGACTGTGAATGCTGGTCGAACTGCGCGAAAAGCTCTGTTCAAATGGGTTGGGTTCGAGTTCAAACTTGGATTTCGAGATCGAGCTGATAGGAGGTCGAATCGGAGGCCGAGATAGCACGGCCGGGAAGGCTTGCGGTGGCGGGATGTCCGAAGCATGTGACGGTTTACCAGGAGGTTGCAAGTGATTGGTCGCCTCCTTTTCCAGAGACTTGCGGGCTGTCGGTGTGGACACGAGGAGGATGTCGACAGATGGAGCGATGATCAAAGGTGACCAGTCGATCCAGCATCGAGCATCGGATGCGAGTGATGACGATGAGCGTGTCGAGAAAGTGGGTACCGGCCAGTCGGACGAAGAATGAAGCGGGGAGAGCGAGGGAGAAGGCAGATCATCAGCAATCTTTCCCACACTGAACATCATTCGATCGAGCGTAGGGCAATAAAGCGAATATTTCTCGCTTCGCTTGGATGATAGGTCTCAGGGACGGAGACGCGGGCAAAACCCCGCTCGAAAGGTATATATCATCCTCCTCCTTGACCCTGGACTCTGCCCCTTCCTTTAACCGTGTGGTTCGTCCCGCCTCGGCACGAGTTTCCTTTGACCGTCTGTCATCAGACTGAAGGATGGTCGTTTCAGGCGGCCGACCTCGCTTCCCGGACGAAACGTCGGGCCAAGAAGGCTTCTTCTCCCCAAGACGTTCTTCTTTCGTGCCGTTCGCCCCCGCCGACTGACCCGACATTGACAAGCCTATCGATGCCCATCTTCCAACCCGAATCCATAGCCAGACCTCGAACAGAAAAGACCAAGAAACAACAAAAACACTCACCCAAACTTCCCTCTCTCTCACCTCTCTCATCCCGCTTCACCCCTCTTCCCACCTCGCTTCCAACCGCACCCAGCTCCCTCTTCTCCGATCCTCCCCTCCTCGAACTCCCAACTGCTGCTCCGCTCGGGGAGACCTTCGAAGCCTCACTCTTGTTCTTCTCGCCCTCCGGACTCTCCCTCCTGATCTCCGGAGGACCCTGTGCGCCTGCATTACCAGTGCCAGTACCATTCGCCTGCCCGGCACCCGAATTTGTAGCTGAGCCGGATCGGACTGATCGGGGCGTCCCGGATTTCGACCTCGACCTCTTTCCTGCCTCCCCATTGGTCTCTACTCCAGACGTAGTCGGCCTCGAAGTCGAAGGAGGGGACTGTTTCACACCAACTCCGGGTACCGCAGGCGAGGCCGTACGTGTTCGAGGTTGAGAACCTGCTCGGATCTTCTCTCCCGGTGCAGGTACCTTCGTTGGACCGTTGGTAGGTGGTGAGACTCTCCCTAAGGAAGTCTTGGATTTGATAGGAGAGGTCGTTGTCGAGCCCGAGGGAGTCGACGTGGATGTGGCAAGACCGGGTAGACCGGATGGTTTGCGTTCGGGGCTTTTTGACATGATGGGTTAGATATCTATCTCGATGTTGGCGAGTTGTTCTTAGGTGGATGGCCGTGTTGTGTCGATTTGTGTAGTGTTGTATTGATGTCTATATCCCTCTTCGTCCTCGTCTCTTGTTTTGCGTCTGCTAACCGGGCCGACGAAATGCCCCAGCTCGATCTTGGCTTGTTTGCTTGTCCACAAGATTACAGGATACAGGCTTCGTCCTCAAATCAAAGCCTTTTCGATCAGGGAGTATGGTGTATGGTGTAAGGATGAGGTTACGATCGTCCAGAGGATAGACGGACGTTCGAGATGGGGTGGATAGACGAACGAATGAACCCCGTGCCGTCGGTGATGCGAGGTCCGAGGTCCGGATCAAGGTTCGTCGGGAAACGTCACGTTAACGTCGACGTCGATGTTGATAATGATGATTGATCAAAGAAGGTAGACGATGTGTTGGAGTCGAGTGGTCATGTTAGATGTCGGCGTTGAGGGACAAGAGGGAGTTTGCGGCCGTAGTTGATGGGTAATGTAGCCGGACGGGATCGCGAGGTAAAGCAGGTGATCAGGCAGATTCAACGTCGATATGAGATATGGTGCATGGTGTCGATCGAGATGAAAGCGTGTGGTTGTGAACAAGCAGCAAGCAACAAGAAGCAAGAAGAAATGTAGATGATGTTAGATTCGATCATTCATACGGGATTGAGATGATTACAACAACGACGAGAGGAGTACGACGGATCGAAAGGTCGATAGCGACGGATCGATTCGTAACCTCGATGGGAAAGGAGGTTGTCCGAAGACGAGGGCAGCGTTCGACTCACGACAACCTCTCAGGCTTCTTATATCGCTCTGACTTGTTACCCACGCTCGCTTGTCCAGAGTGTGGTGATGCTCAGGTCCCGGGTCGGTAAAGGCTGTGTTGGATGCTGATCGGTGGGATGAGATCTTGGGAAACAGGTTATGACGACGATGGATGGGAGATATGACGACGATGATGATGCGATTTGGGCGAGGGGCGAAGGGGGTAGTAAGCAGGGCCAGAGGGGCCCGGGGAGGCAAGGATGAAGCCGTCCAATGACGTCGCGATGGTGAAAAGTGACGTCGGGGGCGAGAGAATGCGCTTGCCATTACCACGTTGAGAATGCGCTTCTAACCCGGCCCGATTCTGAACCTCCTTTGACTGCCATCCGCGGTGCACATCGATATAGCCCTGCGCGCGCACGCCCTAACGCTTTACCCGTGTTTTACGCGAGACATTTCTCGTGATCGTCCCGAAACTCTAAATTCGCCTCCAGACATCCCGTCGTGGATCGTGCTCTCGTGCTTTGCCGGATCGGCTTCGACCACGACGACATGTGCTCCATGTAAGTACACCGACACCGGGAGCTAGCTCTGCAGGACGGTCCAGACGAGATCTGTATCAACCCCATTTGCCGTATCAGGTCATCGCAATATCTATAAAGCTGTAACAACGCAAACTACCTCGAACGTCTCCATCGCCATTGATACCCCTCGCAGGGCTCGACGCAGTATCTAGCCAAGCGTCGAAACATACTCCGACACACAAAATCAAGCCCCCAGTCGGGGCCCTATTCTTCCGAAGAGCATCCCCTCTGGCCTGACCCACGATGGGTGGTCTCGGCACAATCCCAATAGACTTTCCTCTCTTCCTCGTGTGATCTGCTTCCAACCCGGACTATTCACAACAAGAACCCTCGGGCTCGGATCTCGAAACTGGACCCATCGACCCTCGGAATCGAAAGATCGCCCTTCCCGTCATTGTATGTTCATCCCGCAAAGCCGTAGCCGTCATTTTCGGAGGCGGAATAAATCAGAATACTCCCTCGTCCTCTCGGAATTACCGTTGTAGGTTGGGGTGTGGAGGGTTCCTGTCCCGAAGTGCTGTAGTGTTTCGAAAGTTCCGATCGCCGGTTAGTTGACCGGTGCGTTATTGTCGTCGACAGAATTTTGATCATGTTCGGGGGGTTGGGACAAACCATTAGGGCGGAGGGGGATGGTCGAGGTGATTCGATCGTTCTCGTACCATATCGCAAACCCATCTCGTCCGCCCGTTCGTGCATCTTCTCGTCCTCTCGTCGATCTTACCCTTGACTGATCATTCGATGTCTCGTAATTCGATGTATGACGTACCCCATGGCCCAGCTTCATGATCCATGAAAGAACACACCCTGGATCTACTTCCACTTCCGAGCCCGGTCCCGCTCTTTTTCGCTTCCCACAGCGCCACACTTTCCTTCGAGGGATCCCGACTCCCGTCTTTTCTTTTCCTTTCTCTCGGCTCACATGAAGGTCTACCTCCACCTGCCTGTTCAAAACAACTGAGCATCACAGTGACGACTATGGGTTACTGCAGCGCTCGGAATGTAATACCTCGGATTTGGGCCAAGCGCTCGGAAGGAGTAAGGAAAAAAACGTGTCGTATGTAAATCCGACTCCGGTCCCGCTCCTGTCAGCCGTAAGCCTCACCCGCGCGGGAGGCTTGCGCTTCATCCTTCGGTCCTTTCGTTCTCATGGATATGCTGTCCACCGGGGTTGTCCACACGTAAAACACAGGCCGAGGAGGACTGGTTTACTTCCTAGAAGAACAGGGTTGTTGATAGCTCGTCGTTGATAGATTGACTTGGCTTGGCCCTCCGGGAGAGGCACGTTGGATTGGATGTTGGTTGTTCTTCCAGGTCCTCCTTTTTTCCTCTTGGTCCGAGCCGATGAGATTCAGTCTCTCAGAACCGGAAGGGAGGCAGAAAGACGAGGAGAGGATACTCGGCATGCCCAAGGTTTTCCGTAGCGTATGTAGAAGGCGTACCTTTGGAAGCTGCACCACGACGTCAGCCAGTGTAAGATAAGCCATATGGATTCTCGATGGCTGGGCCCGGGTTTCGAATTCGGAGGCAGGTCGGAATCGGGATTGCTTGTGTTTTCCTCCTCGATGATCAGAAGGGGTAAGGGTATATAGCCTGGGGGTTCATGCTTTGTGGTTCAGGTGATTTCGAGGGTTCGACATCCTCTTTCACCATCTTTTCCTCGCGACGTCTTCTTCGCCACCCATATTCTCTTTTCGAGCGGCGCTCCCAGCATAACTTGACAAACTCAATCACTCGTTCATTACCCACCACACTATCTTCCTTCCACTGCTCATCATGCGCTCTTCCCTCCCTCTCTACACTCAACTCGCGGCTCTCGCTCTCCTCTTCCTCGCCATCGTACCGACGGCGCGCGCCACGGGATCCGTCTTTGACATTATCGACAACCTGTTCGACAACGTCATACATCCTCCCGCGAACGCCCAGCCGGTCAAGGGTACCACCAACGCTTGCAAATGTCTCCAGTCCATCAGCCTGCCCAACTTTAAAGGGTACCTGACCGTGAGTTGGGTGGATGTCGCTATCTAGCGAGCGAAAGAGACCGGAAGATGGCGTGCTGACTCGATGTGACGATGACAGACCGATGAGGTCGACAAGAACGGCGACTTGAACCTCGATCTGACCTACAACGTTGGACGTGAGTTTAGTCATGAGATACTCAGCTCGTGGGTGCTCAGACTGACCCTTCCGTCCCGGGCCTACAGAATGCAAGAACAGGCAGATCACCGTCAAGCTCGTGGACCCAAAGAAGGGACAATCGGTCAGCTGCTGCAAGTGAGTCGTCTCGGTTGAGCATCTAACGGGGCAAGTCGGACTGTCTCTGATCTTTTCTGGTCCGATCATGTAGGAATCCAAGGGAGAAATTCCAGGCCGACTTTTTCTACGGTTACGATGGCAAGAACAGCGAGCTTGATCTGTCTATCTACCTTGGTGGTGGACCTGGCAAGAACAAGTGTGAGAAGAAGACCAAGGATGTTTGTACCCCAAAGACCGTCGGGCAGAAGTGTAAGTCGACCGCCAGCAAGAGTGCTCGATGTCGACTCCTTTGCTGACTCATAGCGGCTCGCCCCGACGTCCTACAGTCCAATTCGAGATCTCCGTCGCGGGATGCAATCAGAAGAAGGTGTTCGAGTTCGGATGCGTCGCCAACCCCACCCCCTCTCACATCAAGCATATCAAGGCCAGGAGCGAAGCGATTTTGGGATTGCCTCCTCGTCATTTCCGCTGCCCTGCAGGCGGTCGAGTTTGTCCCGTCGCTGGCACCGGCGCTACCAAGCAATGGGAATGCGTCCAGGACAACGATATCGAGTCTTGCGGTGGTTGTAAGTGCAGCGCGTGTGCGCGACCGGCCCATAGACTTAGGCGCTGAACCCTTTCGTTCCCTTCTTCTCAGGTCCCGGTACCGAGGACGCTCAAGACTGCACCGATATTGCCGGAGTCTCCGCTGTTCAGTGCATGAACAAGACGTGTATCGTCGCCAAGTGCATCAGGGGCCATACTCTCGTTGACAACGAGTGTGTAAAGGATGTCGACTTGGTACGCCAGCAGAACAAGTACGCGCTCTAGGTGTGGTGCGATGGTTGTTGGCCCGATGGACATTTTTCTCTTCGTTTCGGGCGATAGTATCAGGTAGATCGATAGATGCAGTACTCTGCTTTGTGTATAGTGAATAATATAATGGTGGTTACGACCATGTATGAAGATCGCTTTGGTAATACGTTCGTATCAATTGCTACAATCGGGAGCTACTGGTGCAACATCATTATAAGCTTCGACACGGTTTGCATACGAGACCGAAAATGCATCTATGGTCGAGCACAAGTTGAGGCTCACACAAGGTCGCGCACAGGAACTGAGGTGACCAGGGATGAGCTCGATGAGATACTGGATGTTTTTTCCGATGCAACCTTTCGGCGGACTCATCGATAAAGAGTCCAAGTTTCGGAGTTCCCTTTCAGGCAAGTCTGAGGACTTTCTCGTTGATCAACTTCAGTCCCCTCGAGATGACCCTCCACTTGGCCTCATCGACGCTTGGCGTCTTGAAGTCGCACAGGGCCTCTTTCACCTGAGCTGATGGATTTGCTGACAGGATCAAGGGGTTGCGAGAAATCCTCCGAGAGGATGATCAGGCCAACTGTCATCGTAGTGGTAGTGCTATCGCGCGACAAGGTCAAACTCCATCGTCCCTGCTCCTGTCGCTGCTCCTGTCAATGCGGTAGCGGTCAAGACCGAACCTGGAACCACCCTTGAACGTCTCAGGGCAGCCGATGCGGAGTTTGAGGAGGCTCAAAGAAGGAGGAAAACAGCCTTGGAGGACCTTTTGAGGGTCCAGGAGGCTGAGGCCGCAAAGACTCGAGAGAGGTTGTACGGGTTGTAGTCAATGGATCCCGACATTAGCAGGGGGGAGGGGGGGGGGGGGATCGCGTCATGAGCACCTCCCTATTTGCCTCGAGACGAACGAGATCTTCAAAACTCAGCTCCAGCAACCCTTCAAGCTTTGAGCATCGTATTCCCGTTTCGAATGAGCGGATTGTCGGTGGTCTTTAAAGTCGCTCGAGAATGCTGGCGAGGAAAGCGTCGATAAGCCTTTAATCGTTTGACAACAGTCGAACGAGGATGTTTCGCTGTAAGCAATTATGCTTGTCCTGATTGTACAACTTCGCCTCTCGCGATATATCTAACTTCTTATAGAGGGGTGCCGGCGATCTTCAAGTGGAACGCCGCCTCCAATTTTGCCTTTGCAAGCCGGAAATTGCTCACATCTCCAACTTCCGCGCTAGTCAAACTTTACTCGAATGAGGAGAGCCGTTGAGTAGGAAGTATGAATTTGATATGGATTTCCGTTTGACATTATAAAAACTCACTGCTTTCGAGTCTCTCTCCGAGACTTATATCGCAATGACCTCCTGGGGACCCATTCAACGACGCCATCTCAGTGCTTGTCGGCATCGACACTTAAGCAACTGCTTTTGGGGTGTTCAGGACGAACATTAAATTCCTTCCTGGTCGGCAACATGATTTACTATCCAAAACAAATGGTGCTCAAGAGTTACCTGCCTGCGCCTGATACATCCTCGTTGCCTCGGAGGGTGTTCCCGGTTTGAACCTTAATTTTGTCCTATTCCCTCTTTGATACGCGTCGCCCTTTCCCTCGAGATGCTCTGAACAAGGTACAAGCGATCTGCACGCACCGACCAAAGTGACTTCGTTCGTCGGACAAAATCTCATACAAACCGATCTCGAGGCGACCTCTATTCCAAGGATATTATAATCTTTGGATGTCAGCACAAGCCGGTCCGGGACCGTCGAGTTCCGCCTATTTACAAGCTCAAAAGCAGAATGGAAACCATGATGTCACCATCAATCCCGCTCTGACTGCCGGCAACGGCGGTACACCCGCTAACAACAATTCTGGAACCGTCTTGGCACCGATAGGAGGTACGGCAGAGACGCTGGCTCTTGGGGAGCCCAACACGTTTACGGACGCACAGTTGGAAGAGTTCAAAGAGCAAGATCGTTACCTACCCGTAAGGAGACGTTTGAATCTCGGTGGCACCGCGATGAGCACGATCTGACGCGAGCCTTCCTAATGTTTGCAGATCGCCAACGTAGGTAGAATCATGAAGAATGCCTTGCCATCGAATGCAAAGATCGCCAAAGAGGCGAAAGAATGCGTGCAAGAATGTGTTTCCGAGTTTATCAGTTTCCTGGTAAGTCAGCGCGGTTTTGACAAGTCATCGTGAAGCACGGCGTCGTATGACAAGCAGGGCTTATTGAATGAACGTATTATCTCCGACTGTATAGTCATCCGAAGCAGCGGATAAAGTGGGGACAGATAAACGAAAGACGATCAATGGAGAGGATATTCTATATGCCATGACCGCGTTGGGCTTTGACAACTACCAAGAAGCAGGCAGAGTGTATCTAGCCAAGTACAGAAATGTGAGTCTGGCTCTCGATCTTCCTCTCCCGCACTGTATCATTGTGCTTACAAGCTGGACACCTCGATCTGTCCTCAGTACATCAACGAACACCCTCATCGTCCCTCACATCACGAACGAACAGTTCCACCTTCAGCTCAAACGTCAAATCGAAATACCCCACTTCAAACGCCTACCATCACCGACGACCTCCTCGACCCATCGAGCTTTCTCAACCAATCTCCAGACGAAGGTTTTCCGGGCAACTTCAATGCGTTCGTCAACGATGACGCCGATGGGCCTGGTGATGAAGATGACGAGGAGGATGAGGACCGAGCAGGTTCTGGATTACCAGACGAGAGCAATGCGAGCGGGAAAGGAAAGCCCAAGAAAGCGCCGGCCGGAAAGAAAGCAGCGGGCGGTGGGGCAAAGAGAAAAGCAGGGGCTACAGGGACGGGTCCGCCCGACAAAAAGGCCAAGACGAAAGGAGCGGGGGCAGCAGCCACGACGGCGGGGAAGAAGGGCAGTAAGAAGTGAGTCGAGGGGATTTGTATCGGTTGAGAAGGTTGTATGCGCCAGGTTGTAAGCCATGGGGGGAATCGATACCGTGCCATATCGAACGGCCAGACTTTGGTTTCTCGACGGACTTACTTGACCTATCAGCATGGTTTTCGGTGAGAAGGTTGTCGAAATCCCCGTTTTCAGAAGAGTCATCAAGGACAGGGCCTATTAACGCAAACGTTGAACAAGGTGCTGGCTCAGGCAATACAACTTTCTATGCGAGCCTGATAAATGAATCATACCTCGGTATCTACAGTAAGATCCGGTCTGAAAAAGTCTTGTTCGTGAAGCAGGCAGAATTCTCCGTTAGGTCGGATTGAAGTTCTCGCTCGGGGCGACCAGCATTCTAGGGACAACATCCGTCGTTTTGCGAAGCGATATAGCTCCCAGGGAGTCCAACTTTGTTTGAAAGCCGAGTACAAGGCCAAGCTCAGCGACGTGTCCAACCTCAAGACACGACCAGCCGAGGCCCATCCCCTGTCCTGGCCGATGGACCTTGAGATAGCATCGTCGAATCATGTATGCATGAGCTTAGCCGCCGTTTCACAACGGAGAAAAGCTCCGCGATTGCGCTCGTTCTCGTGGATTAGATATCAACTTGGACCACCTGCGCGCTGCTACCTACGGCACTTCAGAAGTGAAAAAGCTGAAGCCAAAGGTTGAGGAAGGAACTCCGGCAACGCCCCGGCTGGATCATCTACCTCGCGCTGTCAAGGAAAGCCCTGATCAAATCCAGACCTCCAGGATGGAGGGGTGTGGCTCGAGTAGTATGGCCTGAAGGCACAGAACAGCACATGATAAGGATGTGCGGACATCACCCTCGATCAATGACGAATTCGTACGAGCGTGTCCATTGGCTTGTCTATAGAGGCTCGACGATCTAACTCTAAAATATGGTACACGGTAACGGAAGACGCATCTATACAGCCTTGTACGCCCGGTCGGATCGCTGCGTCGATTCTTTCCCAAAGTGTCGTTCCCCATACTGGCAGGCCCACCTGTTCTCCGGGTCCCACTTGTCCCGGACCTCACAAAACTTTTCAAACTTGGGATAGACCTCGGCCAACTTTGCGCGGGTGAAATCGTGCTGCTTGGCCCAATGAGGTCGACCGTCGTGGTCTTTCAGGATCGCAGTGAAACGTTCAAAGAGCTCTTCGTACGGGACCGAGTAACCGTATGGCCTAGGTGGATCAGAAAAGCAACACGTCAGTCATCCGGCGCTTAAAGTTGACCGTCAACGTTCAACGCACCTGTACTGCACGATCCCGATCCAAGTCGTTCGCAAACCGTAGCTCGGGCTGAGCCAAATGTCGTCTGGCGCGGTAAACCTGATCTCGATAGGCCAATGCACGGGGTTCTTCTCCTGCTTCAACCAGTCCCTGATCTCGACCAACGTCTCCCGAGTCTGATCATACGGGATCGCCCATTCGGTCGTGTATTGCGGAAACTATGGGATCGAGATCGTTCTCTGTCAGTTGGTGATCGGAACAATTTAGCAGTACCATCCCCTCGGCGTCTTTTCTGCTCACCAAGCAATCGAACGTGTACACCTTGTACCCATCATCCTGTGCCACACTCCCATCGCTCTGGAGCCACCAGACCCACCTTCCCACCCACTTGGTCAACCAAGGAAAGAACCGCGCAGTAAAAAGGAAGAGTTGTGTCATGTGGTATCCCTTGAATTTGCCCCACCATTCCGCCCAAGGGTTCCCTGGGATCGGTTCCTGTGGGATTAACAATAGTTAGGAGTAGGGCGTTAGCGCTATTGACAACTTTGAAAGAGCGTACAAGGACAGCTCACTTCATAAGTCCGGTTGGCACGAGCGATCATGACCTGGTCCGACTGGGGGTAATACCACATCCTCACGTGCTCCGCACTCTGAGCGATTTCATCCAACATCCCCTGGCCGAAATCCTCAAACTGGACGACCTCGCGATCGACATCGTCGGCTAGCTCTTTAGTCGTCGAAGCCAAGAGCGGGGTAGATTCCGAAGAGGAGGACGTCGTCGTAGTCGTGGTAGTCGCCGCTTTGGGCGAGGAGAGGGCGAGGTCGAGCAAGTCGGTCATCGGCATAGGGGTCTTGATCTCCTTGAGACGGAAAGCGGGTTCGACCCGGATCTTGATATCGGTGATGATCCCCGTTAGACCGAGACCGCAGCTGTTTGAGAGTGAGATCGTCGATCAGTCCCTGGAACGGGAAGCGAGAGCCAGAGAGGTCCTTTGGGAACAAGACCACCCGAGTGAATCCACGCGGAAGAAAGCAAAGAAGGACTCACATGGTGGCGTGGAAGAGATCGGCTTCGACTTCCTTCGAACACGTGATCGATCGAACTTTTCCCTTCGACCCGTCTTTCGGATCGATATCGCCTCCTGCTACGACGACGCTGATCTCCTCGACCAGATCCGTCAAGACCGGAAACGTCCAACCGCTCCCGTGCGTGCAGGTGGTGATCACCCCTGCGACCGTCTGATCCGAGATCGAGCCACAGTTGCTCAACGCGAGCTTGTTCTCTTTCAACCATCGATGCAAGTCGTGCAGGACCAGACCGGGTTGAACGTGTGCGATGGTCTTGTCGCCGACTTTGGTGATGGAGAGCGGGGAGGAAAAGGCGTCGGTCCTGACTTGCCAGGAAGATGTGCAGGCGAGGTCTGAGGGGGAGTGACCGACGCCGGCGGCTCGGAGCGGTTTCGAGTATCGTCTGGCGAGCTCGGTGATCAACAAGACGTGGGTGGCAGTGGACGGCTTGAACACTGATAAGAACGTGCAGGCAGGATCGGTCAGACGCTATAACGATCGACGTAGCTGCTTCCACCTGCCATAACCACCACCAGGACTGCAGTGCCGACTCACCTCGTTCGGGTTCACAAGAAAACGTCTTGGCCCAGTTTTGAAATCGCTTCTGCTTGCTGTTCCGGGGCAAGTAGACGTGGTCCCGATCGAGCACGGTCTCGATGTCGTGTGTTGACAAAGTGGCGAGCTGGTCTGGGGTGTAATCGACCGAGCTCATCGTGAATGCCATGTTGATTGGTAGGTATGGCAGTTCGAGGCAAGGATACGAGAACTTCAGGAATTGTATCTACGAGTAACGACAACGACGTTATCTACTTGCTACTTGACCGTCTCGATCGACGTCGTGCTTGACAATCGCATGCCGGAGACCCCCACCACCCCTCTCTCCGTTATTTTCCTCTTCGGCTAAGGAACACGCCATCCCCGTTCCTCTCTCGGCGACCGCCGCCATGTTCGTCGATGCTTCCGTCAAAAGATCGGCGCTCGTATCGCTCGTCGGATGCTAATTCGTCGATCACACCATCGCCAAGGCGTCGGGGTCGGGCATTGCGCATTGCGAAACTCTCCGAATCAAGAAGAAGAAGACGGTGCGTGCCTGTAGAATGTCGAGCATGAAACGCGGGTTGTTTCAAGATTCGTACGTCCTAGACGTTTGAGACAGCCCGATCTGTGATCATAGTCTTCATCGCTTTCAACACGGTGACTGATATATGGGTTCATTGATGAGGTTTTCTTGTGAAATCATGAGCCAGGAAGATCGGCTTTCAAAGAGGACTAAGAAGTGAGTCTGAGCGGCAGACAGTAGATTTGCGTTTGACAAACAGTAGCAAGTGGCGCAAGCCCGGCCAGCGAATCCAAGAACATGAGCAGGACCAGTACACACATGAGATCGGACGCGGTCATCAGCGAAGAAGAACAGTCAAACAAAGTTCGATGTCCGAGTTGAAGATTCAGAAGTGGCGAGAGTGAACATATCCAAGGGTATCATTTCATCGAATATATCCAGAGCGTTTATTTTATCTATCGAGGTAGCTATGTACATATTACCATAATCGAGATCGTCGAAACCAATACTTTATGTCATACTTTATATATATCCGCCTAACATCGAACCTATCGTGCATCTCGTTCCGCCTTATACGACCACAAACTCGTCGACCTGTTCCTTCTTGCTCTTCTCCTCGTCCTCGGCCTTCTGGTCCTCGTCCTCGCTATCGCTGAAAGCTCGACCGGCTTCGACATCGCCATCCTCGTCGTCGGCGGATTGAGCCTTGACGTCCTCGAGCGGACGGGTAGATTCGATATCGGCCGTAGCTTGCTCAATCGATTCGTCGGATTTGGTGGGCTCGGTAGGCTTGTCGTGTTCGGTGGAAGGCTCGGTAACGTGGGTAGTCGTCGTAGGGAGAGGTTCTTGAGAAGGAAGAGCGATGGGAGTGGCCTCGTATGTCGCCTCCTTGTCCTCCTCGACCGGCTTGTTTTCCTCGATAGAAGCCTGCTCCTCCTCTGTGGCTGGGTGATCCTCAGCCTTGACTTCATCGCCAACCTTGACCTCTTCGACCTGCTTGCCCCTCAACTTTTCCCAAACCCTCCTCCTTCCGACTTCCATCTCGCCCAACTTGCCCTCGACCGTCCTCACAAACTCCCTCCTGGCGTTCCTCACCTGCTCGTCTCCGTCGCTAGAGATGGCATCCGCAGCAACGAGCAAGCCCAACAACGCCTGAGCGTGAGCGTGGTAAGGCACGTTGGTCGGAGTGAAAGCGAGCGGGGGCACGATCAGGTTCTCCGATTGACTCGAAGCCGAATCCACCGGGTCGGCGATCGCGTCGACCTTGATCTGGCTGGTACGGTCGTGCGAAGCCTCGGGGAGGAAGTCGAGCTTGTCGGGAAAGGTCCACCCTTCGTCGAGCTTCTCCAACTTGTTTTCCAGGGCTTCGAGCTTTTCGAGCCGGGTGACCCGGAGGAGGTGTTGACGGTACTTGGCCTGGATGAGATCGGCGGTCGCTTGAGCCTTTTCAGCTTCGAGGTCGGCGGCGGAGACGGGAACTTCGTCGTCCTCGGTGGCCGTCTTGGGAGTGGGAGCTTCGGTGGGGGCGGCGGGGGTCTCCGGGATAGCCTCTTCGGTCGTAGTCTGAGCTTTCTCGACCGGCTTGGCAGCGGGAGCCTGAGCAGGTTGCTCGTCCTTGGTCTGAGCAGCGGCGGGTTTGTCTTCCTTCTTCTCCTCGCGTTCCTTCTCGTCGTCCTCATCGTTCAACCCGAAAGCGTGAGAGAAAGCTCCAAAGAGGTCATCGATGAATTTCTGGGCGACATCGTCCTGAGCGGCTTTGTCGGCCTCCTGGTTAACAGGAGCGGAAGGAGCGGCCTTCGTCTCCGCCTGGACCGGGGTAGCGGGCTTGGGGGTAGCCGCCTGTGACTGAGCCTGAGAAGCCGAAGCGGATTGTCGGCCGGTCTCCTGCGTTCCAGCGGTTTGCTGAGCGACAAAGACGTCGGGTCCGAAGATCATCTTGAGGATATCAACCGGGAAGCCGGAGATGGATTCGTCCTCCTTGGGCTCGGGCTGAGCGCGAGTGCGAGCCTGAGCCTGAGCTTGAGCTTGGGCCTGTAGCCGACTATGAGCGGGAGTCGCAGGGGTCGAGGTTCGTCGGCAAGTAGGAGGAGCGCAAGCACTATGATCAGGAAGGAGAAGCAGATCAGTCGATTGCTCCCCATCAATCGATCCGGTAGTCGCTACACACCTCTCGAACTGTTTCCAGAACGCCTGCTCCCTAGCCTGACTCTGCCTAGCGGCCTGCTGAGCCTGTTGAGCGTGCGCCAACCTCCTCTGTTCCTCCTCCCTCTGCTTGATCTGCCTCTGCCTCTCTTCCTGCGCGCGCTGATGTTGCGCAAAGTACTGCTGTTGCGCCTGAATCTGCCTAGCTCGTCGTTCCCTAGCCTGAGCGGCCTCGATCTCCGCGGCCTGTTGACGAGCGTTCTGAATGGCTCTCAAAGCGGCGACCTGACGAGCTTCTTGCACTTGTTGTCGGTAAGCGAGCTCGGCCTCGAGTCGTTCGTGTTGTTGTTGCCTCTGACGTTCGAGAGCGAGCCGTCGTTGCATCTCTTGGTACAACTTGGCGTTGGCTTCATCTCGACGCTTCTTCTCGGCCACGGCCGCAGCCTGAGCTTGTGCTTGGGCCTTGCGAGCTCGGAGACGTTCGAGCTGAGCGACAAGTTGTTGTTCCTGAGCGTCTAGGTCGTTGTTGTCGTTGCCGAACGAGGTAGCGTAGACGGAAGGAGGCGAAGCTCGATGTCCATCAAAGGGACTCGAGCGGGCCTGTCCGGGATGAGCGGGGTGGGGGTGGTGATGATGATGATGGTGGCGATGAGCCGACCCGAGCTGAGGCAACCCGTAGATAGGAGACTGAGTCTGAGGCTCGAAGAAGAAGGTAGGATAGCCGGACATGGTAGGTGGTCGAGCGATGATGGGTTGTGGCGGTGGTGGGGGTGGGAATGCTTGTTGTGGTGGTAGAGGTCGTGCGTAAGCGTGAGGCTGAGCGTTGTAGATGGGATGAAGATGAGGAGGATAGTCTGAAAGAGAACGACCTTGAGAGTATTGCATTGTGAATAGAGATGCTATATAGTTGTGGTGATGATGACGGTAGACGCTGACCAAGTGTGTGCTGCTGACCAAGGGTTGTGCGAGGGAAGAAGGATATGGCAACATCGAGCTCGTTCCCAATTCCCCCGCTTTCCCTCTGGAACCTTCGGGCAAACCCGATCGCATCAGCCCGGAACCTTCAAGAACATGCGAGATCTGCTTCCGGAAAGGAAGCATTACGTCACGCACTCGGTCACGTGAGCCGAGCCATCTTTGAGGATCCTCAAGGTAGCCTTGTACTCGTAAAGCTATAGTCATATGCAGATATACAGGACGACATTCAAGACCTCGCAGACGTCGCGGGTCGCTTACACGCTCGAACAGAAGATGATACAACATTACTACCCTCATTGCATTCCCGGTTGACCAAAACGAGTCAATTCAGTCACTTCTTCCCCTTGGCCTTCTTCGCACCAGGCTTCTCCTTTTCATCTCCCTATCGCATAAAACGAATCAGGACGACCGGATCAGCCTCCTCTTGACACTCTCCAAACATTCGAACAGACTGACCTTTCGCTTCGCTCCCCCCTTCCCCTTACTATCGCCCGCTTTCGAACTCGCCGTCTTGCTGCTCGTCACGACCCCCGTGGGTTTGAAAAAGCCATCCAGTCGTCCCTGTTGTTTCGCGCCGAGCATCTTTTCCAATCGAGTGCATCCGTTTCGAACTCGATCCTCACTGTTGGGTCAAGACGACAAACAGCGGTAATATCGACACGGGTTTCGAGACTCGGTTAGCGAAAGGAACAAGTAAGAAGGGGGGAAGAAGAGGGGATACTCACGCGAACCCCTTTTCGCGGCAGAGGAATTGCACGAGACCCTCGATATCAGGTCGTTTCCAGTCGAGCTATCATGATGAATCAAATCCATCGATAATCCTGCGCTTAGCTTTCCCCTCTCCTCATGACTAGCCTCGTGCCGAATCATATCACGCCCGACTCACCTCTAGATCATCCCCCGGCGTGACATCCGGCTTCATGAACACCTCTTTGGCTTCCCTCCAGGGCCAATACTCTGGCAATTGCATCCCTCCCTTGATCCCGACCTTGCGTTTAGGTTTCGATCCCGACGCAGCACCCGCCGAAGAAGAGGCGGCTTCTGCCTTGACGGCCTTTTTGGTCGGTTTCTTCTTGCTGTCCGTCGAGGGCTTCTTTTCCGGAGACTTGGATTTCTGAGATCTGGATTCGGGTTCGGGAGATGCTTCCCAGACGGGCTCTTCCGCGTCGTCCTCGTCCGACTTCTTCTTTTCGGCCTTCTTCTTCTCAGTGACGGGTTCGTCCTCTTCGTCGCTGTCTACCACGACCTTCTTCTTCTTGCTAGCTTTGCTGCTCGTTCCCGCGCCCTCCATCTCCTCCTCGTCCCCGCTCATGTCAGCGGCGACCCGTTTCTCATACCCATCCTCGCTCTCCAAGTCCATATCCACGTCGGGGCTAGGAGGAGCCTTGTCCTCTTCGTCCGACTCGATCTCTTCCGGCTCGATCCCCGCTTCGGCTTGAGCGTCGGCGACCTTCTCGGCCATCTTGCCCCGGACAAAGGATTCGATGGCTTCCAAACTTCCATGCTCTCTCATAAGCTTGAGCGCGGTCTTTGGGCCGATGCCCTTGGCGGGTTCGAGGTAATCACACCCGAGTAGGATACAAAGCTCGATGAACTGCAGTACAAGAAGACCCGGGGCGCATGTTCGCGATCAGTACCCAGCTTGGCTTCGATCGAAATGAAGAACCCGCTCAAACTGACCCTCTCCATAGTCATGTCGAGCTCTTCGAGGACGACCTTCAAGTTGATCTCGGAAATAGGAGCCTTCTTCGCCTCCGAAAAGGTCAAGTGTCGGAGCAAAAGCGGCGAGTTGAACGTGAGCGTGTCCATATCTTCGGATCCCGCCGCATAGACCTGAGGGTCATGTAGATGGAGAAGCCCCGTCAGTCAATCGTAACGTATGCGAGAGGTCAGATATGCCCACCTTTCCGGCTCGAGCCAGTTCAGCACACTGCGCCTCAGCTTCTCCAGGGGCCTATGACATCGTAAGCGGTATCGACTCAGCGAGAAACTCTTGTGCGGAACATGGTCGATACCCACGATCAAAAATGGAATCCCCATCAAACCCAACAATCGTCGACACTCCTCATTATGCTGTCTGGTCGGCTTGACCTGTCTCCTCGCCAATTTGTCGATATCCTCCGTTGTTCCTGTTTATCGAATAATATCATTTACGCTGTGGGGATCAGAAATGCAGAACCCTCGATCTTGATCAACATAGAGCTTCGATTGACTGACCGACTTCTTTGGCCTCGGCTTCAGCTTCCGCAGCCGCGTTCCTCGTAGCGAAACGTTTTGCCAACTGTTCTCCCGCACAGAAAATGGGAGGAACCCAAGTTTAGCATCGAGACATGTCTTTCCGTCCTTGGATGAGAGTGAAAAGTCGATCCGGTACTCACAACTCCTCCTTTGAGATCAGGTGGTTTCCCGTCGAAGACGTACATCGGCTTGATACCGTGGTCGACCATACGAAGGGTCCGGAAGAAGAACCCCATGAGATGACTATGCTCGGCAAGCGATCATTAATTATGGGTTAGTACCGTAGGAGCCATACATGCTAGTGATGTGCGAGGGGGGCCTACCTGGTGACATCTCCGTTCTCGTTCATCAACATGGTACCATCCTTCTGTCGGACGGCGACCAGGAATTGGTAGATTGACCTGAGATTCGACGAGCGGAGTCGGGGTGGACGATCAGCATCAAGCCAAATTGTGATTGACGAGGAAAAGTCTGATGCTCACATGGATGCATCGATAGCTACTTTTCTTCCAAACAACTACGGGATAGGAGGATTTCATTATCAGATTGACGATACGTGTTTTTACAGAATGCTGGATCGTTCGAGCTCACGGTCTTGATGTCGTGCTCCTTCATCGCCTTGGGGGCATTTTCGTTGAGGAGGGCGGTCAGCCCTGTTTAATGAGTCGAAGGTCAACAATCAAGCTCGATCGTAGATGGAGTTGAAGGTACGACTTGCCCTTGATACCCATGACTGAGCGTGCAACCTTGTATCAGGATCTTGGCCGGATGTCAAGCTTGTCACTCTGATCGAGGTCAGGAAAGTAGGTAGCTTATGGCTGAATAGATCGATCATCATCAGCCCTCTCCTCCCCTCTTTGACGGGGGTCGACGCGCCTGTAAATGACGCGTTTGACCACTTTGGGGGTCGCGTTCAAGAGAGATCGTGTTGCATGTTGACGATGTCCGAACCTCGACCTGTGTGTCCATATCATTTCGGCCAGGCGATTCATACCCTTATGACCACAATCTCACAGCCTTGGCTAATTTTCAAACCCCCTGAAGAGGATGGGTGACATCAAAGTGCCATCGATGAGCACCTCGCGGGATCGCCAGCGAACCAGCGCACCATCAGGCTCAGGCAGATCTCGAAAAGGTAAGCCGCGGAATGGATGGAATCAGCTCGAGGATTAAAGCTTATGTACCACCGATCAACGCAGAATACCAATTACCTAGTCAACCTCAGGGATCTGATAACAAGTTTAGGGTGGACAAAGCGGATTCTGGTGAGCATTTCGCCCCTCCTTCCCCCCCTTACACAACACATCGGTTGCCGTTTGATACGAACATGCTGTGACCGGAATGCTAGGCGGCGATGATTCAGATTTCGGGAAAGATCCGAGCCCTAAACTATCAACCCGTAAACCTCCTTCTCGCCAGATAGGTCTGCCACGAAGTCTCTCTCCAGACTACGCTCGCCTTCATCCGAAAACTCAGGCGAAACAGAAACAGGTCAAAAAGGAGGTCAAAAGGGAGCTCTACGACGAGGATGATTTCGAGGAAACGAAGGAATCACTCGACGAGATCTTTGGCAACGAGAGCATGGGGTTCAGGCAAGCCAAGTTGGCACACATGCAGTACAACTTGGATCTCGCCGTGAGGAGCGGGGGATCTCGTACGCAACTCGGATCGAGCGAGGAAGAGTCGAGCGAGATGGAGTTCAAGCCGAGACCGAGCGCGGCCGCTGCGAAGAAGAAAGACAAGGCGCCGCAGTTACGGGATATCAAAGCGCCTCGACGCAAGAGAGAATCGGTGGACCGCGGACTGGAGCTGAGAGAAGGTGAGATACAACGCTTCGTCATCTCGGCTCCGTCTTGTACTGACCGATGTTTGACCTTTTTCAACCATATGCTAATATGACAGATCGGAGACGACCGGACGAGAACGAGAATATCCTATACCGTTTCCTAGACGCCGACCAGGAACTCGACCTGAAGAGCGGTCGAAAGAAAGGAAGGCCGGCGAGGGAGAAGACTGTGAGGGACGGCAAGCTCGTCTGGAAGGATCAAGCTCTGAAACTGGAGATGGACGAGAAGCCGGTGGTCAAGCGAGAAGCAGCAGAGATGGAAGACGACGACGACCTCACTGCTTCAGAAGGGGAGTTCGAGGCGCTTCCAGCGGGTCCCGTCGCTACCGGATTCGCTATCCCTTCTATCAAGCAGGAGCCGATTGGAGCGAAGGATGATGGCGAGACCGACGACGACGATACGGTCGACGAGGACGCAATTCTCCCGCCTACCCTCCTCAAACCAGCCTCCTCTTCGCACAAACCTTCGAGCGGGATCGATCACGTCGAGGACGAGTTGGACCCGCCTAGCTCTTCAATGTCTCCGCCCCCCGCCCCTGGACCATCAGAGATCGTTTGGGGAGATCTTCGCGGTACAATGGGTCAGAGGAGGGGGAAGAGCGGGAGAATGCTCTTGCCCGGTCAGTCAGACGACGAGGACGGGAACGAAGCGGTTAGCTTGCCGGTGATCACTAGCGGAACGGCGATGCGGATGAAGACGTTCGTCGCAAGTTCGAAAGGCAAAGATAGGGCGAGGAAAGAGGACGACCAGGTTGTGCACGTGAGTGACCGCTGCGTTAAGGAAGGGAGAATAGAGCTTGGCCATCGATCCGACATTCTTCTTTCCGTTTAGGAAGAGGCAGTCGCCCTAGGCATGAAGCCGGACTTTAGATGTTCGGCTACTCGACAGCGGAAACGACCTTATTCGCTCGACCCTGACCGACCCGACATCGTGATTCCCATTGCGATCTCCAGATTCTTGCGAAGGTATCAACGCCTTGGAGTACAGTTCCTCTACGATCGATACAGGGGGTTGAAAGTTCCCGGGGTCTGGGAGTACCCGCTAAAAGGCGGGATACTAGGAGATGACATGGGTTTGGGAAAGACGATTCAAGTCACGGCGTTCGTGAGTCTACCTTGGTTTCGGTTGCGACAGCCTTTAACTCTTGACGACCATATGATTGTCATAGCTCGCAGCAATAATGAAGAAGACGGGGACTAGGCAGGACACTGACCAGTTCCATTCAAGGAAAGACCAGGTCCGGTCTAGGTTATCGAAGGGGGCTTCGATCGGTCCTTTGATCTTTGGCCCGACAGCTCTGATTGTCTGTCCGACGTCGTTGATCGACAACGTGAGTGATCTTTCGCAGCCTTTGGAACGACATCTTCTGACGTCAAGATACTGTGCAGTGGTGTCGCGAGCTGGAAACAGTGAGTCTCAGTGACTCACAAGAGAAGCGACCGTCGCTCATGGTCGACCTATAGTGGGGATACTTTTCGGTCGCCAGTGCGGATGGACAACGCACGGAGAGGGGTCAAGCGTACAGAAAATATCAACAAGGCTTCCTTGACATTTGTGAGTCGAAAGGAAAGCATGTTACAAGGCTATACCAGATAAAGCTAATCTGCTGTGGATTTCGATAGTAATCGTCTCTCATTCGATTGTCGTACGCGATATCGAAACCCTAAGCGAGATGTATTTCAGGTGAGTCGGTCCTCATGGCTGCAAGGCATCTTTGATCTCACGCTTTTCCTCGCGCCAGCGTAATGATAGTGGATGAAGCACATGTCATCAAGACACCTGGAGCACAGAAGACTATCGCTATGAAGAACATCAAGGCAGGCAGCCATTTTGCGCTCACAGGTATGTGGCGGACTTTGCACTCGAAAACCCAGGTCATTCTGATAAAACGACATGTACAGGAACTCTCATTCAGAATCGATACAGCGAGATGTGGTCCGTGCTCGATTTCTGCTTTCCCGGCGGCTTTGGAACGCATCAGCAGTGGGAGGACACGATTGGGCGACCTCTCAAGGCTGGTCTGGACCATGATGCATCGGTCAAGCAGTTGGCCGACAAGCAAGTAAGTCGGAAACGATGCCTATGCGAGAATGGCTACTGATTCATTCCCGCTAGGTCGTTACGGAACTCGTCAGGGACCGGATCCTCCCGACCGTCTTCATAAGACGTACCAAAGCCAGCGTAGTACAGGAAGTGAGCAAAGCGCTCGGATTATGGCGGAATCTTGCGCCTGATTCCCCACAGGATTCCGCTGACCGATCCTTTATTACTTAGCTACCCGATAAGGAGGATCAGGTCATCTTCTGTCCTCTCACTCCCGTCCAAGAAGCTGTCTATGAGCGTTTGACGCAGAGCGAGCGTGAGTCCAAAACGACTTGCCTGAATTTGTCTTCGACTGAAAATATCCCTTAGCTGTCAAACATTTCTTGACGAGAGACAAGCCTTGTCCGCGACATCGGGGCCAGAAGTAAGTCCGGTTATGGCGCGAGTGGGTTCCCCAAGCTGAGCACCAAGCCACCGCAGACTCGGCCAGTGTTGTCAAAAGCCTGACGAGGACGACCTGAACTGGAAAGGATTGGTGCTAAAATAGTTGGTGTCCCCCGAGTGATCTTTCGGAGCGGACGCTGATTCGTCTTGCTTTCTTCAGCCTGACTTCGTTCCGAAAAGTCGCAAGCGTGAGTTTTGTCTTTTTCCTTTGCTCTACGAAACCCCGCTGACGAAAGGGCGAGTTCAGCATGTCGGCTTGATTTATCCCTGTAAGATGGCTATCTTGCGATCCCCGCCGTCAATACGCGTCACTCATAGCACGAAAGCGTTATTTACTCAGACAAGGACGACAAGCCTGAGCAGGTTCGTCTTAACGCGTTCCCGAGACATGTCTTTTGCGCTGAATGTCGTTCGTGACAGCTCAAAACAAGTCGACAGCTGTTCGAAGAATGTGTACGTAGCCTCACCTCCGATCTGCTGGTCTGTGATTGATGTCAGCTTTGCAGTTCCCCAATTATACCGAGGAACAAGAGGAACTCAATACACTGGGTCCTCTCAATACCCACTATAGGAGTATCAAAGCAACTCAAGCTGCGATGTAAGTTGGGTGTATTGTCTACATTTCGCATGATACAAGCTAAACTGGATCGCTCTAGGGACAAGAATCTCAGTGGAAAATGGCTTGTAAGCTAGAAAGAAACGTACTGGTGAGAAGCAGCTGATTGGGTCAACAGGTTCTGGAACAACTGCTCTTGAGCTGGCGACTGGACAGCGAAGCCAAGAATAAAGGTAAGGTAATTGGGATGGGCGATGGTAATGTACGATGCTGACCGTGCTGTTCGGTAGTGCTTATTTTCAGCAACTCTGTACGGCTACTGAAGATGCTCGAGTTCTGGCTGAACGTTGGAAGTGAGTCGAATCCCCCGATCGTTCTGAGGATAAGTGGCTGACCGCCTTGCCTCAGACTTCTCGTACGAAATGCTACATGGTAGTAATTCCACGGCCGAGAGGCAAATGAGCGTCGACTCGTTTCAGAATGGGGACGCATTTGTCTTCCTGATCAGTGAGTCATGTGAAGTGTGGGACGAGAACCCGGGCTGAAGGTGTCTTGATAGGCACTCTGGCCGGTGGTGTAGGGCTGAACCTGACAGCTGTAAGTTTAGCGTGAGCAACCGGGTGAGAATTGATCCTAAGCAGGTATTCTCTTCAGGCCAACAAGGTGGTCATCTTCGATCCATCCTGGAGTGAGTCAACGAACGACTGCGCTTGATTCTCGAAACGGTACTAAAAGAGCTATTTCAACCGGCAGACCCTGCAAATGACCTACAAGCGATGGACCGAGCCTTCCGAATGGGACAGAAGCGAGACGTGTTAGCATAGCATGCGCATATATATGACGGTATATTTACTAATGCGCTTATCATGGACAGGAATGTCTATCGGATGATTGCCACGGGGACTCTTGAAGAGAACATGTACGAGCGGCAACGTGAGTCGTTATATATGCTGTTGTGTCAGCTGCGTCGCCATATAGAGCAATGTCGCTGAGACAGATCATGCGACCAGTTAACAAGCGATCGGCCGCACGAACCCTGTAAGTTTCCGCTCTCCTGCTGTGCGGCTGTTCGGGACTGACTGACGGCGCATGATCGCTTTATAGTTACGAAGGCACAGCAGAAGCTCGTCTACATAAGGGGCACGAAGGGTCCAAGGGTGATCTCTGGGGAGTCGAGAACCTCTTCAAGTATACGAAAGGAGGTACCGTCACGGATCGAGTAAGTCTCGTTGTGGAAACGATCCTTTTTCGAGGGAGTTGCTAACGTTGATCTCCTTAGGTAACCCGACTCGCTCATGCCGAAGACGAAGTCTTGCAGAAGCTCAGTGGCGTGCTGCAAAACAAGTCGCAGTTGGACCTCGACGATATGAGGATTCGGCCCACCGAGATCGATTACGGTGCAGGGGATGACGGTGCAGTTGACGTCGAGGAGACGCAAGATGGCCTGAAGGTGAGATATTGTTTTATGCGGACGCGCGCTACACGTCAACTTATTCCTTGCATCGGTACATCATGTTAGCCTACGTATGACGCAGAGAAGGACGAAAACAGGATGCTGGACTTCCTGAATCTTGGTAGGTGCAAACGAGGACTTCGGATCGTTTACATTGACATGCCGACAACTCGATCCTCGCAACATTAGACTTTCCCGGCCTTCGACGCCAACGTGTCGAGGAATCCAAAGCGTCTGCGGCTGAACAACACATCCAGCAGAACGCCCGAGAACAGTACCGCTTGAACAAGAAGGCCGGCGACGAAAAGGCCTTCGAGTACTTCAAGAGCGAGACGTATGCCCACTCGGCGTTGCAGAAGAAACGCAAGTCGATGGCGACGAGCGGGATGGGCTCCGGGGAGGTTTCGAAGAAGGCGCCCAAGTTGGGCAAGGGAGCGATCAAGACGAGTCTGATCGACGAAGAAGACGATTAGGGCCAGTAGCGGGCGAACGGGTCGGTGTTTCACGGACGATGTGTGCATGCACGGAAGGTCTCGCTCGGTCGAGATGGACGGTCCCAAGCGCAAGGCGCCTCTTCATTTGTCGCTCTCGGTGGCCGGACGACGTCGGTCGCCATGGAGCTATTTTCGTCGATCTTCCGGTTGTCAGACTGCTACCGGGCCAGATCACATGTCGTGTCCCTGAGCGAAGCGGCACGGTACCATATATTCTCTCTCGTCATGAGGATGACCATATCCATTCAGTCTCCGCAGAAATCCTGCTCAGGCCGGAACGCCGGATGAGCAAGCGAGGATCTGAACAGCGAGGCTTGGGTTCATGATTGTTGCTAGGTCAGCAAAGACGGGCCCGTAAGGTTTGCGGAGGTGGAAAGACAAGACGGGTTCCAAGACTTTTGCTTGATCAGCCTGTAGCCCGCAGCTATAGCCATGGGTTCGCTCGTGATCTGGCACTGGTCTCGTCAGCTCGCGAAACTGCTATCTCGAGCTATCTCAAGAAACCTGATGAAACGGTGCGCGAGATGATCGAGCTAAATCTGGCGATGGGTCGCATGGGTCGAGTGCCTCAAAGGACCAAAAGATCCAAAGGACCTCTTTCGATCGTTTGGAACAGATAGAACACGTATGGCGCGTATGGAAGCGTTCGATCTTCGCTCGATTGCTCTTTTGCTCTTTTGATCTTTGATTTTTGATGCGGTCCGCACGCCGTACGAGGACGCGCGTTCTCGGCCTCGATATCGATCCACCTCTGGAACTTTCGGCGCACGGCGGCAAAGTGACGATGTGGTGATGTGTCGCAGGTCAGCAAGAGGGTGCATGCGGGCCGTGCGCCGTGCTTTGATGGAATCAGGATCGGTGATCGGTATGTTTGTTGTGGTTGCAGGTGCTGGTCGATTTGAACGCTTCATCGGGAATCGAGGTTGGCTTTCGCAGCAATCGGAATACCACATCATCATTTCGCTGCTACTGCGAATCGAGGATCTCGTAGCGACCTTTGTTTTGCTTGGAATCACCCACAAACGGCCCTCATCTCGCCCGTTCCCCGCGTTCGCTAATGGCTAGTGGCAGTGAGCGAGTGGGTGTAGCGTGGTTTTTGGCCGGTTCCCTTCGTTCGAGCCGTAACGCCCGCCGGAGATCCGGACTAGCACTAGGCTGCCTGCAGGGAGGGAACGGCTAAGGACCGCCGTTCGGTGAGCCGGATGTCGTCGAGCTGGTAAAACTTGCACAGAGTGCTAGTGAGATATAGAGAACATGTGTATGGTCGTATCACCTTTCGAGTTGCGAGTTGCGAGTTTGATGTGATGGATGATCTTCCTTTGAAACGATTGTGTCGTTGGTTGTTGTTGTTAATCGTACCACCCTTTGGCTCAGCCTCGGTCTTCATTTCGCTCCCTCGCCCTCTCTCTCGCTCGCTCGCGCGCCATCGAACGAGGAAATTCAGAATCTCACACAATCCCGTCGGCGCTCAGCTTGTATGGGTTTCAGACGACCCCATCGACATCACACTTGATCGACAACCTCGACCATCTATCTATCTATCCACGGCCACCCCTCGACCATCTCTTCTTAGCCAGACGACATGCCCGCAACTCGATCCCCTTCGTCGACATCCCCGTGCCCGCTCACCACTACCGATTGATAATAACAAGCTGTTAGTCATTCGTCATTACCCCGGCAGCTGATCAGCATCAGCGGACGAAAGCGACCTTTTGAAAGGGGAATTTCGCAAAACGGCACACTTATCCATCACCCCCGTCGCAGACTCGTAGTCGTTCCGGCTTGACAATCACGGCCAGAGGGATTGAATTATCTACACGAAACGATTAGTATACCTGGAGCATACGTCTTGGACGGCTTGTGCCCCGTTGGCTACTGGCAACGATCACTCGAGGGATATACATATCGAACGCGAGGAAACGGCTACAAGATCATAGGATCATAGGCCTTCACTGTTATTATTAGTATCTTCCACGCCTTCCATCGATTTTTGCAACATATCTCCAACTTCAACCAGATTCAAGATCAGACCTGCAATCATAACCGATCAAAGTGACATCCCAATCACAAACGCCTCGATCGAGACGTTTATATGGACATCGAATTCGAAGATGGCCGTCTCCTTCTTGACCCGTCTACAACAGACGATCAATACCGCCCTCTCCCCTGAACCCCAGGTCTCGGCGACAGGACCGGTCCCTGGATCTCCTTCGACACCGACTTCGGCACTTTCGAAATCTGTATGCTCGCAAGAGACGCCTACCAAGTCTGCCCTCGTCAATGCCACTTCCACAACAATCATCGCGGATGGGAACTCTTCCGCTCCTACACCACATCCGACTACTCTTGGCCCTGTTCTCGGGCCGGTCGTCGTCGAGAGAGGAAGAGGGAGGTCCCCGACGACCCCATCGCACCTGGACGCGAGGTTGCCGATAGAGGATCAAGACGTCTTCTCCCCCAGCGACCGGACCATCACCCAGTCTCAACCCCAGATCACAACTTTGACGCATCTTCCACCGGGCTCGGTCGTTGTGGGTCCGTCAAGAGGGACGGATTCGACGCCGAGCACGGCTACTGTCAGGCGATATGAGAGGTCGGTGGAGAGGGGAGAGGGGGAGGAGGAGGTCTTGAGGGACGGAGAGGGGGGAATGAAGAGGAGGAGGAAGAAGAGGGGTGTCAACGAGGTAGGCCATCTCCAGCCTTTTAAAACGAGCTTTCGTGTTCTAGTCGTGCTGATTGACATCTTTGTTTGGATTTTTCCTTTGGTTCTGCTTTCGTGTCCGTTGTCATGGTCATGGATCGACAGACGCTTGTCATCGTCAGGCCACCACCGACGAGCGGACCGAAGAAGTTGATGAATCTGCAGATCCAGCTGGTGCTCGATGTTGATCGGGACAAGAGGAAGTCGAAGAGCAGGGTGAGTGTTCCTCGAGGCACGATATGATCGACTGTTGAGTCTTCTTGGGCTGATCATGTAATCACTTTCTTTTGCGGCATTTAGAGCACCTCGGTCTCATCAACGGCAACGGGGTCCGAATCCATCGCGCTTCCACTAGATCTGCCTTCACCGTCGATCCTGAACAATCCTATCGGAGGTCTTCGTCGACCCGAGATGCCTTCCCGTCTCTCTACCCCGGCGCCTAGCCCGCCATCCACCCCGGGCTTAGGATCGGTCCCTGGAGACAGCCCAACGGGGAGAAAGACGCACATCACCATTGCAGAACCTAGATCCGCGAGTCGACCCGGCTCGATCGTACGGAACGTCAATGGGAATGATCACAAGGAGGTCTTGAGGTCCGCAACATCGGAGCACGAGGGTGTCGGGCAATCCACAACCCCATCCTCATCCGACAGCGAAAAGAGGCAGAAGCGAAGGGATCGGCGATTGTCGAGAGCGTCGTCAGTGGTCTCGCAGGCGTCGGTGACCAGCAACGTCTCGGCAGTCAGCGGGATCTCGGGAGTCAGCGGATTGAGTGAATCGACGAGCGGTGGGAGCGTCAGGACGAACAAGCGAGGGAAGAGGATCGTGCCCATGTACAACCTCAACGTGCACAATGTCATGACGACGAGCGTGACGGATGCGGGGACGGACGAAAAGGTCGCCAAGGTGAGATCCGCTTTGTCGTTGTCGAGTGATATGATAAAGTCGCTAACTTCGTTGTTTCTCAAACAGTTCTTGAAACGCGCTCTAGATATTCACTCGGTCGGATCGCTCGAGCCCGCCGAGATATGGCATCCTTATGCGCTCGACAACCGACTGCCCCACTTGACACCGCATCAGACGAGGAGCGATACGGGGTCTCCTGAACACGAAGACAAGGTCTGGGGGTTCAACTCGACACCAAGCGCAGCGGGACCTTCATCGATCAACAAGCGCGCCAGTCTTGAAGCCCCGGCCGGGCTGATGGCCAGGCTGGAACAAGAGGATCGAACAGCAGCCCCAACCTCCGGCAAGACCAAGCAGTTTTTCGGTAGGCTGTTCAAGAAGAAGGACCCCGCAGCCGAATCAGGGTCGAGGGACGTCGCGACGGGATCCGGGTTGATCAGTCCGGCTAGAACGTCGTTCGTTGCATCGTCAGCAGAGAGGCTGCTCTCGCCACTATCACCGGCTTCCACCCGGGTCTTCCATGGGTCTGAAGCAAGAAACTCGATCATCTCGACGCACTCCGTCGTCCCCAACCAGCAATATGCAAGCCACACATTCGGCTCGTACCCGATGGTCTCGACCGCGCCGGACGCGAGTCTTGGCGAGGGAAGTCTGCATCGACCGATGGGATACACGTTTACCGTCAAGAAATGGGCCGCTGGGAAGGGTGGGCAGGAGACGATGATCGCGCCTCCTTCTTGGGCAGCGAGGTTCGCCAGTACCGACAAGCCCGTCGTTGGTGCGAGTCCAGAGGGTAGCGAGGTCGTCTTCGAATGGTCACGCGGCAAGGGCAAATCGGGACGGCTCAGTCGTACGGATGGGTCTGGGGCGAGATCAACGCCGCATGGGACGATCCCGATGCCTATCAGATCGAGCTCGGTGGCCAGCACCAACTTTGGTGAGACGCTCGAAGTACCCTCTGCCGAGAGCTCGCGGCCTACCAGCATGATCTCGATGTCGGACGATCACCATACATCCCTCCCGTTGGGACCGTTACAAGCCCAGCAGCAGACGGCCAGGAGATCTGTTTTGGAACGAGCTCGATCGGAGGATCGGATGACGACCTCGAGATCCTCTTCGCCGGCGCCGAGCGTTCGCGCCCCGACCCGTTTATCCAACCATGACGACGGGGAAGAATCCGACCCCGAGGATTCAGAGACACCCTGGGTCTGCCGGGTATATATTCCCGGTCGGAGGGAGGACGACACCACGGCGCGCCCGGACGAAAGAAAGTCAAAGAACAGGCGTCGGGACGGATCAGATGGAGAGGGCATCGTAGTAGCCACTCTGTATCCAGCGCCGCATCATCCCCGGGTCATCGCTCAGGTCAAGGTGTCGACAGACTACACGCCTGTACCCACGGGGATTTTCCGGGCTGCATCACGGAGACAGAGCAACACCGATAGCACAACGACGACTTCGATTAAGGGGGACGAGATCATGCTCAGCGAGGAGAACGTCAAGGACGTTGTCGGCGTGACGGCCATGTGGTTGGTCGTTCGGGAAGACTTTGGGGGTCTGGCCAAGAAGAAGAAGGCAGTCGAGGCGAGGCGATAGCTTGTCGAAGCGCGCTTCAGAGCGGGTCGATGTGAAACGAGACGGGATGAAGACGAAACTGTATTCTTATCAGTGTGGACTACACGCGCTATAATAACCCCACGTGATTCACATCCTGCTTAAGATGACAATGCGCATACAGTTTACTTGGATGGTCTCGGCTTGAAGCGATCACAACGCCTTTATGCAACCCCTTGGTGCCCCAACTCCGGCAATATCACTTTTGCATTGCTGCAGGCTGATAATCATCTGACGGCCGGAGCGGCTCCACCATGCTGTGTCGCTCAGTTCCTCGAGGGCTTCTCATCCTCCGCCCTGTACCGCTCACACTAAGCGTCATAACAGTCCCAACCTAACTTGAACATGACATCCTATGGGACGACGAATCAGCCGAGAAGTGGACCGTATACATCTGAGAGACCATGTATCTTACCTCTTGTGTTGCGGAGCCTGTGGCTGAGAAAACAGCCGCCCGATCGGTGGCATACGCCACGAGGTCATTCCATTGCCTCACCGAAGGAACATCTGGATCGACAGCGATGTTCTTGACGATCAAAGTAAGGATCTCGGGAGGAAGATCCAAAATATGCAAACGTCCCCGGAAGGCCTCGTCTTTGAATCCGTTGAGCACGATTCTCATTGCCGGGAGAAGTTGAGCAAACGAGGTTTTCAAGGACTGGAGCAGTTCCCTATTTTCACGAAACCGTTCGTTCCGTAGACCCTCACGCTCGAACTGACAAACCGAGTCCTTCGTTCAGAACCTGCGATTCACATTAGACTGAGGGTTTTACTCACTTCCAAGTATGATTCCTCGTGTAGCTCCGACGTAGGCTCCTGTCTTGGTATCGGCAAACCCATCTCGGCGTAACGAGTCAACGCTTTCATGATGTTCGCGCGGCTGACGTCGTCATATCTTCTGGTCTCCCCGATACGCTGATCGAATATCGGAAGAAAGACTTCCCGGAGGTTACGATTGTAGCGGCAAATGGCAACCTCTAACAAGGCAAAAGATGCTGACGAAAGGAACCCCACCCCGTCGACCCCGTCGTTAAACTCGAGATGGACTCTTCGGAGATGGCGAGATCGTCGAGAGTCCGCCAGGAAATCGCTTAAAGCCGTAATGGTGTCTTCGTACGGTAGTTGGTATGACCACCAGTATAGGCGCGTCAGGTGGTATGTTGCAGGATGGGCAGCACATTTGGGGGCGAGACCCTCCAAAAAATCCCGCAAAGCGTGATGACGAAGGGGGTTATTGAGCACGACCAGACTCTGCAGTTGTGAGCCAGCTATTGCTCGGCCCAACGCCGGCATATGATCTACGCCCTGCAGCGACAAATTTCAGGTCGAAGCTTTTTCATTTCGTCGCGAAAGACTAACTTCTATCCCATTGTTCGAGAGGATAATCTTTCCCAGGGTTGTATCCCCGTCTAGATAGTCCGCGATGGCTGGAAGAGCAGGGTCTCCTATCCAGTTTCCGGCCAATATAATCATCTCGAGGGTAAACCCCTTGTCATCCTTGAACTCGAGGTTTCGTCTCTCTCGGATCGCTTTAAGACCTTTGAACAAGTGTATACATCCGTCCGTGTTCAACCTATTATGCGACAAATCCAGTCGCCAGATCGGGTGTCGATGAGGCTCGATCATTGCGAGGATGTGTGCCGCTATGTGCAAGTTGAATGAGCCGATTCGTTCAGTACAGCATCGTAGACAGGCTCAAGGGATCGTTAGAGACTCGGCCTACATCCTCGCACCCCGTGAAGCCCTTGATCTCTGAAGTCTAGATAGTTCTCTTGAGCCATGGCTGATTTATTCAGATCGGAATTGGCGTGGCAATTTGATAGTCGACTTTGTGCCAGAAGTTTTCGATTGTATCAATAACAATGAAGGTCGGTCGTGACTGCTTGACTGAGACTGAGACTGTCAGCGATTAGTAGTATATCAATAACTATTCATGGCCATCACCAGCGACATCATATGTTCGGTCTCGTCCGATGATTCGTTTGTTGGGGACGGACATGACGTCACTAACAACCTCGAATGAGCGCTGTTGAGGGATTCCTTATCCAACCATCTCTGTTTCATGCATGCGTTTAGATTCTATCTACGACGACAACTCCTGACAAGAGCCAACTATAGTAACTTTGATAACAAGCTCGCAGTTTATAGCTCGTCATGGCTGCCGTAAGACTCTTGACCACCGGCACCGCCAGCGGAACCGTAGAGACCAGCGATGATGGGCTGGGCGATGGCCTGGAACTCGGCGAGCTGATCCTCAAAGTCCTCGGCGGAAGCCTCCTGACCGTTGCTCTCCATCCACTCCTTCTTCTCGGCGATGGCGTCCAAGATGGTCTGCTTGTCGTCGGCGGACAACTTGCCGCCGGCACCCTCAGAGTCCTTGACGGTGCTCTCCATCGAGAAGATGGTGTTCTGCAAGCTGTTGAGGGCTTCGATCTTCCTTCGGATCGCGGCGTCCTCGTCGGCAAACTCTTCGGCCTCTCGAACCATGCGCTCGATCTCGTCGGTGCTCAATCGGCCCTTTTCGCTGCGGGGTGGGGCGAGGTTGCAAGGTCAGTTATTCGCTCGAGCAAGAAGTCAGAGGGTGGCCAGGTGTACAACTCACTTGGTAATGACGATCGACTCGCTCTTGCCGGTTCCCTTGTCGATGGCCGAGACGGTCAGGATACCGTTGGCTAAAACGTTTACAAAACAGGTCAGACTCGCCACGCAAAGCGCTACATCTCGGATTCTCGCGACTCACCGTCAATCTCGAAAGTGACCTCGATCTGGGGCTGACCCCTGGGAGCAGGAGGAATGTTGGTCAAGTCAAACTTGCCGAGCTGGTTGTTGTCCTTGGTCATCGATCGTTCGCCCTCGAACACCTGGATCGAGACGGTAGGCTGGTTGTCGACGGCGGTCGAGAAGATCTGAGACTTCTTGGTAGGCACAACAGTGTTTCGGGGGCTGTAAAGGCGAAGCCACGGGTCAGCCGAGAAGTTCGCGTCTGAGCATTTTTGCAAACGACTCGCGACTTACATCAACTTGGTCATGACACCTCCGGTAGTCTCGATACCCATGGTCAAGGGGCAGACGTCGATCAACAAGATGTCCGAGCTGGCCTCCTCTCCGCTCAAGATACCACCCTGAACGGCGGCACCGTAAGCGACGGCCTCGTCAGGGTTGATACCCTTGGAAGGCTCCTTTCCGTTGAAAAAGTCCTTGAGGAGTTGTTGAACCTTGGGGATACGGGTGGATCCTCCGACCAAGACGATCTAGCGAGGGTCGTGCGTGTTTGTTATTAGCTGGAGCGCCCAGTCGTGCGGGTTTCATTGCATCGCAGACTCACGTCATCGATCTGGTCCTTCTTGACACCGGCGTCCTTCAAAACCTGCTCGACAGGCTTCATGGTCTTCCTGAACAGGTCCATGTTAAGTTCCTCGAACTTGGCCCTGGTGAGGGTCTAAAGACAGCCAGACAAACGCTTGAGTTCCAGATCTCGATCAAACACTAAAAGCATCGCAACGTGACTGACCTCGCTAAAGTCGTTTCCGTTCTCGAAAGCCTCGATCTCGACCTTGACGCTCTGCTGGTTCGAAAGCGTCCTCTTGGCCTTTTCGACCTCTCGCTTGAGTTTACCCATGGCACGCTTGTTGCTAGAGACATCGGTACCGCCCGACTTGCGCTTGTATTCCTTGACAAAGTAGTCGATGACTCGGTTGTCGAAATCTTCTCCTCCCAAGTGGGTGTCACCGGCGGTGGCGAGAACCTCGAAGACGCCCTCTTCGATCGAGAGGAGGGAGACGTCGAAAGTACCACCACCGAGGTCGTAGACGATGATCTGGGATTCGGCCTTGCCGGTTCGGTCGAGACCGTAGGCTGCGAATGGGGCATGCGGGAAGCGGGTCAGCTCGAGGTCGCGGAGCTGTGAATCTCGAAAGACCGCGACACTTACCGATAGCGGCGGCAGTGGGCTCGTTGACGATCCTCAAGACGGTCAACCCAGCGATCGTACCGGCGTCCTTGGTAGCCTGCCTCTGAGCGTCGTTGAAGTCTGCGTCGCGTCAAGTAGATATCTCCTCGTCAGTATTTCGCCATTTCTGGACGCGATATCGGATAACCGTCGAGAGGAGTTCCGACTCACATGCGGGAACAGTGACGACGGCGTGGGTAACCTTGGTACCGAGGTAAGCCTCGGCAGTCTCCTTCATCTTGGTCAAGACCATGGCCGAGATCTCCTCCGGGGTCTGCGCAAATCAACGGGCGTGCGAATAAAGCGAGGAAGGTGGCAATGGTCAGCTCGGATTAATTTGTCGCGAGATTTCAGGGCGGAATTTGATGAAGGTGAAGCTTGACGTACGAATTCCTTGAACTCGTCCCTGTGCTTGACCTTGATGATGGGCTTGCCTTCACGGCTGACAATCTTGAAGGGCCTAGAGTCGTCATCAAATTGTCAAAACCACGTCAGCCAAAAGAACACAAACGTATAGTCTACATCTGTCTGCCGGCCAACACGCACCAGTGCTTGATGTCCTTTTGCACGTCCGAGTCGATAAAGTTCCTTCCGATCAAACGCTTGGCGTCGAATACGGTGTTCTCCGGGTTAGAAGGACCTTGGTTCTTGGCGGCGTCTCCGATCAATCGTTCGTCGTGCGTGAAACCGACCCATGACGGGGTGATACGGTTTCCCTGATCGTTGGCGATGATCTCGACTTTACCTCCACGTTGAACGCTGTCGAGCGGGACGGTGCGGTAGTCGTGGCGGTAGTACGGGCGGTAGAGGGGCATGGGATCGAGACCTAGCAGAGGTCAGCAAAAAGGGTCGCAAGAAGGGAGATGTGGATCATGCGTTTCAGCAAGTGACACGTACGCGACACAAGAATAGGTGGTACCCAGATCGATACCGATGACGGTCCCGAAATCGTTATCCTTTTCGACCTCGGCGTTGGCGCCGACGGGCATGAACGTAAAGACGGCGAGGACGACGAACGCTACGAGGGCGATCGAGGTCATGGCCCGTCTCAGGACGGATGATGATGATGAGGTCTTCATGATCGGGTTTTTTGTCGTGACCAGAAAGAGCGGGTGTGAATCGGCTCTCTTCTCTTTTCGTTAAGTGGTCGTCGAAGGCTGGTCGTCCTTTCCTGATATCTCTCTTGGATGAGATTGTCGAGGATGTCGGAGAGGGTGCTGGGGGAGGCAGGTGGCGAATGGCAATGGTTGGGTATGTGGTGATGGTTTATGAATTCTTGCTCACTCACACAAAGGGGGGAGTCAGTCGGTGCCACGTCGACGACGCTCGAGCGATGAGGTTTCAACATTCCACGCGTCAAATACACGTCGCCCCACCCCTCGCGCCTGCCTCGTCATCACCCTCGCTCCGGAAGCTTCCAGAACGATCGAAGGGTGGTCGAGAACGGTTTCAGCGGTACCAAGTCAAGGAGTGTCGCCGTCAACGTGGAGCAGGTGCCGAGCAGAGGAGATGGCAGCACAGTGGGGAATATCGCTGAACGATCGAGCAGCATCGCTGCAAGCTCGGGGGACCGACTGTATGTACTTCCGCGACGACGATCGAGACGGGCCGACGCTTCGGTGGATTGTTGCGCGCCAAGCCGGAGGTCGTTCGCCTTGTCGTCGTCGAGAGAACTGATCCATGCATAGAGTACAGAGGTGAACTTGACCTCAGGATTTCATGTTGCGTGAATGGAGACCCGTCTATGCGCAGACCGAGGGCGTCAAGGGGAGCGAATCGATAGAGAAGGTGTTTGGTTTGGAGGCGCGCGCGAGCGCGCCGCCCGAACCGGGTTAATTTCCAAGAGATTCTTCTTGGGGATTGTGAGCGGAAAAAGGTCGCGCTCCCCACAAGCCCTCTCTATAGCTCAGTTGGTAGGCGAGGGGCTGTAGATAGTCCCTTTAGACCAAGGATGGGGTTGAAGAAGGGGTTGGCGCGCTTGTGTGGCGTCAGATGCCAACAAAAAGGGACTTGCCAGAGAGAACAAAAAAAGGCAATAAAAGGGCGGCAAACAGGGCAAAAAGTTCTCTCTCCACACTGATTCGAACAATGGACCTAGGGATGACAAGGTTGACTATTACAGTCCCTCGCTCTACCAACTGAGCTATAGAGAGGGCTTGTGGGGAGCGCGACCTTTTTCCGCTCACAATCACCAAGAAGGATCTCTTGGAAACCAACCCGGTTCGGATAGATGGCAGGCGAGGCTCTGATCATTGTGAAACCGCAGGACCAAGTACCTGGTTCAAGTTCGGGAGCAATCCCGGTTGCATACACTCATGTTTGACAGCACACCCGCGCCAAGGCTTGCATCCATCCCTCCTCTGCCAATCGAGTCTCTCTGATACTCACTGGGCCTGTGTGCCCCTTCCAAGGATTTGTATGGTTTTGGAAGGTGCATACCTCTGATAATCTCCTCCCCCAGACGCGGTTGCGATCGATGGCTCCAACCTCGTACGCCCATTGACGCGGAAAGCCGTGACGTTCTCGACCATGCTCCTCGCCGTGCATACGGCGCCCCGGTCGTCGCGATACGGCTCATCAACCTATACCAATGCAGTACAGGGCAGCACTATATGACATTCTGCCCGGAACGGATGAGGATCTCTTGTCGAGTCCCACATCTCAACGCGACCGATACGTTCCTGCGCGTCAGGCGTTGGCCCATCCACACCGCTTACATCGCCCTGCTACCTTGCGATGCCTCGACTCGGTAATAGAGGACAGTCAAGATACTCTAGGAACCAACGTCAGGTCATGAGAAGCCTGGCGCCGCTTCTACACGTCGTCCTTAAATCGCTCGAGGTAGCGTCCACACACCTGCGCGCGATAGGTTTCAGCAGCCGCGCCTCGCCCTACACAGTCGTCCAGAAAGAGAGCTCGACGAACCACGTCAAGTACATCCGCGCCTGCTCAAAGGAAAGTGCTATGCCATATCTAATACCATACCGAGCTGTGCTGTCGAGAATTCTACGGTTGCGCCAGTCGATACATGGTTTCCCGCTCGGTACGACTTGGCTATCCATTGGGGATCTGCAACTCAAGCTGTGCACTTCGTCAAGCTGCTCTGCAGAGCTGAAATCGGTCGATCTTGGGGGTCCGTTTCAGGTTTTCATCAGTAAGAAACCTGTGTTTCATTACTGGTTCGCGATCACATCAAAATCATGGAGGGCGAGACAAGGTGGTGCGATCAACGTACCAGAACGTCTGCATCCAGGATTCCAGACGTCGAGCTCGTTAGTAAAGCAACGAATGAAACGTTGCTCGATGGTGGTACATCTTTTGAAGCACACGGAGAGCATTCCTGATCAGCGACAGAAAAAGCTAGAGATCACGTCTCGATTCACCCTCCTCCCCTAGAGCGCTCTCCCTGACAGGAATCCAGGTTCTCGACACCGGTCTGTGGATCACAGTTTGGTGCGTCACAGTCTATCATGGGGTTTCAACTGCGTCGAGCACAGGGATCCACTGTGCGCGATCTTGTCGCTATTCCCACAGATTTACTACAACAAACATCAGAACCTTCAGTAGCAACTGGATTGCGAATGCTTTTTGGAACAGGTCTGCTCAAGGTGGCCAATGCCTCGCAACAAAGCGAACCCGCTGCGATGAATCTTGCAGGCTCTAGCAGGTAACTCACGACGAGGGCATCCCATCGCGCTATTGGCAATGGCTTGCACTCTCGACCACAGCTCATGAAGACCCCGACAAACACGATGACAAGGGCGTCGTAATGACTGAAAGCTTACAACCATAAAGATCACTCACCCCACCTCAGGAGATTCGAGCAACGCAAGCTCTGGCAATTCCTCTGTGATCAGCAGCGCCGCGGCATAAAATCCGGAACCTTGCCAAAATATATTCCTGGCTTCTTTCAGTCTGACTCTCTTTGTCACAGGCACCAACGTAAACAAATATCGATCAGCACGTATTTCGCCATGAGCGAGACGCAGCCATGATCTTCAGATAGGAAATACATCCGCGATAGCAGTCGGAGCGGGAAACAAACATGGTCGGTCCTGTCGCGCTCACGTTTCCCTTGACGTTGATGTAAAGGTCAAGGCTCTTCTCATTCTGTTCCACTATAGCTCCGAGGTTAACAGTAGGTTATGGCATAACCTCGTACCCGTGGCGCTTTTGCGTCAACGAGAACAAGACGGAGATACGATACAGGCAGCGCTGGACTGAGATAGATGTGATTGAAATCTACCCTGTTACCATCTAGCTTGCTCTTGGCGGGGGATATCTGGGTACTAGACCTTGCTTTAGTCCTGCAATGGATCCGTATCACCTCCTGTACCAAGGCAATCAGACACAGATCCCACAGAAGACTGTAGAGTTTGGGAACAACGGGGGATGAGCAATGGGAGAAAAAGACCACATGACGGACAAGTCAACGTCCCATTCGCCTTCATGATCTGCAGGAGAGCCGCGCTGCTACCATTAGACCTGTCGCTGTCCCGTACAATGAGCACAACGATCTTGCTACCATTTTATAATGAAGAGCGCGATCAGAAGCCAGAAGCAACGGATGATCACGTCTATATCAACACAGAATACCGCCGCCGATTGTCACTTCAACTCAACCCCCGACAGCTCTCACGGGAAGCGCATCCACAGACCTGAACGCTGGGGCCAGATGATTGCATCTGAAATGCCGCAAATAACCCGGGCCTCGTTCACCTGCTTACACAGGTATTTCGCCGCAGATGGCATCACCTCTGTGCTATGTACGCAGGCGATTTAAGCTCAGGTTCTCCTGTTGATACGGCTCGCAAGAGCTCCTGGAACCGTATCCGTCCGATTCCACCCATTCGCCAGGGCCTTCGTCCATGAAGGTCTTGGCCCTCGTTGTAGCGACGGATCAGCAAAAGGAACGTAGGGCATCAGGCCTTCTCTTATACGACCAGAAGAACAATCCTAAATCGAGGATCGAAACATCATTGTCGGACAAGTGGGCCGTAATGACAGATTTGGTCAAACCGTCGCTGCTGATGGACCTCGTGGTCTCCCTTCGACCGGAGTTCGGCAATGTCACGGATCCACGACAGGCAAGGTATGTGATGTGTATTGACCGTTGTACACCCGTGATGTATAGATCATTCGACCACGCCGGCTCCATCCTTCACCGGCTCCTCCGGATGCTCAGTCCTTTCCTCCTTTAGCGACCTGATCTCCTCTTGAGCTATCCGAAGGCCTCCCTCGACCGTACCCAAGATCGCCCCGAAAGCCAAGGTTCTCACGAACAGCGCTAACGGGAATTGGTCTACCAGGATCAGGATGATGTCTCAGCGACAGCTTTTTCCCTCAGACGTTTGTGGTTTGTGTGCACTCACTCAATAGCCCCACCACCGACGCCAACAACGACCCCGCTGCGGCTCCGTCTAACCAGACGAGCTCGTCCGCCTTGCTCGCCTTTGCCAGCCGCATCTCATGGTCCAATACCGCCTCGACGACGCTCTCCCTCGCCTTCCCCTTCCCACTATCCCGAGCCGCGGCCGCAGCTCTTTCCACATTGACCATATTCCGGATCCCTAGTCGCATCTTGCGGACTCCTTCTTCTGCCAGTACGTATAGGGCCGTCGCGGCCCCGAGCTTGAGGGCGTCTTTGGCTCCTTGTCTGCATGCCCCGAAGAGGATGCGGTAATTTCTCGTCTTGGTGTAAAAGTACTATCGCCGTCGAAAGCTGCAAAGTGAGCTTTCATATCGACTTTGATCATGATGGGCCTGTACTCACCCATCCTTGTACCGTCGTCGGCGGTCGATGTGCGTTCTCTGCCAAGAACCGTAACCTCGCCCGACTGCCTCCTCTTGACAGTCCTACGAATGCACCCAGAGCAAAAGCTGCAGGGGGTAGCACAAGTAGGCGTTCGGGTAGATGCAGCGAGATGATCGAATCGTCTTCGTTCGCTTGATAGACTGGTGGTGGTAGTGCCGAACGAGCAGACAAAGAGGATGACGAAGATGGTTGAGCGTTGTCGTTGATACGCAACGGGTTCGAGGAGGGGTCCATCGCAGCCATCGTATCCTGTCCTGTAGTATTATATCGCTCCAGCCAGAACTTAGGGATTCAGTAGTGGTATAGGGTTGATCTTGTATGAATATCATAAGTTGTCGAGGTAAGGTTAGGTCGTTTGCTAATTGCTCGGTCTGAGCCTGGATCTGGAATTTCGCGAGAAGCGCGCTCGAAGCCGAAGGGAAGCTACTTGTAAGGGGGAAGATCAACTACATCTCATAACCTCACCTACATCTTATTCGATTGGTATCAGCAAAGTATCGCCGGCATAGACCACAGAGACTGGAAGAGTAGCTGCATCATGGAACCTGTGCGTGAAATCGTTCTAAGCTCCCGCTCGCATGGTACTGACCTCTCGACAACGATTCGACCGACAGGCCGGACTTGACCTGGACGACCTCGGTAAGAATCTCGCCGCACGAGACCGCTACAGCCGGCTTTCAACAACGCTGACCGCCTCGAAACTACAGCTCAAGATGTCGATTTCTCCATGGGAGAAGGCTTCGAGAGGCAGAGAGCCGAAGCTGCGGCCGTCCTGCAAGAGCTGGATAGGAGGAGGGAGGCTCGGACGATGGCCGTGCCGACGGATACGGAGCAGGTCAAGGCGAGGTTGAGAGAGCTAGGAGAGCCTGCGACACTGTTTGCTGAAGGGGTGAGTCGGTTCTCGAAACGCTAAAGGTGGATTGATTAAGCTCAATCCCGGATTTGACAGCCGGGAGATCGACGAGAGCGTTTAAAGTACGTTCTCGGACAAATTCGACAAGCTAGAGGAGAAGGAGATATGGAGGTGGAGCAGCCAAGCGACGATTCGTCAGACTCGGAAGAGGAGGAGGTGAGTGTTTTGGCGAACTGTTTGGTGTCGCTGAAGAGACCTAACGTATCGCTTGGGGATGCAGAAAGAGGAAGAATTCTACACGCCAGGTTCAGAGGAGCTGCTTCTAGCTCGAAGAAAGATTGCAGACTTTTCGTTGAGGCGGTAGGTCAGGTCATTGTCTGTCGTATCCACTTGCCGATGCTGACCATGTGTGTTTCTCTGCCTATACAGCGCTCGAAAACGTATAGCGAGGCAGAAGGAGGAGGCCAAGTTGCCCCTGAGCAAGGTGATCGATACGAGGAAACAAAGCTACAGCCAGATCAAAGTGAGCCGTCCGCCACCGCTGTTGATTGAGAGATTCGGAGACTGACCAATCTGCTCCCTGTTCACTGACAGAAATTCAGCCAACTCGGTTCTCAGATCGGGGATGACCGACCCGTCTCGCTCGTCCGCTTCTCTCCCAATTCGAAACTCCTCTTGACCGGTTCCTGGACCGGGAACGCAAGGGTATGGGACATACCAAGCTGTAACCTGAAGACCACCTATAGAGGTCATGGAGATAGGGTCGGAGGGGTGGCATGGCATCCCCAGGCGACAATTGGCCAAAGCGAGGACGCTGTCAACTTCGTGACGGGTGCAGCGGACGGGCTGGTCAAGCTGTGGTCGCTAGGAAGGTGAGTCTCTCTGATGTGACAGCCTGTTCGATCGTTGTCTAATGATCAATCTGCGACCCACAGCGAACGGTCCATGGCGACACTGCAAGGACACGAAGCGAGGGTCGGTCGGGTCGCTTTCCACCCGTCGGGAAACTATGTCGGATCGGCATCATACGACGGGACATGGCGTTTGTGGGATGTGGAAAAGCAAAAAGAGCTATTGGTTCAGGAGGGGCACTCGAGAGAGGTTTTCGCGCTCGCTTTCCAGGACGATGGTTCTTTAGCGGCTTCAGGGTGAGTGGGAGCAAATTCTCAATCTGTGAGCAGAGTCATCGCTAACAGACCTGCGGGAATAACATAGAGGCTGGGATGCTATCGGTCGAGTGTGGGACCTGCGAACGGGTCGTACGGCAATGGTACTGGACGGTCACGTGCGAGAGATTCTGGCTCTGGACTTTGCACCAAATGGGTGAGCATTATTGCTGTTTCGCGCAGAGCTTACTTGGCTGATCATGCTCCCTTCGCTCAGCTACCAAATCGCCGCCGGTTCCGGTGACGATTCGATCCGAATATGGGATATCCGTGCGCTCAAGGTCGCATATACCGTCCCGGCTCACAAGTCGTCGGTATCGGACGTGCGATTCTTCCGATCGGCCGACGAGGCTTCTCTGATCAGCGCCGAGGACGTCTCCAACGCTGCCAAACAGGGCGAGATGGACGTGGATGTGAGCGGGGACAACGAGGACAAGCCGAAACCGGAAACCACCATGTCACGTAGCGGTCTCTTCCTGGCGTCATCTGGATTCGATCACACCGTCAAGGTTTGGAGCGCGGATGATTGGCAGTTGTTGACATCGCTCAAGACCGACGAGGGCAAGGTCATGAGCGTCGATGTCTCAGGGGACGGCAAAACGATCGCCTCCGGATCGTATTCGCGCTCGTTCCACTTGTTTATGGATGTAGATTCGTTTTAGGCCGACATCATGGTATAACATTATGCCACGCATTGTGTGCGCAAAAGGTCCAAGATTTCTGGTACTTGTCGCCAGGTTTACAACGTGATTCGAGCGAGATTATACAGCAATGGTCGTGTCGGTCGGTTGCAGAGTTTGTTCGTCACGCATTGACTCGTTGAATAAAGGCCGTCATCTTGCCAGAATCGAGCAGCGCGGCATCGCTGTCGACCGCTCTCGTCAGTTCGTCCAGGAGTTTCTACGTGGGACACGAAGCAATCAGCAAACAAGCTTAGAAACTGCGCAGACGAGACGTCGCTCACCTCGTCCACCTGTTCGACTGGCAACTTGACACACGTCGCGATCACCTTTCGATACTTGGCCGTCTTTTCCGCCGACGTAGCCGCGACGTCCAGCAGTTTTTGATCGAGTAGACCCTCTGTACGGCGTTGCCACGTCCGTATCCGTCGGAGTTGCACGAGTGTCGAACCGCTCGAGCGATCCACTGTGGGGTCGATTGTAGCATCCTGAGCGACCGAATCCGCCTGTCCGGGGTACCACTCGAATGTGGCCTCGAGCGGGAGAACCTTTTCCAGATCGTGCGATTGTTGTTGTATGGCCTCCACCTCTTTGACGAGGTTCTGAGCGGCCGTGATCTTTCTCCGTTCTTCTGCAAGCTCCCGAGTGACGAGCACGACTTGGGCATGGATCTGATCGAGATTGCTCTGCTTCGAACCGATCTCTTGCCGAAAGTCGTTGTTGAGTTGTTGAATCATGTTGGAGAGGCCTGCGAATGGGAAAGGAGATTTCTGTCAGCGACTCTGCGGACGGGGAGACGACATGGGATTCTTCCCGACACCTACGCTTGACAAGATCATTGCCTTTTGTGTAAGGGACTTGGGAAAACACATCGTTTGCAGGTGTTGAACCGAATCCATTGACAATCTCCAGGCCCTGCATCGAGAGACAGATTTCGTGTCAGCCGCACATCACGCAACCGCCATGGCGCAGGCAAACTCACCGGTACTTCTAACCCATAATCGACCGGTCTCAGACCAATCTTGTTGGCTCTCGAGGCGTCGGCCCCAGCGTCCAACAACAACTTGACGAGGTTCTTGTTCCCCACCCTAGCCGCGACGTTGAGCGCCGTATCGCCTTGCAAATCTCTCAGGTTCACCAGCGTCTTCAGTGAGCCTTCTTCCTCATGCTTAGCGATCCATTCGAGCAAGGTCGACATGTAATAATTGGCCGACGTCGCTCGTCCCTTGATCCCAGCGACGAGGGCGACGTGATGCAAGACGGAACGGTGATTGTTATCGATCGTTCTGATCGACGAACCCAGGTGGTGATCCAATAGGGTGGACAGGTTGTTGCGGTCCGCATTGTTGGTAGTGAGGATGGCTCGAATCAAGGGCGTCTCTCCAGCAAAGTTTCCTCTATCCACATCAGCGCCCCTTTTGATCAGTTGGGCTATAATGCTATCCCTAGCCAACGCCGCCGCCCAATGTAACGCCGTATGACCTCGGTCGTCGATCACTTGGTCGATATCGATTGCCATCTCGCCTTCTTTGGCGTCTTCGTCCTCGTCGTCATCCATCACCAACATGTCGCCGGGGTCATCCCCATCACCATCCTCATGACTAGCTGCGGGTTTACGGGGAGACAAGGCGAGCAAGACGTCCAGGTCGACCTCTGTCGTCTCCTTGGCTTCAAAGATGGCCAACAATTTTGTCCGTGCGCGGGCAGACGAGGCAGCGGTCGTCCCGTCCACGTCCGCCGAGGGAGATCCAGCTGCCAAATGCCCCGGTCGATTTGGTCGGTTCGCCAGCTTCATCCCCGATGGAACTGACCCGTCCGCCGACCCGTCCTGCGGCATCTCGAATTCTGTTGATGCGAACCCAGCGGGTTGGTCCTGCTTGGACCGTTTCAAGGGGGGTTGCTGGCTCGCATCCCCTTCGACCATATAAGACCTGCCATATTGATCTACGTAGAGACCGGGCACACTGGGATTGTCGAAAGCCTCTTCCCCCGCTCCCAAGGGTCGTTTCAGTGCGCCTCGCGGAGCAGCGTATGCGGGAGCTCCCACGGGTTGAGCTTGGAGAGGCGCATTGGTAGCGTAATATCCGCCTGTCATTGCAGATGGCTGACCCGGTTGGTTCGTCGGCATGTGGCTCGAATACAACATGCCATCCCCTCGATGAGAAGGGTCATATGCCGGATGGTGACCATGCGGCATTGAGGTCGAACCCGCAGCGTATTGACGTTGCATGGAACTCGATCCGACGTCAAACGAGTTGGATCCTCCTGGTGCATGTCTCGACTGAGGTTCTACCGTCAACAGCCCCGGTGCAGCAGCAGATGAGCCCGGCGCTCCTCCGCCGACGGACTGGTTACCAAGGATCATGTTCATCCCCGTCGCCAAGGACCGACCTTGACCCGGAGCGGGGGCAGGGGAGATGGGTGCGCCTGGGTTGAGGTTCGGATTGTTGGGATAGGGTGCCGGGCTAGGTACAGGTAGGCTGGGTGTCGACAATGGAAGTTGTGCGGCATGAGCCTGAAGTGAGAAGACGGGTTCCAGGAGACCGAGTACGCCAAAGCTGCGAGCGAGGTCTGAAAAAGGTTCGAATAGGGGTCAGTTCGACTTGATCGGTATTTCGATTGACGTCTGTTTGATGCTCACCGACACCGGTTTGATATGGAACCCTGCTCGCGTCAGCCAAACCACATCAGTAACGACGACTGAATGCCACTTTGTATTACAGGCGGACGACTCACCAAGTCCCCTGGTATTTCCCATACCCACCCTGAATCTTCTGATGCACTCCCTTTGAGATCTCCCGGTCGAGGTACTTTGTCCGTGCCGTCTTGTTCACCCCGGCGACTTTGAGGATTTGAGTTGCATTCAACCACCTGAAGCGTCGAATTCGAGGCAGATAATAGATCAGCAAGGTGTCAATAAGGGTTAGCATGCAGTTGAACAGTTTGACAATTGAAAATCGAATGGTGCGAGGCTTACATGTCTGATCTTCGCATCATGACTGCTACGTTCCTGACCATCGCTTCGAACACGGGGATCTAGCAAGCGAACACGGCGAAAGGCTGAGCTGCATCTCCTCCAGGCTCGTTCGGGATCACGTTACAACACAGCCTAGCGGCGATGACTCGAGCCTCGACTTACATCAGAGTAGGCGGTCGCATAGACGGTCGCATGAGTGGCCGTCGTCGGCTCTCCAGCGAATCCTCCGGCACCTGCCGTCGCAGCATGGGTATTGGGATCCATCACGGTCAGGACTATAGCCGAACCTCTCCTTGGGTGACAAAAGGTTCGTGATGCTTGGACAGAGTAGAGTCGAGTTCGAGAGCTCTGTATTGGGTCGAATCAGATCGAATTGCTGATGAGCTTGATGTCCAGGTCCCCTCCAGCTCTCTCACTTCTCCAGCAACGCGTCGACGCGTATCGACGCGTTCAATTGGGAAACGAGAGCGGGCTGCCGTAACGCCCACGGACATAGTCACGATATCAGCGTCCGTCTTGGAGGGTGCGTGAAAGTGGTGCTCGGCTGGGTTCGACTTTTTCGTGGATCGGTCATCGTATGGAATGTCATTAGATTTGGAGTGCTAGTAGGGCTGAGATACGCTGTCTACAAGTATTATAGGTATTTCCGACAATTTCGATGCGACTTTGGTGTTTCGACGACGGATCCGTTATATCGAGCAACGGGTAGCGATCCGATACAAGCTATCGAACCGGTGTAGATACAGGTTACGGAAGTACAAGATATCTTCTAGCGACATGTCATGTATTGGGCCTGATATTTCGCAGAGGGATGGAGCGTAGATAGATATCGAGGCGGCGGTGTACCGCGGTTGCACAAACGTTGGAAATTTCCTGAGCGATGCCTTCAGAGCTCTTCGTCTTCTGGTATGAAGCCTATCCCGGCATGGAACATGTATCCCCACTTGTTTGGAACAGCCTACAACCTCTAGGTGGGATCGCATGAGGTGGTTATTGTAGCTGTTTACTCGAATAAACCCGGTGTCGGATGGAGAAGCCGGATTGGGCGTGCAAGGTTTCGAGCCGGATGAACGCTAATATATCCCACTGTCTTAGCACAAGGGTGAAGCAGGTGATGTATTGTGTGGAATTGCAAGGAAGCTACCAGATCGTCTCTTGCGATGTGAAGACTCTCATTCATGGGTTCGTTCGTTGAGCGTGATTGTTGTTAAGCATAATTGATCATTAATGGCGAGGTTCCGATTCTGAGACTTTGAGGCAAGCATGCAGTCGTTGTCTATGCCCCTGGCTAGACGCACAGGGAGACATTCGAACGAGCATGCCGGGTGATTCTGCTAGTTCAAAGCTGTACAGCAGTTGAAACGAACACAACACGATGCAAGACGTCACCTTGCACCGCCTCCACCTCGAACATCCGGTCATATCTGAAACCCGAAAACCCCCTCGAGCCATATTGCCACGGCTCCCGTTTCCGTCGGGTCATTCCAGTCAGAGATAGGACAACGGGGGGAGCCGGCTGCCGAATGTGGATCTGCGTCCCATTGCTTCCATTGTTCGCTGTGTCCTTCTGGAAGCGTCGGGTTCGTCGACGTGGAAGGGTCAGGAAGTATGATGACGCAAGAGGAAGACCCGTCCGCAGCATCCCGGCCTTGTTCGGCTACAGCGAGTTGACGTCATTTTCAATCTGCCGCCGCTCTAACCGGAGGGGTCAAGGCAGCGAAAGGAGGGGAAGGGTCGCGAGACGTGTTGATCCATTCTCTATCCGCGCTAGTTCGGAAGCAGACCGAGCACCTCGCTCATACATCACAACGAGTATATAACCCCTGTCCCATCACTCGAACAACACTCATTCCCCTTGCCTCTCTCACCCTCTCTCTCTTCTTCAACCAACGCTCTTCGCACCCCCTACCACTCTACCTTAAACCAAACCAACACACAAGAACTTATTCACAATGTCTGACATGGGTCGTCAATCTCTCGGTGACAAGGCTTCCGCCGCGTGAGTCCATTGAGACGCTTAATCTTCGTCAATCCTTTACTTATCGTCGCTGCTTGTTGCATTCCGTTCTTAGCGTCAAGCCCGACTCTGAGAAGTGTAAGCCGTCTCCTATGCTTCCACTATTCATCTGAGAAATAGTCGCTCATCATTACTTTCTACCTTCAGCTTACGTCGAGCAGGCCACCGACTACGTCAAGGGAACCATGGACAGCGTTGCCTGTTAGTCGCTTCCACCTTGTGCCATTGGTCTTGTGCTGATAGTCCCCCTCTCATTTGCCCTCGTCTAGCAACCCTTCAACCCCAGCAAGAGAAGTCGACCGTGAGTTTCGGAGCTTTCTCTATTCCACTCTCGACAGGCTGGCTCATTCCCGCCTGTTTTGCGCGTTTTACAGACCCAGAAGATCGGTGACGCCGTCTCGGGTGACAACACCAACCGAAACGTCGCCTGAGCGGGTCGGTCCTCCTACCTCTACACTCTGAAGATGCCTCTGCTCCGCTGCTCCGTCCGGGGCTCGGTTACGGGGTCGTTCTGAATGATCAAGTTGTACGAAACACAGTAAATGGAAATACATATGAAGCATGATTGATTGAACGTGACGTGTGGCGATGCGGTGTGACTGCTTGACTCCTGTATCTCCTTGTTCCATCCATCCGTCCGTTGCGACATCCGATCCTGCTCTATTGTTCGTCGACGATCGCTATGTGGCAGTCTAATTAATAGCCACGTCGACGAGCTGGATTGATCGTTGCGTTCCGGCTCCGGACTTGCCCGGGCATGACCGAAAGCTTGCGTATGCGCAGTCAGTGCATGGGGGCGCCGTGATTGTGTCCTGTGTGTAGAAGAAGCTGACCTCGATATGAAGAGAAGGTAGGAGAGGCATCGTCTTCAAAAGGGTTCAAACCTGTTTGATCAGGTCTTCGTGATAAACATCTTGCATCGTATACAGTAGCAATCGCAAGGACGGCTCGACGTCCAGGCTACGAGCTATTTCTGATTATAAATATGGATCTACGATTCGTCGTAAGAAATATGTCTCATACATTGTAGGCAGTAACGGGTTCGTGTCATGTCGTAAATGGTCGTTCTGTAGGAAACGAGCATCAATCAGATGATGAACCAGCGCCTGGCACGCTCGCGAGATGCGACTCACATCATTTGAACAGCTGTTTCACCGCCCTCTGCAGGTCGAGTAGGGCGTACTTGGGAGCCAGATCAGCCGGGACGATTTGGTCCGACTGTCCGAGTGAGTCGATCAAGGACGACTTGTAGAGCGACTGGACGATCTCCTTGTAAGCGCCCTCCGACACCGCTTGGGACTGGTCCAGGTCCAGGTCGGAGTATTCGAGATCCCATGTAGGGAATGTGGCTGCCTCGATAGCGATAAACGCTTGCAGGCTGAGGAACGGAGGGCAAGTATCCTTGGACGTCCAGCTCTCGACCTGGTGAGATTGAACCATGGTCGACGCCCATCTGGCGCCTTCGGAGCTTGTAGGATTCTTTGCGACCTTTCCGAGCCGGTAGTACACGTCCCTGGTGCTCCATTCGGCTGCATACCGCTTGTACCTCTCGTGGGACGCCTTGTAAGCCAACCCGAACGGAGGCAACCGGTCATTTTCCTTGTCGGCAGCGACCATGAGCTCGATATGCGTCGCAATATTTGCGATCTGCGAGTGCAACTCGAAACCGCCCAGATCCAGGGGCCAGAGGTACATGGCGTTCGGTACGTCCCGGTTATTGGACGCCTCTCGGTCGGGAAACGCTCGAGCGAGCTCGTCTCGTAACCAGGCCAGGATGTCTTTGCCTCCAGTGACCCGAGCTTGGACCTGCCCGAGAACATCTTGAACGTGCTCGAGATGTTTGACACCATTCGCTCGCAAGGGCAACGCGGTGTTTCTGGCGATAAACGCCTGGTACTTGTTCCAAACGTTGACCTTTCCGAGGAATGACTTGGCCGAGCGCATCTCCTCTTCCGCTTCTACCATACGCGTCTCGAGAAGCGCCTGATCGATCCTCCATTGGCCGTCTGATTGAAGCAGCAAGTAACCCCATCGGAACGGAGTCTGCGGAAGACTAGGCGGGACCTCGCGCTGTTTCCCCGCTGCGCCGACTACGCAACAACCACCCTTGTCCTCGTTCCACTGCAAGTTCGCCATTCGGGCAAACTCGGTCATGACCTCATGAGCGCCAACGACTTGGTCTTTGTCCTGCGACCAGAACCAAAAGTCGTCGTGGTTGCGATGGACGTGCAACTTGGTCTTGGCAGCGATGGCCATGTCCAAAACGACCAACAGGAGTTCGTTCATCAGGGACGAGAACCCCAAGCCGAACGGTGTCCCGGTACGGCTCGTCACGACGCTACCGTCTTCGCACCGCACACGGACTTGTAAGAACGTCTGCAGCCATTTGAGCCACGAGGCCGGAGCACCGAAATACTCGAATACAGCCAGAGGTACCGAGTGGTCCAAGCTCGGCCCAAAGTCCTTGATGTCGAGGTGCACCGCGGTGATATCGGCATCGGGATCGATCGTCTGGAGAAGCCGGATGTCGGTGCAAAGCATTTTAAAGACGTGAGAGTATGCTCGGGCGGTCTTGCCGGACAGCGCAGCCGAATGCCATCCCGCGGCGTCGACGTCGGCTGTGATCTCGCTATCAGTATTCTTGCTCCTATTCACGCCCTTAGTCTTGGTCTTGCGTTCGTCCTGGACGCCATCGCCGTACCCTCCTCCCTCATAACCCCCGCCCATGCCGGTCGAAACGACCTGGAGGATTTCCTCTTCTTGACGATTCAAAAACCTGGCTTTCAATCCGTCACGAGGCAAATCGCTGTCGTAGGTGGTCATGTCTTGTAGGGCCAGCTTGTATTTGAGCACATCCTCTTTTGGGAATTTTTGAACAGCCGCGTCGACAATGGTACTCTTCGGCCATCCTTTGCTCGTGCGCAGTTGCACGAGGTGAAGCTTGAAATGCTCAATCCAGCGGGTCGAGATGACCTCGAGAAAGATGGCAAGATTGACGTCGAGGTCGAGGTGCTGGCGTTCCTTGCCGTTCAGGTGTCTCTGGATCTCGATCCGCACGCCTTCCTCTGGCCAGTCCCACTCGTCCAGGTGTCTAAGCGTCGAGGTGAAAGCGGAAGCCAGTTCGTTCAAAGCCATGGCCTTGGAACTCTCCTCTTTCAGCTGTTCCCGCAGCTCAGCCGTTCTCCAACGGGGGTCTGCTGCCATGGTCTTCATGGCCGCCAACACCTCGTTCGGTTGAACTTTGGCCTTGAGCGTCTTTTCACCAAACTTTTTGGTCCTCTCCTGGATTCTTTCCACATCGTTGAGCATCTCCTCGGAAGCTCCTTGATCTCGCAGGAACCTGTTAAAGTCAGTGGCTCGAATCCCCAGACGGCCATCTGCTTCGGCTTCGGACTGCTCCCCGGCAGGAGGGTTGAAAGGGATCCCCGTCGTCTCTTGCGATTTCGCCCCATCCGTCTCGAGCCATTGTTGCAGAACGTCGCAGAATAGGACTGCTAGGTCAGACTGGGTCGAAGCCTTTGCAAGACTGTCGCCCAGTCGCTGGCTGGTATCGGCGCACTGCTCGACGTCTAGAGAAGGATCAAAACGAGCGATCGATCGGAACGCCTTGATGTCTTTGAGCAACTGCTTCTGTGCAGCTTGGCGGTAAGATTTGGAGACCTTCTCCAAACATTGCTCTTGAAGCTCGAGCACCTTGCACCAGTCTCCTTTGCTACGTTTGTCTGGGCTAGGTAGCTGCAACGAGGACACTTCGGAGTCGAGCTTTTCCAAAGCCGAATGGACTTTGGACTGCTGGGCCCGAAGTACCGAGAGTTTGTGGCCAGTCGTGAAACGAGCGATGCCGGTACTGACGTCGCCGCTCATATTGACGAGAGGCTGGGAACAGATCGAAGTGCGAGTCAAAAGATTCAACAGACCAGTGGCGATTCGCAAGTTGCAAGTCGATAGAAGGTGAAAGAGGTGTGATCGTGGTGGTGGTTCTTATACGAATCGGTGGCTGTGCTGCGCGCGACGATGCCCGGGGCCGAACCAAGTCATCCTTTGTCTCAAGTCAGGAGCGGATCCGACGTCGATGACTGTTTCAATTACATCAATTTTTGCTCTTCCCTGCTCGGCTGTGGCTATCTGTACAGTAGTGTATAATCTCGCAGCAACATCCTTCGCTAGACAACCCCTTTTCAAGCCTTGTCTCGCTTGTTCTCGTTGACGATCCCAGTTCGTCCACCCATCAGCTCGACAAGCTCCTTCATGTCCTTCCACCACGTGCTCTTGCCTCGCCTGTTCTTGATATCAGCGGCGGCGAGCATCTCATCGATCGGGGTAAAGATAATCTGACTGCCCTGGATGGTGATCGAGGCGGCCGAATCGCGCGTGTTGCAAGGTTGTCGACGACCCGAAGGCTTGCCGCTACCCGAAGCAGGGGCCTTGTGAGCCTGGCTCTCGAGGAACTGCATGCATCGGAGCGACAATCGAGCGGCTCGGGTACGGTCGTAAGGCGAAGGCACGCCTCCTTGCAAGGTGTGACCGAGCGAAGCGGATCGCGAGTCGAAAATGTTCTTGCCCTCTTCAGCAAAGATCTTGGTCATCACCTCGGTGGTGTAGATCTTGGACGATTTCTCGCTCCTGCAGAATTGACGCGCACGAAAGTTAGCTCATGATTCTCCATGATCATGTTCGGCGACTTGAACTCGCCTGATGACCAAACGACCCTCGCTCTTGCCGGGCACATCGAGTGCGTATCGCTTCTTCAAAAAGTCGACGTCTTCTTGCAAGACATCCAAGTTGATTCCGTTCTCGGGCGTGTAACAAAGAACAGCACCGACCTAATATGTTGAGATTGAGATCAGCTGGTTGTCCTCGATGCGTCATCATATCGGATTTGTACTGACAGCCATGGCACCCATGGTGGCAATGTAACCAGACATGCCTCCCTGGGTCTCGACGATAAAGACACGGTTCCTGCTAGCGGAAGCGCTCTGCCTGATAGCGTCGGCCGCAGCGACCAAGGCGTTCAGACTGGTATCACTTCCGAGCGAGTGCTCGGTGAGGGGTACGTTGTTGGACAAGGTGGCGGGCAAGTGGACCATGGGGATCTGGAAGCTTGGGTAGTGCTTCCTGGCGCCCTCGAGCATCTCCAAGGCGAGCAGAGCCTCGAAACCACCGACCATCAACAGGGCGTCAAACGAGTGAGCCTGGAAGCTGGCGGCGATACCACCGAGATCGACGTCGGGCAAAGTACGGTTGGTACCGAGCTCGGATCCTCCTCGAGTGGTCCAGTTGTCGACTCGCAACCAGGAGAGCTCCTGAACGGCATCGTCGAGCAGACCGTTGAATCCGTTCTGGATACCGATAGGGGTGTGTCCACGAGCGAGACAGTATCGAACGGCCTGACGGGTAGCGGCGTTCATTCCACCGGCGGGTGCTCCGACGCTGCGAGACGTTTTGGTGAGCAGGACGTCTACCGCGAGACATGGGCGCAACCGACTCACTGGATGATACCGATACGGAGCCGCTATAGATACCAAGATTGAATGTCGTCAACAGCAGCACTTGCAGGAATTGTCACCACTCGTAACTCACCTTTTCGACAGGCAGAGTGAGGCTGTCATCCAAAGTAGAACTGGCCTTGAAGGCCTGCAACGACTCGGCAAACTCGGGGTCACGGAACGACATGGCCTTGTCGAAATTCTTCTCCTCGATCGCAACAGCGACGGCTTGAGTCTGTGGTTGTAATCGCTAAGAGTCAGCTGGAAAGCTCTTGGATGGCAGCAATCAACTAGACCCACCTGAGCGACAGCTTCGAGCAGGGGCTTCCTGGTGATCTTGTTCTCGCTGATACCGATCATGTACGAAGGGGTGTCGGGAGTAGCAGAGAGCAAAGCCTCGACAGCCTCGACACCTTGCAAGGTGGCCTGTGGTCGAGTAGAGCAGATCGTAGACACTTTTGAGCTGTGCGTTTCGTGGGTCCGGCCAGGTCTCAACTTCGACACTCACGAGAATACGGTCGTAAGCACAGGGAGCACCACCTCGCTGAGTGTGTCCGAGGGTGGTAACCCTGGTGTCCAATCCAAGCTTGTCGACGAGGACGTCCTTGATGTAGTCTCCCTTGATCGGGTTGAGGTTCTTGTCAAGCGCACCCTCGGCGACGATGACGATCGACTTTCTCTTTCCGACTTGACGGTGCTGGGTTCACGAACCACAGCGAAGCAGAGACGATCAACTCGAGCGAAAATATGGAAAAAGCGTTGACGACCCAAACTCACAGCCTTGAGAACGGAACACATCTCTTCCTCCCAGTTATCGCTCTTGGGAGGTTGTTCAGGGATGAAGATGTAATCGGCACCGGTAGCGATACCGGCCAACAAGGCGAGCCAACCACAGTGCCTGCCCATGACCTCTACGACAAAGGCTCGGGAGTGCGAACTGGCAGTGGACGAGATGGAATCGACAGCCTCACAGATCCTGTGCAGGGCGGTCAATCCACCGATGGTCAAGTCGGTCATGGCCATGTCGTTGCTGCAGGAGGCACAGATGCAGAAGATCGTCAGCTATCACGATCGAACTCAACAGCACGGCAACCATGACCACGTACTCGATAGATCCAACGAGCCCGACAATGTTCAAATGCGCAAACGTCTCGGCCTGAACCTTGGTGATCCTCTGGTTCTCGAGCAACTCGCCGACGAGCGAAGGCCACTCTTTCCTCAACATGTCGGCTCCGGTCAATGAACCGTCTCCACCGCAGACGGCGAGACAGTCGATACCGAATTCGATGAGGTTTTGAGCGGCTTTGAGTCGGCCTTCTCGGGTGCGGACTAGAATTTTTGTTGGAGGGAACTAGGTGTGAGGTCGGAATGGGGTGCATTGACGAGGACAAGGACTTACATGAAGGGCATCGGGAGGATCCGATCAAAGTACCTCCCTACCAGGAGTCAGCGTGATATGCAGAAACATCAACAATCATTCCCCCTTTTTCCCCTGTTCAGGCCATAGTCCGGTACCTACCTCTCCCAACCACCCCCTCACATCGTCCCACCCTACTCGAACGATATAAGTCCCCTTCAAAGTCTTCTTCGCATCCACCCCCGTAGCTTCGGGAACTCCTCCCGTAGCACCAGACCCTACAGCCATCCTCTGTTCTTCTAGCCCATCGGCTTCGATCTCCCCCTCGGCGCTTCCGGACAACAACAGCTCTCCGAACCCGTACGAGAGGTGTCCGAGAGGTTCTCCAGCCTCGTTAAAGTATTGATTACGTTCGGTAGCCTTGTTGTGTCTGGCGATACGTTGAGAAGGGGGCAGGTGGACGTGGGAGGTGGATCGGGAGAGGGCGGGGGTAGGGGTTTGAGAGGCGGTGGGAGTGGGGACGTCGTCGGATGGGACTTCGGTGTTGTTCCCTCGGACGAGACCTTCCCAACCTTCTCGGATGATGTAGGCTTGGCAGCCTCGGGCGATACCCATTCGGACGACCGCTCGGACTGCGCGATTGGCAAGGAACGTCATGGGTCATGTCGTAAGATGTACATTGTCCGGCACAGATAGGTTGTTAGCCGCCCGACTCTTTTCGGGGTTCAGTGCTGGAAGAGACGTCCTACTGACCTGCTGCGTTCATACCAGCCGAATCACCTCCACTGGTGAGCACGGCAATCTTCTTCTGCCTAGGCTTCTTGCTACCGCTCCTCGACTTGCCTCCAGCCCCACTCTTGCTGGGCGCCAGGGCGTTCGAGAGCTTGTCCTCCATATCCTCCTGCTCTTGCTTGTCCTGCTCCTGGTTCTGGTCCTCGGGTTGACCAGGGCTGGTAGGACGAGTAGCAGCGGGGGTCAAAGCCTCGAGCTGCTGAGCCTGGACGTGGTCTGGGTTGTTGGCAATGTCCGTCTTGGAATGGTCGACGGTCGACTGTGAGATTTGAGCCATGGTCGCCGGGGTTGGGGGTACTGTAGTAGGTGAAATTATATGCGGGAAACTTTTACGATATGTTCGACCGCCGGATTGCGAGTTGCGAGTTGAAAGTTATGCAAGCTGGGAGGTCAGATTTTGTCAAGCTCAATGGAGAAGATGCTATGATCCCTATGACGACGTCGACCGTTGAAACTCTCGACCTCTCTCGTCTCCAACTTCTCCAAAATCCGACTGGCTCGTCGATTGTGCGGGAGCCAAGAGGGAGAAGGAGAGGGGACGGAAGCAAATCAAGTACCCCTATGACGAAACAGACAACGTGGGAACGCATGAGAGAAGGCACATTTACTTCCGGTTGATTCACCCCCCCCCGTTGATAAGTGCTAGGTCACCGATTGTGATGGTGAGCGCAACGTTTCAGTCGTCACAATCTCTTCGTCAGTCGGACCACTTAGCTGGAATACAGCAAGATCAGGCATCATATTGCTCGTATATCGCGTCTCTGAATCATGTGCGAGAAGATCGGTAAGCGGAAAAATGACGACTGAAGGGCGGAGCCGAGAGGGGGTAGGGGCAAGTCGGATGTTCGCTGCACGGTCTGAGAATCGTGATGTTGATATGCTACATTTATGGTTACAACTATAACAACGCCCACTGCACTGCCACTTTTCTACTTTGGCCCCTGGCCGTTTTCGTCTCATCATCAAGTTCTACCTGATCCAGGCCTTGGGTGCTAGACCTCCCTTGCCCAAACCCCATTGCCTCAAGGTGCTCATCAAGTCGAGGTTCCCGAGGTTGTCCAGAGGTCCCTGGACGACGACGGTAGGTTCGCCTGATCCTAGTCCGTAATTGAGTGCCTGGGTGGGTCGCTCTGCCGGTCGCAACACGCGCGTGGCGGTTCGATGAATGTCCTGCAAGGGTGGTCGGGTGTATCAGGATCCCGACTAGATGACAAGTAGCTCAACCGATAAAACTCACTTCTAGCGTGACGGCATCGATCTTGGCGCACATCTCGTGTACGGGAACCTTCTTGCCGTGAATCTGGGTCTGCCTTCCGAGGTCTGTGCATCGCGATGAATCAGCAAAGTTCATATTTTGGATCTGTCAAGAAATGACCTCACCCTCAACTTCGACGCTCCTGCTCTCAAGCGCCATAACAAGGCTGCTCTTCAACTGGTTCTTCGCTCGGCTCAGCTCGGTCGGTGTCACACCTCCTCGCATGGCTCGCGTGAGACTATCGAGTTGGTACCCGATGACGTTCCCGATAGAACCGGCAAAGTCTGGCTGTACCGAAGCGGCGATACCGAAGAGGCCTGTCGAGAACGGAGTGGTCTTCAGCAAGGCAAGACGATCGAATGAATAAGCAGTACCTGGAGCTCACCTGAATCGGCGTAACAGTGGTGGAAGCCGGCACAGTAATCGACCCGGTAGTATTGGTTCAGGACGTTGGTGTACAACCTCGAGTACATCCCCTTTCCTGGTCCCCCGGCAGAGAAACTGCCTCCTCCTCCTAGCAGCATCTGCATCGTCGCCAAAGCATACTGCGCAGTATCCATGGATGATCAGCGACCTGTATTGCCAGGGCGATTGAGAATATGCTCACGATATCGGGGTCATGGATACCCAAACCCTCGAAAGCGACGTAGACGTGTACAAACTCGTCCTCTGGCTTGTTCAAGTACAGCTCTCCTCCCGTATACTGAGCTTTTGCATTAACAAGCCCCTGACTACCCGACGCATCCGCACGACCGTCCTGCAGCGTCGCAAACGATTTCGAAAAGGCCGGTTGGGATGCCGTCTTTGAAGGGTGAAGCGTCTTGCTTGACGAGACGGACGAAACCAAGGGGTAGGTCGTGTCCATCGACCCGAAAGCCTGTTCCGTCAGACGGACGAGCTCCTCGTGCGCCATCCCTACTCCGGCAACAACCATCCTCTCCGGTCGGTACCATTCGCTCATATACGCTCGCAATGTGTCCTCGGTGATCAGGTCCAAGCGATCCTCGGGACATAAGAGGGGCATACCAAGGGTGTTGCCCTGGAAAGCCACGGTATGTAAGATCTCTGGCAAGATCATATCAGGCTTGGCCCAGATCTCCCTGATCTCGTATGCCGCAGCGTCCTTTTGCGCCTCCAACTCTTCGGGCAAGAGGAGTGGGCGCAAGATCGAGGACGACATGATTTTGAGAGCCTGAGGGAGGTCTGAGGGGAAGATGGTAGATTGGTACATGATGGTTTCCCGTGATGATGAGCAGTGGATATTGGATCCCAGCGAATCGATCAGGTTTGACATCTCGGAAGAAGTATACTCGGAGGTGGTCTAGCGTTACCAAAAGGGTCAGCTAGTTGTAGGGAAAAAGAACGATGCCAGGCGTATCACATACCTTGAAGGCCATTCGATCCATTAGATGGCTGACTCCACTGCTTGCTGGACTCTCATACCGACTACCTGCATCGATATACACACCAAGTGCGTGGAAATGACCCGGCGTCGTTTCTGTCGTCACTCGAATCTTGTTGGGCAAGGTCGTCACCCGCGATTCCGGTCCAGAGCTCTACAACCAAGGTCCCGGTCTCGATTACGTTGGTCGCCAGGGGCACAGATTGATCGCTAACAGACTCACGAAAGAGTTTGTCGATAACTTTGCCTTGCTCGTCGAATTGAGCATAGCTAATCTCTGGATTGCGCCAGCCGGCCGTGGTATCCGGCTATGTGCCGATTTGACGAGTGCGGTCATGGCGCCCTTGTTGGCGTTACGAGTCGGTAACATCCTAGATCGTGTACAGTAAGACTACCTGGGTCGTTGAATGCTAGTGCCGTCTTGATAGCTGAGCTGAGCTAGGATAGTGTTTGCTTGACATTATTCTCCGAAACTTGAGGTTGAATTGACTTGATAATCGGCGGCGAGCGGGGTTGATCGCTCTCGGAGACTGTTCCCGAGATCACGTGCTCGTTGAGGGTCGGTCTAATCTTCTAGATGTCACGAAATGCATCCATGTCGACAGACTCTGAATCGATTCACAATGACGAAGCCGTATCTCGCCACCTTTGTATCTAATCACAATTTACAATATATGTTGGGTGGCGACAACTAACCCCAAAACAGATGCGTGATACAACGAGAAATGACAGACTCCTCCTTGCTTCTTCATACCCAATCCATACCCATATCAGGACATGGTAACGTCGCCATAGTGATTGCCGTTCTGCGTATGGTCGGCGTAGTGCGACATGACCTGCTCCTGCGTCTCGTAAAGACCCGTGCCCAAAGCAAAGTCGTCGTCCGCCGTCGACGGGAAGGGAACGATATCGTCCTGGCCGTCGTGCAACATCCCCTGCCCTTGTCCATGCGCGTCCGCCAACGTCTCGTGATGCGCGTGGCCTTCAAGCGTATGGTACAGATCGTCGGGGTGTCCAAACATGTCTTGCTGGTCAACCATCTTGCCCGAAGTGGACGGACGTGCTTTCTTGGGTGGCGCCTCGACTGGCAACCCCGCCGCCCTTTGAGCTCTCGCCAACCTCTCTGCCTCGGCGGCAGCCTTGGTCTCCTGGACCCAGCCGAATCCCTTCTTGCGCTTCTTTCTCTCAGCTTCCCACTGCTCATCCGTCAAGGGCATGAGCATGGCGCCAGCAATCTTTTTCACCGGGGGACCTCGTCGTCTCTTTTCGCCTGTGCGAGTGGTAGTCAACGAGACCGCCGCCCTGCCGGGACTTGGCGTGCTGTAGTTGCTTCCCGGCAGCGTACGTCCGAGAGGTGGAACGGGTGGCAACTGACCGCCGGTCGAGGACCCCTCGCCAGCCTGACCGAATTGCGCAAAGTTGATGCTCGCATAAGGATTGTGACTGTGAAGCGAGCTGTAATCAAAGTTGGCGTTCTGCATGTACGCATCGGCTTGCCCGTTCGAAAACATGTTGGCCGCCTGGACCAAGGTCGAAACGGGATTGCTCTCGTCGACATCGTAATTCTGCTGATAGTAAGGGTCAACTCCGTGATGATGTTCGCCATTTCCATCGACGACTGCAGACTCGTTGGCAGCATGCAGGAGGGCGGAGTAGTCCGGGGCCACATTTGGGTCGTCGGGCAGTGCCGCAACTCCGTTGTCAGAGCCACCTGCTTGAGTCGATAACAAGGCATCGTAGTTCTCTTGACCGAGCGCTTCCAGGTACTGTTGGTTCTCGTGTCCATCGTGATAATCATAAGCGGGCAAAGGCGCGACAGGCGGAGATGGCTTCCGAGCGCGGCTCTTGCCATTTGTGCTCTTCTTGCGTTTCACCTGAGCCAACGCCTGGTTGTCGACGTCCACGCTGACGCTCCCACTGGGACCAGGATCAGCCGATTCGTCTTCAGCTTCAGTTTTATCCGACTCCTTCTTGACACGCTTCTTCTGTCCACTGGGTGTAAGACTGGTGGGTGGCAAGGTAAACTCGGGTGGCGGCAGACCAGCCTCTTGACGGGCCTTGGCTTCCCGTCGTGCTTGAGCCAACGCCTTCATTGAATTGAGCCACGCTTGACCCTTCTTGCGGCGCTTGCGTTCCCGTTCCAGTGCGGCATCTTCTTCTGCAGGCGTCACGTCCGTGATCGCGGCCTCGAGTTTCGGTCGGATTCGGGTGATGATCGTCTTGAATCGGCGAGGAGGACGAGGCTTTCGAGAACGTCGCGAGCGGTTGTACTTTTCCATATCCGGGGCAGTGGACACGATTTCTCGCTCGTTCATTTCCATCTCTTCCAGATCCGTCATGTCCGAAACACTGCTCCATTCGATTTCGTCGACCGTCAGACCGTGAGTGATAATGTACCTCTGGAAACTGTCGTCATCATGGCCGTCATAGTCGTCCGGACCATACTGGGAGCTCGGTGAGCCGTAGTGTCCATTATCATAGGGGTCATACGGCGGAGTCATGTCGCGGTCCGGAGAACTGCGCGGGGTTGCTACGGCTTGTTGAGCGTAGATTTCGATCTGTGCAGCTGCTAACTCGGCAGGTCCGATCTCGTCTGGCACCTCCTGTCCAGCTTGCGCCCGCTGCGCCGCTACAATCCCCTGCATGGCCTCAAACCATTGGTTGTCTGGCTCGTTGGTAGTTCGGTGCTCCGCTGCCGGCTCGGCAGCATCATCTGGTGCAGCACGTGGCAGAACTGAATGAGGCAGGCCATCAGTGATTGAGCATTTTCTGCCTTATCAAGAGGACACGCTGTGAGGAAGGCATACCTTCTTCTGTAAGATCTTCCTGGGGAACCACGCTCTGCTCCTGCTCTGCCGCCACAGCCTCTGCCTCTCGCTTCCTCTTCGCCTCCTCATCTTCTTCTACCGGCTCCTCGTGCGATTCGGCTTCACCATCGTTAGCAGGAGGTCCTTTTTTGCCATCATCGCCATCGTCACCGCCAGCATTTCCCGAGCCTTCGCCATCACCTGGCGGATTCGCGGTTTCATCCGCGCCACCGTCTGCTTGATCGCCCTCGCCATTTCCCCCCTCGCTTGGCTGGTCATGGCCTGTTCCTTGCTGCGTGGCCTCGTCTACGGGAGGAGTTTCAGAGTCTTGCACCGGTTCGTCCTCATCGACCTTGATGTTCTTCACGTATCCGAAAAGATCGAAAACTCCTTTCTGGTAGATCTCGAAGTCCGAGGGGTCGACCAGAGTCTTTTCGTCATCGTCGTCCTGTTCACATAGGGGGAATGTAGGTACGGATCGCTTCCACATCTCAATCGGATGGGCGGCCAAAGGGACGTCCAACATCAGGCTGAACACAGTGGTATCAGTCGGAAATTTCGCTTCGACGGGTCTGTAGCTGTAGTATTCATCCAGATTTCGATCGGGCCTCACGTAACCGGGTGGAGGGGGTACAGCGCCTAGGGCGATCGCGCGATGCATACCTCGCAGCGCAGTGATCTGGGCTGTCACCCACTCCGGTCCCTGACGACGAGATCTTCGTTCCGCCTCGAGCTGTTCTCCGTTCAACAAAGCCAATCTGGATTTGATCATGCGATCGGGCGTCAAGATGGCATGAGGCTTCTGGGCCGCTCTTCTTGATTGGGCGTCTCTCCTGGATCGTTTGGCTTTCTGGTCTCCCTTGCTGGAACTGGCCTTTGAAGAGCTTTCCGCTACTGATCCACTTGCGATAGGTTCATCGAATTGTCGGACCTGCTCCATGTGTTCAGGTTCGGGTTCTCGCATTGAGACAAGGTACTCGCCGCTGATCGGATGTGGGGACTTGGTGAGATTCACAGAAGATGATGCTATAGGAGGGTCCTGGATGTCCGGCTCATCGAGGACCTGCTCGCTGATGGACCTTCTTGCTCTCTTGCTTGAGCGGGAACCCTTCCTTGATTCGCCTTCTCTCTCCGAATCAGACGCCGACATCCACGCTGATTCGTTCCCGATTTGATCTTCAGGCCATTTCTCTTCGACCTCGACTGCACGAGCCTTGCCTGCCTGCACAGAGCTCCTCTTCGAAGCTGGAACGAAAAAGGATTGCCTTACCGGAACGATTCGCCAAGATTTCGGTTCCGATCCAACCGGCATCTCTTCATCATTCTCTTTCTCATCTTCATCTGCATCTCCAGCATTGCTCCCTCCCTCGGCATCAGATTCCGAGCCAGTGCTGATGCCATCCGGAGCGACATCGGCAAAGGCACGCACGCGCAAGGACGAGGCGTTCGAGGGCCCTGCCCGCACCCGAGCAGACCCCTCGACAGTCCTCGAACTGCTAGCCACAGCAGCTTGCAGACTGGTCAACTCGTCACAAATGGTCCGAGCAAGTCGAGCGGTCTCGCCCAACTGTGCAATGCTCCTTTTCCGCCCATTCGATCGTTCCAACGATATTCCACATTCCTTGACAGCCGCCATGGCCAACTCTCTCGCCTTTGCCAGCTTCTTGATGGCCGATTGAGATGGTATGATCACGTCGTCCAGCTTCCGCCTCTTGGGTGTCGGTGCAACAGGTTCGGCCGTATCCAGCCGAGCTGAAGCGCGCTTGCTGGGTTCCGGTGTTGGCGTGACCGCATCGCTCTTGACAACTTTGAGCTTGGTGACCTTGTTCGGCACGCCCTTAGGTCGACCGAGCTTCTTCTTCGGAGGGACGATGGGAGCCGGTGGCAGCTTGGAACCCGAAGCCTGGTTGCTAGACTCGCCAGCGGAACCGCTCCTCTTGCCTAACCACCCGGAACAGTTGCTTGCCCCACAGAAACAACGCTGGCGACCTTCAGCTGCGACAGCCGTGAGCAACGACCCTGATGGATCGATCGGGCGTTTGTACGTCGTAAAAGAGTCAAAGTTGTAGTTATAGCAGAGCTGGTTGACGATAAAAGTCTCAGTGGAATGTCCGTTTGATACCGCAATGTCTTACCGCTTGCTCACCTCTTCCCCCGGAGCGATATCCCGCAACGCCCAAAATCCAATCTCATACTCCTCTAGCCCAGCTCCCGCAGTCTGATACTTTCGGACTTCGATGTTGGGCGAACAAGAATGGTTGATAAACCTCGAGTCGTTGCCCTTCTGCCCCTACGGAGTCATGCACATAGATTGATGACAACTCTTTGAAACTCAGATGATGAGGCTTACTGCATCGATGACCTCATCCATATCGTAGTCAAGCGCATAGAAGTCCTTCCTCCCCGCATAGATCGTCCTGATCCGGTTGAAATATGTCCTACCAATCCCAGAAAATCAAAGCGTTAAAAATAACCGCTCACCTATCCAATTTCAGACCGGCTACCAGCCACACTCACTCAAGCCCGATAATCTCGCCCCTGTAATCCATGATGAACTCTCCCTCGTCGACCTTTTCCAGGATCTTCAAACCGAACCCCCTCGAGCCGGTAAAGATCACCTTGGTCTTCTTTTGCGACCGGAGGTAGAGGGAACCATTCGTACAACCGGTTCCTGCAGGGCAACCCTTTCCACAGATGTAGTGCATCGCACTGTTGTCGCGCGACAGAGAAGGTCTTTTAGGAAGTGTATCAGGGGCGCGTTCGATGGTATTGCTCACCGATTGAGACACCCGTCCTTGCAACCGCTGTTTGGCGCACAGTTGCAGATGACCTTGGCGTCCTCGGTATACGGCTTCCTCTCCACGAAAATATCTACGCAAACCGCCCGTCATGTCAACGCAGATCCTCCAACGACAAATACCGCGCCTCATTAGACGCTTAGTAAACAGCCAAACTCACTGTGTTTGATCTGCTTGTACCTCCCCGGCGTCCTCTTCCTGTCCAACACCCCTTCCTCGACGTCCTTTACCAGATCCCACGGGAGCACGAAATCTCTCTTATCATTGACGAGCGACCTGCCCCAATACATCGGCAGAGGAGGAAAAACGTCCTGTACTTCCATGTCTTCGTCCGAAGAATCGGTAGTCTCGCTGTCCTGTTCGGAATCGGGGGATGAAGCTTGGGAGGAGGCCGTCTTTGGCGAATGTTCCGAAGCGGTCGGAATGGAGGATAAAGTCGCTGTGCTAGGTTGCGAGCCGGTGGTAGGAGGGATGGTGACTGTCTGATCGCCATCCTCGTTGTGAGATCGGTTGTGGTTCAACTCTTTCGTAGTAAAGAGCGATTCGACCTTTTTCGACCTCGATGACGTTCCAGTTTCAGAACCCGCAGGATCAGTGTTGATCGTCAATCCCATATCCCTCCCTTTGCCCTTCGGATCCTTCTGTGCTTTTTTCCCTTTTGCCGCATCTTTTGCCTTCTTTCCTCGCTTGTCGTCCTCGATAACCTCGGACTCGGCCTCCGACATGTCGCCCGACGTCTCGGTCTTCGAACCCGGTCGATTCGGGTTCAAGAACGGAATACTACTCGGGGTCGACGAAGCCCACAGTCCCGATTTCAAGTATTGTTTCCCATAAGACCTAGCTTTCGTCCTCGTGGACGTCCTTGTGTGTTTATCAGGATCGGTGTTGGTGAGGAGGAGGGAGTTGACTTCGTCCACGGAGGAGGGTGAGCCGGAGACCGTGACGACAGTTCGACTTCCATTGGCACCTGCACCTGCACCAGCACCTCCTCGTCCCCTCCCGCTCCCACTCCCGCTACCACTTGCGACACTGTTCTTGCTCGAACCAGGTAATCGAAGAGAGTACGATCCCTTGATGAGTCCCGGCAACGTCGTGATCTTGCGCGTGCTCCGGGTTCGCGAGGCGATCGTCTTCTTGCTACGCCCGCGACCCTTTCGGGATGAGTAGGTCGTCACCATAACGGACAAGGTATGGCGTTGCTGATGGGTGATCTGATATAGGTATGAGACGACCTATCGAGATATCGAGAGGGATAGTTGAAATATATAGATTCGAGTTGATGTTGAACAAGGCCAAGGGTGATTGATACCGCGCGAGGTCCAAGTCGCGTTCGGGGTTGATCGACGAGACGGTTTCAGCGACTCAGCAGCAATGACCCATAACGACCGTCCGGTACAGAGATTATGTCTGATGTGACTAAACGTAGTTGAGCTTGATTCATCATCCGATCTGTAGCGGCTGACGTCGATTTGCTACCAGTTGCAAGTTGACGTGACTCTCTTACCCGTGCTCGCGGGAGTAAGCGCGGCTGAATCCGGGGATGCGCTTCTGATTGGTTGATGACAAGAGAGAGAGAGGGTTCGGATCCGAAATCTTGGCTGTACTGAACCTTGATTAGTCAGCCAGGAGATCGGGCTATTTACAATGTCGATTCGGGGCTCTCGGCAGCATGATCAGCAGTTCAACGATTTACATCGACCCCCTTCAACAACCGCTACCTACTCCCCGTCTCATCCAGCCAAGAGCTGACGGGCAGCCATGTCTATCCCCTCATTCAGCTCATTCCCACAGCGGAATCCACCCAAACCTGCGGCGGCACCATCACCTGCTTCGTCGTTCCCCGGTCGGACGAGTCTCAGTTTGGGGAATGACGAATCCTCGATAGCGGTAGCAGGTCCTAGCTTCTCGTCATTTCCTCGTCGGCCTAGCAAGCTTGAGGATCCCGAATCCGGACCTTCTCATGAGAGCACTCAGGAAGGTGTCGTAAAAGCCCGCGCGGACTCGCGGTCCCGGCCGAAGGAGAAGGACAAGGAAAGAGACAGGGACAAGAAACGGCGGGTTAGGGATCACTCTGACAAAGACAGAGTTTTAGACCGGGATCTTGAACATCGCCGCCATCACAGGGACGGAAATGATGACAACGAAATTGAGAACGTTGGGAATCGATACGAGTCTCGAAGCTCGAAATCTAAATCGAAGTCGGACGAAAAGAGCCGGAAACGCTCACGTTCACGTTCAAGATCCCGGGACCGGCACCATGACCGATATTCCCGTCAACGAGACAGAGACAAAGACCGAGATCGCCATTCAACTCAACCTGATACACTCGAATCCAAGCACGCCCCTACGCAAGGAGAGGACAAGCTCGCCCTGGATCCGAAGGAATTTTATATGGATACGAAGGGGGACGAGGATATCCTTCGGTTCGGACCTCAGAGGGGGATGAGGTATATCCCGGTTGGCCGTAAGTACTCTTTTCGTTCTCACTCCTGATCCCCCTTTGCTGCTTCTTGTAAACGTGTGGATCCACACGAGAAGAAGTCCATAGACCCCGTGGGCTGATCTTGGTTACGTTTTGACACCGGTAGGAGGACGGATAGTTGGGCTCTCTGAAGCTTATAGGTTGGACCTACGGGAAGTCGGGGGTGGCAGGGGGGTACCAGTCTCGCTGAAGGCGGATTCCACCGTAAGTCATTGAACATCGGTCCTGATTCTGAGTTGGACATGGATGGTCTTGGAGCTGATACAGCTCTTCTTTATATCCTTGATATAACCACAATGTACATTATGATGGCAACGATTATAGGACGAGATGTCTCGAGGATCCCTCTTACTACCCATAAATGGTCCATCACTCCGACTGAAGTATTCGCGAAACGGGACTGACGGATCGAAAGAGGTCGATATGCAGGAAGATTTCATCTCAGTGGGCAAGCCGAAACGAAAACCTCTCCCTGTTGAGCAGGCCAAGGACCGGGTCGAAGCGTATTGGGAGGAAGAAGCAGGTCGACGGGACGAGAACGGATCATCGGAGAGTGAGAGAGAAGGAGAGCCTGAAGGGGAGGTGGATATGGATGTCGAGCTGGAGGAGACCGAGGAAGATCGGCGTCGACGCCGGATCGTCGATTTCGAACGCAGGTTGAAGGAACACCCTGAGGATATCGCCTCGTGGATAGCCTATTCTCAACTTCATCTTTCCGGCTCTTCCTCATCGTCTTGGACGAAAAACGAACGCAAGGACAAGAAGACCCGCCCCGAACAGGTCTCGACGAGCAAACGAGCCGAAGCCGAGATCGCCACCGAGATCCTATCCAAAGCCTTCCGCGCATCCGAGCAGAACAAGTCAGATCCGCGCTTACATTCGGCATTCTTCAAGCTGGTCCAGCTCTTCTGGCCGGCCGAGAGGGTGACGGCGAGTTGGAAGGCCGTCCTAAGGGAATTAACGGAGAGGAAGTGCCAGGGGGACGAAGCTGGGTTGATGAGCCTCTGGCTGGAGTTTATCGCCTGGAGGGAGGGCAGAGGATTGGGTTCACAGAAAGGTCGGTCAGGGACTGGCGGGGTGGATGACGTGATCGAGGTCTATGTCGAATGTATCGAGGTGATGAACAGTGCCAGGGGATCTGGCGGCGATGGTGAGTCTTTCCGCAGATATCGTTGAAATATACATTGTGGCTGAATCGAGTTCCGACAGACGACCGTTTCCTGGAGGAGAACCTGGTCTATTTGTTGCTGCGATGCTGTCTGCTCCTGAAACATGCAGGTAAGCTACGAATTCTAGCTGCGTAGTTTGGGCGGATCCTGATCATCTTCGCGCTTAGGATATATCGAACGAGCAACTGCAGCGATACAGGCCATGCTAGAACTGCAAGTCTACTTATCAAGCTTCAGATTGGGCGTTAGCTGACCTAAATGCGATCCGTAGGTCGTTCTTCAAACCTGCTCACTTGCGGAGATCGCTGTTTCATGATACGCGAGAATGGCAAGGACGTTTGATGCAAGACCTCGAAGCCTTTTGGGATTCGGAGCACGCCCGGATAGGAGAGACTTCGGCGGCGGGTTGGTCCGCATGGAAGCGCGATGAAGAGCCCGATCTCGAATCACTCGCGGCGGATGGGACACAAGAGACGCCATCACGCAGCGAGTCGACGGACCCGTATGAACGTTGGTTTCAAGACGAGATGAGCGCCGAAAAGCGACAATCGCGACCGGCTCGGGCGCTAGATCTGGCCGAAGACGATGAAGATCCTTATCGGACGATCTTGTTCTCCGATATCAAGCCGCTTCTATTCGTCATCCAGGATCAGGACGTCAAGCTGCAGTTCGCTTTCGCAGCGATGAACTTGCTAGGAGTACCGTTGGTACCGCCTGGAGTCGGTTCGGATTCACCATTTTTCACAGACCCACATCTCAGCTGGTCATTGGATGTGCAACCTGGACATCTCTGGCCGGCGGTCATGTCTCGGGACCATCAGCCAATGATCGAAGGCTCGCCAAGCGCTACCAGATTGGGTCGAGGCGTCTTCGATTGTCCTATGAAAGCGTGGTCTGCGGATCAGGAGACGGTCTGCAGTGACGTACAACCCTGGTTCAGTACGCTCGATAAGGGTATCACCACTCAGTGTGATTTGACGCTTGTCGGGTAAATCACAATCATGCAACCCCATTCTCAGCTTGCGAAAGCTAACGAAATTTGCAAAGCAGCAACGTTCTCAGGCAATTACAGACCGTGGTCCTGGAACCCGCATTCAAGATCGCATACCTCGCTATAGAAAGTCTGCGGAATCGGAAGGGGTATGTTCCTGCATTCGGAGCGGGATTGCTGTCCGACTGTGCTGAACATAGACACCATACAGAGCTACAAAGGCTGCCAAGACTCTCATTGCGTCCGATCAACGGAATCTGGAGCTCTACGCGAGTTACGCTAGAGTCCTGAGGCAACAGAACAAGATCAAGGAGGCCCGACAAGTTTACGCGATGTGCATACAGACCATGACGAGCAACGCAGATGGAGCCGACGCGGACGTGCGGCACCATTTACTGCTCGAATGGGCTCAGATGGAATACTTGGCCGGAGAGAACCAGAAGAGTTTGAATGTGTTGCTGCTAGTTTCAAACGATTCCGAACAAGGTAGGCCGATATGATACCGCTTTCAACGTTCTTAGGCTGATGTACAGTCTTTATACCTGGCTCGAACCCAGTCGATCTTGAACATCTAGACCGCGCCGCTCCAGCGGTTGCTATACTGAAAGCCAGGAACGCATTCGCACGGATCGATCCGGATGACCATAGTTGGATCAAGCTGCGGTACCTGTTTCGTACACAGCAAGAGCCCTTTGACCGAGTCTTCCAGGACCTGCAGCTGGACGTACAATTACTGCCTAGCAATTCTCCTCAGCAGGAACAACTCGGTCAATTCGCCTGTCAACTAGCTTGGACGCATAGACTACATCATTACCTGGCCCCGACCGTGATGCGACCGTTTCTTGAGGGTCTTATCTCAGTCTACCCGAACAACACGCTTTTTCTATCGCTCTACCTGGCCAACGAGTCGAGCAGTCAGGTGTATGGACGGGTGCATCGGATGATCGAGGATTCGATATTGAACTCGTCCGAATCGAGCGCGACTGCCTTTTTATGGGCCGCGTGGGCCGAATCCAGGTCGGGCAGGGGAGACTTTTGGTCGTCCTCCAGTGCTGCTGCTGAGCGCGTTCGACACGTCTTTGACAAGGCGCTCGATGTCGCTGGGTACGTCCAATCAAATTTAACTGTTTCTAACACAGGATACTGATGATCCGATGGCCTACTAGGAACGCACGACGATCGTTGGCCATTTGGAAGGCCTACATCGAGTTCGAGGCAATGCAAAGACGATCAGACGCTGCGAAACAGCTCTGTTACCGAGCTCTGGGGGAAATCGGCACCGCCAAAGGTAATTCTCGCTCGTAATAATTCGATAGTGCAACCACATGACTAACCGCCTGAACCGTCTTCTAGAACTATACATGCTTCCCTTTTCACCTATCCTCCGACCCTACTTTTCAGAAAAGGAACTGCAAGATTGGGCCGAAGTCATGGTCGAGAAGGGTATTCGTGTCAGACTCCCGTTCGAGCAATACTGGCGGCCGGTCGGGATGGGCGATTATTTCGACCGAGATGATGGAGGGGATCCAATGAAGGAGGAGGATAGGGTGTTCGATTTCCTGCAGGAGCGCAAGACGTTGATGCCGTATTGAGGCGCGCACACTTGCTTCAATGTAGCTGGCATCTCGCAATAAGCAGAATCGAAGAGCAAGCCATTGATACCACCAGTTTTGGACATGCCGAAGAAAGGTCCGATTGGACCGGCGGTTTCGTGTTTCACTTTGAACATGAGGGCACCTCTCGCTTAGACGCAAGCGAAACCTTGACTGCGGCTAAAACTCATGATGTCAACAAATAGAAGCAGAGCGCAGAAAGAAGCTTCCGCGAACATGTATCGCAGCATCATCAACCTCCCGCTTACAGTGCGGCATTTCCCTTTTGGTCATTGTGCACCGTCTTTGAGGTCATGCGCCCACTATCACGATCCGAAATCACCTATTCGAGCCATTCGAGCTGTCCGCGCATAGATCTGTTTAGGGGAATTAGGGGTTCCGGGGGAAATAAGGGCAGTTTTTGCTGTCCCGCATGCCCAGGCTATCGCCCAGACAAAATCGATTCCAAACCTTCTGCGCCTCGCCCCTCGTTTTAGCCCCTTTGACCTCCCAAGCGAGATCCGTCTTTGTCGCGGCGTAAATGACGTCACGATCGTCGCCCCCCTCCTTCTCGCGCTGCCTTGCCGGAAGAAGTTTTGTGTTGTTTCGAACCAGACTGAGCGCTAGACGAGGGAGCGCCCTCGCTTCGCCTAGCAGCTCGAGCGAACATGTGACTTGCCGAGCACTAAACGGCTGGAGCGACACGGAGAATCTTTTGATGGAGGGCTATCGAAGCACAAAACAACAACAACACAGCACGAGCAGGAGGGCAGAGCGACTTTTTCCGAACGGTCCCGACTTATGACGTACATGATCATCATCTTGCCACATCCCGCATTCTCCCTCCTTTGACAGCTGATTGAAACGATATGACGTCGTTGGGATGTCGCGATAAGGTTTTTCGCCTCTCGCAGCCACTCTGCGATGTATATAAAGTCCAGGCGCAGAGAGGAAATAAGCCCAATCCCCTTCCTCGAATTCGTTCAACAACACAAACACCCATCTTAAGTCGATTTACTCGCCCGTTCAAACTCGCTTCCAAGGTAAGTCTGATCGTTCCCAGGAAATTCACTACGAACGATTCGGGCTGACTCTGAGCACTGATCTCACAGATTCATCAAACCAAACCGAACCGAACCAAACCAATCAACCCTCGTCAATCACAATGGGTAACATCATCAGCAGCATCGCCCGAGGCATCAACGCCGTCCTTATGGCCATCGTCAACGTGAGTGCTCCGTCCATCAGAGTACCAGAGTACTCCGTGTGCGTGGTACTGACTTGGCATTTATTCGCGCATCTTGTAGGTCATCACGACGATCGTATCCGCCATCGCCAACGTCCTCCTGGCCATCTGGTACTTCTTCGTCAAGCTCATCACTTGTGGAAAGTACCGAGGAACCAGGAAGAACGTGAGCTGGGGAAAGAGTAGGCGTGCAAGGGTATAAAGACCGCGGTCGTAACAGTGAGTTCGGGTCTCAGTCAGTGTAGCCCGATTGTTGCCTGTGATTCTGATCGCCATACGCTTGTGATACAGTAGTCCCTTCCCGCCTCTTTTCTCTGGACTCGCTTTTTAACGACCCCGAACGCCTTCGAACATATACACGAACAACCAACACCTCGAGCGAGAAGGGTCGTCTTCTTCTCCCTTCTTCTCCGCTAGACTCGACCTCTTCGTTCTGAACTGTATCACCTATCACAATCTTAATCCAGCGGTCTCGACTATTCGGACTGACTGATGTGCTTGAACCGATTTATAATATCAATGCATTGCTGTTTCGTACACGGTATGCTCTCGAACGTTTAAAGGCATTGATGATGATGTGAGAATGCAAAGGAATCGCCCTGAACCACAAGACAGATGCTCCCTGACACTATCTGCCTTCAAGAACTCTCTTCCTCGTCAACGTCCATCTTGTCTTCACTATCTCCCTTTCCCTTCGTCCGCTGCCTTATCGAACCAGCTTCTGGCCCGGTCTTCCTAGGCGTCATCACGTCCACCGAAGATTCGGGTGCCGCCGGTGCGGCGTGCTGATCTAACTCCACGCTGCCTGTAGCGGGCCCGTGTCGGTCCTTCGGCGCAGCGTTGAAGAAGTTGCAATCTACAAGACAGACGAAGTTCCCGGCAGCGAGTCAGGAAACAGCGTGTGGTGATCTCGGACTAGGATCAGATCAAGATGACTTACGACGACAATACCACTCTAATTACCGTATCGTACATCATGGCGTTTGATACAAGTAAAGACAGCCACACCGCGTCAGCCTTGCATGGTCCATACTGAAAGCCACGTTGTCCCGCCAGAACTCGACACATGCCCGACACTCACTAGTGTTCTCCCACTCTATCTTATCCCCAACCAACCCGTTATGCCGGAAACACCTTCCGCATACCAGAGCGTATTTGTTTTGTAACGAGGTGGCTGTTTGTTTCGTTTGTTTCGAGTACGAAGAGGCGGTAAGAAGAGAGAGGAGAGAAAGATGTTTCGAGGTGTAGCACCGGGAGTAAGCTCGTGAACCGACTTGAGAAAGCAGAGACTGTGGGGTCTGGCTTACATGGGTCTTCGCCCATCAGCTTGTCCGCCAAGTGATCTGCGTGCCATAAAAGGAACAGAGACCGGCAATCGAGGATCAGCCTTCCGTCTCATTCCCATATCACCAAAACGACCCAACGACAAATCGAAGCGAGGTATTGTATAGAGCTTCAACCAGACTCACCGTACCACCGCTTTTGCGGGACGGGCAGAACCCCCGGCCCATCCCGCACCTGTTCCCGCGCCTGATCGAGGATACGGAGTTGTTGCGGGGACATGGTGGCCATGTTGGGGGTCATCGGAGTTCCTGGTTGGCCCGGACGAGCGCCGATATTAGCGTTGGCGTTGGGATTGATGTTGAGATTGGGATTGGCAGGTGATCGGATCTGCATTCGAGCCGAATTGGGATTCTGGTTGGCGGACAACCGAGACGCTGGAGTGGGAGTGTTGGGTTGTTGACCCCGAGCTTGACCTTGCACTTGGCCCGGCGTAGGTCTCGCAGACGCCCGGACCTATCGTGTCGTACACCAACAAATCCCAGTCAGCTACTCATCCACGCCTCCGTAACCGGAACACAACACTAGTAAGCAAGATGAAGCTAACACTTACCGACCCGCCCTCCTCGTACCGATCCAACAAATCTTTCGTCTTATACCAACCGCTCTTCCGCTTGACTTCTTCCAGCAGCTCGTGTTGCCGCTTTAGAAGCTTGAGCAGGTGTTGTTGTTCGTGCGTGCGGCGGCGGGTGTAGTAGGTCGATAATAGACGGTTGAGTAGGTACAGGCTGAAGAATCGAGTGTGACGAAAGGGGGAAGGGGGAGGAAAGGATCTCATCAGCTCTCATAGTGGGTTGATTCCAATCCAAGGTGATCGTCTCGAACTTACATGATCGGCCATCCGACCACACCTCCCCATTCCAAACCTTTCCTCCACCCTTCGCTATCGACTGTGGACCCATCCGTTGCAGGACCCAACCCTAGTAGCCCCCAAGGTATCCCGCCTAACCAGCACAGACCAACCCAGATTCCCCATAGCCCGACCCCATAAAGGTTCAGTAGCAGCGAGAGCCGGCGTTGTCGGAGATGGATCTCGGCGAGGAGCTGTTTAGCTGTGGTGATCTCTGTTGCCAACTGGGAGAGGAGGCTATCGTAGTCCGTTGGTGGTTTCTGTTGTCAAGGATGAAAGGAGACGATGAATCAGCAAGGCGGGAGGAGAAAGCGAGAGGTAGTCTGGACGTGTCGGGCTCACTTTACCGTATGCGAACGGGTTGAACCATGACAAGATTCCCATCGTACGCTGGGAAACGTGCGCCTGCAGGGTAAGTATGGCGTATGGTCGTCGTGGGTAGCGATATATCGATATGATAATGGTGATGTTGTGTACAAATACGTCGTTGTCAACAGCACGAGACTCGAGCGTTATCACGTGATCGAACCAGGCGACCTCGTCCTGAAACGTCATCGGCCGCCTCGAGTCTGGGCCTGAACACCCGAAGTCGCAATCGATATATACGGCCAAGAAGACTCTTTACTAATTAGCTACCATCCAACCATTCATCCTCCTTCACATGGGTAAAGGCAATACATAAATCCCGGGAAAAAAAATGTCCTTGTCTCAAACGAATTGTCCGTCAACCTCTCTTTCTTCGCCCAAGTTGACTATACTACTACTCTGACTATTATCAGATCTCCATTTCCCACTCTGCAAGCATTCAAGCCTTGATAGTGGCATTCTTCACAGCGCAGAGCTCAGTCTTGACCTCGTCCAACTCGGTCTTGATGGCGGTCAAGTTGGACTTGACGAGGACGAGTTCTTCCTTGATGTCCTTGAGGTAAGCGAGGACTTCGGAGAGGTCGATCACGGGGGGACAAGCGGGAGGCTGGGCGACACCAGTCGGGGCAGGGGCGGGAGCGGGAGCGGGGGCCGAGGAGGAAGCGCCAGTGTCAGATGAAGCGGCGGGAGCAGGGTGGGACGAGGTGGGAGCGGCATCGTGCACGGAAGTCGACGGGGCGGCAGTGGTCGAAGGTACCGGGGCGACGACAACGGGGTGAGACGAGGTGGTCTCCTTGGGGGCCGGAGCGGACGAAGGGGCATGGGTCTCTTCAGCAGAAGAAGCCTGAGTCGAGCCCTTGGTAGGGACGACGACCGCGGAAGACGAAGCTTGAGCCGAAGTGGCAGAAGTCTCGTGGACGACCGAGGTCGAGGCCGGGTTAGTAGCAGTGCCCTCGGCCGCACCGGTCTCTCCAGCGTGAGTGGTGATCACGGTCGACGTCGATACGGTGGGGACCGAGCTCGAGCTAGCGGTGGTGGTAGCGTTCGTCCCAGTGGTCGAAGCAGGCGCAGTAGCGTTGACAGTTCCGCTGGCAGTAGACGTGGCGTTCGACGTGGTTTGCGAAGCGCTCATGGTAGAAGTAGCATTGGCAACCTGGCTCGTAGTTTCAGTAACGGTAGCGGTAGCTACGGTCGTCGCGTTCGAGGTAGTCGCCGTGGCAGTCTCGGTAGCCGTACCAGTCGTAGTAGCGGTGGTCGTGGTCCCAGGATAAGGTCTCCCATCGACCGAAGGAGGATTAGGGTATCGACCGCTAGATTACATGATAGATAATCAGCGTCGCGCTCGGCGGAAGGGATTGCCTTGCAGACGTCTGCAAGTGTATCACGGAAACGCCTCGGGACTCACTTGGAGAAACACTTGTAGACGGCAGGTGTGTCCGGGTAGTTGGAAGACGCACAGCCCGCATCGTAAGGACACTCGGCGGAGAGTCCGCTAGGACAGCTATCCCCGATCTTGGCAGAAGGGTCGAACCTAAAAAAAGCGATCGACGGGGAGACCACCTTGCTCAGCGACAACATTACTTGCATCAAGATCTCCGTAAAGACCAATCGACTCACTTGGAAATACAAGCCTGAACGCCCGCACCGTAATCCACGCAACTCTGGAAAGACGCACATTGCGCGTTCGAGGTGCACTTGTCCCCCTCTTGAGCTTGTTCGGGGGACTTGGTCACGCAAGCTCGGTTGCCGTGTCCAAAGGCGTTGCATCGTTCGTCGGAGAGACAGTCCGAGTCGGTGTTACAGGTTCCGCCGGGGATGCCCCTATAGGTGTGACGAGGAGGAAGACGTCGATTTCAGCCGGGGTGAAGGATATAGTATGACAAACAGGGTCGCCGTACTGACCTGATCTGACAAGACTTGAAGAACGTATCCGGGTTCCCATAGTTGATGTACGAGAAGCAAGTCTCTTTGGGGACCGTACAGTCCGCATCGGTGTTACAAGGCGTGTAGGTCGAGGATTGTCGTTTGCTGTATGGCGCATGAAGATCACAACGCAATAAAAGTACAGGCGTGAGAGTGAAGATAGGGCATGGGGAGATTTTCTTGTCAATATCTTTCGCTCTGTACGTGATCCCGATCGTACTGATACTGACCTGACGGTCCTAGCGTTGACGGACGCTGAGGCGGTCAAGAGGGAGAGGAGGGCGAAGGAGAACTTCATCTTTGTCTGCTTGCGAAATTTCGACGAGATAGCTTGTTGAACGTCAAGTGAAGAGCGTGTATAAGGACTGGGAGTGAGGTTATGCGTCGAGGAGGCGAGCGGCCCTTGTATAATATAACGAGGGTGGGTGGATAAACAGGCTACGGCGCAATGAGATCAGGTGCAGGTGACAGATGACAGACAGAAGCGTATGTACGAAAAAGGGAGGGGAGATCGGGGAGATGTCTTGCGGTGCTATGCGATATATACCCTTTTCGTCTACCAGCTATCAGTTAGCCAGTTACCATCCTGTGCAAGCCTGTGTCGTCCCCCATGCGACCCATGCTGTCCATGCTATTCTCGGTAAACCGTTCACTCTCGAATCAAAACAAACAAACAACGAGGCGCAACCTCGGGGCTTCGGAGAGAAACCTTCGGAATCAGCCCCGCGGCTCCGGATCCGGATTCAGGAGGTGCGTGATCGCCCGAGCAGAGGTCACGTGACATGGTCAATCTGACGGCATGCCGTATATGCCGTACTCGCTGCCGTACATACTCGTTCCCTCCGAGATCTCACCTTCGACTGCCGAACATCGGTCCGGATGGTGCCATCTGCATCCGAGCCCTTCCCCAACCAACGCACCTATAGGTGAACCAACGTGTCGTGTCGGATGCAATTTCCTTACTTTTCGGGGACCAAGGTTGCGATCGGGTCGACCTCGACTTTTTGTTTATAAGCAAATCGAGTCCTCCAAGAGCTAGGAGATCGACATCGACATCAGCAGCTCCACATCACTCACAACTGAAACAACCGTAACGACAACGACATCCACCATGTCACCATCACTTCCGGCATCCCACTTTCTCTCGCTCGCACCCAACCACACCGCACCCCCCGCCTCTCTCCTCTCCCCATCGACATCACAACAGACCACCTCGTCCGCCCTCACTCGATCTGCCGTCAACACCGCCACCACCGCCTCGGCCGATTTCGATGTCGACGTACGGACGGGTTTCTTGCCCTTTGAACCGGCCGTAGCGAGGTTACCTGACGAATGGGCGGTATGGGAAGAAGCGTTGAGCGCGGCCAGGGGAGGCGGGGTCGTCGGACAAGGGTTGAGGTTGGGTGGAGGTGGATCGTCGACGGACCAGAGGGAGGAGGTATGGAGACGAGGCATCCAGACGATGAAGGTCCTCCCTGTGGCGCCACTTCGACGATCGCTTCCACTCCTTCGTCGGGCGCACCAGGTCCTGACCTTTCTCCTCCATTTCTACGTCCACACCCACCCGGCCCCCGCCAACGGACCTAGGACGACACCCCTGGAGATCCCGGAGAGCATCTCCATCCCGCTCCTCACCGTCTGTCCTCTCCTCGGTTTGCCTCCTATCCTGACGTATGCGGATACGGTCCTCTACAACTCTCACCCTACCGACCCATCCCTCCCTCCTTCGTTCGGCTCGAACCCGTACGACCAGACGTTGGAGACGTTTACCAACACCCCGGACGAATCCCACTTTTTCCTCACTTCCACTCGGTGTGAACTCGCCGGCGTCCAGGCCCTCTCCCTGATGCGTGCTTCGCTGGACGAAGCGTTCATGGCCGACCCGCTCGCCCTCACCCGGTTGACATCCTATTTGGCAGAGTTGGCAGGGAGGATCGACGAGATTGGGGATATCATACTGGACGTGATGAAAGGGTGTGACCCTGCGGTGTTTTACCACGTGGTCCGACCTTGGTTCAAGGGCGGGGATGCCGATGGTCCAGGGAGCGCCGGGTGGGCTTTCTTGGGGAAAGGGTTGGAGAACGCTCAGGATGGCGAGTTTACCGGCAACGACAACGAGGAGGACGAGGATATGCAGACGAGGGAGTTGAAGGCGAGGAAATTTTCCGGACCGAGTGCCGGTCAGAGTACCTTGATCCACGCGTTGGACGTCTTTCTGAACGTCACCCATTCGCCACTCGAAGATCCCGCCTCGACTTCGAACGGCCAAGAAGACTCCAAGCAGACAAAGACGGCGGAGACGACGTTCATGACCCGAATGCTCGAGTACATGCCTGCCCCTCACCGAGCCTTCCTGACGCACCTCGCCTCGCACCCTCATCCCGTCCGACAATTGGTCCTCGACAACCAGCTCGCCCGACCTCAACTGGTTCAAGCTTACGATAGCGCCCTAGGGGCGTTGAAGCGGCTGAGGGAGAAGCATATGAGGGTGGCTACCCTCTATATCATCCAACAGGCTAGGAAACCTGTCACGGAAGAGTTGATCAGGATGGGCGCTGCGGCGCCAACCCCTGAGACCGCTCCTGCTGCTGCCTCTTCGTCAACGGGTTCGAAGAAGCTCGACCTGAGTGAATTCATCCACGAGGCCGAGGCCAAGAAGGAAGCGGACGAGGAGATCAGGGGTACGGGAGGGACGGCGTTGATCAAGTTTTTGAAGATGTGTCGGGATAACACGAACAAGACGAGGATCGGCCGAGGTTAGATCAGGACCGTGGGAGTAGGATGGACGTTTGCGCTTGCATAGGATAGGATATAGATGTGTAGCATGTTGGAGGATTGTTGTCATTCGTTTACTTTACTTTAGAGGTTGTATTGCTGCATATACCACGTTCGTTGCATTCTTGCAATTTCCTCCCTGCGCGCTTCAGAGTTGCTCGATCGTTGAAGGGGCTTCTGTTCGAAGACAAGAGGGATCTTCTGACTTCTTGCTTCTTGACATCGACTGTCTGATGATCCGCGCGTTCCCAGAAGTGGCGTTTCATCAAACAAGATCAAAGGAAGCGTCGACGCGCTGTTTCTGGAATGGCTGTTTCAAATCTGGACTTCGAAAGGGATGGGGAAGGCGGGTTTGATTCGCGCCGATTATACGAGCCATCCTTTTACTGACTCAGGAGACGTCAATGAGAGCTAGTGGATCGTCAATATTCTTCTTTGAATATGCTTATCGTTCCGACAGTTATGAGAAAGAGATCGGAGGCCAGTCCTTTCTGGAATACCCTGATCGACCAGGTCAAAGTGTACACGTGTGGCAGTGGCAACATTTGCCACTTAGTGCCCAAGGCTATCTAATCTAAGAGCGTGAGAGACCCGTCTGTATTATTTCACATGGATACAGCCGATGTTCACGCGCTGTATCGAGTGTCGAAACGCTCCACCGAAAATATGGGCAAAGTTTCGATAAGGTCCCCCAGGATGGAGAGCGATGATCATATCGGCATTGCTTGCGTGCCGGAACAAAAGCAATATCTCCTTCGAATTGAAGGTGATCGCGACGTTGTCTCGTCCGGCGAACTTGCCAAGCTGCTCTCTGAGCTCTTTCCCGTTCCTCTCCGTGCGGATCATGTTGTACAGCAGACCACGCATCACCAACATGTATACAAACGGGAACCCAACGTAAGGGTTGTCGTAATAAAAGAGATGATATGGCGCTTGTTTCTTCCGCGCCGTTGATGTCTCACCCATATTGCAGCAAGGATCCTACGTATCCTGCGTGCAAGGTATCTAGCAATAGATGGAATGTGAGAACAGCTACGACGCTCACCGAGATTATATGCCGGCCGCAGCCAATCTCTGTGCGACGCGGCGAGTCTCTCTTATCTAGATTCTCTTATACCATTCCCCAAACGCGAGGCAGGTCGATCCAGGAGATGTCTGATTCATATGCTCGCCTTCATCCTAGTACAGATCCACTCGAGCAATGTCTCAACCCCTCTGTTACAATTCTCAACGTACACACGACAAGACCAGCAGTTCCGCGAGGATGCGAATCAGCGACCATCGTGACCAACAACTTCCCTTATGCTAGGTCCTTCTCTATCAGATTCGAAGATGGAAAGCATGTTCGTCGTTGTCGGTGAGCGACAGCTCGTGGCCATGTGTCCGCTTCCCAACACATCCCCGTCTGGATAGATATGGATACCGATAGCATGAACCACGTGTTTGCGCTAAGATTCATAGAGGAAATTCCTGGGTTTGCGGTATTTCCTGCGTTCAAGAGGAAGGCAGGCTGGTATAGATAATCAGAACTCGCCTCACCTACAATGAGTTGCCAGTCGTTCCGTGCAAGGGAATCAAACAGGATTGTAGGTGATCGTACATTCCCCTCCACGACTTTCCATCATCGCATCAGGTTTACAACTCTCAACTCCTTAAGTAAATCTGGACTTTGTACCTATACAAGGGGAAAGGTCCTGTTCGGGCGAAGTGATTGTGTAGATGCACGAGGCCACAACCTACATGCATGCTGGCTGGCTGACCATAAGCCAATCGTCTGCTTGCGATCGGAAAGCGATCGACGACATGAAGGCAAGCCTCAAATGTTATCACAGTGCAAGGAGGATTCTAGTGTATTCCATTCAGGCTGTCAAATTCTGGATCGTCATGTTCTTGATGGAATTAGAACTTCTTCCTCGGCACCACGAAACTTCTTGCCAAATAGCAAGCTCATTTGAAAGCCAATGCGAAAGTGCACCTGGCCACAACCATCATGCGTGATCTACGCATTCTACTGCACAAGGCTTCGCAGGTCTCCCGGATGTAATAGTGAGAATAACAAACCCTGGATGATTCGGTCGCGCTGGACTGCTCATAGGAAGAGTGTATCTGTGGATGAACCATGGGTACAACATACCAGGCGATCTTGTCCTCTTCGATCGAGAAATGCTTCTACATGTTATCACTGCATCTCTGGCTGAAGCAACATGGCAAGCGGATTGCGCTGGTCCTCTGCGCTCTGCAGCCACATGTACGCGATCTATCACGACCTCCAGTTACTGCGCCTCAAGGCAAGGTTGAAACCATCTCCAAGTAGAACACTGTAGGTTTGGCGTTGGATGGTAATAAAATGCTAAGATTCCAGTAACAGCCAGGAGCTACGTCCAGTAGTTTCATGCAAGTTCGGACCGGGAAAGGGGAACCCAATGTAACATGCGAGGCCTCTGCTCTCCGTTCATGCTCGATCGAAAGAGGGTCGACGGTGTGTTGGAACATGAAGAAGATCTCGTAGCCACTATCATAGCTTTGCAGAACCTTTCGAAGGAAAGGGACTAAAGGTCTATATTCCTCGGGATCGATAAGGTAGGAGACTGAATGGCAGTGGACCCTGCGACCGAGACCGACGTTGAGCCATGCGAAACATGTTCCCTGCCTTGAGCTATATGCGAGCTGGTAGCTGGGTTCGAGTTTTGAGGGTGCGTCAATGCGACCGGATTGTCTCCTTACATCCCTGAAGGGCTACGTACAAAGGTTAAACATGTATGGGGTATAATGAAGAACAAACAACATAGCCATCTGAGCCCTGATCACTCGCTCATTGGATCCCAGGCATATCCATCCCCTGATTGGCGTATACATCGCTCGTCAGCATGGGCATCGAGGGAAGCACAATGCGTTCTTTCGTGACATCTAGCCAGGACTACATTCTGCCTGTGCTCCTTCCTTTTGGAACGTTTACTCCGATAGCTAAAAGGATCGTCTGACGACACCTATGACACCCTCAACCCCGCTCTTCCCCATTAATCATCTCCCTTAAAGCTCCTCATGAACAGCCGTCTTCTCCTGGATCTGTCGTCCATCGACACCGCCGGCGAGAACGTTGAGGAAGTCGTAGACCAGGTCGGCAGCCAGGATGCTCGTCAATTCAGCTGAGAAAAGGGGGGAAATGGGATGGTCAGAATATCAGTTGCATGCATGGCGCAAGTTCATGATCAGTCTGGCCTACCGTTAGTATCGTAGGCAGCTGGGAACCCGAGCAACACGATGAGCATAACTCGTACGGCGCGGGTCACCTAAGTGAGATACAGCTCGGACTCACGAGCGACCTCGACGATATCCATTCCGACGATGTTGAGCCCCTTCATCGATTGTACGATCCTCCTCAACTCCCTCGACGACCAACCACCCGATTCAGGCGTTCCCGCTGTCATTCCCCCCCAAACCAAATCGCACTGGATCAATACCTTGGCCAAGAAGACACCTATGCCCGGGCTCAATCCTCGAACTCACTCGCCGGCGCAGCGCTAGGATCGGCCACATCGATATCCAAAGAGATGTAGACCGGTCCGTTCCCGACCCTAGACTTGATCTTCCTGGTGATCCCCTCCAAGCCCATGTCGTCCAGGTCGTATGTGTGAATAAGGTCGAACCCGGCCGTCACGTCGTCCTGCAAGTCCTCCGGACCCTGAAATTCAGAGTGGTTCATATTCAGCGCCAGTGGTAAGCCTTTCAGTCCAGACTTGCAACCTACGGAAAACCTCGTCCTGATCCCAGCGTGTATGTTGGACCCGGGCTTGATGAACCCCTTTTCATAAGCATGCCAGAAGAACGTCCCGTGGTTGATATCCGCCTGAGGGGAGAGGGATCCCATGTACCGTTTCGGGTTCCAGGTATCGATGTGTGCGTCAAAGTGGATGACGGAGATGGGGCCGTACACGGAGTGCAGGGATTCGAGGATCGGGAGGACCTGCAGAGAGGAGAGGAGAGGTCGGGTGAGATGCCTCAACTTTGCTATGAGAATGGAGAGGCAGGGTAGCGATGACTTACGATGGTATGATCTCCACCCAGACTGATGACCCTCGGATGCAGCTCCCCATCCAACCCCTTTGCGAACCCTAACCCTTCGAAGGCCGTGGCGTTGGGTACCTTTCTCGACAACAACGACGCATAAGCGTCCGCTACTTGAGGGATGGCGATGGAGGGGTCGAAGGGGGAGATGGGCACGTCCCCGCAGTCGATGACAGAGTAGCCGGATTGGTATGGGTTGATGCCTGTCACGCTGGAGTAGCCGCGGATCTTGGTCTGTCGACGGGAACCTGCGTGAGATAGGGGTAGCAGGGCAAGACGAAGAGTAGGCATTGCGGTGGTGGTCAGTAATGTGTTTTATCAAAAAAGATACTGAGGTTGCAAAGTGACCCTCACCACTCCTAATTCCAAACGGCCCAAACCTCGCACCCGGCCTGAAACTGACTGCCGAATCGAACGGCATCCCGATGATGGCCACATCGAGCTCTTGACCCGGCTCATCCAGGCACCTTACATGGGGCAAGTGCGCGAACGAGGTGACACCGGTGAAAGAGAGGTCACCGGTCTTGCCATATTTGGAGAACCAGGCGTCCTTGTTGGCGATCTCCTCGGCGGTGAGATCTGCGGTTTGGTGGTTGCCGTGCGCGAGGACGAGCGGGACGGCAGCGAGTGCGAGGAGTGAAGAGAGACGGGGCATCTCGAAATTATGTTGCTGAGTTGGGTATATGCGATATAAATTATGCGCTCGAATACGTTGTCCCCCGACTTGGCAGATACCGATTCTTTAGGGAACGACACGAGCCACCCTTATAAGAGATAACCACCACAATCGCAAGGGGTCCCGGATAAACCGTCAAACATATCGCTTCTACCACTACTCCCGGATGAATCTCTCCCGAGCGTGTTTCGGGTTTAGCCGATCGAATCCTGCGGACATCAACCCTATTGCCTATTGTTGATCTCCGTTGTTCATCATCTTCGAAGACCGAGGCAGCGCCCGGCGTTCGTCCGAAGCAGCAGCCAGGCATGAACGATGCGATACACACATGACCTTCTCGAGCCTATATATAAAGCTAGGATACGTTACGTCCGGCATACATCCACTACCTATCAGTTGTCTATGCTCTAGGTCTGTGAATCATCGCAACATGACAATTTCAACCAAGTCTGACGAGAAATGGTGGAAAGAGGCGAGTTTCGAATCGCGCGTAACTTATTACTATCGCTGATCATCTGCTGAAACGCTGTTCTTTGCGTAGGCTGTCGTGTACCAGATCTGGCCTCACAGCTTGTGAGTCGTTGGTACGAACGCTTCTTTGTCGAATCGGACAGTGATGAGAAAACGCGTATGTCTGGGTGACTTTCGATAGTTATGATAGCAACGGGGATGGCATCGGAGACCTTCCCGGTATCACCAGCAAAGTCAGTACCGCATCTCGTCGATCCGGGATTTGAATTCAAAATGGAAAGGATTATCATCATCTGCTCAGTGGCTGATTCGATTTTGATAGCTCGACTACATAAAAGCCCTTGGGGTGGACGTCATATGGCTCTCACCCGTCTACGCATCTCCCCTCAAAGATTACGGGTACGACATCTCGTAAGTCCTCTCTTACACAACACCTTGCTCCAGCTTCGGCAGCCCGCTCCGTCGATTCAATAGGTGTGATAGCCTGGAACTGACGTGTTGATGTGTTCGGGATGGGTCGCAGTGACTTTAAAGCTATCAACCCTCTATACGGGACGCTAGAAGACTGGGATACGCTTCAGAGGGGATGCGCCGAGAGGGGGATGAAGATCATGTAAGTCCAGTCCAGAGCTGTTGCATCGAAGCTACGCCGGGGTCTTGCGTTGATTGCGAGAATTTGGCGTTTGCGGATCAGGATGGACCTAGTCTGTGAGTGAAATCTTGCGAGGTGCATCGGCGTGTTTCGATGTTCTGACGCTGCTTTTGCAGTGAATCACACTAGTGACCAGGTAAGCCTAACCGACTGACCTGTTTGCGATATTCAAGAACCGGCATCTGAAAACGACTCGAATTTCACCTTCTTCCCCACTTCTCAAAGCATCCCTGGTTCCTCTCAGCCAAATCGTCCAAAGACTCTCCTTTCCGAGACTTTTACTACTGGCGCGACCCTCGTCCTGAATCAGAAGGCGGACCGGAACCTAACAATTGGAAATCCGTCTTCGGTGGCTCGGCATGGCAATGGTCTGAAGAGACAGGACAGTATTATTTGCATCAGTACGCTGTCGAGCAGCCGGATTGTCAGTGGGAGAACCCGAAGGTCCGGGAGGGTGAGTTGTTGGGGTTCTTACTGTTTTAAGGGTTAAGCAGGGGCGTTTAATACGTGTTCGTGACAGCGTTTTATGATATCGTCAGGTTCTGGTTGGAACGAGGTTGTTCGGGTTTCAGAGTAAGTCAAGAACTTCCAGCTTCTGAGTGACCAGCCTGACCAAGAGGACTGGTCTTCCAGCTCGACGCGTGCTCCCGGTTGTCCAAGGTTGAAGGTCTTCCCGATGCCGAGGTCGTCGATCCGAATCAGAGGTATCAGAACTGTAACAAGCTGGTCAAACATGGGTAAGCCGAGTTCTCGAGTCTCGATGAGATCGAGCACGGGTTGACACAACAAGCAAGACAGACCGAGGCTGTGCGACTATTTTCGGGAACTGTACGATCAAGCTTTGAAAGGCAAGTCTTCCTCCCGAATCATCGCGAGTCGACCTCTGATGATCTCGCGCCGAATTCGATAGACTACGACCTGATCACCGTCGGAGAGATGTCTGATACGTCTCCCGAGATGGCCATGAGGTATATCAATCCTGATGACCCTCAGCTCCAGATGGTACGTCTCTTCAGCTTGGTTGTGGCGCAAATATTGGCCTGGCATTGATTGTGCTCGATGCTGGTACGAACAGATTTTCCAGTTCGATTATTGGGCGCTGGATTCTGACAATGGTAATCCGCTCAAATACCGTCGGTGAGGCCTTTCTACTTGATTCAGCCAATGTGTCTGTGCAGACTGACGCCGCGCTCGAGACAGGTGTCCGTTGCCCGAATTGAAGGACTGCTTGAACCGGTGGCAAACCGAGTTAGACGAACGCGGTGGCTGGTAAGTAAGCTTCGCCAGCTTTGACAGAGTATCTATCGATGTCGCTTGGCGGAATGCGGCGGTCTCAACAGGAACTCCATCGTCACGTCCAACCACGATCAAGGACGGGTCGTCAGCAAGTGGGGCAATGATTCTCCGGAATGGCGCACTCGTTCTGCTCAGCTGCTGGCCATCCTGCAGGCTACTCAACCTGGAACGCTGTATCTGTATCGTGAGTATCCCTGGGACACCCTACGTCATCTTCCGCTCAATTCGCCAATATCTTCTCAGAGGGTGAGGAATTGGCTATGAAAAACGTGCCTGAAGACTATAGGATCGAGGATCTGTTGGACGTACAAACTATCGTGAGTATTCGTTTTTGCTACGTGACCGTGCTAATGCTAATCTCTACATCAACTCCAGAACTACTGGAAAGAGTAAGTCCAGAACAAGAATCACGTCGAGCTCAGACGCTCGAGCTCAGCTTCTGCCTATATTCGCAGGATCAAAACAGCACGTGCAGCGGGCTCGAGTGAGGCGGAGCCAGACATGAGCGATATCATGCGCGATCTGCGCATCAAAGCTCGGGACAACGGTCGCTTGCCAGTTCCAGTATGTCTTGTCCTTTCGAAAGCAAAACTCAGAAATCTACGCCTTACTGAGTTGTCCTTTGACATGTTATAGTGGGATGCCCGACAACCTCACGCTGGTTTTACCAATTGCCAACAAGGTCCGTGGATGGTGGCAAACAAGGACGATTCTGCGTACGCTGCGGCGCAACAGGAAGGGGATCTAGACAGCGTTCTCTCGTTCTGGAAACGGGCTATCGCCTTGAGGAAGGCGCATAACGAATACTTTGTAAGTTGACCATGAGTCGTCCGGTGCCCTAAATAGAGCTGAAGAGGTTGAGATCGTACTTCGCCAGATCTACGGGACTTTCCACCTCCTGGATCGTGACCACCCGGAGGTCTTTGCATATACGGTGGCCAAGACGACAGGCACAGACCAGGTAAAAGCGCCCTCTGTCGTGGTATTGAACTTCAGCGAAAGCGTCACGGAATGGTCACTTCCGGCCAATGTCGAGATTGGCCACGTTCTGCTGTCTAACTATACGGACGGTCCTGAGCGAAGGGACGGGAGACTGATCCTTCAAGGATGGCAAGGAGTTGTCTATAATGCAAAGTGATCAAGGTCGTCATCCTGAAACGATTCTGGTCAGGATTGGCTTAAGGATCCGTTGACACAAGGTTGGATACAGGACATAATCGCGAGGAACATGAGCTCGGCGTTAGATTATACACATTGCAGGATGCAGGATTAGAAGCGAAAAGTAGACCTGATTGTTTAGCACATGAAGCGATAATGAGCTAAAATTGTATATTTGGGATCCTGATGGAGTATAACCATTTTGCTTTCGTTGCAGCTGCCTTCGCTCAGTCGCTGTCGGACCAAGCCTGAAGGCACGCGAGTGGAAGTGAGAGCTTCAGCTTTGATCCCTAAAACTATCCCATGTACACCACTTACAGGCTCCTCCTCATCTTCCGCCTTGGCCTTCTTCCCCTTTTTGACCGGCTTGGCTTTCTTTTCCTCTACTTCCGACAAGTCAACATCTTCGTCGGATTCCTCCTTCAGAGACTTCTTGCTTGCGGTCTATCCACAAGAATGTAGGTTTCACACCGATCGATCAGTATGCCGTAATATACGGGCGATCTCAGCCTTTCCCTTACGGCTCTTCCAGACCTCTTGGAAGCTGGCGCCTCTTTCTTGACGGTCTGAGGAATACAAAGCGATATGTTGAGCGCAGTTCAGGGTCGTCCTCGGCAAATCGGCCAACGTGCGGCGCTCACCTTTGCTTTCTTGTTGGCAGGCTTCTTGTCCTCCTCGTCCGACAGGGCAGAACTCTCGGCATCGCTCTCCGCTTTCTTTACCTGTCAGATCAACAACTCGTTGACTTAGTTACGGAACTTGACGACACAGCTCTTTCCAGAAGAAACAAGGGAGTAGACGGATCTTTGACTGACTTTACGTTTAGAGGCGGGTTTCCTCTTGCTCGTAGTGGGTTCCTCATCGTCCTGAAGCATACCATACAGACAGATTGAGCCCATGTGATGCCAGATCGACTTTGCGTTAGGCTGATGCGCAACATACCTTCACTTTCTTGGAACCTTTCTTCGGCTTCTTTTCCTCCTTCTCATCAGCATCGGTATCCCCAGCAGCTTTCTTCCCCTTTGCTCCTTTTGCTCCCTTCTTGCCCTTCTTTCCAGCAGCACCGTCTTCCTCTTTATCCTCGGCGTTCTCGTCGTCCGATTTGGGGATGGCCGACTCTGGACGATCTTCGTCCGGAATGGCTTCATCTTCGAAATACTGCTTGAACTTGTCTTGAAGCGGTTCACTGGAAGATGTCGATTGTGGTCATCATGGCGACCAGGCAGGCGAGGTGAGCTTTGTGAACACGAGGTGGGATATTGACCTGATGGATCGGAAAAGAGAGGAAAGGGAGAACTTACGGGAGCTCATCGTACCCGTCTACTTCGGTAGGATCGGGAATCTCATTCTTGAGGTTCTGGATGACTTTCGGGCTAAATCCGGGCGAGATGAAAGACGGTCAACGGCTAACCGAGGAATGTTTCGTTATTTGACGAGTTTATTGAAGACAGACGACTCACGTCATACAAGCCAGATGTCTCCATTTGCTGTGAATGCGATGCCACCATTCTCACCCCGTATCAGTCCCAATTTTCTTTCGTGATCGTGCCCATATGCTCCTCTCGTTTTGCGCCGCCAACAACGAAGCGTCCACATCCTTGAACAATAATGTACAGACTCACAAACTGCCCGTCTCCTTGAACGTCACCCACGTCCCAAACACACACTCCCCCTTGGTGATCTTGCTCCCCTTGCACGGTTTGGTACCGTTACAGGATCGTCGAGCGTTGGTGGTAACTTCTAATCGGTAAGGCATGGTCTATAGGTTGTAAGATACTTTCTATGAGGACGAAGGTGTGATCGACCCAAGAGCGATAGGGGATCGAGGTGGGAGAGAAGCAATATGGTACATGGTACATGGTATGATGTGCGGAATGCATGTTTATAGGCCTCCCGATGGTCAAAGATGGTTGATTCAGAATCTCGCTCCCCCCCCCCCCTTTGCGCGCAAGAAAACGCGTCATCTACCTGGTTTGCAGCTGGTTTCGACCTCATATCTGCCCATTCTAAATCTGTCGCAATCTGACTCAGACATCAGAGGAGGCTTGAGCTTGACGTCCAGGTCTCTTCAAGATCGATCAGAGATCAGAAGAGGCTGTGGATTGGAAGTAAAGGAATGTCAACGCCTATATCTCCAGAACCTCATTACACAGTACTAACTACTATTCCTGGACTTGGTCGCGCGCCTGAATTGGGTTGATCGGACTGAGCGTCATTTGCCGAGGGCGATCCCAGGGACATTCGGACTGAGCTAAATCGAATAACTCCTCTCTCTCTTGCCTTCACACATCCAGCTTGAAATTGAGACCAGCAGATTGCGAGTTGCATACCGCATGATACGATGGTTGGCCAAATTGCCTGATCGAGGTTCCAGTGTCCGTTGCGCAAGGTCGCGTCGCCCCCAGGGTCGGGATCACGCGCAGATAGAGCCGCCGGAGACACGGGGACTTTTGATCGTTCATCTCTCTGCTTTCTCGTGCTCGTTAGCTCGTTAATCATATCTGAACCGGTGTCGATCAACCAACGCCCGATTCGACAGCTTTGAACAGATTCGTAACAGATAACAGAACGACGAGATCGTAGTCTAATCTGTTCTGACTCGACGAACCTCCTTAAGCCTGTTTTCGACCGGTCGCGACTTGTAGGAGACGCGCATTCGGTCTTCATCAACAGCTCGCTGCAGGATCAAAGGGTCCAAAACTCGCTAACACTCACGCCCACCGTACCCTAAGCACCATCACTGTGCGAAAGAGCAACAACAACAACACCCTACTCTCATCGTCCTGACCGCCATGTCGACCCGGACGAGACGAGCCGGCCCAGCCGGTACCGACGAGATTCCTAACCATCACATCAATACGACCTTGCCATCCTCTTCTGCTTCTGACCACCCTAATCACCCGGTACCAGAATCGACACCGCAACGTAAACGACGACTAGATGTCAACCCGGATAACATCATCCAGGTCGAGTCCGGTAATCGACTCAAGCGAAGACGATCGCCCTCGGTCTCTCATGGAGATGGTGAAGGTTCGGCTGTGGGGAGAGCAGGGGGATTGTCACCTGAACAGGAAGCTGAGAGGAGGGAGAAGGCCAAGTTCAAGGGGGAGGAGATGTGGCAGGCGGTCATGTACGAGCAGGAGGCCGGGTGAGTTTCGTCAAGGCGACGAAATCTTGTTCGCCTGCTATCAAGCGGACCTCGGCTGATCAGTATTGGGTTTCGCACACGATGTGATCTGGTAGAGGACGATTCCTAGCCTCGGAGTTCATCGGTCTCCCTAACAGGCGACAATTTCCCGACTATTACGCTCTCATCAAACACCCCATGTCGCTCACCGACATCAAGGAGAAACTCTTCAAGACCTGTTACTCTGGAGCACCCTCTGCATCAACGGACGCGGTTCCGAACTCGACCACGCCGCAAGATCAACAAGGTCCCGGAGGGTTGAAGATCAAGCTCAAGTTGAACGTCAATGGCCATGCTAATAGTGTCAACGGGCAGAACGGGGCGACGGGAGCCGGGGTGGACGCGACGAACGATGGAGAGAAATATGATGGGTATAGGGATCTCGACGAGGTGAAGAGGGATTTCGACCTGATCTGGGGTAATGCCAAGCGATGTGAGTTGGGTTTCACGGAGAGACGGGTAACGGGGAATGTACGAGCTGACTGTGTGAGCGTGTCGTGTAATGTTGTACAGATAACCAGAAGGAGTCTGGGATCTATAAAGACGCTCAGAAGCTGCATGTGAGTCGCCTGTATCACATGCAGGTGGAGTCTCGGCTGATCGCTCTTGCTGGACGTAATGCAGAAATTGACGAACAACCTATACCGAGAGGCGATCACATCTGGTACGGAACCCATACCATCAATGGCCACGTCAGAGGACGAGCGTAAGCTTTCCATCTCGATGTCGAACGCCCCGGGTTCTGATGTCAAGGACGAGGAGGAGATGGACAAGCCGAGGCCGACCAAGAAGATCAAGCTTGGGGTGTCACGAGGACCGGTAGAAGTCACGGACAAGGACAAGGACGTCCATATGAGCGAGCCCGAGCAAGCGGTCGATCAAGGGAAATTGATCAAGGCTGGAATCAAGCGGCTGGAGACGGCGCAGGCTGGGTGAGTCGAAAGCGTCGGCTCGGCTTGTTGCCAAGTATCTGGGCTGATGGTCGAGGTTTCACGGCACCCAGGTCCCCTCCGCGAAAGATTGCAGACTTTTTCAAGACGCTCCCCAGTAAGAAGGATTATCCGGATTATTACCTCTTCATCAAGACTCCCATCAGTCTCAAAGAGATTCGAGTCAGTTCATTCCACGGGTAGTCTAAAGTGTTCGGCTGGTACAATTCGGCTCACGCGGATTCTTGCTGTTCTGGTAGAACAAGTCTGACAAGAACAAGTACGACTCGATCGAGGACTGGCAGAAGGACGTCAGGATCATGTGCGAGAATGCCAAGTTTTACAACGAGGAAGGTAGTCTCGTGCATTCCAACGCGGAAGAGGTCGAGGTGAACAGAGGCATTTCTGAGTCACGGACGATGCAAGAGGACTGACCTTTACCTTTCCGTTCTGCTCAGAAAATCCTGGTGGACATCGTACAAGATGCCTATAAGAGGCTGGGCATTTCCCCACCAATCGAGGTTCAGGCGGCACCAGGACCGAAACTCAAGTTCAACGTCAGGTCTACAGAACCTACCCCTACACCAGCCCCAATTCCAGCCGGTGTCTCTTCGCCGGCTCCGTTACCGGCACCACCAGCTGTCTCGACGCCGAAAGTACAGCTTAAAACGCCTGCTCCGCATAACGAAAAGCCCAGGACCCCGGCGATGCCTCGGATACCCAGTGGGAGTGGGCAGGTCCCTTCGACCCCCTTGCAACGGCCGGCAGTCGCGCAGAGGTCGTCGTCGGGCGCTACCCCTCAGGTTCACCCCAACGTTGCGCCTCTACCCGTCGCTCCGCCCTTTCCTACCCAGGCTACTGGTCCACGACCGGGGCCTTCTATGCAACATAACGTATCGAGCCCTTCACCCAGGATGGGCTCTGCAATTCCGCCCGCGCCTCATCGACATGCGTCTCAGGTCGCGACTCCAGGACGTCCTCCCCAGATCCCACCATCTCAGGGCTTTCCTATGGCTGCACGACCGGCTAACTTACCTCCGCCTAACACACCCCAGCCGGGAATGTCAAGGATGAATCCGTCGTTCCCCGCGACTCCTCTGGGGGTCGTGCCGCATACACCACCAGCTCCCCCGCAACGACAACCTTCATCCCATATGTCAACACCGGCGCATCCACCGCGAGCGATACCGGCCCCGCCTGTCCCCCGGCCTCAGGTCCCGATGATACCGCTCATCCGGCGTCCGTTACCGCCTCCACCTACGGTCGAATCACTAGACTTTGCCTATGACACAGCAGGGACGGGCGGTAGCAAGCAACTCAAGACGACGCGTCTGCGCAATATGCGTGGCGTAACGAACCATTCGACGTCGATTCGTCAGGAGACTACGAGGCTGGAGATTGTCGCGCATCTAGGCAAGCAGGTCGCTGATGCGAACAAGCCGAAGGCGGCGGACGGTTCCGCTATGGAGGTCGACCCACCCGTGGCTCTGTTGATACCAGCCCCGCCGCATTTCAGCCTCAAATGTGAGGGGAGGAGGATCTCTGGAACGCCAGTGTCTAAAGACCCCGGTAGTCCGGTCGTAGGCTACAAGTGGGACGTCCCGGTGACATCCCGATCGGCGATCTCTACCATCGAGATCACGGTCGACAAGCCCGTCGAGAAGGGTCATGTCGGCAAGGCCAGTCGACCCGAGACTTATCTGATCTGGGTCGGAAGGCAGTTGTAAGAGTGAGGGGGAGAGGCAGACGTGCATGCCGAGCGCGGGGACGAAACGCGATATACTACAACAACTCGCTCAGTTTGAGCTTTCATTCGATTTTGCAATTCTGTTTCGTGCAGCATGTCATCAAAATATGCATATTGTCAGACTTCCCTCCATTCTCGGTGTCTCGCAGACCTCTACTCATTACAACAAGGCCGAAACAGAGATCACTCGATTATGATATCGGATGGTTAAAAACCGAAGGAAGTGAAAGTGTGAGCCGAGATCGCAGAGAAGGTCCTGTCCCCCCTGCTTGTGCGGGAACCCTACCTGCTCTTGGTTACCGGAACAAAGGACTGGTTCATGGTGGAGTTTGGGGTTACGGGCACCTTTGCCACAAGAGAAGTGTCACCGGATTGGCAGGCAGCAACGGCGACGACGTTCCAGTCCCAGCTGTGGTCACTTGTCCCGATAGGTGGTATATCATCATTCACGATGAACGTCGATCTGGAGCTGTAATCATATCGCGTTAGAGAACATCAGAGTAGACCCTAGCAAGAGACACAAGTACTAGTGATCCTGCTCGTTTACATCATCGGATTCAGCCATTGTCAGTCTCGGTCTACTTTCGTGAGATGATCATAGAGCGAGATGTTCCCAGTGAGAATTGGGGTGAAACATTATTACACGTCAGCTGCGTTCGCGCTTGATTGATTTGATAAGCCTGCTCAACCGAGCGTCCCAGTGTACCAGTGTCACCGAAGTTAACTTGGTCGGCCAACTTATGACGGTTGTCTCCGGAGTACAAAGCTCGTCCATATCCTCTTTCATACCCTGTCAATCGCTTGTAGCATCAGGGTGCCCGTCAAAATGTCGTCTCCTGCTCCTTCTCAGTCTGACGATGGCGGCGATGACATCCGCATGCACGGCGACCCAAACGAACACGATTCATCTGAAGAAGAAGAAGACGATGAAGAGGAGGCTGCTCGGATCAGAGCTGGATTTATCGTGGACGAGGATGATGAGGATGAGGACGAGAACATGGATTCAGAGGAGACGAGGCGGAAGCGTCGCAAGCACAAGAAGAGAAAGAGAGGTCAGTCTAGAGGATACATGCTGGATATGAATGAGGAACCGACGGAGCTAAATGTGACCCATCCTGCAGCTCAAGTCGATCTCGATGCCGATGACCTGGAGTTGTTGATGGAGAATACCGGAGCCCGTCGACCACTAGATGATGGTTCCGATCGAAAGCGTCACAAACGGAGGGATTCGTCCGACTCTCGTGACGGTCGACCGACATTAGACGACATGTTCAATGAGCCTTCGACCTCAAGAAACGACCGGATGGACGATGGGGAAGAGGATGACATGGATGACTTCATCGAGGAAGATGAGGATGAAGAGATGGATGAAGATGCTAGGGCCGAAATGCGTCGACAAAAGAAAGAGGCTAAGCGAGCGAATGCAAAGAAGGTTCGAAGCTATGCGGGCGCCGATCAGCAGTGAGTGAATGAGTGGTAAATATGACTCAGGCAACGAGAGATTGAGCAATATTCCACTGTGTCAGGACACGCGCCGAGCTCGAGGACATCTTCGGTGCTGGAGATGAGTATGCCGAGGCTCTCAATGTCGAGGAGAAGACAAGCAAGAAGAGCAAGGTCACGATGCACGACGTACGTGAATGTTTACCTCGTCCTCATTCACGTATCATCAGGCTGATTATGGAGGTACTTCTAGATTTTCGAGCCCACTGAACTTGCGGATCGGTTCCTGTTACCCGCCGACCAACGCGTCCGAGAAGAAGATCTACCGGAAAGATTCCAATTCTCCAGCTCGACACTGTCGACCAATCCGATCTACGCGGAAAAGATGGAGTTTCCACCACTGGATCCGGCGGTTTCTTGGATCGCCCCACGCATCAGTGTTGACGCACAAATGGCGTTTCAGGGCTTCCGTTCAGGTGATGCACGAGATAGCGCTACGATCAAGACAGAAATCGAAACTGCTGTGCAAACCGCTCTGCATGGGATGTTCGAGGAGGGACTTGAAGTACCCTACCTGGCCCGACATCGGCAGGATGCATTCGTCGATGCCACTGGGCGATTCGCTTTGCTGAACAAATCGGAACTATGGAGATGTTACGACTTGGGTTTACGTTATCGAGCGATCCATCAGAAACGAGCCGCTGTGTCGAATCTGTACAACTCGATGCGACAGCTCGACAACCAATTCGAGGACGAATACTTCGAGGTCAAGGTGCTCGCTGTTCCCGACGGCACAGCGAGCGGGAGTATTGAGGCTGGAAACGAAGCCCTGGAATGGCTCGATCTCCGTTACCCGCGATTGGTACACGAGGTCAGGCAGACGGATGGACAATCTTCGGAGCGAAAGCGAGCCGGAGGCGCCACCTCGAGACGAATCAAGCATGAGGGAAAAATCGGTGAATTCGTAGAGGTAAGCCCCGCGATTCGCGATCCGCTGTATCACATCGGATGTTCACTGCTTGCGCTTTATAGAATCTCGCCGCCCCTTCATTGGTCGCGACGTGGGTCCATGAACGAAGCGAGAGACACGTGCGATCAAATCCGGAGCAATTCCCGGCAGCACTGGCTGAGCAGTATGTGGATAACGTATACAACACCGCCGATAACGTGCTCCAAGGCAAGTCATCGCGTCGATCCGGCTCACATTTGCGACCGAAAAATTTACCCTAATCGTCATCACAGCTGGACAGCAACTCCTGACTCAGGAATTTGGATGCGATCCGCTTCTTCGCAATATCGTTCGTGACCATGTCAAGAACACTGCGTTGATTTCTTGCACACCCAGCGCGAAAGGGAAATCAAAAATCGACGAATTGCACATGTACTATGTGAGTATGAGGGAATCGTCACTTGTCGCCAGACTCAAACTGAACGTCTGACTTTCTGTCCGCCTATCATAGCGTTTCAAATACCTGAAATACAAGCCCATCAACGAGGTCTTAAAAGAAGGCAAAGACGGGCTGTTCACGCAGATGCTTGCGGCAGAAGCGGAAGGCCTCATCAATATCGAGATGGAGATTCCTCCAAACACTCGGGAGAACATATTCCGGTTCATCATGAGCGCTTGGGACGCAGACTTTGAGAGTGGAGATGAGCTCGCGGAAGCTTGGTCGCGATACAGGGAGACCGTCGTCCACAGGGCTTTGGATCAGCTTCTTCTACCCAAGTCCATGGTATGGCTGAAGGACGACCTGAAGCAGGCGAGCGAGGACGAAATTTGTCAGAATTGTCAGCAGGAATTAGAAAAGGTGAGAATACATGTCTCGCCGTGACCTTTCGCGTTGCTCATAAACTGTCGAGCCGCAGAGGGTTGACATGCGTCCGTATGGAAGCACAAACGGAGGTTCTGTTAGCGTGCTTGCCATCAGCTTCGGTAATGGAGGGAAAGATGCGGTGATGGCGGTCTTTTTGGACGCCAAGGGCCAGGTTCACGCTCAAGCGAAGTTTGATGGGCTGGGTGTGACGGAGGACGCCACAGACTTCGCTAATTTTGTCAAGGAGCACAAGCCGGACGTCGTGGTTATCGGCGGATTTACGGCTGAAACCCATCGATTACGGATGGAGACGGACGCTATACTGAAAGATATCGCAGCCACAAATGCCAGCGGGACCGGTATGATCCAAGGCATGTCCGGCTTCGCAGGAGAAGAATACCTCGACGTGCTGTCCAAGCGCCAAATCCCACTCATCTACGTCCATGACGATGTGGCTAGGCTGTACATGAACTCTGCTCGTGCCATCCAGGAAAACCCGGGCTGGCCTGCAAACTCTCGATATGCTTTAGGGCTGGCTCGTTTCACGCAGGACCCTCTGAACGAGTACTGCGCTCTCGGCGCTGACCTAGTGGCTATCACCTATGTACCGAAGCTGCAAGCGCTGGTCAGTCCTGCATGAAGAGGCTGTATCTCAAAATACCCTTAGCTGACGTCGAGCTAAATTTTAGGTCTCACAAGAGCGCCTTTTGCAATGTCTCGAGCGTGCCTTGGTGAATGTCGTCAACGCTGTCGGTGTCGACATCAATCAAGCCGTGAAGGACGTGTATCTGCAAAAGGTGTTGCCCTTCGTCGCAGGTTTAGGTCCGCGTAAGGCGGAAGCTCTTGTCAAGAGCATTATACGAAGGGTAAGCGTTTGCTTGTGACAGTATCTGAAGAATTTCGCTCATGACGTCGGTCCTATGTGCAGGGCGGATCGGTAGTCAGTCGTAGAGTGCTGCTCGAGGAGGACCTCTTACCCGCTTGCGTTGCCGTCAACGCATTGAGCACGTTATACATGGCACATGAGAGCCTCTATGAGACGGATGTTTCGAACGATCCGGATGACTTGGATAACCTCGACCCTCTGGATCACACTCGGATCCATCCCGAAGATTACCCTATTGCACACGAGATCGTTATCAACATACTCGGTCTAGATCCGGAAGATTACCAGAACAGGGCTCAACATGATCAAGATAACGAAGATTGGCCGAAGAAGAACATCTCGAGACCAGTCATCCAGCTGCTTAGCGATCAACACGTGGAGCGCAAGATCGCCAGCCTGGATATAGAGGCATATGCCAAGGAGCTTACGCTGAGATCTGGCAAGCGGTCCAGGTTCCTCGTGAGCATGGTCGCGAAAGAAATCGTGGAGCCATACCAGGACACAAGAGGGCCGTTCGCTCTGCCGAATGAGCTTGATGTGTTGAAAATGCTCACCGGAGAGACACTCGAGACGCTCGATCGTGGCAGGATCATCACCGCTCACGTCAGCATGGTCAAGCCTGAAGTGGCTTACATCAAGCTCGATTCTGGAGTGACGGGAGAGATCCCTCAACAATACATCCTGGATGGTAACTCCCAGGTGAACGCCAAGGATTTACTCAACAAGAGCCAAGCTGTTCGAGGCGTCGTTGTCAGCCTTCGAGCGGCCGAACTATACATCGAGCTATCGATCCGTCAAGCTGACGTTGCGAGGGCTGCCGCCGACCAACTGGCTCACAATCGAGATCGGAACTTCGATTCCGTTCAGGAAGATAATGACAAGGCGATCTTGCTCAAGCAAAAGCGGGTGCGAGAAGCTGGTCTACCCAGGGTCATCGACCATCCATCGTGGAAACATGTCAACAAGGCTCAGGCAGAGTCCATGCTATCGGACAAGCAGGTCGGGGAAGCCGTTATCAGACCTTCGCACAAGGGAGTCGATCATATTGCTGTCACTTGGAAGGTTGCGGAAGGGATCTATCAACACATTGGTAAGGCCCCATCGAGCGAGAGAAGAGATGCGCCCCAGCTCAAGCTTACTCTGTCGAATTGCACATAGATGTGACGGAACACGACAAGCCGAGTGATAGCGAACTAGGTCGACAGCTCTCCATCAATAATAGCGAATTCTTTTCGGACCTAGACGAGTTGCTTGTCAATCATGTCGGTGCCGTTGTCCGAAAACTGGATACCTTGATGCAGCACGAGAAGTATCGTCCCGAGGGGCAATTGGGTGAGTCATCCTGGCTTGATACTCATATTCGTTCTGCCGCGGAAGCTCACTCATGTCTCGACGGTGATCCATTCACAGACGATTATCTGAACGACCAAGTGCGAGCTCGACCTGGTTCGTCGGCCTATGGGTTCTCTCTTGACAGTGAACGTCCGGGCTGGGCGAAACTTTCGTTCCTCAGCCGACCCAAAGCATCAGGTGGCGTGGTTCAGACATGGGCAAGTAGCCTTGATGCAGATGATACGCACGCGGCATCCGCCGGATCTGACAATTCTCCTCTTGCAATGACTTGCAGCCCGTCAAGATCAAAGCGGATGCTTACAAGCTGTTCGAGACCGAAGTCCCTGGTATGACCGAGTTGTGCAATGCTTTCAAGATGCAGTATCAGACCACGCTCGAAAGCCAGAGACAGTCCGCCATGACGCCGCACGGATCTCGTACGCCGGGAGGTATGCGGACGCCTGCAGGATCTCGTACACCAGGTGGGGGCCTGTCGATACGACCCCCTGGTTACGGTACTCCCCAAGCTCACGCTCGAGGAATGGGAGGCGGGTCGACTCCGATGGTGCGCCCCCCTGGATACGGCGGAACACCTTTGGCGCTCGGCCAGGCCACGCCGATGAGACCCTTTGGCATGGGAAACGCTACCCCTCGACCTCCTGGCGCCCTAGGAAACGCGACCCCACGACCTCCTGGCTATGGGACACCCTCGAGCAGACCCCCGATGCAATGTGAGCGACATTCGACACTTCTTCGTGCTCAGGATGAATATTCACTTTGTTGACTGTACCACCGTTGTATATGATAAGACGCCATGGCGACTCCGAACCCATGTAGGTGGAATGAAGGAGAAGGGTTTGACGGAAAGACAATTCTGACAGCTTCATCGTTCTAGATGCTTCTAACCCCTATGCACAGGTCCCTATGATGCCTCCTCCAGGTGCGGCGCCACCACCACCACCTCCGCCACCTCCTTCGGGATTCCGACCACCCGCCGCTGCCGGCATGAACCCTGAAAGAGCGTAAGTTGATGGTCAATAACGAGGTGCAGCTATAGAGGTGACTGACGCACGCACGCCTGTTCGATTGTCAGACGCATGATCGCTCAAGGCAACAATGGTTATCATAATCAGTGAGACGCGGTGATTGAGCAAATGACATACGCTAGCGCAAACACTTGTATTATATCGCACTTTCGACCTCTTGACGCAAGAGATCTCGCCAGTCGGGTCTGTAATCTATCACGACAGCATGCAACCAGAGTCAAGTTTATCAATGACAAGAGAACAACGAGCGTTTTGTGCGTATAGCGGCGTTACAAAGTCGAGCCAAGGCGGAATGAAGAAGCGGCAGCCTATCTCATCTAATCGATCATCAAGGAAAGAGGAGCGTGTACTTGTATGCATGCGTGCGAATATATCGTTGTGTCTCTGTTTTATCTGGGATCAGGTTTACCGGGGGCTGGGGCGTTTCAATCGTCATCCTCGTCCTGTCTATCCGGCGTGCTCAACCTGGCCACACGGAGACAACGCATCTTTTCTTTTGCAGCCTGAGAATGGTTGTTGATCTGCCCAAAGAACGCGCGGCTGGCATCCTTCAAGATCCTGGTCTGCACGACGACCGACTGGGGAGGAGGTTGTGTGGACTCGTCCGCCGAACGTTCGCCAGTCGGGGAAGAGTTGCCCGAAGACGTCCCGAGGGATTCATACCCCGAGTCAATCGACGAGGGCGATGAGGGGGTTCGCGCTGATTTGCGCTTGAGCGAGCGGGATGCCGTGTCCATCGGCGTCGAGGCTATGGATGCGTTCTTGGCTCGAATGGACCAGTTGGTGAGGAGACCAGATCCGCCAGGCTGTCGGTAGCAGATTCAAGTTAGTCTCGGCGCACAAGCCTCGTAAACCTACTCGAACTCACATGCTCGTCAAGGTAATCCGACACGTCGACAATGTACCCGTCGATAAGTAACAATGCCTGACCGCTAGCGACCTGATCAAGCGTCTCTTCCACCGTCCATTCTGGCAGTTCGTGATCCTCCTTTGACTTTTCCACTTCGGGCACAAGGGCAGTCAACCGTTCCGCCTGGATCCGGTGGACGTGCGCCTTGGCCTTGTTTATCTCGGCTTCCTTTGTCCGACGGATCGTGGGCACGAGAGGGGTATATGTGTGCAACGCCCAGATGATCCATTTCGTCGGGTCCCAATCCCTGTTGATCAACGTCACAGATCAACCGATTGTATAGTACGAACTCGACACCAGCGCCAGACTCACTGAGGATGAGGCCCATTTCGAAAGTCGGCGGGAAACAAGTGGTGGAAGCTGAAGAACGACCATCGTATCAGCGATTCAGCCTACAACCTAATCGTAGCCGAGGAGATCGAATTTACTTGTGATTTCCCTCCCCGCTCGTCAACAGGGCCAATAGCTGATCAAACGAAATTGGATCGCATGAGCGCCTTCACCCTGTACATACCCGAATTCGTATAGACGTACGTAGTTCCCCCTAGCGGTGACCTCCTCGGTATAAGGCTGTAGCCCTGTCCAATGCGCCAATGAATTGATGCAAAACGTCGTGTGCCTATTTCGTATAGTAAAGAAGAAACAAGACCCCGAAAGACCCCAATATCGTCGAATCAGCTTTCCACGTCGTCATACTGGTTCGACCTGGAAGCTGGCGAGTACTGACCAGATCAACAGCCTCGCGACCAATCCTCCCCAGACGTACCCGCCCATCGCGTCGTCCCAGCCGTACTTGGCGATGAGCGTAGGGAGTACCAATCCTGAAAAGACGGCAATCGGGACAAAGTACTTGTGTTGAAACCTCACCACTACGATAACCAGATCAGAATACAACGTTAGTGACCGAGTACTCAATAACGACTGGAAATGAAAAGCGACGGGGGAACTGACCGGGATCCGCCTCGAGGTCGTCCTTTTCGATCAACTTCATACGAGGGTAATTCGGCCTCCTAAAGATCCATCCGCAATGGGCAAACCACAGTCCCCGCGTGGCAGAGTACGGATCGTGGATCGGGTCGTCCGTGAAACTGCGGCGAGGTCAATTTGCAAATCAGGTTTAGGGTCTGTCCGTTTACTCCACATCTCACCAGAGAGAACCGACTCACCGATGATGTAATCGATGCCTCAGGACCCACCACTTGACGCTCCCCTGGAATCCTAGGGAAGCCATCCAGGCGAGCACGATCCGGAGTGGTAGTGTGGCCGTAAAGGCCTTGTGGGACCATAGACGGTGATAGCCGATCGTCACCCTGAACATACGATCCGCAACGAATCAGCTCTAGTGTCTTATATTCTTAGCTCTCCTCCACCCCATACCGCGGCCCATAATCATAACAACTCGAAGCCTGAAGGACTCACCCAAAACTAGCCGCCTGCCAACTGAGCCCACAGAGTACCCAGGTCTGCCATCCGATCTTGCTAGGCGGAGCGAGGTAGAGGACGCCATAGATCGCCAGGACGTGGAAGCCTAGGAAGAAGAGCGTGTTTGACCACCAGATTGGTGAGGGTGGAATGGTGATCGGGGTCGAGGAGACGTGATGATGGTGGTGGTGATGATGCGAGTGAGAGTGAGAATGAGTAGGTGAATGTGTATGGCGGGGGGGATGTTGTTGTGATGAAGCTTGGCTTGGGCTTTGACCTTGCGGTCGGGAAGGTATCGATTCTACCATGACCGTCTCCTCTAAACCTTCTAATTCCGTGTTGCTCGTCTATTCCCTTCGTCTTCTATCCTCTGTGTTCTAACTCCTGGCTCTATCTAGCCTATTCGAAGCTTTCTTGGAGAGCGTAATGTATGCCCCCTGGCCAGAATCTCAGACTGGGAAACTGGGTACTGCGAGGTGGCAGCTATATATCGTCCAAATCTGACGTCCGGAGCAATCCGCTATCTTCTGCAGTAGCTTCTATCTTCTTGTATCCGGGGTATGGCGCTATCGCCAAGCTTCCAGAACGGAATGAAAGGGAGCCTCCTGGCCTCCTTTGGCCTTCTTGTCTTATGGTCTTATGAGAGTATGGTGTTGCAGTCTTCTACGTGTGCCGAGATTGTGGATATGCTCGAGACAACGAGGAAGCCGCGAGTCGGTGGCTAGACAGGGACTGTAGTGTAGATACGGGGAAAGCGGAAGAGGCAAAGAGGCTTCTATACGGTTCTATGTTTCAGTCTATAGTGGACGATCGAGGTGGATAGTTGTGGAATGGTATCGATACGACGGTTGTACAGAACTTGTGGAATGGAATGTAGCAAGCAGGCTCGCCTCCCGGTAACACGGCCGAGGTGGAGGTCCCTCCCCAGCCCAGCCCAGGGTACAGTGACGACGGGTATGACGCGATACCCTCGGCGCCGGCGACGATCAGACAACCTCGAGCACAGGCACGCAGGGAGAACGGGCAGCGTCACAGATCACAGATCGAGCTACAGAGTATGGGAGTATGGCCTGGGCAAGGATATCGTACCACCATTCGCGAGATTCCTATCGTAGGATTGCCCCCCCCCCCCCCCCCAAAAGCAAGCGAACGAGAGAGAGTTGTGTGACACGGGGACGGGCTCGAACATCGGCGAGCATACACGAACCCTGGCCGCGGGGGATTTCATCAGCCAAACCCTCTTCCGCCGTCTCAGCCGGGTCGATCACGCCTCTGCCGATAAGCGCGATCTCTATGCTGTGCGCTTCTACCGGAGGGAACCTAGGGCTCACGTAATGAATGCCGTTGTGATCTACCGTAAGCTCATGCCGTCATTGAGATGCCGTGATTACTTCCGATGACCCGAATGGGCGAGAACACGGGGGGCGACGCGCATGGATCTGCGAGCAGGCGAGCGAGTGCCACATGGAGCGAGCGAAGCGGTCGAGTGACACGACGCAGAGGACACAGGACGACGAGCTCGTTAGACCATTCAGTTCAACTCGGCTTTGACTATCAAACCATCCTTCTTGACAATCTGTACACCTCTTCGATCGTCACTCTCCGCTCGTTACAAGAAGAATCGTGCTCCCACCTCTCTCAAGATGGGTTGTGAGTCGCCAGTCGCACAGGACCGTGTCAGATTTCTCGTTTGAGAACGATTATTGACGCACCCCGTTTCCTTTCTACTCTCCTCTTGCCATACACGCCATGTCTACCCACATTTCTAACTACATCTTGTCCGACCCGGCCCGATCCGACTCGAACCGCCGGCAGTCCGCTTCCTCGAGCTCGTCCGCCCGTTCATGGGTATCCTCCCCGAGGTGACCCCGCCCGACAGGAAGATCCCCTTCAACCACAAGGCCCTCTGGACAGCGACCACCCTCCTCATCTTCCTCGTCATGTCCCAAGTACCCCTCTACGGGATCATGTCCTCGGACTCGTCCGACCCGCTCTACTGGATGAGGGTCATCCTGGCTAGTAATAGGGGAACCTTGATGGAGCTCGGAATCACGCCCGTCTTGACAAGTGGAATGATCATGCAGTTGTTGGCCGGGGCTCAGTTGGTAGAGGTGGACTTTTCGTTGAAGGAGGATAGGGTCCTGTTCAGCGCCGCTCAGAAGCGTGAGTTTGGGGTCTCGTAGCAAAGCGTTCCGTCGCATCTGTTTCGATAAGCTAATCAACCCGTTCACCCGGTCTTTTTCAGTCTTCGCGCTCATCATCGCGTTCGGCCAAGCGACCGTCTACGTCCTGACCGGCTTGTACGGACCTCCCGGTTCTCTCGGAGCCGGTGTCGTCCTTCTCCTCATCCTTCAACTTGTCGCTGCCGCCTCGATCGTGCTCTTGCTCGACGAACTCCTCTCCAAGGGCTACGGTCTCGGATCCGGTATCAACCTGTTCATCGCTACCAACATTTGCGAGTCCATCGTCTGGAAGGCCTTTTCCCCGCGAACTATCAACACCGGCAGGGGACCCGAATTCGAGGGTGCCGTCATCGCCTTGTTCCACATCATGTTTACCTGGAACGACAAGACCCGAGGCTTGAAGGAGGCCTTTTACAGGGAAAGGTTGCCCAACATCATGAACCTCTTGTCTACCGCGCTCGTCTTCGCCGCGATCATCTACCTCCAAGGGTTCCGACTCGAGATCCCCGTCAAGAGCGCCAAGAACCGAGGGGTTCGAGGAGCTTACCCGATCAAGCTGTTTTACACTAGCAACATGCCCATCATGCTCGAGAGTGCCTTGACCAGCAACGTGTTCTTGGTCAGCCAGATGTTGTTTGCTAGGTTCCCTAGCAACCTTTTCGTCAAGCTGCTCGGTGTTTGGGAGGTGAGCGAGTGCCACGCTTCGTAATCTGAAGCGACAGCAATGAGCTAACCTGATATGCTTGTTGGTGACCGCCACAGCCCATGGAAGAAGCCTCGGGTCAACTCGAAGCCGTCTCCGGTCTCGCCTACTACATCTCGGCTCCTCGAAGCATCACATCGGCCCTGCTCGACCCCCTGCACACCGTCCTTTACATCCTCTTTATCGTCTCGGCCTGTGCCATCTTTAGCAAGACCTGGATCGAAGTCTCCGGTTCCGGTCCTCGAGAGGTCGCCAAGCAGCTCAAGGACCAGCAGATGGTCATCGCCGGACACCGAGAGGGAAGCATCTACAAGGAGTTGAAGAGGATCATCCCGACCGCCGCGGCCTTTGGAGGTGCGACGTTGGGATTGTTGAGTTTCACTGCGGACATGATGGGCGCTCTGGGGAGCGGAACGGGGATCTTGATGGCCGTGACCATCATCTACAGCTGTGAGTGCGCGCGTGTTTAATAAACGCTCGGGACATGAAGCTGATGTGATTTGTATCTTGTATAGACTGGGAGATTGGTATGAGGGAGACTCAGGCGCCTGAGGGTGCTTCGATGGGAGACATGAGTGAGTATTCCTGCTCTTCTAGGCTTTAAGCGTATCTCTCGCTTTTAGCTAACACTTGCGGTCCTTCAATCACCTCAGTCTTCTAAGCGGGGAATGACAAAGTCTAGGTCGATCTGGGGGAAAGAAGATCGCGCGCGGGAGATACCAGGGCGGGGGGGGGGACGCAGACCAGGGGGGTCTAAGGCTAGATGCAAATCGCCCTCCCGAGTCGGGAGAAGAAAACATGAATCTCGCAAAATCACAAATCACACATCGCATCATGGCTTTTGGGAGCTTTCGATGGCTTTTCGCATCTGTTTTTGTTCTGTTAGCAGGATTCATTTGAGTTCGAAATGCGATATTCATCATGTGTTCGTCATTTGCTACAACGGTTTGAGAATAAGGTCGGCGGATCGTAAGGTCGGCTCCTCGCCATGAATCGTCGATCGTGGTAGTCCACCCTCATAAGGTCAAGTCGTTCAGGTCGTTGGCGAATCGTGAAATTTGGCGATAGATGATCGAGCTCCAGATTCGTATAGGAGCGGATGGATACGGCTGGCCAGCAGATACAGCTCGGCAGCTCAGCTGAGCTTGTTGTAGAGATCCTGGGCACAGAGCTCCAAGGCTCGTTGAATTCGTCGGCCCATGAGCAGTCGAACGAGGGGGGCAAGCGGTCCTCGGAACGTCTAGTAGAAACAAACGGTATGTTCGCGTTCCAAAGTTGATCCGAGCTGGATGATGGATGCTATGCCAGAGAAACCGCTTACCATGGTCGTCACATACTCGCACCCTCCCTCCCCTTGGTGCCCGTTTCCATCTGCTTCTGCTTCTGATTCTAACACTCTGACCGTCTGCGTCCTATCCGTCCACAACGCCCATCGGGGAGCCTGACTCCAAGCGATCTCCCTGGAATCGAGGTCCCACCGCGTGATCCGCTCGCGCTGAATGATCGGAAAGGGGAGCAAGGTCTTGACTTTGAGGACGATCGGGGTACCTATAGGATACGTGCGGATAGGTGGTTGTGTAGAACGTGCTACTGTAGCATGAGGTGAAGAGGACGATACTGATGAAGCGGACGGGGAGGAGGACGTAGACGGAGTGATCTTTGGGGTAAAGGTATTCCAAGTAGGGTATCCTTCGAGGTCGGCGATCGTCCTGAACGCGAGGTCGGCAGGGACGCCGGCGAGTCGGATCGAGGCCGTGTAGTCGGCGGGAGGCGACGAGTTCATTCCAAGGGATTATCGCACAGCTTTGTTGATTTGTACCTGCTCAGGATACATACGATATCGTGTTATTCATTGTTATTTTGATGAACGGAGAGTTGTTGCATGATCTGATGAGCTGATGTCATGATGTGTGTAGGTGATCGATCACGTGACATCAACGGCTCGTCTTTCGTCATCATCAGCATATGCGGGCATTATTCATTGGGAAGGTATACTCTGTTTGTGATACCGTTCTTGTGTCCTTCGACCTCGCCTGCCATCTCCTCACAGAGTCGCTAGACCACCTCTACAAGCAAAAAAGATATGAGCAAGAGCGATTGAGACGCCTTAGGGTCATGTGAGCGAGTCATGTCGCGCTCGGTAAAGGAAATCCTGGACGGCGTTCAGTCGACCACGGGAAGAGAGGTGAGTCGGTTTCCTGGTCGGTATATCGCGGAAACGTCTGACTGATGCCTTAACGTCTTGTTGTTATAGTTGTTGGATGCTGTTCGATATGAGAGTGAGCTGATCACGCTGTTCGTCTCGATCGAGCCCTTCTCAAGCTGACAACCTGACGAAAACTCATCGCAGCGTTCCCACCCGGACCTACCTTCGTTCACAAGCTCGATGTCTACCTCGACTCCATCCGCAACCAGCCAAATGCCGCTGAATCGATACCTCAACCACCCGAAGAAGAGGAACCTCAGCTCCATGGCTCATCTCTTCAGCGAGGAGATCTCGTCGAGGTTCAAGGCCCTTCGGGAAGCGGAAAGACGTCGCTGGCAATGTTCTTGACCATGATCACCATCCTGCCCGAGACGTACGAGACCGGGCATACGAGAGGAGAGATAGGAGGAAAGATCAGGGTAGAAATTGGGGGGAAGGGTCAACGGGCGGCCTTGTTGGCGTATGGTGGTAGCGGTTTGGTGCGGACGCTCAGGACGCTCGAAGTCGGGATCAGGGCGCACCTCGACAAGTGTTTCGCCGCGGCAGGGATGAAGTCGACGCAAGGTCAAGAAAGGGAACAAACGGTTCTAACCATCACGCGCGATGCTATGGCAAGACTCGCCGTCTTCAAGATCCCTCCAGCCGCCGAGGGGCTCGAGCTGACGTCGACGTCGTCGCCTTGGTCAGGCCTATGTACGGCTCTCGAATACCTCATGTTCTACGCCAATAAACGAGCGGAAGGCGAAATCTCGCTCGTCGTCATTGACGGAGTCGGCGATCCCTACTGGCAAGCGAGGTGGTACAAGGAGCAACGGAGGACGACGTCTAAATCGTTTCATCCCGCAACGCTCGGCGGCGGGATCATCAGCTCGTCCGACCTCGGTATGGACAACGTCATGGAGAACCTGACGAGGTTGAGAAAAGACCTCGGATGCGTCGTTGTTGTGACCAATCAGAGCCTCTGGAAGCCCAACCACCCTCAAACGGGTAAACCCGATCCAGCCTCTTCCTTTTGGGCTCAACACCTGCCCGCACCCTACCCGTCTCCCTTCCAGTCCCGTTCGGAACAAAACCCAGATGGTGCCAACCCTGTCCTCAGGTCCAGCTCGACGCGTTACTGGCCGCTGAACGTACACATCACCTTGTCCGCCCCGAACACCTCGTTGCGCCAGTTTCGACCGGACATTACGCTCGCAGAAACGTGGAAACAGGGTGGGGAGGGGTATAAGCGAGAGATGGCGAGAAGGGAAGCTTGTTGGACAGGGTTGGTGAGGTGTTCGGGAGGAGCAAAGAGGTCGCCCGCCGGCGAGGTAGAGCGGTATGGGGAATTTGAAATGTCGATCGGGGAGGATGGGATAGTAGGGTTTGATAGCGCATGAGCTGCGGCTTACGTAGCAAATTATAGGCAACACACTGAGCGAAAACGACAGTCATGACCATTACGATATAGCTGGTAGTCTTTACGACAAGGTCTTGGCTACGGCCCATTGCAGCGATGGGAGGATCGCCTCGTCCCACCATTTGACTCCCTCTGGCCATGTTTTCGAGTGATGTTCGGCTGTATACATGGATTGGCATGAGTAAGAATAACTCATCGTTCGACGTAAACAAATGCGCTTACCGATTCCGTGAGGCTATACGAAACATCGATAGATAGAGCTTAGAACATGAAATGGACATCCACATTCTATCAAGCGGGACTCACCATTCCTTCAGCCACATAGACCGGACTCTCTACGCCAAGTGCTTTCAAGTCATCCGCCAAAGCATAGGAATCCACGGTCCCAAGCAGCTCGTCAGCGGTCGCCACCACGACGCATGTCGGCGGGGTATCGGCGTTGATGGCGTTGATACACGAGCCGGAAGCGGGGTAAGGCGGATCTTGGCCGATAAGGAAAGAGTTGATACAGCCGCTCATCAAGACCTGATGGAATATGAGACGACGCAGTGAGATCTTCAGTGGGATGAATCAGCCATATGGGCAAGCCATTCAACGATACCGACCGACATGAGCCATTTCATACGAGGCGTCTTGCTATCCGGCGTCCAGTCTCTATTCGCGAGCATCACATCATGAACTTCAGATGTGACCAAAACTTCCACTCGAAACAAGACTCACTCGTGTGCATGGCCAGTAGAAATCGGCTCATCGTATATCGCATTCAAAGTCGTCCTCTCCTCCTCTGTCAACCCCTTGGCATACTCTTCCAAGGCCGACCGGGGCTCGTTATGATGCAAGTGAGGCCGAGTCATTGGATACGTAACGATGTTGGCTTTAGGAAGCGGGGCGGGCTTGGAAGCCGTCTTGTTGTATTCCTGAATATCGTGCGACTAACGAAAGACACCAGCGGGGTAATCAGCTATGCTCGAAGAAAGCTCCTTATAGGCAGAGATCTCACCAGGAACACGGTAGCAGTGCCTCCTGCACTCCAACCTTGAACATTGGTCTTCTCGCCGTCCACGTTCACTTGGGATCCGGCCTTTTGAAGCTCTTGTGCAAGCTCGGATTGCACGAAGAGGTATCCGTCGAGTATATCCTGGCGGATATCGCTCAGAATCACGCTACGAGGACACGAACCGTTAGAGGCTGTCGACGAGGAATCCTCAGGACTATCTGACATACTGTGGCTGTAGCCGATATTCTAGAGAGACGACGATGAAGCCATTCTCGAGGTAGTAATTCACGTTGTTGAACGGAATGTCATCTGCGGCCTCCATCGTGAATCCGCTGCCACCGCATCCTCACTAATCAGCGGGGCACCTACATGCAGTCATCCAGCCATACTTACCCTCCGTGGATCATGATGGCAACGGGCAGTTTCTTGCCAGTGACGTCGTTGTCCTGCGGAAGCCAGACCAGGGCGTGACACCCTCCGCTTGAAGATCCCGGTACATCTTTGAAGCGGAAGATGTGGGAGGGTGTAACCTTGTCTCCTTTGTCCATAGCGAGTTTGCCCTCCTCTGATTCCTGTCTTTGTTTTCCGGGGTGAATGGTCTGTTAGATTGAAGTCGAAGTAGTGCTAAATCGTTGACTTCGCAAGATGGAATGGATGTGAGCAGCAAGGTGATAGCCTTGATATAATGTACTGACGGGGGCTCCGGGAGATGCGGACGTTCGGGGAATAGTCGGCTTGACCCGAAAAGTCAAAAGTGGACGCGAAACGGTCAAGTCCGATGATGAAACAGTTATTGAAGGGCAATCTTATATGGACCCTCTTAGGCCTCAGGTCGATCGGCATGTAGGTCAGCAAGCAGACAGATGCTTCAGCGTAGAAGTTACATCACATTCTTACCGGAAGGACTATGGCGACGGAAATCGATCGATGATCAAGACACGACGCTCGTCCGCGCTCGATGTTTCGCACGCACCGTTTCATCCCAAAACAGAGGCGAATCTGAAACAGATCCGCCGCTGTCCGTCTTCCGTGATCCGACTTGATGTGACTTCTTCTTACGATCATTCAAGACCGAACCCAGTGTGGGAATTTGTCTGTTGGTCTCAGAAACCAACCGTTTGAACTCCTCGAATATTGCCTTACCACGTTAAAAACTCACAATGTGCACGCCGGATAGGGGCTCTTCCATGCCACCTGGGTAGCTGAAGCAACTAAGGCTTCTGACCAAGTAGTGTAGGGTCTGCCGAGCGAGCGTGACTTGAGGAAATCTCCATGGCTTCCAGCAGCTTGTGGTCCTCGTATGTCCAATTAACATCAAATACCATGTTGTCCTCTGGGTCGGAAGGACACATGTATCCCTCCACAATCAGGCTCGGCTGCAGTGGTATCTTCATGAGTTTCATGCTATCCTTCTGTCGAGGCTCACACGTCCAGCTCGCCGTCATCGGGCTCAAACGACCAATGAGAAGGCGGCGGTGAAGAGGGGGGTTCAGGTACCACTGTCATGTGCATGCCGGTCAACACCATTGGCATGTTTGGCCCGTCGACCGGCTTCATGTGAGGGATGTTGGAATGTGCGTTCGGGTAATGGCGGACCGTTTTGACCTTGACGACCGGATTGTAGCCAGAGACCATGTCTCGGAACCGAGCCATACAAGTAAGCCAATAGTCGATCGATCCTGTATGGTATAGTTTGTCGGAAATACAAGCGAAAACAAACCTTCTTTTACAATAGTGCAAACACGACTGCACGCCATCTCTATATACTATCCACGGAAGCGAGCCGACTTAGGCAGGCCGACGTCGAGGCGGTCCGGGCACCATCCCTCCTTCCCCCTGTCCACCGTTATCGAATTGGAAATCGAACCCGCCCAATCCCTCGCTGTTGGTGGACATCATCGTCTGCCTCGTCGCGCTCGTGTCCCTCTTGGAAGGGCTCGGCTGTTCGTTCCCGAGCGTCATGTTGGACATGCCCGTCGGCATCTTTTCGTACGGTGTCGACATGGGCCCGGTAGGAGGGATGATGGCGTTCAAGAACGAACTCGCCTCGGATCGACCCGACATGACGCTCTCTCGCTGGTATAGCGGTTGCTGGAGTTGATACTGGTGCTGCTGTTGCGATTTCTGAGGCGTCGTGGCCAAATTGATCCTCTGCGCCTGACCGACCTGGACCTGACCGACGGACCAACCCGTCATGCTACTGTTCATCGAATCCCTGCTCGGGTTCCCGCCTCCCATCGCCAGACTGCCCATGGAGAACCGAAGGTCATCCGTGGCGTTACCCAGTCCCAACCCGTACGTCCCATGATCTCCTCTCGTGTCGTCATCGCCCCTCTCGCGCTCATGCCCATCCACCGAGTCGAGCGCGTGCCCGAAAGTGTTCCCACTCGCCCGGTCCGCTCGCTTGTCGTCGAACGGATCGGACGACCCGCTCATCCCAGAACGAGCGGACAATGCACCGGGACTCCGATCCCCAGCTTCACCCGAGTTCCACCCGTACCTCGCATCCCCTGCCGTCAAGTTTTGTCCCAGCGACGCGGGATTGCCAGAAAGGTCGACGACGGCGGCTTGTTGCACGACTCCCGTCTGAACTTGTCGGCGAGTGACGATCTGCGGTGCTTCCGATTCGAAGGCCGAAGATCCAGACAAGAAACTAGGGGCCACGCTCACGCCCGTCCGGGTCGTCAACATGCTCGCACGGGAGGAATTGACGTCCCTGTTGCCTCCCTGAGGTCCGAGCGTCTCGACGAGTTCTGGGTGGGCGAAACTCGTCGGCGGCTGATGACCCGGCATAGGGGGTCGCAGCCGCAAATCGAGATCGGGCGACCTCGCCGGCCGACTAGGAGGTCCGACGGCGTTGAAGCCTGGTCCGAGCGCTCTTCTCGCCGCGTCCAGCCGTTCTCCTGCGGTCATCTTGTCCCCCTCGCCCGCTTGTCCCTGGCTCGGAGGGACATAGGCGATCGGGATGACGTTGGTCGACCCGAACGACAACTGGTCCGTAGCGATGCTCCTCCTATCGTCAAACGGATCTTCCCCATCCCGTCCCATCAACCCGTTTCGGGTCAAGTTGATGCTCTCTTCTCCCTCGTACACCCGCCTCTGGGTACCGTTCGCCGCGCCCATCGCGCCGATCGTGTCCATGCTAGGCCTGACATCGCTAGGAAACTCTCCGCTGGCCGAGTTGAGCAGACCCGTCCCAGTCCGTGGTCCAAGGTCGGGCAAGGGTGAAGCTGATCGATGGGACGGTCTTTGAGAACGCGTGGTCGATTGTCGCTTTTCGAACGACTCCAAGGCTGCCATGTCCCTTGCCTAGGCCGTAGGAAAAAGAAGGAATTTCGTTAGCTCGAGAAGCAACGAAAGTTATTCTGAATGATGCATGTGCGACTAGACGTACCTTCTTCCTTTTCCACAGCCACCATAGCCCGGCGCTCAACACGCCGAGCACGACCACGGCTACCACGGGACCCGCGATGACCCCCGGGTTCACCCCTGACCCTCCTCCTGACCCGCCCGTAGAGTCTTCAGCGGGAAGACATTGGATCTGTGGACATTGCGTGCACGTCCTGTTCATCCGTGCATCAGACGACCAAGATATATCCCTATGTAAGCGAAAGATGCAACCGAAGCGGGAAGGCGAAGGCCTTGCACTTACCGACTGGTCAACACGCAATTCTCGTTAGGTCCACAGTTACAGCTAGGCGTCTCGCCCGGACACGAGATGCATTGACGTTTCTCCCACAGACTAGTGTGATCTGCTGAACGTATCGAAGCGGGGTGGGACCTGCCCAGACGGGACGATGAACGCGTACGGCCCATCGAGTTCCAATCTTGGTGTTTCTTGGCGTTGGGAGGTGGTGTTGATGGGATTGTCAGTCAGTTCTTAGAAGAGGTGATGTGGGATTGGTAGCAGTAGAGTTTCTCGACGTGATTGGGACGGGGTCTATCCAGGCGATGATTCGTTTCGGTGGTTGCTCTAGCCCTCGTCTGATTCGGCACCAGGCCCCTATATCAGATCAAATATCGTTGTTTGTTGCGGGTCGACGGCTATCGAACGTGACCGCGGAGACAGCAGTCCGTGGATGACAAAACGAGTGTGATGAGGAGGACGACCTTTAGGCAGGTCCGAGTGATATTCGAGTTTGCCTCCTGCCTTTTCTGCCTGTCTAGGGATCTAGAGACGGTCGTTCGGTTTCTTTTTGTTTGATCGTTCTCTCGTTGCGGGTTCGCGTCGTGTCGTGGTCGACGTGAATAGTCGATACGGTTGTGGCCGGGGGTAGGGTGGCTAGGGTGGGATGATACAGAGAGTGTTGTCGATGAGATGCCTGATCTACATGCATGCTCTCCTCCCCTCCCCTCTCTCCCTCTCTGTTCGAAACCTTGCACCTTGACCATCCTCCTTTGATCAAAATACGAGACGCCAAGGGGGAGAGGTAGGGAGGAGGGGAGAGGATCACGGATGTATCTTGGTGAATCACCGGGAGCAATTCGTCTCCTTTTGTTCGGTAAACGTTTGACGCCCTGCGGAATATCATGCAATCGCATGCAACGAGGAGCGCTCCCACAGAACAGCTGATAGTAGCATTATTCAATAGCCAGTGGCGAGTTGTTGTTCGTTACATTGTAGAAAGCATGCAGGAAATACGAGAAAAAGTGTCCGATATCAAATCGTTAATCACAGCGTCACTGCCCAGTTTTGTTTTAGACGAGAGACGGCTGCCATTCAACCTGGTTCAGACTAGGCGCCGACAAGGTATCCCAAGGCGATCCCAGCTCCACCGAGTACGAGCATGTTCACCCCAGTCACGACAGCTCCATTCCCAGCGCTTTGCTGTATCGTCGTACGGATGAAGCAGAAGGAAGGCGGCGGCGTCAGTCGACCTGTTCCGCCTAAGCGCGAATTTTCCTGTCTACAATCTTGAAACTTACACTAGCGGCAGGAGGGATCCCGGTGTTCTGATTGTTTCCAGTATAAGGAGCCGACGATACGGACTGAGAGACGACCCCGGCTGAAGTCATGGCGGTCGGCACCGATCGAGTCGCACTGCTCATGCCTCCCATCGACATCGAGCCCGAAGCAGAGGCAGAGGCGGTGGTAGCGACGGACGAACCGGCGGCTCCGGACGAGGTGATGTTGAACTGCCCAGAAGATGCCTATACCACGAGAGACAAGTCGCAGGGTTGAGCTTGATTCAAGAGGGGTCGAGGTGCAAGGCTTACGAGGATGGCGTTATCCCGGACCAACCTGATCCTGTAGGCTTGTCCAGTGGTAAAGCTTCCACTACCAGGGTCAAAGATGAGCATGAGCAAGGCGAGTCTCTTTGATCGCCCCCACTAGCTTCGGGATGTACGAAATAAGACTCACCTAGGAGGAGACACGCTGACCGATCCAGCCGAGGTCGATTGGTTGGCGATCAACGTGACCTGTCCATCAGCCGCCGTCAAGCGGTTCTATAACGTCGGCGCGATAAGAATCCCCATCATTATTGTCAGTGTTGTCGCTCATCATGGCAGAATCCCGTCTCCTCTCGGCAACTCACGTCGTTGACGAGCACGATTGAGAAACTGGTAGGGTCGGTCGAGACGGCGTCCCAGGAGACGGTCTGTGCGTCACTGGTCCCCCAGTTCTGTCCTTCCGTAGGGGAGGTAACGGTCACGGCCTGGACGGCGAGGGCAAAAAGAGGAGCGAGGAAGAGTTTGGCGAGCATGGCGACTTTCGTATTGGTTGAGGGTCTGATTTGTGTCGATACGTTGATAGCAGGGCGCGTTATGAGTTGCGTTAAGGAGTCGTAGATTGCGTGGTGCAGGTCGAGGTCGTAGAAAAGAGCGTATATATCAAACGAGCGTGGGTATGTTAGGAGAAAGGCTGTGATGAGAACGAGAACGCAGAGTGAGGCTGTACGAGGAAGAGAGAAATGCGAAGCCTGTTCATATTCGATCGCGGGGCACAAGTCGAGTAGAGCAGGGCCCCGACTTGCGACTTGGGGTTGCAACACGGAAGCATAATTTCCAAAACAAACAAACAACAAGCAATTTGCTTCCGTGTACCCACGAGGTGGGTGTTCGGACTGATCCGATGACGAGTGATCGAAGTGATCCGTTAGCGCGCGATCAAGGGGGGGCACACGTTTGTCTCGACCTTGGTTCTAGCGTCGTTTCATTTCACTTGCCCAGATTGCAAGCTTCTAGTCACTTTCATGATCTCTGCACGTTCATGCCTCCTCCTTCTCTCGGTATATCGGTCGCACATGATTCGTTGAAACCGAGTTCCTTTGGCTTTCTCTAGCAAAGCGGAAGAGGCAGACGGAGTATATATGCAAAGGGACTTGAGATGAACAGAACGCCGATGAGAAAGGTCGGTTCATCACTCGACCATTCGACAGGTCTTTGACCTTTATCACCATCCTGTTCCGACTCATTGACGACGCTTTCATTTTCCATGACGATCGGTCATCTCTTCATGCTGGCCTCGGCCTTGCTACCGTTGGCATTGGCAGGCAACCACCTCGACGCCAACAACCTCGTCTACCGTTCGCCCTACACCAACCACGACGGCCTCGCTCTCGACACCCACGCGATTGCGAAGCGTCATGACCAAATCAGCGAGCTCTTGAGAAAACGACAGCTCTCTCAACCCGCTCCTGAGGGAGACGTCGGGACGTACACGTTGAGCGGGTACGGGTTGGGCGCGACGGATTGGAGTAATTCGGATAGGATCTATGCTGGCGATGTCAACTTTAGTGAGCTGGATATGCCTCGCTGTTTGGACGATTTTGAACCTGAGTATTCATCCTTTGTCCTCTGCAGCACACTCGGTTGCCAGTGGAGACCCCTACGACTACTCCGTCCTCCTCTGGACCCGAGCGGAACCGACGGCCGAGGCTCCGGTCGATATTCCGGTCTGTGTGACCTACAAAGTTTACACCGGCCAAGATGGGACTGTAAGTTTGGCTTGCGACCAGGTGCAAGAAAGAAGTAGCCTCATTGACACGGACTCGAATATACCTTACAGGGCTCCGTCGTCGCCAGCGGTCACGCGTTTACATCATACGATGTCGACTTCACCGTCAAGGTCGAAGCTACCGGTTTGACCGCCTTGACCCCTTACTCGTACCAGTTCGCCAACTGCGCGAAGCCCGATCAAGTCTCGCCTGTTGGCAAGACGAGGACCGCCCCGGGGAAATTCGCCACCGACATTCCTACCCAGAAGTTTGCAGTGTATTCGTGCGCCAATTGGCCGAATGGGTTCTTCAACTCTTACAGTGGACCGGTAACAAACGGGGATTCCGAATATGTCATCGCACTCGGTGACTATATCGTGAGTATTAACGATGTGCTTGTAGAGCACGAATTTCATCGCTGATCCGGTGTGGATGGCCTTGCCAGTACGAATACGGGACCGGAGGAGACGCGATCAACCGGACCAACTTTAGGGAGACCGAACTGGCTTCCCTCGACGACTACCGTGTACGCTACCAGCAATACAGGACTGATGTAAGTCGCGGGACGGATGACATGGATGCCTCGCAAAACACCGTGTCGGATCATTTAACCTGATGTTCCTTTCTAGCCCGACTTGTCGGCCAGTCACCAGAACTTGCCCTGGATCGTGAGTCTGGTTCTGATAGCTTCACTAAGCCTAAACCCTGTTGAACCTATCCTTCTGTAACAGGCTGTCTGGGATGACCACGAGACCGCTAATAACGGTTAGTTATGCATGTTATCGCAAAGTCCAGGACCATATTCAGCCCCTTCCCGCACGTACAGACTGGAAGGCCGGTTCGCAAAATTCGAACAACTCGTATCCTGCTGGGTGTTCGTACGGCAACCAGACCGGTATCTGTTTCGACGAGAGGGCCGCCAATGCCAAGCGAGCTTATCACGAATGGATGCCGTGAGTGTCTGCAACTTTGCACGCAAGCCGCGCTTGAGCACGAAACGAGGCTGATTTTGTGTATGGGCACGCACAGTATCCGCCAAGTCGATTTGAGCGACGAAGGCAGGATCTGGAGGGACTTTGCCTTTGGCGATCTGCTCGACATCATCGCACTTGACACGAGGAAATAGTGCGTCCAGCATCATACACTGACGTTTGAACTATCGTGCTGACTGTCCACCTCGGCACTTATGTAGCGATCGAGACATTACCGACTTGTCGCCGACCGTCCCCAACAAGGACTATGTTGCATCTCTGGCCGTAGAACTCAACTCTAGCCGATCCATCACGGGGCCGGTTCAGGAATCGTGGATGTTGGATACGATCAAGAAGAGTCACGATAAGGGTACCAAGTGGAGGGTGCGTTCCATGATCGGAAAAGTCATCAAATAGTCATCGCTTACCATCTCTTTTATCGTAGCTGTTGATGAACCAAGTCATCTTTGGTTCTATCAACCATACCGCCACTAGCACCAACCCGACCGCACCAGGAGTGTTCGATGTCAATTACGATGGTACGTTAGGGCTGGACCGCGCTTACTTCTTTATGCCCGCTTATATGAACCCTTCGCAAAAGCTTGGGACGGGTATCAGGGTCAGCGCCAGCGAATCTTGAACCGAGCTTATGATGACGAATGGCGAAACTTGGTGATCGTGACTGGTGATACGCACAGTTCATGGTTGCACGAAATCGAGCGCGGAAACGTTCTCGCCGGATCGACGAACGTTTCGGATACCCTTGCGCATGCGCTCGACGCGTCCCCCGGGTACAAGAGGGGCCGGATCGTCGAGTTCGGAGGTACTGCCGTCAGCTCGAACGGATGGGGAGCTACCTGGAAGAACTCGGCGAATGCCACTGAGCGAGCTGCTAAACAGTTGGTGCAGAACAGTGGATCTCTGCTGTATTCCGAGGGCTTCTGTGAGTAGACGCGCGTGGGTCCCCGTAATCTTGATCTGACTCACATTTTCTGTCGCGCTACCTGTTCAGATCGAGGTTACATGAATGTCGAGGTCTCGTACACCAACATCACCGTCAGTAGATCGACGAAACTACATATGGGCGATGCTAATGACCGAATACCCCACACAGACCAAATACTACGCATATGAAGGCAATCAAGAAACGCGTACTCAAAACAGGTCACAGATCGCTTCTTTTGTTGTTCCCGACGGAGTCAACATGGTTCAGAGGTCAGTCCATACTGCATAGTATCTCTCTGCACAGGATGTGACTGGATACTGAAACTATTCTTGCGCCGACCCGTAGGCCTATTCAGGTGCAAGCCGGTGCGGTCAAGCCTGGCAACTGATACGAGCTAGCTCAATTATACATAGAAGCGACAAAGTCTGTTTCGTTGGAAGGTTGCCAATTTGCCAAGGACCGCATGCTTGCTTGGAGATATGAATGTTTGAACTTTAGACCCCGATGGGAGATCAATCCGATGGCGCGATAGACACAGGTTGAACGACGTTCTAGCCCGTCGGTCACCGCTTCGTGTCGCCGTTGACTGCTGCTGCTGCCGATATGACGTGTCATTGCGTAATCGCGTAGGTAATCAATTGTTGACGAGCGAGCCGGGGCGGGCACACACAGCACAGCTCGACAATTGCTGCCAAGGGTCCATAGGTGCCCGGTCGGTATGTCCAGACGTCACAGCACCCATACAATCTCAAGCTTGTCCATTGTAGGGTGTATATTCTTGACATACATCTACTACGTAGAAATTGCTCGGCACAGCAACCGTCGTGGCAAAGCTGGCGCAAAAGATCAGCTCTCGCCGTGTATAGCAAAGCAGGTCATTGCCGCGGTCAAAGGGGTGGAGACAACGCCTGAAGAAGGACTTTTGAATCTCATCAGCGCAACTTGACACGAAGCATAAACTCTAGAGGGTCCTAGAATCGCTACGAATGGATTCGGTCATATCATATTTGAACCGGTAAACGCTTAGGACAACCGTGCAACAGCTACGAATCTATACCCGGTCGATCTACTCAGATGAAGCGATTCTTCAAGCCCAAAGGGCCGACGGACCCGACCCCGTTCCCCTTGGATCCACCGGCAGGATCGTACGAATCTTTCGCCCCAGCTCCGGCTCCTCCACCTGCTCGATCAAGCGAACCTCTTGCCAGCGCACCAGGCTCAGCTCCGTTGCTCCCTCCGAAACCAGCTCGTTTCCTGAACCTCGGTAATAATGCAAAGGACAGCGTTACTCCTTTTCCACTAGCACCCGCTTCTGCGCCTTTGGGAGTATCTGGTAATGGGCAGGGGGATCGAGCTCGATCGCACGGAGACCTGGTATCGATGGACATTGCTCGCGAGCACGATACGATCGGAAAGGGACCGCCGCCGAGCGAGACCAAGATCAGTCGGAGGGTCAGCATGAAGGGAAGCGAAGGGAGAGGGATGTTTGGATTCGCTAGGAAAGATAAAGAGAAGGACAAGGAAAAGGAAAAGGATCGAGAGAGGGAAGCTGAGCGAAAGAATCGGCCTCGAAGAGGATCGGAGCAGCCAGACTTTGCAAGGCCTGTGGGAACCTTTGAGCCGATAAGTTCACGTAACTCTCAGACAGGTCAGTCCGAGTGAGCGCTTGATGACTTTCGCTCTAACTAACGCATCGACTTTCTATGTTACTCGCAGAGCTACACCCGGGCCCACTCGAGCATAATCCGCATTTGCATGCAGGAATACGATCTGCTCCACCCATTCCGGTTGTCAGCCAGTATCAATCAGAACCGTATTCCAGCTATGTGGGCGATCAACCACCGGCATCTCAGCAATATGGTCATCCGTATATTCCACCATACGCGCCGCAAGCCCACCCACACAATCATCATCGTGAAAGGCCGTCGAGAGATCTCGATCCCGAGCGAGACGACCCAAATCATCTAGGCAGGCCAGTCGCACTCTCGCGACTGACCAGCGATGTATCCGGGAAAAGCAGCCCTGGCATGGACGCTTTCAGTGGAGACGATGCGGAACTCTTACTGTCCAAGAGCCATGCATCTGGCACGTTCGAAGAGAGAGCCGCGTACGGAAGGGAGAGGGGAATGAGCAACGCCAGCGGTCGACTTGATGAGCGAATAGTGCCAGGACGTGAACGAGGCGGTAGCAATGCTAGTGGCAGAGCTTCACCTTATGGCGGTGCCTTTTTGCAACCTCGACAGGCTGGACCTCGCGGTCCGATGGGATCGCCAGGACTGCCAAATGATCACGTCGCAGGGGACCCCCGGCTAGCATCGAGCGGTCTCGGGCAACCACAACTGTACCAATATCAGCAACATAATTCCCGCGAGTCGGAATCTTCGGCTGGGCACTATACAGCGCCGCAAAGCCTGGCCGTACCGTCCGACGGTCATGGTCTCGCACCGAGACGGTCTGGCGAATCTGCTCGAAACGCGATCTGGTCAGAAGGAGAACGAAGCGGTAGACCATCGATGGACGCATCACACGAGGGTAAGGGAGGGTTGAGAGCAATGTTCAGTCGAACGCCCCACAAGGACGAGCATGAAGCAGAAGTCGACGAAGGCAAGCGAAAGAAGGGTTTCTTTGGTCTGGGTGGCAAAGGAAAGGACCATCATGACGACAAGGACAAGAGCAAATTCGGTCGCAAGATCAGGAAGAGCGATGCAGAAGCCGAGTTAAACCGATATCCCCAAGACGATGGTGTTCCGCCGCTCAACGTTTCGACCCAAGAGTCTGGAGATTGGACACACGTCGGCCTGAATCAAGGTAGGGCTTCGCCCATGCCTGGCTATCCACCATCTTCAATGCCAGCTACACGTGTGGCTAGCCCAATTCCACCACCACAGCAATCAACAGCCGTGTATCATGCTCCTCAATTCGTCGCGCATGAAGTCAGCAGGAAGGAGCGTGAAAAGGCCATTCGTGAATCTCAGGAGCGGACCAAGGAGTTCCTTAAAGCCGAGAAGAAGGACCGTGAGCGAGCGGAAAAGGAAGCTGCTAAAGCGGAGAAGGAGGAGCAAAAGAAGCGAGGCGAATATGGTAGCGTGACATGGTCTATAAGTGAGTCTATTCTTAAATGCTTGCACCTTCCGAGCGAATGCTGACGTTTCGTTTGCACACAGACGATCTGTGCGATCGAGCTCAGGCGCAAGAGTACCCGCTGATCTTGGAACTCTCCGATCGCATCGCTCAATCCAACGAGGACGTCGGCAAGGAGGCGGCTCGCGCTATCCGGAAAGCCATCAAGTATGGGACCAGTGAGAATGGTGGCTTGGAAGAGGAGAGGATCATGGCCATGAAGATTTGGCTCTTATGCTGCACAAACAGTTCTGAGAGAAGCGATCTCCGAGGTGAGTCTTCAGGTTGAACGGCGTAGCTGGCTAGAAAGCTGACATGATTGCTATTATGCAGGTCAAGCTACTTCCAAGCGATTCCTGCAAGCTATAGAGCCGCTGCTTCTGCCGGAAAAAGACAAGCAGATACTGCGACAAGACGGTTACGACCGACTACGCGATACGGTAGCACACCTCAATTTCCACTTCGGTCACGTCAAGGGCTCGGAAGGTTTACGCGAGCTTTGGAACAAGATTAAAATAGCAGAGGAGCCGGAGGAGGTAATTCTCGTGCCACGCCCGCAGAATGTTCGTGAAGTAGGCTTTGTCAACTAACACTTCTCGCCACTTCATAGGGTTATCCATTGGCACCCAGCAATCCAGTTTACACGCCGACAGATCGACTTCTCCGTCAATCGCCCAACGCGCATAACGATCGGAGTCTAGAACAGCAACAGCCATTGACAGCCCGCAGCCAGCCGTCATTCTTGGCCGGAATCCCCAACGAGCAGGAAGACCTGACCAAGCTGATGCGTGAAGCCTTGACATGCAAGGAACATGCTCGGGTCCTTCAGTCCGCTCTGGCTCATGTGAAGCCGAGTAAACTGGACTCTGATCCGATCATCAAGGTAAGGACATGTGATCGTTCTCGGTGGATCGGTTGCAGATCTAACTTGTATATACAGGAATTCTATGCGACCTGCGTGCGTGACCAGGAGTCGATGGTATCCCAGATGGGTTGGGCAAATGCCCAAGCGGAGAAGGCGCGAGAAAATCGAGGTCTCAACTCAGCAGGACACGATGCGGGCTTCGAAGCCCAGATGGATAACCTGAACATGTCAGATGACGGACCATCCTTCCCTGAGCGCGTCTTCCTGGAAGTGTTAGCAGCCAGTGATGAGCTATCTCAGGTGCGTGTTGAAGGGTTGCTCGCTTAAAGGAACCCTGGTTGACGCTGTTTTTCCATCACTCAGGCACTCAAGCTGCATGAAGAAATCGAAAGGGACTTCCGTGCCGATCGAGAAATGCGATATGTTCAGGAAAAGAGCAAGACCGAGACCAGGATGAACCGCAACGTGAGTCCTCGCCAATCTCACGGCAAAGTCGCTTGGTTGCTTACCTATGAACGGAATCGACCCATCAGTCGTTTGGTAACTGGCCCGAGAACTCGCTAGGGGTGCCGCAAATGGGTGGAACAGCGAGCTCTTCACACTCACGTTCACCATCTCCGTCTGAGCCGCGGAGAGACTCCGAACCAGCGGTAAACTACACGTCATCCGTATCGCATGACGATCACAACGACCGACTCCGACCTTACGCAGACGGCTCGGGTACCGGTCGAAGTCCCACACCAGAACTGTCAAACGACTTTTCCGCACCACGCTTCCCAGGCGAGGGCCGGTCTAGTTCGCCCACGCGGATCGCCGGAAAGGTACAGGGACCGCGTCCGATAGTCGAGTCGATGAGAAAGAATCAATATCCTAGCGACAACAGCCTGCGATCCTCCCAGGCTCACGGTCTAGCCGCAAACAACGGAACGGGCCGGTCGCCCCTCACACTCGCCAACGATTTCGATCGCAAGCCGGACGACGATGAGGATCGACCGCCAGCTAAGCCGAGTGCCAAAGCTCTAGGTAAACGTCGAGCTGTCGTGCGCGCCGATCGTAAGTTCTCCATCCATTGTATCGCATCCTGTTTCAATTGCTGATAATTGTCGTTGCCCAGCCGACTTTGACCCTGATGACATCTTCAAGAGTGATGATGCGCCAGACAAACGCTCCACCGAGGGGAGTATGGAGGACAGCGTCCGGCAATACTGGGAGCAGAAACGACCGACTCAATACATCTATGATGCCGCGCGGGAGCGTCAAGATGCCCGCAGAGAGAACGAAGCTTCCGCCAAACTCGCTCAGCCGATTCGTACATCGAGTTTGCACACCTCTGGTGGCGTTCGATAGTCCCGGCTTTCTGCATTACATACCCGCTTCTATCTTGCTCAGATAGTCCCCAAACGAGGTTAATACCGTGCGTCTTGAAACAGGGTGTCACTGTGACTTTGTATAATAATAGTACATTGCAGTGGTCCCAATGCTGGACCATTTACGAAGTTGACGACAACTATGAATACGAAATGACGAAGCCATACAACAGATCGCACGACAATACCACATGAGCCACATAAAGAAAATCTCTCATCTAGTTTTTCCATCTTTGAGAAGCCGCATCGTCAGCAATATTCCTCTAGACAGATAAACACTGCCTCGACTCACATCTTCACCGTCTTGTCTCGCCCTCCGCTGACGACCTTGTCAGCAACAAAGTCGACACAGTAGACTTCGTCGGTATGCCCAGGCAGATCGATTCGGATTTTTCCAGTTTTCAGGTCCCACAGCTGTAAATTGAGAAAGGTACGGCTTCAGAACATGCCGGAAGAATCGACACCGCGCTCCAATGACCGCTCACCTTGAGGGTAGTATCTTTGCTTGCACTGATCAATATCCGCGAGTCTGCCGACCATGCCAGACGATACACCGCAGCGACATGACCACGCAAGGACGCTACGAACCTATACAGCCAGCAAGCACGTTAACACCTGTTTCTGGGCATGCGAAGGTTGCCCTGGTCTCGACCTACTTTCCGGTTTTACCATCCCATAGCTTGACCGCATTATCAAACCCTGCGCTGGCGACCAGTCGACCGTCTGGGCTGAAGGCCACGTGGTTGACCTGTTTCTGATGACCAGTCAAACGGGCGACAGGCTTCTTGATGCTATTTCCGGCATCATTGACGTGTTGAGGGGACCACAAGAATAGCGTGTGGTCGTCGGAACCAGAGATGACAGTCTCAGGGGTATTGATGGTATGCTTTTTGTATCGAGCGAGCGCGAGAGCCTTCGCCTCTTCGTCGTCTTTTGGTTTCTTTCCGTGGTGGTCGAAGGGACCCGTTCGGAGGATGAAATCCGTGCTCAAGGCGAGCGTATTTACCCAATGTGCGTGTTCGTTCAGCGTTCGAATCAGTTTCCCCTGGAAAACGCAAAGTATCAGTAAGGGCGCCGATTCAGGTAAGGACTTCAATCTAGACTCACATCTTTGGCGCTCCAGATCTTGATCGTTCGATCACTGCTTCCAGTGTAGATCAACCCTTCACCGCCCCATCTCACTACGTTGACGCTTGCATTGTGTCCGGCTAGAGTAAATTCGGCAAAGGACTGAGCGGGAGACCAGACCTTGACTGTACCATCCTTGGAAGAGGATGCGCAACGAGGCTGTGTTGCGTTGCTATATCACACGATCAAGTATCAGCTCGGCGTTAAAGTTATGCTTTGCGAGATAGAAAGCAGCTCAGACTGACCTATGAATCGGCTCCCACGACAAACTGGTGATCCACTTTGTGTGTCCTTTCCTCGCATCCCCAATCGCGTTCCCAGTGAGCGGATCCCAGAACCTGACATGTCCATCGTGTCCACCGGTCGAGACGACCCTTTCTCTACCTTCCCACTCGGTGCACAACACCCAACCCTTGTGCCCGACCAAGGTGTGTTTTGGCAGCTCGATCTCCATATCCCAGAGTCGTGCGGTCGCATCTCCAGATCCCGTCACGGCATATCTCCCGGTAGGCGATAATGAACAACACAAAATGGGTTGGGCGTGACCTGAGAGCGTTAAAGGTGATCAGGATCGTGCTAGGTACCGAAACTTCCCGCTTGCGGACTTACCGCTCAGAGTAGCGCTACACCGACCGACACTTCGAACCCTGAAGACCGCCTGGGGCTCGCACATCACTTCAAAAACATCTTCAGGCGAGAACCCATGGTCTAACTTCTTGCTTCCAGGTCCTTTGGCCTCTAACACATCGTCCAGGATGTTGCCATTGATTTGCAGACGAGACGACGGGAGCGGAGCTGCTGCAGGAGCACGAGCGAGGAGATCGGCCGGAGGCGGAGGAGGGGCGTTTCGAGATTGGATGTGGAAGGCATAAGGCAGGGGTTCTTCATTCTGTCGTTTATGACAAACAGAGCATAAAAGCGGTCAGTCCATCAACGTTCGATACAGCAACGACCTGTTCAGCTCACCTCGCCCTTGAGCTTGTTGACCAGCATCTGCAGCGCATCTCGACCGGTGTTGGCAGGCAAGTTGATCGCCGGACCAAGAGGAGTACCATCTTCCGAGTTCTTGAATTGGACGACGATATTGGGAACGAACCGTTCCGCCTCTTCGACAGGTCTTGAAGGCTTGATGTCTCGTTCGTGCGGCACGTTGTGCAGCTTTTGACGTTTGGGAGGCGGGAGTTGGGTGGACATGTCGGCCGGTCTAGCGAGGTCAAAGCTGTGATGGTATCAGGAATATGTACAAGATCCAACTCTCTGGTTCGATGCGATGAAAAGGTCGAGCAGATTCGACAGGAATCGCTCTCTCGACAGTAGTGAAATCTCAAAAGTTGCAAGTCGCATCGACGCTCTCGAGATAATTTGGTACCGCCGCCGAGGTAACGTAATCTCGGATGCTTACGGAAGCGAATGTCACCGGAAGAGGCTTCTCTATTTGTGTGTGTGTGCGCACATTCAGTTACAAGTATCACGAAAGCAAATTACTGATCCCCATCTTTCCTCTGCCATTATCATCCTGTGTGTGTGTGATGAACGGTATGGTATGGTCATTATAAGGTTGATCTTCCTCCATCGCGTTCGAGCCCGATTGACTTGTCGACGAGGTCCAGCTCGTCGGATCCGTAAGACCGCTGCGGGTGTGTGGTATCGGTCGCTCGACGTAAAAAGGGTCAAGGGCGGAGATCGGTGGAAGCGTACGAGACCCAGGAGAACCGGCTCCGGATATCATGCTCACGGACGCTGGACTCGACTGCCTTGATAGTTGGCGGCGGATAAGCGCTGGAAGGATGGGACCGCGTTCTCGACTGCTGCGACGCTCGCGCCGACCGGCCCCGACTTGATGGCCCGGATGCGCTGGAGGTCGAGAGGTGGCTCGAGCGTTGGCGTCCAGTCTTGCCGGAGCGCTCTGCTTTTTTGACAGCCTGCTCGAAGAACTACCGGAGGTAGATGGTTCGGGACGATGCGCCTGTTGAACCGCTTGTCGGGAGGCATCGAGGCTGTATTGAACGAAAGGCGACGAGATATGTAAAGCCGGTTGTCGATGATGCGGCGGCGTACTCTCGCCGTCCTGCCGAGCGAACCGATCTGAAAGGCTGGGCAAAGAAGACGATATTCCCTTCCTCGATCCGATCTGGCCTGCCGCGCTGTGACTTCTCGACGCCCTCAATCGTCTTTCCCGCGTACCGCCGGTCCTGTCCGATCCTGCACCGCTACCACCGCGAGACATCCGGACCTGGCTCCTGGGTTCGGGTCGATAGATTGCGGATGCCAATCCTGGATGTTCAGGTAATCCTGCCCCGTTCATGGTCGAGCGTTGAGGCTGATACCGTTTTCGGATCATCGGCGCGCGATTGACGCGAGGTTTGATCGTTTGGCGATCAAGCGCATGTGACGATGTGATGGGATCTACGGGGAAAGAGAAAAGTCGAGTCGCATATCATCAGGTCATCTTCGTCTATACTTCGCGCTGTCTAGCGAGACTTACCGGTCGACCCTGGGAAAGTTCCATTCTCGTAATATCGAAATACAGCAGAATTCACCGCTCCGCACTCGAACGTCCGATTCCTGAATCCAAAACCAATGTCGCCTCGACATCAGCAGAGTATAACCAAATTATGTGTTTCTCAGACTCACTCGATCGTCTCAAAAAGAGTGAATCTCAGCCGATACAGTCCTTCCACCGCCCGCATGCTTAGATCGCGAAACATGAAACAAGCCTTCGGTGCGGCGTCAACTTCAGATTGAAATTCGAAAGTCGGCCCGACGACCGATGCGCCGATCAGAGCATCTAGTGCGTCGATCATGGATGAAGCCGGATCTGATTGAGCGGGCTCGAGGGTGCAGTAGAGTAGTAGTGAGTGGAGGCGAGGGTCGATCTGGGGCGGGAGAGTTGTGCGTGGTTGAAGGTGGCAAATGGGGATCGGGTCCAGAATTTGAGCGCCTGCGCAATGAGATTCTATGATCAGCGACGTCCTCGAACCGAGATACGAAAGTGTATCCAGAACACACCTTGATAGAACCCTGATGCTGTTGGTTGCTGTGATATCACTAGTTCGTAGTCTCGGAGAACACAGGAGTGAGACGTCATGACCATCCGTGGTACTGGTTCTTGCGGTGAAACGTCGTGCAACCTGACGCAATATAGTCAGGGAAGCACGATATCGTCGAGGGGGGCAGATCCACATCACAAGAGTCCGCCGGACGGGTCAACTTCATATAAGTGACATGTAGAGGACAATAAGAAAGCGCTTGCATGTAACCACTCGTGCACTCGGTACAGCACAAGACGATCGGAAGAAGCATTGAAATTATCGTTCTGAAACCCCTCGGGCATGCGGCTCGCTTTCTTTTTGTACACGAGGCAGAGGTGAGCCTGATAATAGTGTCAAAGGATGGTCATATTTTGAGAGATCATCATCGTAGTGTCCGATCGAACAGGCCAAACCCGTAGATCCCTTTGGGCCAAAGGAGGGTTCGTCAGGGGATCATATGTTGGTAAGCGCGGATGGTGGTCTGCGGTAAGATCGCTCGGTGAATGATACCGTCGTCAGTGCGTACACTCGACTATCAATCCCCAAAACGCTGCAATGAATCGAGCTCGATCAAAACAGCGAATATTGGGGTTCGAAGATGCAGAGATCTATCTGAAGATCTGAAGACCGAAGCCGGATCACCGTCTGATGCAGCTGAAACTCGACGTTTATTTCCTTCCTTTGGTCGTTTTGATGCGACGACCACACACGACCACGCGCACGCAACAACACGTCATATCGAATATCCGCGGTGTGGAGAGGGGAACCGGGAATTGTGTAAGTTGGCTCTGACTCGCAAGGCGGCCTACTTTTGCATCCGATCAACGCTCCCCTTCCTCGGGCGCCCCTCGCCTTCCCCTTTGGGAGATTCTGCCTGGGGCACGCGAGTGCGAGTCAAGCCTGCTTCGGTCACTTGCCACTTGCTCACACAACCACCTTGCGAGAGTCCTTGCGTGTGCTGGGTGGCGACCTTCCTTTTTCAACAGACAACGTCCATTCTTATTTCAGCTCGACACCCCCCACACATCGCTCGCCACCCTATTCTCATTGAAACCTCTTCTCTTCAAACACCACTAACCCCAACAAGCTCGCTTGACGACACACGCACCTTGACGACGGATCGTCCAGCTTTCTCCGACATACACGAGAGAAACTGCACGCCACACATACTAGCTAGACCTCGTACACCTCCCAACTCTTAAAAGCTGGCATCCAGGCGGTTCACCTTCAACAGAAGGAAGCGGAAGAGGAAACGGAAGAGCACGTTCAGAGCTCTCGATTAGCACTGCGTAATCGCTTCCCACAAGCACGAACCTTCCCGCATACGTTCACGGCCTTCGTTTCGCCTCGCGCGCTCTCCACTCGAGAGTAGTTGCATCCTTGAGAGTTTCACGACTTTCGTCTTCTCCACCTCACCTCTCGTAATAACCTCAGGACGACAGGACGACACAATGTGGTTCCATCTCCATTGAGTTATCCCATCGCGTCTACCGGAAAAAAAGAGGAGAATCCTCGAGTCTTCGAACCTCTAGGCTTGACGACGCCACATTTGTTACGGACAAGCGAACAAGAGGTTCATTCCGCGACCACTTGTCCTGCCCGGGTTTCGCACATCTACCGCCGCCACCGGCTCATTTAGGAAAACAAGAACGATCTACGACATATAGACACCTTTCGCCACCGCCACCATGATGTTCCCTACCATTCTCACCCAGACTATCAACATGAGAAACAACGGAAATGTTATTGTCAACGCCACCGCCACCATCATCTTCGTCGAGTCCGTTGCCGTTGCCAAACGTCAATAAGCAGGCTCGACGAGGAATATCATCGTACGAAAATCGTACCCCACACATACGCATCTGTTTTCGGAAGAAGAACAAAACAACCTTTCCTACCCATCACCCTCTGCGTCACATTTGAATCCCACACTCTTCGTATTATCGAGCCTACTTCATCGAAGTCAGCCTCGAAACCAAAAACGTAGATTTCAAAGATCACAAATCCATCACCACAAGAGGAACGGAAGGAAAGACACGGTCTTCCAGGTATTCGCTATCGGACAACAACAAGAAAGAAAACTCCATACCCCTAACCCCTCATATTTCACGATCTCGACCATCATCGAGTTCCAATAATCAACACTCGAGACGATGGATCAACCCAACACCCCCTTGCCTCCCGCCTCCCTCTCTTCATTCCTCCCCGGGTCTTCGTACCCCTACCCTACCCCTCACCAAATCATCAACCCCACCTCTATCCCCCAAACCCACCTGAAACATCCACACCGTCTCGAGAGGCTCCACAGCCAGACCCCCTTGCATTATCATCAATCATCATCATTATCATTATCATCATCGCAACAGGCCGCTCAGTACAAGCAATTTGCCCAGGGGCGATCCAAGCAATCGACCGGACAGGGACAAGACGGGACGGCTCTCCGTTCAGTTCTCGGTCACAAGGGCCCTGTCGGCTCGAACGCGTCGCTGACGGGCTCCAGGCCGGCGAGGTCTTATATCCGAAGCTGGAGGCGGGAGGTCGGCGAGGCTGCGAGCGGGAATGTAGAGGAGGAGACTGCGGTGGGGAACATTCCCATCGCTCCTCTGCTGCAGCAGAGAGATTCGGAATTCTCGACTTGCGAGCAAAGCACTCGAGCCCGGGTCGCAGGGGAGGAAGAACATACCAGGGATGTGCAGCAGGATGTTCCCTTGAACACGTTTTCGAGGGCTGTCAACAAGCTTGCGGGCAGGGAGGACGAGCGCGTCGATGCTGTCAGACAGGAGACTATCAAGCAGGAGAGGACGGTCGAACAGAACCAGACCAAGCAACAGAGTCAGGAGCAAAAGAAGGCTCTTGCCGAAAAGATGGTCGGTGAGTAGCACAGCCTCGCCGAAAAGCGAGCGAAACAGCAGGTCGTCAAGAACGTTGTTGCTGACCGCGCTCGCACATTCTTCGTTGATTTTTCCTTCACGAAGACACTGTGCACGACCTCATCTGCTCGACATGGCCTTCGGCCTGCGAGTTTGATTCGCCTCGTTCGGGCTCGGATTCCGAGTCCGAGTCGATGGGCGAAGGTCTCACGGATGCCGCTCACAACGGGCTCGTCCCGCTCCGAGCGTTCATCAGGGAGATCTTGAGGAGGAGCAAGAGTTCTTGTGCGACTTTGCGATGTGCAGAGTGGTACCTCTTGGTACGTTCTTCGCCTTCATTGCTCCGTCCCGGACGTTCAACCGTTAGGGCGAGAGCTTCCGTCACGATAGCAGTGTGACTTATACGTTTGCTTCCGCGCCTGTCGTCCGTCTTTGCTCGTGCAGCGAGTCCGCAACATCCTTTCAGTCGCTCCTGAAACTTCGTCTTCGGCGTCTAGTTCGGGCGAATCGGAATCCTCTGAACCCGACTTGAAACGTCTACCTGCCTCGTCGCCGCTCTTGTGTCCTCGAAGAGCATTCTTGTCGGCACTCATTGTCGCCCACAAGTTCCTTCACGACCGCGTCTACTCCAACCGGGCATGGGCCAAGGTTTCTGGCCTCGATGTTACCGAGATCGGCAAGGGCGAACTCGCACTCGCCTGCCTGCTCGATTGGAAGTTGTGGGTTGGACGCGAAGATCAGGATTCGTCCTCGGAGACCAGCAAGCAACAGGACGAGACTACTTGGTTCACTGCTGTCGGTCAGCAAGTCCCCATTCCCTGCAAGCGTCTTCCCGAGGAACAATCCGTTACCGCCAGCCCGGCCGAAGTTGCCACCCAGTGCTCCAGTACCGACTCGTCCCCGTCGCACCTCGCTGCATCCACCATTTCTACCATGGACTGTGCTCCTCGTCTGGGCGTACCTCCCGCTGGTTCCGCCTTCTCATCTACGGCCGGTTCCTTTGCTTTTGTCTCGCCTGGGCAATGGCCGTCGCGAGGTCGACATACCGGTCGAACTCGTTCAGTCGAGAACTTGGCCATGTCGCACTTGTCGACTAGGATGCCCGGACTATCCCTGGATGGCTCGAGCGATACATCCGGCATTAGCCCTTCAAGCTTGCCGACCGAAAAGGACGGAGAGATTCACGTCATGGTCAACGGAGAAGAGCAGTTTTCCGTTCAAATCACGTCCTCACCCGAAAGTTTCGTCGATCAACCTCGTCCTCGGTGGAACCCTCGAAAGCGAGGCTCCCCTCTCGAAGCCGAGGGTCAAGAACTCGACATGGCTGCCTTTGTTCAGAACAACTCCGAACTGGCGCACGCCGCTCAGACCGGAAAAAAGCGAAGAGTCTCCATCAGCAAGTCGCAAACGACTCAGGTCTGCGGCGTCGTCTAGATTACGAATCGTCTCATCTCTCCGCCAACATCTACTGTATCCATTAAACGGTGTACGAATCAAGAGGGCTTGGGTTCTTGGGCAAAAGGGTCTGGCCTTTTCGTCGTCGTTTTGGGTTCGAGAGTTTGCGAGGGAGGGGGATCGATGACGGTTCCTCGATCAAATGTGCTTATGTAGCCTTTGTGTATCGTTAGCTAGTTAGATATCATCGTTGTGTTAGAAATATACATTATCACTTGCTTCGACAGATGGTCTCGATCTCTGCAGCCCATGAGGCTACTCGTATTCATATCTTCAATCGATGATTTCTAATCTCGATGAAATGCTTCCTTGAATATGCTTCCGGACCAGGCGGAGCGCCCTTGACAAGAAGTTGAGGGCAGTAACGCTACTCATAATTACTCATAGAGATAGCTACCGATAATCTATAAATCTATAACCAACTTAGGTAGATTACACGCTCCGTCCAGTCTGTTACTTCAAGTCTGAACTGGAACTCTCGCTACCATGAGCGGCTCGGAGTCAGAGGATGACTTTATGTCGGACAAGTTCTTGGTGGAAAGCGCTCCGACCAAGACGACGCAACAGACCTACCTAGATCGAAGACGGGCTGCCCAGAAGAAACACCTCGAATCGCAACCCAAGAGCTTGAAGCTGAGAGAAGAGGAGAAGCGGAGAAAGGGGCTCGGGACGAGCTTGTTTGCTGGGGTTGAAGATGGGGCGGATTCGGCCAAAGCAGGAGAAGGCTCGGCGGGGCCGGCAGCTAGTAACAAGGCCATGAGCATGATGATGAAGATGGGATGGAAGGTCGGAGAAGGACTCGGCAAGAAGGGGGAGGGTGCGAACGAGCCCACTGATCCTCGTAAAGGAGGAGATGAGAGCGAACCTCCCGAAGTTCAGGCCGACGAGGATGCAGGGGGAGAGCCGTCCGCTCGGGCTGGGATCGGAATGGCTCGCAAGCGCAGGAGGTCGACAGAGTCGGACGATACAGAAGCTCCCAGCTTTACGAAGCAGAGGGTGGAACCGCTGAGGGTCTCCATGTGGGCAGGTAGGTTCCTAGTATCTACTGTATATCGTCATATTGCATCGCTCAAGATGTTCCTCCCTCGTTCAGGCAAATCCGGTCTCGGAGCTCGCAAACGCTCTCCTTCCCCCGTTCTCGCTCCAGGCGAACTTCATCCCGAGAAACTAGCTCAACTGGAATCCACCACCGAAGACTTTCGTAAACGCCAGTCTGGAGTCAACGAAGCGAGAAAGATCGAGGGCAGAGAGTGGGCTGCGAGAAAGATCATGGTCGAACTGGACGAGGCGAACGGAGTCAAGGTAGGTCGGTCCTCGCACTAAAGTCATCACGAGGCTCCACAGCTGATAGTGTCGTGTCGTTTCGAACAACTTCACAGTTCCATCCTCTACATGTCATTCCTACTGCTCCTGCACAGACGATCCCGATCCCTCTCTTGCGGCTCGTCTTTCCCATGCAATGTGACGTCCTCATCATGGAACGCCGTGATCACCTAGCTCGTAAACTCGGTGCCGGACCGGGAGGTCGCATCGGGGTGGACGATACTTACGGTCGACGTTCCGAAGGAGGGGCTAGCGGGTCGCAAGATCTAGGGGGAATCCCGATGATTCGTGACATGAGCAAGGAGGACAACATGTCTCAAGCGGCGAGATTGAAGGCGATGATGCAGATGGACGCGCTCGAGGTGATCGAACCGGACGGCGATCTGGAAGAAGGCAATGGAGATCAAGCTTTCGACGGAGCCTTTGGGACAAAGACAGGGAAAGTCGAGGAGCCGATCGAGGTAGAGGACACGCTGGATGCAGATACTGTGGATATGGCGCCGATCGATTGGACCGTTCATGTTGAAGGCGTTCAGAGAGTCTTGGGCATGGAGGTGGGTTCCGAGGAAACGCCCGTTCAGATTCCCTCCCGTCCCCCGAGCTGACTTGTTCCCGTCTGCTGGATGCTTTATAGCCTTCGATTCACTTGTCTTTCCTGCTCGACATGTTACGGACGGAGCACTTGTACTGCTTCTGGTGCGGCTCCAAATACGCAAGCGTGGAGGAAATGGAAGGACCTGGAGGATGTCCAGGAGAAGATGAGGACGACCATTAGATGTATAGAATAGATCGTCTAGCTGTATCTCATACTAAGAAATGAACGTCGACATCAGCCTATGCTACCAGTAATGCGGTATTTCGATGTTGCATAATCGAGATGGGTCTGGGGATCAGAGGGTTCCATAACCGAGAGAGCCGCATCTTCGACCGACCGTCACCCCACGAGGTCACGCAAGGATCTACGTAGACCAAAGATGGGAGCTCTCCAAGTCAATGGTTGTTTATAGCAATGTTTCCGGTAATGTCTTCTGCCTGATTCGACCCCCCCATGCACCCCTCTCGTCCGAGAAAGACAAGCGAGGTGCAATGCAGAGGACAACCGTCATATGGCCCCGGCGTCTTCTCATCTTTGGTGCAGGTTTTAAGATGGCATAGATGGAGCAAAAGCGAGGAGATCTTGACGACTCACAATAACAGGAGGACTTGACTGAGGTGCAAGGCGACATGCATGTTATGATGGTTGTAATGATGTGTCGATGTGTCCCTTCGCTCCTCAAAGTCGCCGAAATGCTCAACCTCAGATTGGGCCACGCGCCCGCGGACGAGAGAGGGGGCAAGGGTTACCCCCCCGGAAGCAAATGGTGAGCTGCTGGTTCTGCTCCCAGGCCCCCAAGCTCTTAGCGACGGTAGGATGAGTAGGTTCGAGGAGAGGGGGGACCGTTCTCAATCTTCACAATCGCCATTACACCTCATCTTCTGCATCTTCGTACATATCGGGTCGCACTTTCCCTAGACGCATATCGTGTCATTGTCGGTCGATAGCCCACCCGTCGCTCGGCCGGATCCGAGGTTCGGTCACGTATCTTCAGGTCGCGCTCATCTCCACTCAATCGTCTTGACGGACCTGCATGGCCGCTCGGTCTTGACCCCTTGCAATGTCAGAGCAAGGCAACAGGATGGATCCACCAGGGTCTGGCGTCAAGAAACGTAAAGCGTCCGATGCGTCCGCGCAGCAGGGCTTTGCCCATCCTCTAGGAGGATCCTCTCAATTCGGTTTCACATCCAACCCGACTACGAGCGCGACGACACCGCTCCAACCGCCCAAGCAAAAGGCGATCAAGAAGCGAAAGACCAAGGATGCTAGCGAGGCTCCTCCTCTTCCAAAAGAGAGGTCGACGAGGGATTTCACACCGACCGATGACGAGTTGGGGGAGGACGAGGGGGAGGATGACGAGATGGGCAACGGTCGCGGGTCCGTGACGGGTCACAAGCTCAGCGAAGCCTATAGGCGTCTTCAGTCCAGGAGGGACGATTCCAAAGAGCCTAGCGAGGCAGAAGGTAGTCAGAGCGGTAACAAGAAGAACAAGCGGAACAGGGTCCACTTTAGCTGTGTTGAAGTGAGTCGAATTGGAGCGCGTCGAGCTGTTTTTAAGACATGACGCAATCCGCTAACCGGTTCTGCGACCTCTTTTCCTCAGTGTCACCGGTGAGTACTTGCTCGTTACATCGCTCTTCTGATCAATGTTGTTCGGATCTCAAGACCAAGCCTTTGCTTGACCTCGACCTCGCAGACGCAAACAAAAGGTTTGTTTCTCGGCACGAGCTTGCATTGTCTTGCCCCTATCATCTGACCAACTTGACTATCCGTTCTATTACCCAAACCTCTCAGTGTGACCGGAATGAGGTATGCTTGCATCGATGTCTGCGCCAGCCGCGATCTTTTCTGACCGATGGATTCCACCTGCTTCGCCATGTTCAGCCTTGCGGCCAATGCATCGCACGAAAGGTTCCGAATCTGTGTCGACCTTTTATAAACGGTGTAGAGGATCCCACGATGTGAGCGATTTGGAACCGACGTTTCATCTTACTCCCGCGTACTGACCTTCTATCGTTCTCATCAGCTACGATTCCGACATCAAAGCAAGACTCACACGCATTGAGGATATTCTCGCGACCCTGATAACACGCCTACCCACACCCGCACCTCCCGAGGAAACTCAGGATTCCCATACCCAAGCGTCGTCTTCGCGTCAAGTACCGCGTACCGTCTCGAGCCCCCGGCCGATCGCACCGGCGCCGCCAGGCATTGCCGGTTCAGGTCGGAACAGGATCAGAGGCCACCATCTCGTCCGTCGAGGATCCTCCGCATCGGCCGACTTGGGAGGTTCGACCAGTCACGCGGCGCTGCAACTCGACCATCAGCATAGGCAGCAGGCGGGTCAGGGCGTTCATGGGTCTGGCTTTGACGTGCGGGCTACGCTTGGTACAGGCATGGAGGGGATCATGCAGAACAATGGAGGGGAAGAGGTCTTTCACCCAAAAGGTTCTGGGTTGTCGAGTATCGGGTATCCCACTTATCAGGTAAGGACGAGGTGCTCCGCAACGTTTTGATTCGTAGCTGATCTGACCACGTTACTCGTCGTCAACAGGGTCCAGGTTCAGGTGATACCCAGCACACCCCGCCAGTACCGCTTTACTTCTCTGCTCTGCACTCGCATCCCTCACCGACGGATCATCCATCGCCTCATTCAGGATCTGGCTCTGTGGTGGTTCCCGGCCTGGGGAGGATTCGAATCACTCTAGAGCCTGCCTCGCCAGAGCTGAATGATATCCTGCAGACTTTAAGCGAGTCGGGAATCACCAAGGGGGTGCTCATCGGTTTGTTGATGGATCTCCCAGACAAAGCTCTGAGTGACATCCTTGTAGAGTGAGTCAATTGGAGTCTTTCTTCGGGGGTACACGCTGACGCTCACGCTCTACGTATTCAGGCTGTACTTCCGGGAGATCGAGTATGTAACCAGCCGGGAGGACGCACATTAATCGTGCCTGAACATTGCTCTTTCCGCCCTTGTGCTCATCTTATCAGTTGGACACGATACAAGATGAACCGGCCGCTCTTCATGCGTCGATATACCATGTTTTTCGAATCAATTCGACAGAATCCCAGCAACCCGCATATCGACGCGGACACCCTGAAATGGCTGCCGTTGATGTATATTACCGTGAGTGACCGCTCTCGCTTGCTCAGGCCTTCGAGTACGAAGGCTGACGTGTTGGACCCTTCTGTTATATCAGCTTGCTATTGCGACACTATCTGCACCCGTGGAGATGGTGGGAGGACCATTGGGACAAAAGTCGTGGAGTCGACGATTCTACGGAAGTTCCCGTGAGCCCTATCGTCATAAGGCAGGCTGTCGGATTGTGACGAGGTCTGATAATACCTGTTAATTCCTACAGGTTCTGCCTTGACTTGCGCCAAAGCGCTGCAGAGAGACAATCTGGACATAGTCTACGCTAGCCTGTTGTCCGCCCGGTTCATGTGAGCAAGACAGTCTTGTCCCGCTGCAATGCCAGCTCATGCGCCTGTGTTTTACAGGTTCTTGACGCGTCGAGCAGCGGAAGGCTCGACACCGTTAACGTCGGCTTTCCAGCTTGGTCTATATCGAGATGGCTCGGTACTCAATTTGATGGACAAACGCGAAGTGGAACTTCGCAGGCGTGCTTGGGCCATGGTTTATCACTTGGACCGGTGAGTGGAGATAGGCACCGCTCGGCTTGTGAAGCCGTCTGATCTCTTCGGTATTATCAGAACGAACGCTCTTTTGGTTGGACGCCCAACGTCCATCTCGGATGCCCATACCGATACCAAGGAGCCTGCGAATCTTGACGACGAAGAGTTGGAGTCTCCCGACTTTGATCCCCGAGGACATTCTCTGATCAAGCCTACGGAGTACACCCAAGTTATACTCCGGCATAGGCTCGCACAAATCATGGGCCGTATCTCAGATCACAGTAAGTGATTCTAGTGGTCTTGTGTCGAACGACCTGAACTTAGCTCTTGGATCTAGCTTTTGCCATCAAGCCACCAGATTATTCCATGGTGCTCAAGCTGGATCAGGAGCTGCTCGATTGGCAGAGCAAGTTGCCTCCCTTCTTTGCTTTGTTCCATCCCGACACGTCCTTGGATCAAAAGTATCGATACATCTTTGTTCAGCGGCATCTACTAGCTTGTGAATTCCTCTTTGCGAGGATTACTCTGCATCGGTGAGTGCCGGTCTCCGTCGCCAGGATATCCTAGCCGCTACTAATGGCAACTTTTGTAGGCCTTACCTGTTGCGCAAACGAGATGTCAACAACCAATATCGATATTCCCGTGAGGCGGCAATCGAATCGGCCAAAGCAGATCTGCTGGGTAGGCGTGCCTTTATGTTCGAAAAGCCAGAAGATACCAAAGTGAACAGCGGAGGGTATCGGGTGTAAGTGCTTTTGCTGTCGCATTAGACTCTCGGCAGGAAGGTGACCAAACTGCTGTGCTGCCTCCAGACTCAACTCGTACATCGTGCTTGGTGTGGCTATCAAGAGTAAGATGATTTCCCATTAAGCTGCATCTGTCTATACGCTAAATGTCAACGCTCTTTGCCTCATCTCAGTGGAACCCAACTCGGCCAGGGCAGAAGAGTTGCGCCGTTTACTGGATGTCGTGGCGGGTCTGGCTCCAGATGAGCTTGGCAGAGTGTCTGAACCGATCGTTAAGGACGAGCTCGCCATCGTAGAGTTTTTGACGCAAAGAGCGAACGATCCCAACAATAGCGAGGGCGCTCTCAACAACTCTGCTCCGATACCCCCATATCATATACTCTCGGGAGAACAACGACCGGCTCTGCTGGAAAGACGAGACACTTCCGCTTCGAGACAGTCAAACGAAGTTGCAACGTTCCGCCAACAGCATGCCGGCGACGACCCCGCTTGGTCATTCGTCGCACCAGGAATGGCTACTCTTGACGTACATGCGCCTTTCTCGCCTGGAGGCGTAGTCAACAGAGCTGGTTCGGACGTCTCAACCTCTAGTGTACCCGGTCCTTTAAGACCGCCTCCTCCTCGCGGTTACACCGGACAGGCTTCGACATCAATGTTTGGTGATAGGGAAGGGGGCAACGCCCACAATGGTTTCCTCCAGCAATCACAGAACGTTTCCCCGGCACGGTCGCAGATCCAACAATCACCGTATCAGAGCTCCAATTTGGCTTTGCAAGGATTATCGCAAACTATCCATGATCAGAGCTACAGTCATGATCAACAAGGGATTTCGGGCGATTTCAACATGGACTCGAACGTGATGCCCAATCTGGATTCGTGGTGGAACGATATTGGGGGAAATCTGGCCATGAACCAGAATACGCCAGGCAATTTCAACCCGTTTGCCCTCGCTCAATTCGGACAGGTCGAAGAAGGTGCCGATTCAAAGTGAGTTTGCCTGCATATGCTCGCTTCATGACGAGCTAGCGATTGATTTTTCCTTATCGCAGCGAAACTGCTTTCTTGAACATGCTCTTGTCGACCATCGCTAACAGCAGCGGCCCAGGGAGCTCATTGTAATACTTTGCGGTTGTAAGAATCACATAGGTGTGCATTAAGGAATCTGAGATGATAGATACCATTTGCTCTTTTCGTTGCTTCATTGCTGTACACATACATCCCTAATCTCCCGGCCAAGTCGGCTGTCTTTGAAACGCCGGAGCCCTTCCACCAGTTCCCGGTCTGCGGCGGGCAATACTTCGCTATACGGCGGCTCCTGGTCTTGACTAGTCTGTGCGAGCCTTTCGAGTTCTTCCGCCGTGACCAAAGTCTGTGGTGATTGTGCCTCGAGGACGGGTTGAATCGGCGTATTACTCGAAGCAGGTTCGCTCTCGCGTGCCCTTTTGGCTTTGGGTTGCAAGTCCGCTTGGTTTTGGAGGACATCGAGCTTGCGCTTGATGATCGATGTGAAGGGATGATCAGCTGAAGATGGATCGACTGTGTTCGCAGAAAGTTGCGCCGCAGTAAGATTAGCATCTGTTCATCGGACGAGTTGTGATCCGGATGGCATACCGTTCAGTAGTCCGAAAGGGAAGATATCGTTGGTGCGGCCCGCTGCCGGCACTTTGTACTTGCCCTGTTGAGATGAGCGGCTGATCAGCATCCTGAAAATGGTGATTCACCGACATCATCACTTACGACACCTTCGCGCCGATCAACCCCTTTAATAATGAATTTTCCCTTGTCGTCGACTATGGCTTCCGAACCGGGAAACGTCATTTTGGTGAGATTGATCAATTCGAGCGGATTCAGCAGTCGGATGGAACGAGTCGAAGCTCGATGTGCCGGAAGCTTGGGAGCTGATATTGGGGAGCCATGAGTCGGCAATGGGTTAGTAGACTACGGCGGTGCAATACATCGGTTCCCCATTGCTCACCTTGTTTCTGTCCGGCACCAGAACCCGGCTCATCCCTGACGTCCGAAGTACGAACGTCCTGAATTTCACTGCCGGGCGCAGAGCCAGACCTTGTATACACAGGTTCGACGTCCAGGTCCCCAGTAGCTGAGGATGGCGGAACCAAGGCGTTTCCCGCCGAATCAGAAGTATCCGCTTGGGCCGATATATCGGAGCCGAAACGTGCTAAATAGGAAGCATAGAGGTCGGACTGGCTGACTGAGGTTACCTGAGCGGCCGGCGAGTCGACTGCATTGGCGGAAGAAGAAGCTTGTCCCGGTTGGTAGTTGTGCATGAGCCTATCAGATACAAAAGAAAGGCTCAGCAGTGTGCACAAGCCTATGAGGATCGCTGTTCTCACCATGTACTGGCCCGCAGCGGTTCTGGCATGCCGACAAGGTACTCTTCCATCGCGGACACCTTTCGAAGCTGGCTTCTCGCGCCGTCCGATCGATGTCCGTCGCTATCCGCCTCTGTACCCTCGACTTTTTCGCCGAGGCCTCTCATGATCCACTCCCCTTCGTCGTCACGAGCAAGACCACACCCCTCGAACGTCGCACAGGCCAGTCGGATAAGGTCCTGTCCACCGAGAAGGGGCGACGCCTTGTGGAAAGGGTCGAAGCGTGATTGATAGGCGAGATAGATGTCAAGTTGAGATACCGTTGCCGAAGGTGCGGGACGGTAAGACATCTGCAACCTGCAAGTTCGAATGATCTTTCCTCAGTGATATTTGATACTTTCGGAGCAAGACTAAAGTGCATACCAGCTTGTTGCCCGATCGGGTTCCTCCATGCCGTCAAGACCGGCTTCGTCCACCCCTCTCAACTTGTTTCTGCGCTGCCGAAAGTACTCCTTGACTTTGCTCCAGGGCCGACCGGTAGTGTTGGCCAACTCAATGATCTGAGCCTTGGTGGGTGTAGGGTTCTCGAGGTAGAACTGACGGAGCAGGGCGAGTTGCTCCTTGTTGGTATACTTGCTTGGAGTGTCGACGTTGCCGGCAGATTTGGCCGTCGCTGGACCTGCGCCGGATGATGAGTCCCGAGTGGTTCCTTGGGCTTCTACTAGACCAGACGTAGAAGGGGTTACTTCGTTCCGGTTATCGTCGTTGCGCTTCGTCAGAGTCTGACCGCGCCCTCTGCCGCCATTTCGCCTTTTACGTGCGGGCGAACTTGACGTGGGCGTCTCGGCTGGGATGCACGACGCTGGGAACTCGTCCACACGCTGGTTATCGATGGCAGGATCTATCGCAGAGGCAGTAGTGAGAGGTCCGACCGGCTCCGACGGATATCCTCCGAGTTCCTCGACCCCTTGCAGGTCATGAAAAGCTTGTTCGAACAGTTGATTACGTTCATCATCAGCGGGCTCGGTGTGTTGTCGCTGTTGATGTTCCGACGAGTTCTCCGTTTCGTGATCGGTGTTGTCCTGTCCTCGTTCATCGTTCAAAGTCATGGTGCCGTATGGGTGTTTCAGTTCAGACCCTTGTCCTCGTCCCGATATTGACAATGTGAAACGGTCGAGGACATTTATAGTGAACGCGAAGGGGAGGAGAGAGAGAAAGTCGAAGGAGAGAAAGTACCACACCCACCCTCCGCCTCATCCTCGCTCCCGCCTGAAGCACGGACATCGATGATAGTTTCTCAATGTCCGTCACTCTCCCCGGGGCGATCGACGCACCCGATTGTACACAAACCAAACAAAAACAGCCAAGACGGCGGCTCATTCTGTATGTATCTTCGAAACGATTACCCCCTACATCTTGAACCGTGACTATCACACGCTCGCCAGATCCTCCTGTGGTTGACAATCTTGAGCCATACCACAGAACTCGACGAAACGACCTCGACATGACCTCGTCCACTTCATTCTTCACCACGGAACTCAAACGAGCACTCGAGGAGAACGCTTTCGCGATCAAGAGCGCCGAGACCTTGCCCGAGGAGACGGCCGACCGGGCATGCGCCAAGATTGTCCTGCTGGAGGAGAAGGAGATTCAGGTGGAATTGATCAACGATGGCTTCCGAGTCAGTTCGAACTTGATTCTGGTGTGAACGGAAAGGACAATGTAGAACAGAGCGGCTAAATCCGTCAGTCGATGTATTGCGATCAGGTACAAGGGGAAACCAAGCTGTATGACACGCTGGATTCGCTCCTCCTGAACGTCTCGCCCAAGAGCATGGAGCTGGTCTCCCAAACCCTCTCTTCCAGACTGGAGGGTCTGATCGCCAGGGGACATTCGGATTTAGAGGACAAGACGAGCCCAGACGTCGAGACGGAGGGAGAAGGAGAAAGGAAGGTTCAGGGTTGATATCAAATCTGTTCATCTTGTCCATAATACCATGCAGACTCTGCGACAAGAACATCAAGCTGACTTGCTGCTTTGCGTTCGTATGATCAGCCCCGCCAGAGACGAGTACTGCTTCGGTCATTCCCTCACCACACGACCCTCTCTCGTCGGAACGGCAGCCCGTGACAAACGCGACCTTGACGATACGTTGCATCAAGAGCTTCGAATACCGTACCGAAAAGAATCTGGTGCTGAAGGGGTTAGATCTGACAACGCTGACGGCTGGACAGTTGATCGAGATGTGCAAACAAGGCGAGTAGTCTGCACACAAGATATACGGGTCTTCTCTTACGCTGGGCTTATCACGTCTCGTCACTGATCAACTCTGGTAGCCATGAAGACGACGCCCGGATTTAAGCCGTACAAGACCGTCAAGCTCGGTGAGCTCGTCGCTTCTAGGCAGAGGACGTCCGAACTCGATTTCTGACACATCATGTCGTGAATTTGAACAGACACGTTGAAGCTTTACAATCAAGCACATTCTCACAAGGTGAGTCCTCGAGATCGCGGTCAACATCGCCGCCGCTCTTCTGAGCGGATGCCTTTCCATTCGCCATCGATAGACGATGAATTTGATCATCAACCTCGACAACGACGAGTGGATATTGGACGACATGGAGAAGACGATGGAACAGCACGGAGCGCGTAAGTGCCTTTTTGTGGGGTATTCGTCGGATCCTGTTGTCCATCGCTGATGCTGCTCTGACAGTGAATGAGACCGAGTACTCCCTGTTCAGTCGAGAAGCCTACGATGCGTTCAAGGCGAATCCCACAGTAGGTCACGTTCCAAGGAGTCTCCGAGCTCATACGAAATTGCTGAACGTGATCCCCGTTTGCTTATGATTTGCAGATACGGTGGGATTGATCCTTAAATCTTTCGCGAACCAGTCTGTGTGAAGAGAGACAGATGATGCTGTCACGAGATCACGAGCTAGTGTTTCGTGATTATGTAGATGTGTCATGTGTAATCGATGCAAAGAACTCCCAAGCGATGATGTTCATCCAGGCGTGTCACGTGATTGACTTGCATCTCGGATCCAAATACGCAAGCACTCGTCGCACGAGCCCGAGCCTGCTTTGGCGAGCATGAAGTCGCACAATCCTCAGCGAACCCCCCCTCCCCCTCTCATCTTTGCACACCGCACCTACTGCGAACTAGTCTGCACGCTGTTGCTCATCTCTCCAATACCGACGTTCTCAATCGGGATCGATACTGGCGTTTCTGCTGACCGACAAAGATGAACCCTGACGGTTCTTGTTCGCACCTTTACGAGATAGGGGATCAAGACAGGAACGATGTGTTGAAGAACTACAGAAAAGTTATGAGTTGGTCCATGAGCGAGGACATGATGATCGATGTGTCCATCCACAACGGATCTCTTGTGAGCCATCCGGGAATCTATCCTCTACTTCATGTCGATCATACGTAATATGCGACTGATGAACGGGGCCGTGTATAGACGACCTTTCCATCGTGCGGTCTCTGTAGCCGTGCCACCGTTCGGCCCTCTGTGTGCCTGCAATGTAAAATGCAACTCTGCAGAGTCTCGAGCACGCTCACGTCGCCGGGAAACAAACGCAAGCGCGGTCAGGACTGTATGAGAGGGCATTTCCGGGCGACGGGACATAGTCTAGGTGGGTCGGGGTGGTTTGGCTGTGGAACTCGTATCCGTCTGAAACGTTTCGATTTGTAGCGGTCGACAGTTCGACCGGATCGGTTTGGTGTCACGCATGCCAGGATTGGGTGTACGCTTTAGCTTTCGAGGGCGCTCTCGGTCGAGTACGACGCCTACAAGAGGAGCGTCTAGACCCGAGTGTCGGTACGTCCAGCTAATCGCAGATGAGGTCGTGATTCTCTGCTGAGAAGCTCTCTGCGATTGCATCATTTCCAGGCGAGAATGGACATTCGCAACGGGTCCGTTACAAGAACCCTAAACCTACCGAGATGCCTTTACCGGCGAATCTTGGATTCGCCCAGATTCGCTGTCACTGTCGGTACACGTAGCTACCACTTTGAGCAAGCCGCACGACGCTCATCACGTCGACGCACGTCTCGCAGCTGTCAAACCCCTTCTTAACCTTTCTCAGACGTGCTTCCTCTCGGCGATCTTGCAAGCTCTACTGCACAACCCACTTTGGAAGCAGTACTACCTTTCTTCGGGTCACGATCGTAAACAGTGCGCACTGCGTCGAGCCAAAAAGCTCGTACACGGAAACAACAAGTATCAGCCTACAGAAAGTATCGCTGAAGGTTCGGGACTGGGAGCAGAGGAGAATGGTCCCGGTGGACTCATCGGAGTCAAACTGAGCGACCTTGGATTGGGGCTGGGGGAGTGCATGAATTGCGAGATGGACGGGGCTTTCGCCGAGGTACGAGGAGTAACCATGACTCGCGCACACAATTGTCAACCTGATCACTGTCTTTCGGATCCTCAGGCATACGGAGGTGACTCAACTCCCTTTGGGCCAATAACTATGCTCTTTGCCATGTGGAAAGCGAATACTGAGCTGGCTGGATATGCGCAACAAGGTATACAAGGCTACAGCGGGCCTTCGGTTTGGTGTTGTCAAACTGAGATATCTGCCTCATAGACGCCCATGCCTTTTTCCTGGCTGCACTTAACCAGATCCACATGCATGATCCGGACTGCGTAGAATCACCAAAGAATTGCGCCTGTATCGCACGTAAGAAATTGTTCACGCAGGGATAGCGCTGATCAACCGGTACTTGAGCTGATCGGCCGGGTTTTCCTCGACATCTCAGATCGCACTTTCGGCGGTTCTCTATTATCGACTGTGACATGTTCACGCTGCGGCAGCATGACAGAGACGGAAGACCCGATCCTGGACCTGAGCCTCGAGCTCAAGAAAGGCGCTCCTGCAATGGATCGCCTTACTGCTGTCGAGCGTTGTTCCCCGAGCGCTAGCCTGAACCTGGCGGACTGCCTCAGAACGTGAGCATTGGGTTTAGAGACTGCGGTCCGTAATCACATAATCTATATGACGTCCTCTCACGCACAGTTTCACCTCAAAAGAGTCGTTGAAAGACGACGTATATGCCTGTGAAAAGTGTAAAGCTGAAGGTAGACGTGCAGTAAGAATCGGCAAGCATTTCCAAGAATAGCACGGTTATAATGACCGGTCCATACTTCGAACAGGACGTCTCGAAACAGCTTTCATTCAAGACTCTGCCTGCGACGCTGGCAATCCAACTTAAAGTGTGTCGGTACGCGGCTAAGGCGACAAGTCTGATACTGACCGCTTTCGAGCTTAGCGGTTCGAGCACGCCAATAGTAATCTCGTCAAGGTGGATACGTTGGTCAATTTTCCGACTGAGCTCGATATGAGACCATACATGACGGATCAGCTCAGAGGGTAAGTTCCCGGCTCTCTTCCCCTTGCCTCATTGGGGACTATCTGAACGCGGTTCTCTTTTGGCAGCGACACCTTCGATATGCCCTTGGAGATGTTCCATTATCGATTGACTTCTGTGGTGACACACGAAGGTAAACTAGACAATGGCCACTATTGGGCATGTGTCAACTCTGGACATGCATGGTTCCTTATGGATGATGAGAAAGGTCAGGCCGCTCGGGAGACTGGTTCTCGATCGCCAGTGACGCTCATGTCCCGCTGCCGTACACAGTTACACCAATCGCCCTATCCAGAGTACTGGCCCAAAAGGCATACATGCTATTTTACGCTAAGAGTTCCCTAACTTTTGCTTAGAGATATCGATCTTTCTGCCATCGGATTCGTGTATGTCACTCTTCTGCCTACACTGGAGGATACAAGTCATCATCTCTTGTTGACCAAGCGGCGAGGGCGGCATTGGTTCATTTGCCGTGCGCAACACTAGGGCCGTTCCAAATGGCGACGCAACCAAGCACACTGGCTAAGAGACAGCATTGGATAGTCCAGGAGAAGACCTCTATATAGCAGTCTTGTCGCAATTCACCTTGTAATTTTATCCTGATCAGCCGAAGATAAAGCAAAGCTGGAGGAGTCATCCTTACAAATGGAATGATAACTCGGCAGGTCTATCGACTCCTGTATATCGCAAGCGACAACCAGTCAGTTCTGTTAAGCGGAACATTTGCGAAGGTCGTACTTGCCGTGTGCGAGTCATAAATGCTGCCAAAAAGGAGATTGCCTAGATTGCCTCCAACAGCAGGAGCGATTGACACGATGCCCCAATTCTGTTCGACTACTCAGCAGATATCCCACAAGAACAAGTGAGAGCCGGACTGACCGCGGCAAAGTGCATTATGCCAAAAGCTTCAAGGACGATCATTGGCAGTAAGGAGAATATGCACCCGTACGCAAAGCCCAATGTCAAAGAAGTCTTCCAAAGTCCCTCAATCGCATCAGTATCATGGGCGAGGACTTGCGAGACTGCGAATGATAGTCCAATGGGTACCAAGAACAGCCTCTAGCGGCTTTGGCGTATCAGTCGTCCTACGCCGTTGAATTGCAGATCCAGCTGAGCTAACTCACTCTCGATAGGTGGAAGGTATTCTGCATGTAATCGCTTGCACAGCCTAGAAATGTATCTTGAGCGCTCTCGTCGGAAGACATTAGCTCAGTCGCTTCTGCTCACCCATCACGAGACGACCAATGCAATTTGAGATGGAAATGAGTGAAACTTGAAGCGCTTGATGTTTTGATGTTATGTTATTTGCTTCAAATGGTGCCACGCCGTCCGTTGGCCTCGTAAGTGTAGCTACTATGGTACCAATATTGTTGATGTAAACGAGTCCGGTACCGGCGACTACAGCAGACAATGGTGTTTGGCGTTGCAATTCTATCTATTTCATCGCTAAGCTGACAAAGCCAGAACTTACGTAGCATTAGTATAACAAAGAACAGCCAAAAGTCTGTCTCTTCCAACAACTTAATCCCTCTTGCACCGGGACTTCGCACTCTGTCGCGCATTAGCAACGAGGATGATCTCAGGATTTTCGAACTTTTTCCGTCTTCTGCCGGCGCGACACGAGGAGACTAACCGCGGCGCAGACGGGACGTCTATCGTCTCTGTGATGCACACCTCCGCTGAGACCTCATCCTCACCAAGTATGGACTCCGTCGCGTCTTCAGCTGGCCTAGCATTCTGGATGAAGAGCAATGCCAACCAGCCGGGATATGTATCACGAATATGACCACGGAAGCTGACAGATAGAGAAAACGCTCACCTCAAGCCTGTCATCTCGGACGGTATCGATATGCCAGCCTTCTCCTGCATCGGTGTCCCCGGAAGTTACGATACGGTGATAATGGTTGGAAGTGTCGATACCGGTTCTGTGTGACAGCGTGGTCCGTTTCAACGTTAGAGAACCTAACCCCATAGGGAGGCCTGTCCCGACTGCTAGTACTGCGAGAAACGCTGAAACACTGCCCCGACAGGCTGCACGGAAAACAGACGCAAAGAGAAAAGCCGAAAGACCATAACCTGCGATGCAAACAGATGTCGCGCTCGCCCGCTGTGGCATCGGTAAGTTTGGTTGTCAAGACTGGTAGCGATTTAACATACCGTTTGCGGTGGAAAATTCCTCGCCACACTAGTCAGGCCGCTCATAAGCCCTGCAGTGGCTCCACAGCCTGTCATGCACATCGAGCATAATGCGAGGCCAAGTCCAATGGCCGATAACGACCCGCCTCCATTTTGGTGATCTTCGGCAGCGATGAAAGGTCCGGGATGAAGGTACATGATACAGATGAATCCATACCCGGTACAGCTCAATATCGATGCCGCTGCCAAAGGACTGCACACGACTCAGTAACAGCACCGCCAACGCGTAAAAGGCAGAGATACGAAGCAAGTACTGGCTTACATACGCGGCCCTTGCAGATCGATTAAATGGCCCCAACTGGCATATAACAATGAGTTCGCGATTGAGCGTATTGTCGGGCGATGGATCAAATACTTTCGCTCACAATGGTCCACTTAAATATACGCCTATATTACCAGCGATTCCGATGGCATTGAGCTTAGTTGAAGAGATGCGCAACCGCTCGCCGAGTTGCGGAGCGTATGCTAGAACGGAACACTGTCAGATTGCACTCTCGTTGACGATTAAGCTGCAGAGACCTACTTGAAAATACCTAAGACGTTTGATCGAGCGAAAGAGGAAGTATGCCTTGTGAATACACTCGCACGATTTTGTCGCTATTGACCAACTACGCACGTAATTAGAGCCACTGAGCAAGCCACACGACTCGCATCAGTGTCCGTATGGCAACCGTCTGACTGATCAAATATATGTCGTCATAAGAACGACTTGCCTCGCGAGAGCCACCAAGGTCGAAACTGCCAGGGTCATCGCCTTGGACGGCTCTTGAGCGTTCATGCTGATGTCCCGGCCCTCGTGTAAGTTTTGCGATGGTGTCGGCACGCAAGTCTTCACAGCTACGACAGATCTGTCAGATATAATCGAATGAAGCTGGGTTCGCAGTTTTGCTTCGATTTCGACGATGGTGTCTGGGTGTTTGAGTACAGGAATGAGTGAGGCACCATTCCGTATCGCGATTATGATTGCGGTTCTTGTGCCGACCCATCGCTCATCGCCGACAGGTACTGGTCGATGATCTGATAAGATGCCCGCGTCACTGATCGCTTATGACGTGTAATAGTCACAATAAATTCAATAAATCATGACAAATAACACAATACCGTGGTCTCTCGATCGATCGGAACTCAGGCGCTCAGGTCAAGGTTACCTGGAGCTGGATGGCAGCATGTCTTTTCAGGTCGTCTCCCAAAAAATAGTTGCTCATCATTGAGATTCACGCACTTACTAGACCTGTTAGCCAGCAGTATACGTAAAAATAGATTTGAGGGATAGTCGAACAGCATGGGCACAGTGCAGGAGTCAAATTGTGAATCAGCTGTCGGCGCAGAAGGCGGACACTTCGGTTCAACTCTGGTCAGCGCTATGCGATCTGATAACAAATATAATGGATCTACCTGCAACACTAAACTCGAAGATGCGGGTACTACCTCCATGTTTGCGACAAATTGCTTGGCTTCGAACTTCGTAGAGCCGGTCAAGGACTTGCGGCAAGGCGGAGTGCAGTATTGGCAAATGTGAGATATTGTTTAAGATATCGTGTCGGTCAACACGGTGATATTCAAAAGACCCTTCCAACTCTCAAGGCTAAACGAAGTAACCCCGAGCCCTCCAACCGTGAGCTTGGAGGTGTTTCCACGGACACACCATGCCGTTCCTGTAACTCGAGGTCTGGACGGCGATTTCGTCCGCTGGAAAGAAGTCATTGCACCTGCGCCAGCTCAACCGCCTGCGGCATCAGCTTCATTACAGCGGCAACCAGGTGTTCAGTCGGGTGTGGCCGGTCTATCCCGTAATCCGGCTGGATCTGGAACTCGGAGTGGAAACCTTGGGATTACTTTTGTCCGGGGTAGAGGCAGTTATATGCCTTTCAGACCTGGTGGGCTTGATGATGGTCCCCAGCGCCCAAGTCCGGCCCAGGAAAGCCAAGACGATTTCGAGGAGGATGCTGGAACAGTATCGGACATAGAACAGGTCCAATCTACGTGGCGAACGACCCCACCTGGCTTCCAAAGGGGTCTTGACCTCGCTTCTGCGCGGTCGGGTGAGGCAGACGAGGCTTCTTCTAATGCAGACGAGCTACTCCTTCGAGTCTTCGGCAGTACAACTTTGAAGCCCAGCGCTCAAAGACAACTCAGATCTCAACAAGAAAAGGGGGTTTCGATCACAAGGAAGACGGGTCTGGCCCGGGAGACGGCCCTTCTCGATTCAGTCAGCAGGATCGTGACCGTCAGATGGCCCTTTCACGTACTGACTTGCGTTTGAAACTAGCTCGACCAGCTGCACCAAGAGCTCAAGGGATCGGATCTACAGGGCATTGACGATCTACTTCCGATTGCTGTCAGTCAAGCCCGTCGCGTCTTTAAGCAGGTTATACTCATCGCTTTGGTGCCCTACAGAGACTGCCAGCCCCTCCGATGAAGAATAGATCAAGTAAACGTAAACGGGAATGGGCTCATGTCGTAGATGTCAACCGGGAATTGACCAACGTAGGTGACACCGGTAGGCTATTTGACCAACGTTATCTGATCATATCTGGCAAAAGTTCAGCGAACTCGTACCGGAGATGGCGCACAAGGTAAGACACTCACAGAGAGGATTACCGAGATGGCGAAAACCTAATTTTGACCATTCCGAGCAGTACTCTTTCGAACTGGATACCTTCCAAAAGGAAGCGGTCTATCATCTGGAAATGGGCGACTCTGTTTTCGTGGCTGCTCATACGTCGGCAGGCAAGACGGTCGTTGCAGAATACGCGATCTCTTTGGCGATGAAACACATGACAAGGTTCGTATTTCATCCTGTTTTTCTCTGGCTCTGCTATCCGCGAACTCACAACGGGGATCTCGTGTTAGGGCCATCTATACCTCACCCATAAAAGCCTTATCTAATCAAAAGTTCAGGGATTTCAAGACCACCTTTGGGGCCGACAACGTCGGAATTTTGACGGGCGATGTACAGATCAATGCTGAAGCCAGCTGCTTGATCGTAAGAAATTCCCTGTCTTGGATCATGTCACTCGCTGACGTCGAAACTACAGATGACAACGGAAATCCTACGAAGTATGCTCTATCGCGGAGCCGACCTGATCAGAGACCTCGAGTTTGTCATATTCGATGAAGTTCATTATGTCAACGATGCTGAGGTAAGTGGGTACCGTTGATATTTTTCGGCAAGCGTTCACAACTATGGCCGATCCTAGAGGGGCGTTGTTTGGGAAGAGGTTATCATCATGTTGCCAGAACACGTCAATATCATCCTCTTGTCAGCGACAGTACCCAACACGCTTGAATTCGCCAGTTGGGTTGGGTCAGTACCAGGGTCGAGTACGGCACAGGCGTATAGCTGAAACTTTCGCGGATTTAGTCGGACGAAGAAGAAGGATATCTACGTGATTTCTACTGCTAAGCGGCCGGTGCCGCTACGTCATCATTTGTGGGCCGGAAAAGAGCTTCATACTATCGTTGACGAGCAGGGCCGTTTTTTGTCTGAGGGGTCAGTCGTGTTGCCAGTAACGAGCGGTCAGGCATTGCTCTTACGATTCTTCCGCCATGTCAGATACAAAGCCGCAAACGAGGCTATCAGGCGGAAACAGGAGAAGGAGCGAGAAGCTGCAGGCTTGCCAGTCTTGCAAAGAACTGGCGGTCCTGCCGGAAGAGGCGGCAGAGGCAAGGCTATGCCACAATCTTCTATTTCGACTCGAGGCGGATCGAAGTCAAACATCGGTTCGCGAGGACTCCCCGGGACCGTATCATACGGCGCAAAGGCGTATGGCGGCGCAGGAGTGTTTGACAAGAACGTGTGGATTCACCTTGTGCAGTACCTGCGGAAAGCGGAACTCCTGCCAGTGGTCGTCTTCACGTTCAGCAAGAAGCGATGCGAGGAGAATGCAACCAGCCTCAGCGGTCAAGATCTCTGCTCAGCCAGCGAAAAGAGCGAAATCCACGTTACAGTAGAGAAAGCTCTCACTCGACTAAAAGGTTCGATGACCCCCTTGGACAGCGGACAATTACGCATCTTACCAACTCCTGACTTGTAGGTTCTGATAAAAGGCTGCCACAAATTCTACGCATGCGTGACCTACTTTCGCGTGGATTGGGGGTACATCACGGCGGGCTGCTCCCAATCGTAAAAGGTGAGTTCGTTCGCGTTTTCTGCGTAAGTGACCTTCTGACTCCACTTGGTCATGCACTCAACGCAGAGGTGGTGGAGATTCTGTTCCAGAAAGGTTTGGTAAAGGTATTGTTCGCCACAGAAACTTTCGCCATGGTACGTCGCGGCTGGCCTCAACTTGCTGAGCCATTCTGATGTCCGGAACGTATCTAGGGAGTCAACATGCCAGCCAAATGTGTCGTGTTCTCCGGAATACGAAAGCACGATGGACACAGCTTCAGTGAGTCTCTCGCACGCTGGAAGAACTCGAACATTTCTGATACCCTCAGTCACAGGAACGCTTTTACCTGGCGAGTATACTCAGATGGCTGGAAGAGCGGGTCGCCGAGGTCTCGACGTAAACGGCACTGTCATCATCATAGGTGGTAGTGAGCTACCAGAGCAAGAAACGCTTAAGGACATGATGCTCGGCAAGCCGAGTAAACTCGTCTCACAATTCCGCCTGACATACAACATGATCCTCAATCTTCTCCGTGTCGAAGCGTTGAGGGTGGAAGAAATGATCAAGAGGAGTTTCTCGGAGAATGCGGCACAGAGCCTTGCTCCTGAACAACAAGCCAAGGTTTTAGCAGTAAGTACAGCCGATCTGATCAACTCGAGCAAAGGCTGAAGCGAGTCTTTGCAGGCTGAACAGAAGCTGGCTTCCTTGCCATCCCTGGACTGCCAACTCTGCAAATCGGACATTGAGTCCTTCTATATGCTCGCTTCCGAACTCTCGAGACTGAACCGTGAAGCGATGCGGTTAGGTGCACGCCATCCGCAAGGGTCCAAGACGTTCGGCGCGGGCCGAATGGTGATCATCAGTACTACCGATTTGCCCAATGTTCCCGCCCTACTTCTTCGACCAGCCACCACTTGGCGAGCCGCTGGAGAAGTCGGACAGAAAGTAGGAGCCGAGCGAAGTTTCTGGGTACTTGCCTGTATTCCGGGAGGGAACAGACACGCTTCCGAAGGTAAGCTCGCGATTGCTCGTTCACCTTGACATTGAATCTTATGCAGCATATTCCGCAGTATCTGCCCCTCCCGTATGGCCGCCAATCTTGACAAATTCCCCATCAAGCGACGCTGAACATGTAATTCTAGAGGTCGACGTTAGCTGTGTCTCATTGGTCGTCAACCGAGCAATGGCAAGAGTAAGCACAAGCCGGTGATTTCGAAATCGTCACTTGACTCTGCTGCTTTCCAGGTCAACGTGAATGCTGTCCTGGACAAAATGAATCCTGGCGCTATCGACGATGTTCGTAAATGGCTTATGGAGACATCGGCAACGCTTGCGGATCTTCCAAAACTACCTGAAGTAGACTGGTCCAGGATGCGATCACACCTTGATTTCCAGGAAACGGTACGCAGGCGAGACATCTTAGCTCCTCGCTTGGATACATTGCACTGTCGTAATTGCCCGTCCTTCCAAGCGCATGTGAGAACAACCGGCACGGAAGGAGCAAATTCTTGTCTGATTTCTCATCACGATCGCAGTATGAAACCTTGCATCGCATAAAGCAATTAGAAGCTGAATTGCAGGAATTGAAGATGGCACTGTCCGACCAGAACCTGGAGTTACTGCCTGATTACGAGCAAAGGGTTGCCGTTCTTAAAGATTTGCAGTACATCGACGAGACTTCAACGGTCATGTTGAAGGGAAGAGTGGCCTGTGAAGTCAGTCTATGTTGAGGCAATCCCACCCGGGACCGGTTTAGCTGATACATTCATGTGATCAAACCGGCAGATCAATTCCGCCAACGAACTCATATTGACTGAAATCATTCTTGAGAATACTCTTGCGGACTATACCCCAGAGGAAGCAGTGGCGTTGCTGTCCATATTCGTCTTCGTAGAAAAGACAGATTCCGCTCCGGACATTCCAGTCAAGTTGCAAGCGGTGCGTCTTTCTTTCAAGGAACGCAGAACACCCTAACTGATGGCAAAGACATTAGGGAATCGAATCAATATATGCCGCTGCCAGTCGAGTTGAGAGGGTTCAAGATCGAAAAGGCGTCGCGCATGACGACTTCTTCACAAAATTCAAAACCGGTTTGGTGGAGGTGGTATACGAATGGGCCCGGGGAATGGTGAGACGTCACAACGACGAGATCATCCCTCGTCCGACCAGCTGAACCCTTTCCTCAAAGCCTTTTGAACAGATTACCGAATTGACGGATGTAGCGGAGGGCACGATCGTCCGCTGCATCACCCGTCTCGATGAGACTTGCCGTGAAGTACGAGATGCCGCACGCGTTATCGGCGACAAGTCACTTTTCGGCAAGATGGAACAGGCACAGGCGCTCATCAAGCGGGACAGTAAGCAGACCTTAGCAGTCCGATCTCATTTTGTTGTGTTCTCTGACTTCTGACAACGACTATCTGACCCACAGTCGTCTTTGCCGCCAGCCTTGTAAGTGCTTTGTGCTGTAATGTGCAGGGCAAAATTAAATGTCACCCCTCTCTTCGATCAGTATTTCTGAGGGACAATTTGGCGAACCAATCGGCAACCAGCACTCATACTTATATGATATGTGACATATGCTTCGTAATCACCCAGTTCAACAGATGTCAGGTACATGTCTTTCCCGGATTGGGCTCGATGATGCCCGGGTATTGGTCAAATATGCTTCGTACAAGCTCAAGTCGTCGCGTTGCCCATCATATCCTTCACGTGCGGTCTGTATGTTGGCGATGTATAGATCCACATCCTCCGCTTCAGCGGATTTTGAAGCCATCGCCTCATCAGTTTGATAGTGAATGTACCTGCAATTCGTAAGATTAATCTTGGATGCGAGATCGACGGAAATGGGGTAGTCGTGCTGTACCATTCGTATTCTTCCTGCTTGGCTTCGGATAAGGTTGGTGCCAATAACTGAAGAACAATGCCCTCAAGCTCTCTTGCTTCCAACTCCGTCTTCTGTACATTGCACACGGTTGGAACGCCTTGCTCGCTGTGTTGCATGGACTCCTCTGGTGAACGAGTCCTTGCTGGTCGACTTAACCAGAGGTGCGAAGGTCAGAGCCATCTCTGGGACACTTTCGTCTCATTTCATCACACAGCTCACCGTGACAATTTTGCGGTTCTCGATGTGAACGGACTTGTGTATGACGGGATTCTTCTATTCAAGTTCATGGCATGTATATAATTCAGCGATCGCTTCATTTGCAAGGATACCAAACTCACGTTGATGTCTTCGCTGTCGAGTTCATACTGAAAGTGTATAGTCTCTGAAACTGAGATAACAAGTGTGGCTTGTAGTAGTCTCTCCAAACGTCATAAGCCACGCTCATATTCCGATTCAATGTAGCAGTCGTTTTGGGTACCAGGGCATTTGGCTCGAACCAATGGCGGTAGTCTTTAGCTGCCATTTGCTGTCGGGTCCTCGTGTCGGCGCAAACACCTAGGAACAGGTCTATAGCTGCTTGTTTATCTGCATCCAGTAAACTGTTGTTATAGTACCGCTTGACATTCTCCAGAAGGTCTCTAGAATGACTGCTCCATTGTCGGGTTTTGGTACGGCGATATGTATCCATTCGATTGACCAAGGCGGAGCCAGTGTATTGCCACGCCAGGGTATCACCGTGATCGTGATACATTTCGATGAGCATGTCTATCACGTCACTGTCAAACCCCAGATCGGGGCTGTCTATGACCCCTAGAGCATGGAGTTGGTGGCCGAGAACTTTCTTGCCTATGGAGAACTGAGCGGCATTGGTCCGATCCAGACAATCTATGCAGTTTGTACGGCAGATACCCTGCTGGAGCTTCATGGAAGGTGTGTTGAGTTTACCACGGTCAACATGTGGAGCGCTTCGGTGGAAGAATCCGGTAAGCTGAATGGACTCCTCGGCTATATCTTCTAGAATCCCGATCACGTCCTGTGACTTGGTTTTTGTTGCTTGAGCCATGTCCCAGGCAATGTATCGAAGCTTTTTGTTCGCCTCAGGCGGAAGGAACTGATTTAGGTATGCTACGCACTCTGCGTAGGCAGAGAGTAGTTTGCTTTCCCGCGCCACAGTCTCCTTGCCCTGTGTAATCGTGAAGCAGTCAGTGGGGAGGGGGGGGAGGCAACAAAAGATTAGGCAGATAACGTACCTTGATCAGATTCACGATGACTATTGGGGCTCCATATCGCTCTAGAAGATCACAGAAATGCCGCGCTGCGGCACCAAAGAATGGATCCACCACTGCGACTGCGAGGCTCCGAATCCATTGAGCGGGATTTTGATCGCAAGCGGACGCGGCACTCACTTTCTATAGGAGGCCGAGGCGACATATTCGTGATATCCTGCGTCCAATGCAAGGGTATAGACCCGCGCAGCTGAACGTATGAGGTGTAATTTCCAGGGGCACCGAAACCGTGTATCATCTTTGAAGCCACAAAAGATGTGATAAGGGGTTCTGATACTATTTGCTCGGTTTCCACCTCGTTCGCGACATCTCCCTGAATCGATGACATCGCTGTAATCAGTTTCAGATCCTCCAATAAGCGTCTCCGACTGGAATGGACACAACGAACCCATTCATTGACCCCACGTTTGAGGTACCGGGTACCGGCGTGCCGCCGAGATCTGCGGGCGATAAGAGTTGTGTAAATGGTGCGACTGAGTACAGGAATTTCTTGGGGGAGGATAAAACCCGAAGCGGCAGAACGTTAGCGGTTCGCACACGACTTTTCGACTTGCTTGTCTCAACCTTACTGGCTTGATCAACGGAACCATGTATCAACGGCAAGATCCAAGGGCTCCGAGGTATTATCACTTCTTCACGCGGACGACCGGATGGAGGTTCCATATCACCTGTCGCTGTGCTCGCTACTCCGAAAGCTTCTGTGAGAAGGTGGTGGTTCCACATGAAGCGAGTGTTGTAGCTCGTACATGACGCCGGACGAGTCAGGTTGATTTGTAAAGTATTGGTGAGATCGTATGAATAACTGTTTCGCAAAATCAGCTGAAACCTTGCCGCTCGTAGAAACCATCAACGTGCCTGAAGTAAAAGTTCTTCGACAAGTCAACCTGTTGGAATATGCTCAACAACCTACGGGATTGAGCGGGATAAGTATGCAGACTATAACCTATATGCATCGGGTTTACCTTGCTTCTTCCGCAGTGCGGTCGCCTTTGGTGCCAAGGCGGAACATCTGGATGCGTCACAGGATCAATTCGTTTGGCCCATATCTAGAGCTGTCTTAAGGACTATCACCAATGTCTCATCGCAGTGAAAAACTGACTCAACAGGTTGTACGTGTGAGCATTGTCTTGTCAATTGAATCTTGACCCATATCCACATACTGTAATGACCGCCTAATAGCGAGACGACCGACCGCTTCGTACACAGGATGACATAGAAGCTGGACGAGAATCGTACAAATCCGATAATACCGCTGATCGCAGTCCAATATTAGCTCGTGCTGTTGTCAGGGACACGCATAGTTTGACACGCACTGGAAGTCTAGGATCTTCTCAAGTCCGCCGGTACTGCGGTTGCCATCGTCGACCATTCGCAACAGGGTATGGAGCTGAGCAGAATCATATACCATATGGTCCTCTACAACACATAGCGATTCCGGAGCAGTTCGATCGATCTTAAGTATCCGATGGTGCTTTGCCGATGACGCAGTGATGTATAACCGTCTGCAAAGGATCCGATAACACATCGATCCATCTGAGTGAACGCCCCTTGCAAACACGATGCACGAGATACAACTTACGTTTTAGTTTCATACAGCGTGTATCGACTCAGAATCTGTTCGCCGACGCCTGATTCTTGCATAGTGGAAAGAAGCGAGGCCAGGTTCGAGACTCCTGTCCTTTTGCGAAATCTTTCGGTTACAGTCGGAATGAATTGGAGGCCGGTTATAGAGACGTAGAGACTAGATCGATGGAAGCCGAGGCTGTTAGGCTGATCACCTGGCTCTTCCAACGATATTGCGATCGAGCTACTGACCTACTATACTCTACCTACATGCCTGCAGGACTACAGATCTCGATCACTTGATCACTTGGATCACTTGCCGTCGACCGAGTTCATCAGCCTCGGTCGAGATTACGTCACGCACGTGGGAATAGGTTAGGATCCGATTTCCCCTCGCTGCCGGGGTATCAAGTAGCTAGCAAGGCCTGCTCGCTGCTCGAGGTTCATCAACAGCTCAACAGATTTGCACAGTTGGTACAGTTGAACATTTGCAGATTCTACTCGCTATACATATAGACATATTCACGATCTACACGCAAGCCCTTCTCCGGTTCCTACGTTCCCACGCCACATCACGAACCGACGCCCGCCTCTGGATCTCACGGCATCGCGACACAGCGACAGATGGGTTTACAACTAGGTGCTTACGAGTCTGACACGGACAGCGATGCAGGTTCCGGAAAATCGGTAACTACTCGCTCGCCTTCGTTCCAATCGCTGCCTGTCGCGGGAGACAGGATCGGGGGGACCGGGAAAGAACCTCTTGCTGGCAAGACACCACAAGGACGTGTCAAACAGCCCATCAAAATCGGATCAAAGCACCCACTCATGGGAAAGTCTTCCTTACCATCCGAAGGGTCGGATGACGATCATGCCCAATCGCTTTCTTCCTCTTCGAACAAACGGACTCGGCCTCTGGGTTCGTCGTCCACTCAAAGCGGCAGAAGTGGTCTCGTCGATCTGCTACCTCCCCCGAAAAAGAAGGCGAAGACGGTCAGCAAACCGACAGTTATACCGAAGGATGTGGTCGATTCCCGATCTGCCACGTCTCGGGTTGACCTGCAACTCGATAGCGCAAACGATAAAGCTGTCGATGACCTAGCACCAACTGTTGACAACAGGAAGAAACGGAATGAGATGGATCTTTTTGGATTAAGTGAGTAGAACAGGTTTGGGCGGACTGTTTCGCAATACCGACCAAATACTACAGTTCCTTCCGAAGGGCCAAAGTCAACCGGTTCACTGCAAGATCTCCCTGACCGATCTTCCCCTCTCACGATCTCAGCTGCTCCGTTGGATGATACAAGTCTGGGCCAAGGACTCGAAACACCGTCTCCGAAAGCGGTCGGTTCAGGGCGATCCGTGCCGGATGACCTTGTCTCTCAGGGTGCTCTGGGACACGCATGGAAGGACGTGACTAGTCAGGATTCAAGCGAAATGCGTAACTGGGATGTAAAACGTAATATGGCGGAAGCTCGCCAGCTCGAAGACGAACGGGCGAAGCTGTTGGCGGCTCCCGTCTATCAAGAACAAGGCACATACAAAGTGAGGTCTCCAAGCCGGATTCACCCGCTTATTCAAGCTTTCTAAAAACGTCTCGACATTCCTGTGCACGCAACAGGCTGTGGGCAGGACGACCGGGCTAGCTGGCAAACGCCACCAGCTCTCCGCATTGTTGCAAGACGCACATTCCAACAGACGAGCGCTCGAAGATCGTATCGCCGAGAACAAACGGAACAAGAGGGAGGCGGGCACGAAATATGGGTTCTAGCTTGTCTTTTATCCTATATCCTAATCCGGTTCTGGTCATTGGGTTTGAACGACCGGCAGTGGCCTTTGTGTATTAGCTACGTCCACCGGAACAACGGGCTTGCAAGGTTTCGGGATGGGGGTGTCCGCATGGATGGTCGGATTTTTTACCCTACCAACCCTTCGGTACTTCCGATGCGTACGAAAGAAAGTCTTCCATGCAGCTAAGCCCTGTTTGATGGGAAGGGGTTGGCTTTCAGCTAATCTCCATTCCGATGTACTGCGGGTTGGCTTGCCTCAAGATCTGTGGGCGAGAGACCCCTCAGATCATGCGTTAGATGCGTTTCGAAACAGCCTGTGACGAATGCTCGAGCTGCATCTCTCCCAGCACTGGAAGGTGAAGAGTACCAGAGAACGCGGCAGTCCGAGCATGAAAACGAGTGCCGCATTTGATAGAACCGGGTCATTCAGCTTACAAGCAATGGTAGGCACCGCCCGGTCCGTACATCCTTTTCGATGATGTCACATCGAAAACCTCCCCGTCGATGCCGAGGTATATCGGTCGGGTCTGATCTTCACCACTATAGAGCGCAAGGTCGCTAGGGCTCAGATCAACAGCTGATGCCTGTTCGTGCCAGAGGTCAGGGGAGGCGAGTGAGATCAACGTTGGCGTGAGGAGAGACTTACGGGAAACCAGTCGTTCCATTGTCGAAGTAACCTGTCCTCCATTCCCCACAACGGACTGTCCATGATAAAGTTGCCGATCAACATCGCAAGAGCCGCGACTACGAGAGCGTATTGGCTGATGCTCCGTATATTCGGCCCTTTCGAGGCGGTGGCTTTGGGAAGAGTCGCCGCCATGATTTTCTTACGGTATTGCTCTGGCTATGAGAAAGTCAAGGTGTACAGGTGACTGACTAGCGAGGTGTTTATACCTCTGGCTGTCCGACTATGTAGCTGCTCTAAGCCAGCTTGTCCTTCGCGATACCCGAGCTACCCCATCGAGCAAAGCCAGCAACCAGCAACCAGAGAACCGGGAGAAGCCGATAAAACGTCATCAGCAAAAGCGTTTTCCAAGGTCGTTCCCTTTTGAATCCGCGGTGCATCTTCTGGCATCCTCGCGCGTGTGAGTTCGCTGCTGACGGTGGTTCGCAACGTGCTTCGATCCCGATCCTCCCCTCCCTCCTTGCCTACTCTCGATGAGAAACGCTGATGTACTGAGCTACTGATCACTGAACTGCTCACTGGCATATCACTGGCCCACCCCAACCCAAAAGCGGTCAATCTTTCATTTTTGTATATCCAATCAGCTCACGGCAAAGACAGAAAAGCCTGTGAGTGTCTCCAAAAGAGGCGCTGTATTGCTCAGCGCAACTGTTGACATTCCGACGTCTTTAGCTCGAGAATGTCCGCTGCACCTGAATACCCGCCCGTCTTCTGCATGGGTAACCCCTTGGTGAGTTGGGTTTTGTCTCGCGCCCTTTTCGATATTGCCAACCCGCTCATGACGTTTCCCGCAGCTGGATCTCCAAGTCCGAGACGGCGAAAAGCTCCTCGAAAAGTACGGATTGAAGTCGAACGATGCTATCCTTGCCGAAGAAAAGCATATGCCCATGTTCGTACATGTAGGATGTCGAGACTGCTATCGAGTGCTTACTGATCTGTCTCCGTGAATCTATAGCTACGACGAATTGGTCAAGGACTATGAAGTGACTTATGTCGCCGGAGGTGCTGCTCAAAACGCTGCCCGTGCCGCTGCTGTAAGTGGGCTTTAGAAGCCACAAATAATATGGCAACCACAGAACTGACTCAACCTTCTCTGCAGTATGTCTTGCCTCCTAAGCACGTAGTTTATGTCGGTGCGGTCGGGGACGATCAGCTTGCCGATCAGCTGCGAGCCGCCAACGACAAGGTGAGACCTCATCGCTTGGTTAATCCTCGAAAATCAGCGTGCTCATGAGACATTTCTCAATCAGGAAGGGGTTGAATCCGCTTATCAGGTTCACTCTGGTGAAAAGACTGGAGCCTGTGCCGTCGTTATCACTGGCCACGATCGGTATGTACGACCGGTCAGTCGTTTTGCCAAGGCTGATCACTGATCATGCAATACCTTATAAAGATCGTTGTGCACGACCCTCGCTGCGGCTGAAAAGTTCGAGCAGAGTCATCTTCAAAAACCGGAGATCAAAGCCTACTTGGACAATGCCAAATTCTTCTACATTGGAGGATTCTTCCTGACGCATGGAATCGAAAGTGCTTTGGACGTTGCCAAGGTGGCCAGTGGAAAGGGCAAGGTCAGCCGTTGCGGATAAGCCGCCAGTCTGATCTGCAAGTCTCTGATGCTTTTCCAAATCACGCTACAGGTTGTTGCTCTCAATCTGTCGGCTCCCTTCATCCCGCAATTCTTCAAGGTTCAATTGGAACAGCTCTTGCCCTATGTCGACATCCTTATTGGCAACGAGTCTGAAGCCGAAGCTTATGCGGCTGGTCAAGGGATGGCTGTGAGTTGAAAGACCCAGTCTGGAAATCAATCATAGCTTTTCGCTGAATGTTCCTCGACGTAACAGGACTCGAGCATCGCTCAGATCGCGAGCGCGATTGCCAACTTGCCCAAATCCAACGCCTCCCGTCCTCGCCTCGTTGTCATCACTCAAGGTTCCGAATCCACGCTCGTTGCGTCGTCTTCGGCGTCTTTGTCGAAGTGCAACATTCATCCCGAAGAACCGAACCCCAAGACCTACCCCGTGCCTAAACTGACCGACGACCAGATCGTTGATACCAATGGAGCCGGAGACGCGTTTGCCGGAGGATTCTTGGCTGCTCATGCCTTGGGGAAAACCCTCAACGAGTGCGTCGAGGTCGGACATAAAATGGGCCAGATGTGTGTTGGGCAAGTGGGACCTGCCTTCAAGTTCCCCAAGATTAGCGTTTTGTAGAGGCTTCTTTCGATAAATATTTCGGGGGGTTACCGAGTGGTACCGATATGACTGCATGGCACGCGAAGTCAAACATGCTGTCTGAGCTGGTCGTTTGCCTGGTGATGCTGGTCAGGTCATAGAATTATAGCTTATAAGAATACATATATGCATATAGATATGTTATACTTTGACATGCAGGGGGTGATTGTGAAAGCTGATCATCGATCATCGAATCCTGGCTGCGCGTCATTCCGCGGGCTGTGTCATGCATGTTGCCCGTGTACCGTGTCCTCTCGTAACTTTGCAAGCGATCCAATCGATTGACCAGATCGATCACTTCGCAATGTTTGCGGTGTTCCCTGAAATTCGACTTTCATCGAGTGGCATGAGCGGTCATCCTACAACAGGGTCAATAAACTAGGCGAAAATATCGAGACGAAACCAACAGTCGCCCCGCTTCATCAGACTGAAGCCAGCCCTTCACCACACGACTTCTGATCCGGGACGCCGGGACGAATTCTTCTCGACATTCGAGTTCCAGGCCTCCACGAACTCGAAGCTCTGGTCTAGGTAGGCTTTGTGGACGAATACACCGAACCTGCTCAATCATGTCACAGAATGCCGTGAGTCAGCTTATTGATCCTACCCAACTGCCCGTCTATAAGCTCACTTTCGCTTCCCAGATCCGACGCAAATTAGTGAGGATCATAGCTTGCGAGGGTTTGATAGTAGCAAGATAGAGAAGGGCAACGTTAAGTGTAATCGGTTCCTCCTTTTTCAGGTCATCGTCGGTGACGGAGCTTGTGGGAAAACTAGCTTGGTGAGCGCCCATTGTAATTTCGTGGATACCCTAAGCGGCAGAAAGACTAACGTCGAACCCTTCTTGGTCTAGCTAACCGTATTTAGTTGTAAGTTCGTTGTGTATCATCAAAGAACCTGCGGATGGAGTTTCATCACGCTGAACAAACCTTTGAATGAAAGTGGGTCAATTTCCCGATTCCTACGTGAGTGGTCATAGTCGTCATGGTCGGATCTTGTTCTTGGGTGTGCAGTACTGATAAAGGTGCCGAGGTAAACAGTCGCCAACCGTGTTCGACAATTTTGTGGCCGATATCCAACTCGATGGGAAGCCTGTCCATCTTCAGCTTTGGGACACTGCCGGTCAAGAAGAATATGAACGATTACGACCACTGAGTTACTCCAAGGCGCATGTGATCCTGATTGCGTTCAGCGTCGACACACCGGACAGTCTCGACAATGTCACTAACAAGGTGCGCGGATCGGTCTTAACGTACACTATCGTTGTCGTCTTACCCGACTGTATGTCATTCAATAGTGGTACGAGGAGGTCAGGTCCATATGTGGACAGCATATACCTGTCATCCTCGTCGGGTGTAAAACAGACCTCAGGGAGAAGGCGAGGCAGAACGGGACGTTACAGAATGACTCTTATGTGGAAACCCTTGAGGTGAGTCATCAGCCCGCCCATGCGAGCCACTTAACATTTACTGATGCGATGACCGTATATGATCAGGGCGAACGAATATCTAAAGCGATAGGCGCCAGAGCGTACTACGAATGCTCGTCCTTGTTGAACCAAGGGGTTGATGACATATTTGAGGCGGCGACACGTGCCGCTATGTTGGTCCGTGAAAGCGGCCATGGTCCATCGAACCCGGCGCATTCTCGCAAAGACACTCCAGGTGGAAAACAATCAACCGACGAAAAGCACGGAAAGAATTGCTGCCTGATCAATTGAAGAGGGTCATGACTTAAGATGGCGGAGGGGTCCACCCTGCGCCAGGAACGGCCGGTAGCGGACGATTTGTAACGAAGATTTTGCTTGCATGATCACGGTTTTAATGTACAGATCGCTTCGCACACTATCACGATCTTTGGGATGACTATAATTTCGATTCGATCAGTCGTAAATGATGGGCTGAACACCCTCCTAGCTCTGTCTGACGGACACTCCTATATTTAGCAACCTGCAGACAGCCGGGCGCATGGCATTGTTTCAGAGGGGTATGCCTAGCTCGAGTTGGCGCTTCGAGGGACCGCGATACAAAGCGGGGTCCCGGAAATCCTAATCTCACTAAGGGTAGACCGTCTCGAAGCGTAGAGTGGAAACGTATTGCAAGGCCACGACCATTCCCCGCTGCCGGACGGGCGACGATTGAGCTCGCCGCATCTCTTGCTAAACCGAGCTCTTTCGTGGAGCGTCCTTTGCCCGTCTGTGCCTTTAATAGTCGGTCGATAGCCTCTCGCTTCGAATCGCCAATCACATCAGCTAGATGTGACAAGGATAAGTACTCCGAAAGCGAAGCAACGACCCACTTTATCATTCTCCTGGCGTTGGTCCGCTTGCAGCTTCCGCCGACGAGCGGTCTCTTCTTTCCGCCGGATTTTCTCCTGCTCCGTCAAGACCATTTTCTTGCTGTGATCTGTACATTCAGCAAGGAGGCGTTTGTCATGATGTGGTGTTAGCGTTTGTGTCCTCCGGCGCACCGCACACCTATAGAATAACACACCTTCTGGAAGCACCATCAGGTCTTCAGTATAGGAGGAATCGTGCTTGGACCTCTGACGTGCAGTCATTCTGTCCACACCTCCGTTGCGTCCAGAAGCTCGTCGTACGTCTTCCTCGTCTGCCTCTGATGAAGTATCCATCGATGATTCTGATTTTAAAGGGCAAAGCGGTCAACATGTCAGCCGAACATAGCGCAAGAAGAAGAAAAACATCGACTGCTCACGCTCCGAGTCAACTGTTCCGTTTGATCGATGTTCTTCACGGGCGAAATAGGGCCGTTCGGTGGTCGCTAGCTCGTCAACCACAGGTCTTCTGGTCTGTCTCAAATCTTGTCTCAAAGCGAGGTCTGGGCGATGCTCCGTTTCAGGCTTCGACCGTTTTATAGCAACCGTCTCGATCCTGGTGGATCGGGGTCGTCTGTTTGTTGTCTGGGTAGATGTGCCTCCATTCGTTCCAGGTACGTGGCCGCCCACTTTGAGTCGTAGCTTGATACCTGGCACTGTATCTTGCGCTGGGCCGCTTTCGGAGTGAGATGACTTGGTTGATGACTGTTTCCCAGCAGCCGGTGTGTGATAGTCTGATGTTGGCTTGCTATCTGAGTGAGGGTAAGGTGAAAGGGCACGGAAGAGTTATGGTCAATGTGTCAAAGGTGGCTAGAATTCGATACATCATCTTAAGAAAAGGCTTACCGGCTACATCAAGCCCGTTCTCGTTGTTCCCTCCTTGAACTACAGCCTCTGGAGATTCGGAAGTGACGATCCGTTTTGATCGCCTAGCGAAAGTGGACATGGGATCGAGTTGAAGGCTCTGGGTGAGCACGCAGATTTCACGCAACGGCAGGTGATTGGAAGTTCGCAACTATCGGGTCGGAGGAGTAAAGGTGGGAGTGATAGCTTGTGCGTGTTCAACGATCAACGATGAATGCGATCTAACCTGTCCCAAGCTCCAGAAGCGCTCGAAGTGACGCGAGTGAACTTCCGGGCGGCGTTCGCTCGCCCTCGCGCTGTGCAGTAGTGTGTGGCCTCACCGGATCGTTACTTGAACTACTTGTACACCCAGTCACATTGACATCGAGAGAACCAAAGAACCGCAAAAACAACCACCGTTTCACCGCTGTCGTTGATCGCTGACGAGCTGTCACAACGATCCCCCTGCATCATACACACCCAATTTTACGATCGCAATCGTCATCCCCGGTCTCCTGCCACACCACTGCATTCAACATGGACGAGCCAGTGATAAAGGCTGCCACTGAAACTTCCGGATCACCTGCGGAGTTTCTCAAAAACGTCGTCGGTAAACAGGTCAAAGTCCGGATCGGTAGCGGTATCGATTACGAGGGTCAGTCCAGCATCTTCGCCTTCGGATCGACAACTTCTCACCGAGGACTCCTGCTACATCTAGGTACCCTGTCCTGCTTAGATGGTTACATGAATGTGGCAATGGAGAACACTCGTGAGGTCGTAAATGGAGAGATGAAAAACAGCTATGGGGACGCTTTCATTAGAGGCAACAATGGTAAGTGCACTTGCCCTATAAGCAGCGGCGTCGTAGCTAAGCCTCAAACTGGTGCTGGGTCAGTTCTTTATATTTCGGCTATGGAAGATATCTAGTGTTGTGATCAACAGATGCGATTAACGTCACAAGCAGCATTCTATTTCGGATTATCTCAGCTTGTACCATTCAACTATTCTAAGTCATATGCGATTCTTTGGTATGCGAAAGAAGTTATTCCATATCCTGCCGCGCGCGACGTGCAGTCTCTCTGATATGGTAGGTACAAATAGACAAGGCTTAGATGGTGTCCTTGACCACAGTACCGCGCTCCGAAGTGTAGATTCCGTCCAAAAACTTTCGGATCTGCAGAATGTACGGTTCTTTCGTTAGCATCGCCTCTTTGCGGGTGATTAAAAAGGTTGCGGTGAAGACGTACATCCTTCTCCTTGACTCGGCACTTGTCGGTGATACTGGCAGCGGATTGAGAGACGTTCTCAATGTCGTTTCCGGAGATGACCAACTCGTCCTTGGAGCCTTCAGCGATGGTGACTCCTTCAAGCATAGGACACTTCCTCACAACCTTCTCGCCCACTGTCCACATGATAGACAGAAGCAGCAAGTAAGATTGAGAAAGGGAAAGTAGGCAATCGCGTATCAAGACTGACAGAAGTTACGGATCTCCACGTCCTTTCCACCAGCTCCGATGACGGGGTTGATGGGGAAATGGGCGTAGACAAGCCTCATCTTGTACTCGAAACCCTGGATAACGACGCGTTTTAACACTAATCGCGTTCTGGTCCAAAGAGCATGTCTCACCTTGGTGACTCCCGTGAACATGTTGCTGACCATCGACTTGACCGTACGCAAACAGGCGACGTGCTTGCGGTTACCGTGCCAAACGGTAAAGACGACCTGGTTGCCCTTCTGGCTCTTGACCTATCATGATACGCGGCCGTTGATCAGCTTCCTGCGCCGGTAGAACTTGATGTGATGGCAACTGGGAGAGGTTTCGAAGATGATTGGCAAGCTGGGGCCCGACACGATTGCGATGTAGAAGACCCGTCCTCGCGGTCCAAGACAATGCTCTAGGTGATCCCGGCTTGGACATGCTGAAGATACGGGTCCCTTCCAGTGAATTCGCAGTGTACGCAACCAGGTAAACGCTCAAGCGACCTCTCCTTGTCCGCCTCGAAGCACCGCCTGTTCTCCCTCAACGAATCGTCCAAGTCCGCATAATGCTTGTTCCGTGTAATCTCCCTGTGCGTCCTTTCTCTTTTCAACTTACAATCTGGATGTCCATCTGGATGTGCTTGACAGCCTTGGTCAAGGTTCCTCGGGGACCGGTGACGGTCACAACCCTGGACTTGAGCTTGATCTCAACGCCCTCGGGGATGGGAAGAGTCTCGATGGAAGAAAGGTCCTTCATTTTTGCCGGAGATGTTTTGGCGGTGAACTAACTGACTATGTTGTCGACGGCTGGAACACACGGGCCGAAATCAATCCATCTCAACGTCGACGTTGAACCAAGAATGGCGATCAGAAGTTGTCAACCCCGAATGGACCTTGCCCGCCTGAGAGTCCTGAGACTCGACGCCTACCGAGCTCGCGTCACGAGCGCTTCTCGGTCTTAAGACCCGGATGCGCTTCTATATGACGTGAATCGGTTTCCAAACGACGAGCATGTGGCGGAGCAGCACAACAGGGCTCTCAATCTAGATGGTCATGATCTTGGTGATATTTACGATATTCTTTGTACGGCCTGCCAGGCGACGCGAGCAGTAAAGTGTAGCACCCTGGCAGGTATAGCAGCACATTTAGCGGACATGGAACATGAAGGGCGACCGGTTAAGAGATTTGTGCCATGTCCGCTGACCCGCTCGTTCCGTCATCGCCTTACGTAAGAACATTGAACTTTGTTGAATCTCTGCCTTTGGTGAATTGATGATTTAGCTGCAGGTAATAGGTTTCGTGCAATCGCTAGTAAGAACGAACGTTTTCGAACGGTAGAACCTCTAGCCCAGGCCTAGACACGATCGCAGTATATCTGCCAAAATGTTCGTTGCCGATTCATGCTCGCAGGAGACGAGAAAGCGAATGTTGATCTAGATATCCAAAGCAGGACTTCTTCCACCATCCTCGGCATCAACTTTGGGCAGTCCTTCGCTTCGATTGCTGTCATTGGCAAGGTACTCAAAGATTCGCCCGCCACGGAGTCAATCATCATCTGAAATATCCTGGATTTATGCAACAGGAAGGTCATGCCAGCTGCATCGCCAATGAAGAGGGAGAACGACAAATCGCTTGTGCGATATCTTACAATGGGGAGGAGATCGTGAGCGTTTGCACCGGCACAAGTGGCATACGGGACACGAATCAGCCGGTGACTAACGATGGTGGTATCTGACGATTGCCTCTCAGTATATCGGAAATGGAGCTAAACCTCAGCTCGTCAAAAATGCCAACAATACTATTGTTGGCTTCCGCAACCTGTTAGGGCAAACGTGAGTAGCGAGCCGGATAACCAAAGCTCTACGCCAAGCCGATCACAGCAAAGGCTTGCAGTTCCGAACCTCAAGAAGGCGCAACATCCACATTCGGGGCTCCCGTCGAATTTGGGTCCAGCGGTCCGGTTTATAAAGTAGAAGTCCTCGTTCCTCCTGCACCTGCGGCGACTCCAGCCTCGCGATCGGCAGGCCCATCGGGAGCCGCGACCCCGGCCAACCGAGAGCCTGTCCTTACGCAGCAAACCGTCACTGTGCCCGAAGTCACCAGCCTGTTCCTGAAAACGCTGTATGACAGCGCGACCGACTTCTTGGGGACCGCCCCGACCGGCGTCGTTATATCCTGTCCTTCGTTCTTCAACGACAACCAGAAACAGGCTTTGAAACAGGCTGCGGGACAAGCTGGTATCCCCGTTGTCCAGATCTTGGACGAGACGGCGGCAGCATTGGTTGCGTACAGGGTCGGCTTGGTTGAGGAACGCAAGGAACGTGATCTCTTGGGGTCTCCAGAAGAAGGAGATGCTGGTCAAATGGAATCTAGGGACAAGACTGTCGCGGTAGTTGACTTGGGCGAAACCAGTCTTCACGTTACGATTGCTCAGACTGGGGAGGGGGAATATGTGAAGTTGGCAGAGAAGCGAGATGACAAGTTGGGTGGACGTGCCTTTGATGACCTGGTGAGGCCGCTTCAGCTCTGACCGGATGATGTGTCTAAACGTGAGGCTGAATGGCCCGTATTTTACATCTTAGCTGTGTTCGCATTTTGCAAAAGAGTTCACAAAAAAAACCAAGGTTGCCCTCAACCTCCCGTCTGGACCTAACGCATCGGTAGCCGACAAGCGTGCGGAGATGAAATTGAGATTGGCGGTGGAACACACGAAGCGAAGTCTTAGTGCGAGTACCGGAGCGGCAACCTGTGCTGTGGTGAGCCGCCGGATCCAGCTGTCACGATTGTGAGCGATATTGACGCATGCGGCAATTTACAGGAATCGCTCAAAGAGGGTATGGATCTTTCAGCCTCGATCAACCGTATCAGATTCGACGGGTTGGCCTCGGGCGTCTACCGTCGCATTGCGGAGAACATCAAGTCAGCGCTCGAGCAGGCTCAACTCGATGTCGCTCAAGTAGACGAGGTAAGATACCCTCCAATGCCGTTCCCGACCGAATTTTTGCTGACCTTGATCGCTTGCAGATTCTCTTGGCGGGTGCATCTACTCTCCTTCCGGGCATCGCTAATCACCTCTCTATGCTCGTCGCCCCTACGGTACCCGTCACCTCGGCCTTGGATCCCTCTCAAGTCATCGCCGTCGGATGTGCCTTGCAAGCCTATCACCTTGCTCAGCTACCGGACGACCTGCCTCTCGATAAAGTCCTCTCCAACGTGAACAGCACCATTGCAAGCAAACCTATTGGTATCGTCTTCCCCGACTTGAGCCAGGAGGGTGACAGCTCGGTCCACTCGGTCGTCATTCCGTCCGGCGTTCGACTACCTTGTCGACGGAAGGTTCAATTCGCTGTAGCTCCGGGTTCCAGCAAGGTCGCTGTCGAGTTGTGGGAAGCCTCGACTACCGTCGATGTCACCCAGATCCAGCCTCCTGCCGCGAGTGATGCTGGAGATGCCGATGAATCGGACGACGAGCAGGACGATGAATTGGAAGAGGTTCGAACCGTCTTGCATACCCGCGAAACCCTTTTGGCAGCCGGCGAGATCGTCGTCGATGGCCGAACCGACGTAGTGTTGGAAGTCGTCTTGAAAGCAGATGCATCAGTGCACTGGAAAGTCTGCTGAGTGCAGTAGTCATACTACCCCGTCCGTCAATACTGTCTGCTTCGGCACTTGTATAGAGTTATTCATCATGTTGTTTTCGGTGTCTGTCATATTTCTTCTGCCAAGGCCCACTGTGCGAGACAAGGTCAATTTGACGATGACAATAAAGGCTAGCAAAACAGGCACTTGCGTACTGGCGTCAGCTGAGTGGGATGAAGGGGGTTGTTATAATGCCTTCGAATGCGTCTATTCACATTGTAAAAGCAGACCCCAGCGGGGATGTCGGGAGAGGTCTCCGGAGGGGTCGCGGGGGTAGCGATGCTTCATGTGACGGCTATAACAATCTCCGCCGGAGGTTATACCTATATAATCGGTATTTACAGAACCCTTCTTGGTTTGGCTTTTGTGCTTTGCGTCCTTTGAGACCACATAACAAGTCACAGGTTTCTAGATGCAAGCGGGTCTGGATCGTGTGACCACATTGTATGATGAACTTTCTTGACCTGAGGTGTGGAAGTGGTTGATCAACTGAGAGAGTCTGTTTCAAGAAGTGGGTGCTAATGGCGTCCAGGTTGTTCTGGTAGCTGCCAGCAGCCACATCAAGATAATCATGGCGGTGATAGTTAAGGAGAGACTCCATGTTATGTACATCTGCGGTACGCATAGAGCTACGGCTGGGTATATATTATAGGTGTCACATGACAGACAGCTCACGGTGCGTGTTGCCTTGGAGTTTCATCTGGAGATCCTCTTGGAGACCCTCTAGGAGACCCTTTGTAAGATGTTCTTGCAGGTGTCTAACTAGTACCTTGTAATGGCTAGACATCTGTTATTATATTACTATGCCTACCGTTATCTTTCCCCAGTCTTGCGACCTTGTCACAAGGAGACCTTGCAAGCCAGTTGCTGGGCCTTATAGTATAACCTCAGTTTCGTTTCTGCTTGATGGAACATGTTTTCATAGTCAGAGCTCTTGAAAAGGATAAGAATTGCGCTCTATCTGGTGCTACTTTGTTACGGGATCATCACGTGAGTCAATTACCAACACACAGGCTCGTTCCACGGACATCAGCATACACCTAAGTCCGGCTCAACGAGGCAAACCCGATTCCCTCAGAGCAGATTCGGTCGCCCCTACCATTCGCCTTCACCATTCATCGAAAACAACAATACCTTCCCGACCCATATCACAAACAGGTACAAGGACCTCGAGGTACCCGACAACCTTACTCAGGACCTTGACAACCTTACTTGTCGTACCTAGGGACAAATGCGAACTCAAACCCGCCTCCTCTACCAAATCCGGTTGCTCTCGACAGGATTCGTCTGTTTGCCATCTCGCTCTTCCAGTTTCGCCATCTCTTGCCGTTCTATTGTTCTTGGATCTTTACAGCGTTTGCCACTCTCTTCTCCGTACTCGTCTCCGTATAAATAGCTAGAGGATATTATAGGCATCCGCGGTACGCATGTCGTACACACGCGGGATGTAGGTTTTCACCTCATACGGAGGTCCGTTCGGAGACCCTCTCGGAGACCCTCTCGGAGACCTATTAGGAGATGTGTTCGAAGATGTCTAACTAGCACCTTGTAGTAGTTAGACATCCGTTATTACAGTCATTACCCTACCCGTACCTTCTAGTCCCGTGTGTTACTATTCAGGTTTGCGGGCAAACCTTATAGAGGAATTTGACCGAATTCGATAGAGGACGCTCTGTAACAGTTAGAGGTTCAGTTCCGATATCACATTCAATACACGCCTATCTGACTTGTTACAACATCTTCAAGACGTGTTGCAAAGAGGTTACAAACTCAAGGACGTTGCCAAGTAATTACGCTTCATCGCTTTACCTTAGAACGAACCCGGTACCTCACACCGAGTGATCACCTTCCTTATCCATACATCTCTGGATTCGTATCCCTTACCCGAAATCGTTTCACCCAAGCGAACTTGTGACATTCTCCCGACTACCTGCAATTTACCTCAAGCACCCTACGCCTTATGACTAGGACCTATCGCCCATTAGCGACTTCCGCCGTAACATAGTTGATCCTTAGGCTTTGCCCTTGGATCCTGAATAATGATTTGTCAATTGGGGTTTATCGAGTGTATTGATCTGCCAACTACAATTTAATAATCATGTTTTGTGTTGTAGTACTGTGCGGTAGCTAGTTGCGGTAGTAAGTTTGTCCTACGTCTCGACTAAGTAACTGATACCACTGCGTCATATAGAATAGCGAAGGGGTAAAGGGTTGTAGTAGCTGTGCACTGCGTGGGGTGAGGTGATTGATGGTGTGTTCTGTAGGCTTGTTTGTAACCTCTTGGTCTAGCTTGTGCCAAGATTTGAATGTAAAATGCGCTCGAACTTCTAGTCAGTGTTGCAAATCAGCATGTGATGAGTAGTCATCAACATGTGGAAGCAATCTCAACCACAAAGCAGGAAGCAAAGGGGAAGCAAAGGGGAAGCAAAGTGATGCAAAAGCATGGGACATGCTAGAAGAAATGGTTTTGCCACTGAGGCATTAATGCCATTGGCTGGCAAACCTGAGGGACTTTTGCCATTGGGTGGCAAATCTGAGAGATTATTGCCACCAATAGCAAATCAGCTTCAAGACGTGATCGGAGGCGTAATCACGGTTGGCTGGTGAACAGTTCACAACCGGTCATTGGAAAAGTTATGACTCAACCCAGTTGCCACCATTTTTGCCGCCATTTGCCCCTTCTCAGAACAGTATATATAGCAGGCCATTTGGGTCTGATTTCTCTTTCCCCACTCATGTACTACTTTACTTTTGTGCAAGCAACCAGATACAGATTCATTCACACAAGAGATAGTATTGATCAACAGTCAACACCATCAGAGGAACAGCTACACCATCAGCTTAGGCTTCACAACAGTCAAAAGAATACAACCACAATCGATCTGCTATCCTATTGGGCTATAAGAACTGTGCTCATTCCTCCTTCTGTACACTGCAAATGTTCATCCAAACGGATTGTTTTTCATCCTTACTCAAGTAAGTCAAAAAAGGAGAGGCACGCCGTGTATTTGGCCTCACCTAGGACCCTGCACTGTTCCCTAAGCTTTGTTATGTCACTCAATTCGATGTCAAGTTAGTTCAACCTACGCCCTGTTCATCTTGTGAATTGTCTGCCGTCATTTGGGCAAGGTGCAGAAAATTAGTGGTCAATCCTCTATTTCTTTCAATCGTTGGTAGAGGTCGGCACAACTAAGGGACTGATGACTATAGTCATGACTTTAGTTACTAGTCTGTACTATGACTGACTACTGACTATGGGTTGTTGAAATGTGACTACAGTGACTGACTAGTCTCAATTAGCCATTTGGATATGTCAGGCTCTAATCTACATGTCATCTTGTGTTTCAGACCGTCATATTGCAAAATAGGAGGAGGTTTCTACCACCTGACTGACTATGAGGGACTATATTCCCTCAGTCACATCAAATGACTGAATAGTCACAGTCGCTTACAGACTATTGACTGACTACTGACTATGCTCTTGGGTGCAAAAGTGACTGCTGACTGGTCAAAATGACTAGTCGTGGCGACCTCTAATCACCGGTGTATCTTCTAAATTGTATATTGTTCTCTGTTTTTGGGTTTTGTCTTTTGTTGCATATCGATTTGTGTACTGTGTTCCTCTTCTTGAAGCTTGTTTATTGTCCCTTGCCCCTGTCTAAGGGTGTTTTGTCTTTTGCGTAGGCAGAGGTCCGTTCCTCAAAGTATCGAGCTCAACTTCATCCTTCTACCTGTCACCTCTGGCAAGGTTGGTGAGGTCAAATAGTCTGACAAGGTTGATACGTATATTGCATGCCATGTCAAGCACTGGACCATGTGTACTTGCAACTGCTGAAGCATGGGCGCGCTTGTCAATTTTTGTTACATGACTGATCGCATGTGATACCCGCAATGATGTGTCAAAGGCTTGTTTGTAGACGGGTCCAAAGTCACATCGTGTCTTGTGACACATTGTCATCAGGCGTTACTGGATTCATCACACATAGCAAGACTTCCAAATGGGTACTTGGCCAGTAATTCCGCCAGAGTAGGTACTTATAAATGGTGATTGGTATGAAACATCTACTCCATTCACTCTTGTACTATATAGATGATCTGCTATCACATTCACTTATACAAACACCAGCTTTAAGCAAGTGTAAAGATGTGACTGTGATCACTCATTTGCGACCACAAATTGTTGGAAATAGGCATGTGATGATCGGTCATCAGCACATGGAGGCAATCTCAACCACAAAGTAAACAACAGGAAGCAGGAAGCAAACAGGAAGCAAGGTGGAAGCAAAAAGCATGGAACATGCTAGAAGGAATAGATTGGAAATAAATCACCGATATTGTTTGCCAAACAACCGATATTGTTCGACCACCAAAAAACCGATATTGTTCGTCAAACAACCGATATTGTTCGCCAAACAACCGATATTGTTCGACAAACAACCGATATTGTTCGACGTTTGCCCCTTCCCAGAAAAGTATATATAGCAGGCCATTTGGGTCTGATTTCTCTTTTCCCTCTCATGTACTACTCTACTTTTATGAAAGCAACATTGATTCATCTTCACAACAAGACAAGATCAGCACTAGTAACACACCATTACTACTGCCTAGGTACATCAAGTAATCAACCTTGGTGGATCTAGTTGTTACTTCACAACACAAATCACATATTACAACTCCTGTCACACTATTGTGATTGGCAGTCACAGTTTGTGTCTGAGTCACACCTTTGGGACTCAGTCACATTTCTGCAACTACTATAGTCACAGATCTTGTACCCACACCACTAGACAATTCATGTATATATAGGAGTCCGCACAAGGAGGAATGGGGCATCCCTTTTCTCTTTCCCATTACCTTTACCTTTACCTTTGACTTCATCCCTTTCACCCTTTCTCTTTCCACCTTCACCTCATCAAGATCAACAAGGACTAGCTACCCTTGTTGCATAACAAGCAAAGGATATCAAGAATTACCAAATAGGA